ATGTAATATAATATCAGATAAAATTTAAGAATTGTTTTCAATATATATATAATTATGAATTTTAGACTAAGAAATAAAAATAAAATCTATTTAAAATTCTAAAAAAAAAAGAGGGTGTGGATGTCAAGATGGTGTCAACATCTAATGAATGTGAATTAAGTGAAAATAGAGTTCTTCCTAATGATTATTACATAAATAATTATAGATGATTTAATTAATCAAATTAAGATATGTAAAAGTTAGAAGAATTATTGTTGAATGAAGAATAGTTTGGTAAATTTAAATCACAAAATTATCATTAAATGAAGTAAAAATTAATTTAAAAGTAGGAAAATAGAGTTATGATATTGTGGCGGTAATGTATCAACAATGTGCCAAAATTTTGAGTGTTTGAGCAGATTGTCACGTGATGTCCACAACTTTGAAAGCTATCTTTGAACAAAAATGACATAGATAATCTCTAAATTTTCTTATAAAATTTATATATCAATAAAATGGGTCATCAAATCGTCTACAATGACTATCACTTAGTAGAGTGAAAAAATGATAACTTTGTAGCTCTCTGGCAACTATTACCCAATGGAGAAGAGTTAGATGAAGATGGGGTGTATGTTAGGGAGCTTCATTATTAGGTCTGAATAACAAGATGAGACTTTTCATCACATCTGGTACGCTCTTAAGAGGTGACGACTCTTTCCAACAATAGTTTGTTCGTCAATTAATCAGAAATGATTTACTTAATAGATTCACAATCCTTTTATTTCAAATCATTCAATAATTTTAGTAATAATACTTTGTGAATTAGTTGATGAGATTTTCACCAATATTTAAGTGATTAGACAACTTAATCCTTCATTAGTGATTTATAAGAAAATCACGATTTAATTAGATAAAAAAAAATGAGTTTTGGCTCTAGATGGATTTAGACTTGTGTCAGTCGCCTACCTATATGAGAGAGAGTGAATAAGTACTTGAATACTCTTATACAGTGCCATCATCATGATATATCGTTGTTATAAATAAGGGTTAATTTAGATATTAAAAATATTTAAAACATTCTGAGAAGGTGTGATCACTTGTTTAGTCCCACATTGGTTATATGCTGAGTATTGAGACACATATGATAATGCGAGATTTGGGAATTAATAAGTCTATTTCTCATGTGTGTATGACCACTCTTTGCCCCACAATTAGTTGGCCACTAGTGACATGGAACGGGAGTGGCGCACACGTGCCCCCATCAGTCCATAGCCACTCAAGCCCCTATTCATAGCTCCACCCCGACAACACTTCTGACTTGCTTGTAGGCCTGACTAATCGACGGAGTCCCTCCTTTTTTCTATTATTTTATTTTATTTTATTTTTCTTTCTTTATCTCAAAAATAGTATTATAAAAATTATAAATTCACATAAAATCACCTAATTAGTCAAAAATCATATTAATCAACTCAAAACTACTTTTCACAATTTAACACAAATATAAGTCTATTTATTATGAGTTAAGGCTAAAACTATATTCTTTATTAATTCTTAACTCATTATATGAAAACTTATCACAGCCCCCAACTCATGACTATCTTCAATCTAATGTATCCCCAAGATGATGTCGACTGAGCCACGGCATAATTTTGAGTCGAAGATCATCTCACTCGTGCTGGTGGCTATCCAATAAGGTATCGTCTTGATAGTTGGAAGTTACTGCTCTCAAACTAGGTGAATATTAACAAAGTTAAACGTCACTCATGTATCAAGCAGAGCAAAACCTTGTCGTCCTTGAATTGTTCCCTTGAAGCATATAGTTTGCCCATATAAGTGATCGGACATCGAGTGGAAGGATACTTCGAGTTTGAAGATCCACTTTCATTTGGTGATGGGTCGTGAGGAAGTTCCTCTACTTTTGTATTATCCAATGCAAAATCATACTCAACGAGAGCAAAGAGAATATTCAGCTCTTGTTTGCACCGATGGCTAGGCACAAATTTCACATCACAGTGGAAATTCACCAATATTTTCACAGCTCTTGTTTACGCCTTTCGGGCATGAATTTTGGCAATAGTGAGGCGTAGGCATCGACGACAATCGATCAAAGGTGCTCTGATGGTGGAGATCTGTGGGCATGTCACCATTGGACCAAGACCCTATCCTCCCTCACAATTACTTGCGCCATGTGGTGGCGAGTGTATATGGTGCCCATCGTACACCGAAGACCCTTTTTACACCCCTCTGCCTTGTCATGGTCAACCTCCATTTGTCAGCATCATCAACTTGGTTTCAACCCTCTAGGTTGTTTTTATCATCACTTCTAGGCCATGTGGGTTAAGGGGGATCACTTTTGCATGTATCTCGTGTCAAAGAGCCTTGAGGAAGTTGCCTTCTAGAATGACATCTAGCACGTCGCAGAATATATGGGACAATAGTTCAAACTATTTTCGATAATCTTCCACCGACCTTGTATGCTCAAGTTCGAGGAATTGTTGACTAAGGGGACGAGTGTTTATCTCCGTAGAATTCCAGTAACCTATACTTTAAGTCTTCTCAGCTGCAGAATGACTATCAAGATTCAACTCACTTGAGCTAATGGAGGGCCTTCCCCTCTATGCTAATGCACGCCTCCGCCAGTTGTTCGGGTGTCATTATCTGATAGGTGGAGAAATATATCTCTACATGATATATCTAGCTTTCCGGGTCAGAACATGCAAAGACGAAAAACTCTAGTCATTGTCGGGGGTAGGCTCTGGAGGTCCTTATGGATGGTGGCTACCTAACAGACTTGGAGGTTGTCCTATGCTGGTTTCTCTAAGAGGCCACTCCTCCAATGGCTCCAAGAAAAATTTGGCCTAGCCAACTCAACTAAGAGAGATGCTACCTAGCTGAATATTGTCCAAGATATGGGCCACCGACCCAAGTTGATGAGAGACTAGATCCAGTGTTTGGCACACATCAACCTGCTCACCCAGTATTGCTTGGAGCTGCTTGGCATGAGCCATCATACATTGCTGGTGAGGTGCCGAAACTGTTCCAGCTCTTTCTCAAGAGAGTCGAGCTTGGGGTTGAAGGGTTTGGGCCCCATGGAAGTGTGGTTTGACTCTGATACCAATTGATGGAGTCCCCCCGGTTGAAGCATCAAAACATGAACTGGTTTAATAAATAAACATGTTCCATACAAAAACTCTAAGCACAAGGACTCCAGAGGACTCTCACCAGAAGGCTGTGAACAGCTGAGTGATTGGAGAGAGAGAGAGAGAGAGAGAGAGAGAGAGAGAGAGAGAGAGAATAGAATAATCAAAACCTTCTCAGGTCTTGGGGTCGCCGATGCCAAATGGCGAGTCTCCACTCTGCACGGAGTTCTTCACGAGGTTCTCCAGACCTCTTTCCGTGGCCTCTTGACTCCTCTTTATAATCGAAGTTCTCTGGCGTCGGCGGCCACCTCCCATCTCATTCTGATCAGATCTAACGGGACATGAGACTTGTGCTCCATCGGTGTTGAGTCTGCCATGGTTCCCCGCCGAATTCTATCCGCCGCACACATCTCCAATCCGGCAAGCTCCCACGTGTGGTTGTCCCTTTCGGTGTCTGGATGTTATCTGCTTTGCTTTATTCTTGGGCTTGGGCGGCTTCTTCGAGACCTCTTTCCCTTTGAGCCCATTTGAGTTGTCAAGGTCTCAACAAGCTCATCTCTAGAAACTTGCTCCCACTAAAGGCCCAGGCCCATGAGTGTACCAACGGGGAGAAGCAAGTGAGGGTCTTCCGCCAACTGATCAACCAGTGCCGTTCCGCAGACGACGACTACAGCCGCTCCCAACCAGTGGTCGGATATTTTCTTTTAATTTCCTGATCGGATCCTAATGGATTCAAGAAAAACACTTTTTATAAAGAAAGTACACACATGAGCTGGTGTTTTCCTACTATCAAGCGTACGTAGAAAGTTTCCTTTATATGAGGAGATATTTGGACCAGTTTCGAAGTGTTTTTTTTTAAATTTATATGGTGCAGAAATTCATCCTTCTCTTTCCCTAGGATGTGTTTCTAATTAAATTGATTAGACTGAAAATAATCCATTAATATTTAACACTAAAAACTATATTTCTCAGGAATGTATTTTCTTAAATCCTTTCAGATACGATAATCGAGCGCTGGTTGGGAGCGGCTGCCGTCGTCGGCGGAGCGACACTGGTTGATTAGCTGGAGGAGAATCCCTTGGACCTTCCTATCGGTCCATTCTTGGACATGGGCCTTCAGTAGGAGGGATTTGCCGTATATGACCTCAGTAAGCGACATGGCAAGGCCATAACCGTCAACTGAAGCTCCCAGCAGTCCCCTTGCCGTCTGCATTTAAAGGTGTGGCAAGGTACACCTGTCTGCATTGGGATCCTCATGTTTATTCACTCAACTAGATAGCAATTTGTATAATTTTATGTGCATCTAAAACAGGAGACTATAGGCCAAATTTTCAGGGGAGCTCTTCCCCCGACTCATCCTTCATCTTCCATCACCATACTGTAATTCCAAGGTTCATCACTCAGTTTGAGACCCAAATTCCCCGTCCTGCGGCGTTTGAAGTATTATCAGTTTGCCAACACACGCAAGCCATTGTCACAAAATCTGAAGTCTCAACATTCATTTTTATCTACCACCTTGAATAAAAAAATTCCGACGTTATATAGTAGAAAAATATCGGTGATACGTGATCATAGGATGGTATCAAGAGGCTTTCTCCCTTCGAATTAAAGGCATCTGATGAATTCACAAGAACTTTTAAAATGCAAAACTTCGGATAGATACTTTAGCCATGTACTGCATCAAAATGGGAAAAGAAAGTTGAACATGGACCTTTGAGGAACTTGTAATAAATCAAGGTACTAAGAAATACATTCTAGAGAGAGGAGTTTCTGCTCAACAAAAATTTACGGTAAGGAACCCTCGGAACCTTCCTCAATGTGAAGTAGAGTTTCTGCGTCTTCCAGATCGTAGGAAAAGGCCAGCTCGTGACTGTAGTTTCTCTAAGAAAGGTATTTTTTCTTGAAACCATTCGGATCCGATAAGGCGGTTAGACTAACGTAATCTAGGGCTGGCTGGTGGCGGCTGCCGTCGTCGGCGGAACTGCACTGGTTGATCAACCGGAGGAGGACTCTCGCTTGCTCCTCCCCGTCGGTCCACTCGTGTACCTGGGCCTTCAGTAGGAGGGGGTTGCCGGATATGAGCTCCGACAGCGGGAACCTCTTCCTCGGCATGACAAAGTCATGTTCCGTCAGCTGAAGCGACGAGCAGTAGTCCCCCTTGCCGTCCCCGAGATAGATGAACCGCTTCTTCCCATCTGCTGCGGCGCTGGCTCGTACTCGTTTGAGGATCAGACTCTGCGTAGGAGATATAAGCTGTATAACTTTCCCAACTATTTCACGTTGTTCTTGGATCATTAGAGAAGTTCCGAAGGCTGCGAGCCCGTACCTTACACATGTTCGGTGGACACGAGCAGCAGCCGTGGGATGATTCCGCAAAGTTGTGGTAAGGAGAAATCCTGAGCCTCCCTTCCCCGTCGACGTAGCTGGGGTTAGTGTGGATCTCCGAGAAGAAGCTGAGAATGCCGTGATGCTGGAGAATCGTCTCGATGAAGAATGAGTTCGCATCGCTGACTATCCTCAATTCACATCTGCAAAGGACACGGCGACGCATTCTCTGAGACTCGGGGCGATGGGAGATTTGCGACGAACTCGTCGACCGATTAAGACTACGAGTGAAAGTTACGGGTGATTAATTTCAGGGTCATACCCAAGAGCATGAGCAGATTTGATGACCGCGGTGATGTGTGGGTCGAGAGGAGCACTCTTCAAGATGTGCGCGACCTCCTCAACGGACCTACCCTGTTCGTGGATCTCCTTCATCATCGAATCCTGAGGAAAACGCCGGAGAAAAAAGTTAGCGACAAAAGTGGATTTTCTCGCGGTGCAGAAATATCGTAGTTGTCACGTTCACAGATCCAGGAGTGCAAGAACCGGTTACCGTTCCTCGAACATCGTAGACGAGGCTTCTTCGATCCCCCCTCGGGTTGAAAAGAAGAGGAAAAAAAAAATGGGGGAAAGAATGATTTATCCCGAGTTCATGACAACGCACCATTAGGGTATTAAACGGCATGGTGGGGAGGAGACGCTCGAAGATCTCGGTGGCGCCCAGGCCGTCGACCACCCAGTAGTCGCTGTCGCAATCGATGATCGTCCCGTCGAAGTCGAACACCACGACGGTCCCCGCCATCGGCGCTGACCAGCGAAGCCTTCTCTGTGGGTGCTGCAGGGAGAACGTGAGCGACGACGCAGCGGGACGGACGCTGCCTAGGAAGAGAAAGGGGTGGGCGACCAGAAGTTGGGTAAAGATGGCGCACCGCCGCTGAATAGCTAGTTTAGGATTAAACGATGGGACCTGGCATATGAGTCTGAAGTCTCAGAGACGGTTGATATCGGCGGAGCGTAAAGGTGAGCCCGTCGTCAACAACCTCCCATTTAATAGGTCCGGATATCTGGCAGGGGTCCCTAAATCCTCTAAACCAGTGAATCTGGAACAGAACGCCGGAATATTCCTCCCCCACAAACCAACGGTCCTGGGGAGAACGCCGGATATCTGGCGGCTCGCACCGACTAGGTGGTGAATTGCTAATCTTGGGTCGAAACATCGCCGAGTGGTAACCGGACTGCACTCGCTCCCCAAGTATGTGGATTAACCAACTATTACGCTCCCCAAGTACCCAGGATCTGAAACATCCTGGGTCTTTTCGATCGAATAATTAAAATTATTTAATAGTTAGAAATGTTCTCTTGCAACTACTAAATATCAGCTCTGGACCTTCTCCAGAAATCTTCTCCATATATAAGGGCGTTTGTATCTGTAATCACTGGAAAATCTTCTCCATATATAAGAGCGTTTGTATCCAAATTTTCTCATAAAAGCTGCCCCACGTTCAATCCGTTCAGACTTAACACAGAGGTCTGATTTTCTCATCAATAATATGATAAAAATTAAATATGGAAGTTTTCATAGTTCGACATGTTTGTCACTCGATTTACCATTTCAGAAGAAAAAAATTTGCTTAGGACCTGGTACGTGATGCAGCAGAACTGGTAGAAGAAGAAAATCTCACCTTGAATTCACAAAGCACGAAATTCTCAAGCCATTGAGTCCACAAAGGTCAAAATAATTCACTAACATCCAAAAGGTTGTTCTAATACAATTTGATGCAACAGAAATTGTGAGAAATTTGAGTCTTAAATCCACAAGACACAAATCTGAAGTACCAAAAGAATGAAAGTTAGACCCTGGATCCACAAGTATCATAAACACGTTTTGAATCTACAAAGATTAAAAACACACTTGAATCCACAAGAGTTGTTTGAATTGAATCTACAAGAGAACAATGTCTTAAAAAAAATACAATTCGTAATAATCAATGTACTTCCAAGGTTCTAATGTGGTGTCCCTTAAATAGGTCGAAAAAAAGTTAATATACCCCCAAAAATTATAAAAATTAAACAAAGTCAACCCAAAAAATGTGTTACTTACTAAAACATACTATGATGCGTACCTAATCTCATCTAACAATTCAAACAGCCTAATAGTTATATCAACTACTATAAGTTGACTTTAAGTCATTGTTCACTTACTTTATTTGGGTCCAATCTGATCTTTGATCCTTTTTAGATTTTCTCATCTTTCTAGTAGTCCATCCTTCTCGTTTGCATAATGCTTTGGTCCACTATTTCTTACCCACTTTATTCAAAAAAATTCATCGTCCTTTTTTTTAGAAGTGGTCCTACATCAGTGCGGATCCACAAATCAAATTTACTAGTAGTGATATGACGGAGGCTAAAAGTGTGTGCTAAGGTCCTGCCTATGTCCTTCACATGATATCTTGAAAAAAAATTCTCTCCAAGAGAGCGAGGCCCTTCAACTCTGGACAAAAGCCTCTTATTTCCTTCAAATATTTGTGCATTTTACTTCTTTTTAATAAGTGAATCAACTCACTTGGAAAGAAAAGAGTGTAATATATTTTAATTGGGTTCTTATATCAAGGGAGTTGCATGCTTCATCACCATGTAAGTAGAAGGTTAAATGCTATCAATGACCAAAGAACTAAATTAACTCACCTTAGATGAAGGAGGCTAAGTATCATCCATGACCAAGGCGGAGTCTACTCACTTGATGGAAAAAGATTGTAACCCATTAGGACAAAGTCATCACTAAAGCGAGGATGTAAACTCAGTTCAAGAAGAAGCTCAAAGGCATTGTGATTAAAGTACATTTAAAGTTAAAACGATAATTTTTCATCATAATATATATAAGCATGTAACATTTTTAAAAATTCCATTGAGTTTAAAAACTCAATACGCACAAAAGTTGTATTTTGTACTTTCTTCTGAGTGAGTTGGATGTGAGAGCACACTCACCAAGAATATACATATAGTCTTGGTTCCATAGGCCATCCTGGGCCTACCATTTTTTCTAATAAAGAATTCCGGCTTGGCTTGAGATAGTGCTGGCAATAACAGAAAGGAAGGGGTCCATGTAGCTGTTGTGTCTGCCCGCTAAGCAGCAGGTTTGGCATCTACCATAAAAGAGAGAATCCACTTCAGAAAACAATGCCCTCTGCTAGGTAGCATGTGGAATGGCCTAGAGCGGACCTTTTTGGATATATAATCCAAGTTGAGAGTAGAGTTACGGGAACAGCCATTTGATGGAAAACAACTTTCACGTTCAGTTCAGAGAGCACTCTTTTGTTGAGAATTCCTCCTTCCCTTGTGTGAATTCCTCAGCGGCGAATTAACCACTTTTGGGGCCCTATCTATTCCATCTCTCAAGCCCCGAAGAAAACCCCCCTCTTCATCGGACTCTATGTATGTGGGCACTTGATAGCTATGAGGGTTCACCCATCCCAATTATAACATTCTTTTCTATTGCGCCTAAAATGTCTATTTCTGTAAATATGTCATGTGTTTCTATTGCTGGTTCCTATGGAATGTAGTGCAACAAATCTTCTTTTTCAATAGCATTGCTTCTATGATCTTATGAGCACTAGCTGTCATGGCCAATGAAAGTCAAAAGACCTCTAGTGCTCGATTGGACATGTAAACTATATTCAAATTAATTTATCATGTAGAACTATAGAAAGAATTCAATCACTATTAATTAGTTGTTATAATTAATCTCAATTTGTAAAATTATATATGAATTCTATATTATGAGATTATCGTTGAATTAATTCTACCTAAAAGGATTCATTGAAGTTTAAGTATTTGATATTACAGCCTCTCTCGTAAGTATAAGTATAAATATAAATATGTGTAGAGACTGTCTTATTTTAATTTTATGATGTTTCAAATTAGAAAAAGACACTAAGAAGCTAACCACCTCCCATCTATAAATAAAGGGTCATAGTTTTTGAGTCACACATTGAAAGTCATTCTCAGAATAGATTCAAGTATGACTTTAATTCATTCTCATTATATTTTTATAATTATTTATTTATCTCAACATTAGATCTTTTAGATTCAACATTAGTATTTTTATTTATACATAAATGATGATAAATACATTTTTCATAGTAATAGTATTATGACAAACCCATGTCAAATATATAACAGTTTTGGGTGCTCTAACCAAAATGAATCTTATTTTGGCTATAACCTTCTCCATTACAATGTTATCATACATAGTAATACCTTCATTTGTTGACTTTTTTAGCAAATTTTATTTGTTATTCGCCACATTAGGTTGTAGGGCTTACTTCTTAGCCCCAATGGGGATAGTCACTAACGTTATAGGTCATTGGGCAGCCGGAAGGTTGCTATAAAGTTGGGGGGACCGAAGGTAGTTTTCTATGCACCGCACATGTAGCTTACCGAATCTGAATCTGAATCTCTTCCCAACCAGGCCAAGCCGAATCAGGCCACCACTTGGGATGGGAATGGCTTAGCCCACATGCATCATTTGATGAAAGCACTTCAATCCAACCTTTTCAACGAAAACGTTGCTTGGTAGGCACTACCTACTTACCCGACTCCCTCAAACAATGCAATGTTCTGAACACTCCAGGTTTTAGTTCAGCCCCCTTCTCCCATTAGGAGTCACAAGTAGTGCTCGAGAAAAAAGCACAGACGAGTCACATGTAGGGAAACTTGCACGTGTGGTTCTAACTGGCGACCATGTTATACTGTACTAATATGTGTAGGTCCTTGTAATTCGAGTGAGATTGTCATAGGCTCCCATTGACGTGGGCTAGGACTCTTCTCGTTGACTCCACAGAAGAAGACCCAACCACCACGACCTGTTGACCGAGGCATGGCACGAAGGGAGATCTTGTGGACCGGGAAGAGGGAGCAAGGGGGGAAATCAGGGGAGGAAGAAGGGGAGAGAAGGGCGAAGAGAAGATAGATTAGAACAAGGACAATACAAAACCAAGACATACTGATGCAACATCAAACCACCCCATGCTAGCCCAAATGAAGGAAAGAGTCAAGACATTACATGGGATTAATGCTCTGAACAAAACCGTCTGACAACAGAATAGCACGGCGAGGAGAACGGTAGTGACCTGGAATCATCTCAAGAAGGACGATTTCAGTGCACCACTCATCCTCAACGACACCATAAACGCCATGAGTGGAGTGATTATCTTTATTACTAGCTTAATTTACGTTTTGAAAAAAAGGCTATAAGAGAGCCACGAGGTTGAGAGGAGAGGACAGAACTGAAGAATGAAGATTTATTTCTTTAATCTTTGATCCCGTCACCCCGACTTGGGTTGGTTGCGAGAACCCCGCTGCTACTGGTCTAGAGTTTCTCTCTCCTTCTTCCCTTCTCCTTTCCCACTACTCTTTTCTTCTGTCCCGTCGCAATAGTCTTCCCTCACCTAAGCCATAGCCCAACCCACTTCTCACTATTCCCGCTGCCCACTACCATCTTCCTCAGCCTTTCCCCGCCGTTAATCATCGACGCCAAATGCCACTGTCTACCAATCCTGTTCTGAATCTACCCCAATTTCATCGTGTCGTTATCCCTCCCCATGTACACCTTTCCACCTTCACAAGAAAGCCACTGTTGTTACGACCAAGATCTATCTACCCCGCCTTCTATCCCACGAGAGCTTGACTCGAAAGCCCACCAGGTCATGCCGTTTCTAGCATATTCGAGAACGCCGTCGCCAAAGAATCAGTTGATTACTCTGTGATATCGCCAGCGAATCTACAGCCTTCCACGATATAGTAAACTCTTTTACTTCTCCATTGTTTGTGCATTTAATATATCATGTTGCTCCTTAATATTGTCTGAGAGATCATAGGTTAGCCAGATTAATCCTATTCGGTTGATCATTAAATCGTGAAAAAGGAAGATTTTCTGACGTGCTAAAAATCAGGGTATCCTATCAACAGTTTTCTCAACTAGTTGGATTCTACTAGTTTGACAATTATGGGTGTCTTATCTAGATATCTCAAGATATAATCCGTTTGTTCTTTTAATCTTTAGTACCTTTTTTGCCATAATTTATATTTAATATCCTTCGCCGTCTCCATCTACATCACATACAGTCTTGGGGTAGCCGATACGAGATGGCGAGTCTTACAACAATTCTTCTCCTCCTCTCCTGAGGTCACCCCTTCTATATTAGCCATCGTGGAGCCTTGACGCCCTCCCTTCTTGATGGGACTTAGTACAAGACATGACCCCTCGATGTCGAATACTACCCTTTGAGTAGGTTTGCCGCCAAATCCTTCCACCACCCTCGTCTTCTGTACTATAGGATCTGTTGCAGGTTCTCGCGTCCCATCGTCTTGCGCTCCACTTAGGTTGCCGGACTGTAGCGTTGGATTGAGTCAGCTTCTTTGAGACCGCGCTCTCCGTGGCCCAATTCTTGCTGTTAGGGCCTCATCAAATTGTCATGGCGCAAAAGCAGATATGGTTTGGTATTCCCTTGTTCCCCATATTGGTTATATCCCTCGACTACTGGAAACTGATCGAGCTCCGTCGTATCTCTCAGAAGCAGAAGCTAAATCAGTTGCAGGTTATAATGTAGGATGCGATCCTTAATAATTCACTGTTGCCGGAAGCAAATGTCCCGGGTCCCGGGGACTCATTCTGACTGAAACGAGGGGTGGGTCTTTACCAACTTTCAAATCCAAGATTTCAGGGAAGAAAAAAGCCACTCTTCATTCTTCATTTGATACTCATGAATGTCGGGTCGGGGGTTTCCGCCTTGTTATAAAAAAGGGGAGTTGGGTAAAGAAAATTCCCTCCTTGGACGAGCATGGGGCTTAGTCAAGTAGAACCGGGTTGCGCTGCTTGATACTCCGATCGAAAACAAATCAGTGGTGCCACGCCGGTCCGACAGAATATGCGTTAGAAAGGTCAATCCCTCCCCACCACCTTTATTAGTAAGTCAAAAAAACCGGGCCGAACTTCTAAAAAGCAGCCCGCCCGCTTCCAGAGAACAATATCGTGGCAACGTAGACCTAAGTTAGTTTATTGAAGTACGGCCCGCCTATATTTGAACGAGAATGCCGTGTCGTCCAGCGGAGCTTAGAAGAAGCCGACTCGGAGCCTAGAAGAAGGTGATCTTATCGGCCGGCAAACCGGAGACGGACGATCACGGTCCCGACCTTACCAGAATCGTAGGTTTATTAATCAATGAACCCCCGAAACCTACTGTCTTTTCTGACAAAGTAAAAAAAGCCGGAACAAACCGTCATGGTCACGACATGTTGTTGATATTGATGGAGTTGGAGGGAGTCAGAGACTACTACTGAATCCATCCATAAACCGTCATCCCGGTGACCTTCGTAAACAAAGCGTAACTTTTCCAAACCAAAGGTTACCCATCATCGAATCTCCAGTAGGGGGCAAGGAGGAGCACGTACGAATGCCAACCACTACATAATCCCCTGGCGGCTGAGGCGAGCAGCAAGCGGGGGAGAGTCAAGTAAAGTACAACAACGTTGAGGCGGGATGCTAGTACTTAGACTAAGGTTGCTTCTTAGCGCTAATCTTGCCTTTTTCAACAGGCTGTTAGTTGCAACGTGTTAGCGCACATTCCCTCCTTCTCTCACTTCGGAAATATTTTTCAGTATTTTATTATGATGACCTGGTCGAGAGAGTACGAAGCATCGGTGTAAAAGATTAAGTGGAATCTGTGAAGTTACTCATAGTAAGGCCTGGACTAAAGTGCGCGGCTTACGAAAAGTTCGGTTAGGTTTACTTTGCCCCCATTTTTGGCTTTTTCTGCATCGGAAGATAATCCCATTTTTATTCTCAGCGGGATTTCTCTTTCCCAGCCACTAAGGCTCCGTTCGGTCCTCTTCCCCATGGTATGGTATATGAACGTGAGAGCAGAGCAGGAAGCTCTAGCATAAGAAATCCTTCTATTCCTAAAGTGGAATAGGCCGAGTGAACTGCATCTGTCCTGCCTCCGGGTTCCTATCGAATGAATGATTGAAGAAATAAATTCACTTTGTTCAACGTTCGTTTTTCACACTTACGCTTGTAAAAAAAGAAAAGCTTGCTATCTGCTGATCTTTTCTTTCTTAAGGGCGCGCGCGAGAAAGCTCCTATTTCATACTAAAGATGTCTTACCATAGAACCATTGAAAGTGCTTCCTCCAGGGGACATTCTCCACAAACTTAGTGCTTCCAGAGATGGATTTTTTCCCGTTCCAGGAAGCATGATGGAATTAGATTCCATGTTTGAATCATTTCCATCCACCCAAACTCCTATTTTTTAGCCTAGCCTACATGGTCAGTGGTTTGTAGTCATTCTTTGAAAGGCACCACCATTATCTTTTTGATTTCCACCCCTACGAAGAACTCCATACATAATAGTTTAGCTCTGAGCATTCGGCTGAAACTCCCACCGCCTACTCCCTCATTTCCTTGCCCCCCTTCGATGAGAATCGGAAACTACCTGCACCTCATTTTGAGACCTGCACTTGTTTATTCTGTAAAGCTAACTAGGGATTGGATTATGATTGAATTCACCCACTAGATATTACAATGGATAGTGAACTCTGGGTACTGTTCCTTTCTACCTAAACTGGAAGCAGCAGATCCTACTCTCGCAAGCACCTCAATGATCCTTTCTCGTCATATGTCCCGCTCCTGTGTTCCGTGACCTCCCTTCATCTGGCATTATTTGGATAGATAAAAGAGCCTTGTTTGATCTTAAGTCACATTTATTGCATGGGCGACCTTCCCAACAAGTTCGGGTGATGCTACTACTAATAACCAGGTACCTTGCTGTCGTATCGAAGCGATCGGGGAAATGGGCTTCCCCTGACCGAGCAAGTGCTTTCACGGTCTGCTATTCCTGCTTCAAAGCATTTGCGCACCTTACCCTCACTCAACCAGCAAAGCAGACCTTTCGAAAGCCAGAGCTTCCACTTCTACTTAGAACCGAACTAAGTTCGGTGAGTGGAAAGGGAACTTTCAGCACGCTACCTTTCTCGCAATGTTTTTCCACATTTCCGCATTAAGAGCTTAACAGCGTTATCAATAACGCACCAAAGCAAGGGTGGTGAGAGCGTCCAGAAAGACATCCTATACATACATATTATACACATATACATATATATATATATATAATATGTACGCCAGGGCTATTCAGGTCAAACCAGGGAAGAGCGTCCTTTTCTTCTTCTTTGTTGGGATGAGTTCTTCTGGGTGAGTTTAATAGTACGTAAGAAATGAGTGTATCACCATTTTTTAGATCAACAACCATTGAGATCAATCAATTTCTATTGTTTTTAATCGCCGAAAACATTTATTTTATACAGATCGCCTCGTTTTTAACTATTTATTTTTACCGAGAAAGTCGGCAAGGCGTTCCATTGGTTTGGCCTACTTGCCGGACAAACGGCGGCTTTCGACACGTCATAAAAATAACAGACGTTCTGGTCTAAAACGATATGGCGCGCAGACGTCGCGGTCAGGGTCAGATGGCGTATTCTCAAGAATAATAATAATAAGTTAGTCGTAATCTTCCTACAATAATTTATAACCTGAGCCAAGACGCAAAAATCAGACAAACCCACCCTAAAGCCTATCTCGAGGAACACTATCCACGTAAGAGTAGTCTGGCAGGTGTGCAGCTTAATCAATCCTCCCTCGTCGCGTGGGCGCTATCAATCGGCATGACTGAATGAGACCCCCTCCTTTCATCTCTAGCCATTGGCTCTGTCAATTTATCGGGCCCATTAAGCGATGGGCTTCAGGCCCGAATCGTTCTGGTTCTTGACTCAACCAGAGGTCAAAAGTCACCCACGTTCCGGTCAGCCAGCGGTTCGTGGCTGTTATCTGCGGTTCCCTCTCGCCACCAAGCCACCCGACGAAGTGAACCGAATTGTTCGGGGGATCGCGCGCTGATGGGCGCCACGTGTCGAGATGGGAATCGTTCACCAGACCAGCCTTCCTTGCGTGAGGGAGAGGCAAAGGGAGGAAAGGTTCTTGCTGTCTGGAATGTGATCCTCGTGGATAATTGTCACGATGTTCTTCTTCTCTCCGAATCGGAGTCGGATTCCTGCGTGGGGGAGATAAGCTTCTGGGCCACATGCGTACGCACGAGCATCGAGCGACCGACAGAGAGGACTAGTGAAGATTCCTCCGCCCGCATGGAATATTCGCCCCCGTACCAGCAGCCCACGCCATGGAATTCATGGTCGCCCCCAGAGGACCCGCCGTCGGAAGTGACGACCCGAGATAGGCGTATAGACCGCTGACTGTCGATCTTCCTACGAAGAATATTCCACTTCCTATGCGTTTCTACGATAGAATCCAGAGGTGGTGGAGGCTTCTGCGTGAGATGCCATTCTCGTATTCTCGTTCGGGGATAGGGAGGTTGCATGGACTGGATGCTTCATCTCTCTTTCTCTCTCTCTCGTAATATTCCCTGAGGATCCTTCTACAACCAACCCTCCCCAGCCGTTTTCCCAATAAATAGCCCCCGCCTCACCTCTAGGAAAGCATCAACTTCTTTGAATCAGGGAAGAGCAAAGGGAGCTCCTTTCACCGTGGCACCACCTCCCGACACTCCTCATCTCCGGAGAGAAGGTTTCCGGGGACGGCTTTAATGGCAGGGACCGTCGTCGTGTTTGACTTCGACAAGACGATCATCGACTGCGACAGCGATAACTGGGTAGTTGATGAGCTTGGCGCCACAGAGCTCTTCGAGAGTCTTCTCCCCACCATGCCGTGGAACTCCCTCATGGTGAGCCGCTCATCCGCCTCAACACAATCTCCCTTTCTGCAGATTGTTTTTCTCCATGCGGTCTGTAGGGAAGGAGACATGGCCGCTTCCCCTTCTTTTTATTTTTTGTCACTCTTTGATAGAAGAGGAAGGAGATCCTAGGGCACAAAGAATGGGTGGGTTCTCACATCTGCATTTCTTGAACCGTTGTCCTCAGGATCGAATGATGGTGGAACTCCACGCGATGGGCAAATCCATAGAAGACATTGCGGACGTCCTGAGGAGAGCCCCTTTGGACCCTCACGTCGCTGCGGGCATCAAATCCGCTTACGCTCTTGGGTAACATATTTACCCATTCAGTAATTTTGCAACGAAACCTAATCGTTTAATAAGTTCCTACTAGTAAAGCTCTCTTTATTTGAGCCTCACAGAGAGTGCCTCCGTGTCTCCTGCAGATGTGAACTGAAGGTTGTGAGCGACGCAAACTTATTCTTTATCGAAACTATTCTCGAGCATCACGGCCTTCTCAGTTTCTTTTCGGAGATCAACACTAACCCCAGCTACGTCGATGAGGAAGGAAAGCTGAGGATTTCTCCTTACCATGACTTCAAGCAATCATCCCACGGCTGCCCCCTCTGCCCTCCGAACATGTGCAAGGTATGGGCGAGCTATCTACCCTCAAACTTCTCGGGTCTGGCAACAGAAGGCCATTATAGAATCTAAAGAGGTTATCTTCACCCCACGCAGAGCATGATCCTCGAACGAATGAGTGCCTCCGTCTCAGCGAGTGGGAAGAAGAGATTCATCTACTTGGGAGACGGCAAGGGGGACTACTGCCCATCCCTTAGGCTGACGGACGAAGACTTTGTGATGCCGAGAAAGAACTACCCTCTGTGGGAGTTGATCTCCGGAAACCCCGTCCTGGTCAAGCCCAAGGTCCACGAGTGGAGCGACGGAGAGGAGCAAGAGAGAGTCCTCCTCCAGCTCATCAATCAGGCCATCTCAGCCGACGCCAGCGGCTCCTCCCAGCTTCTCGCGATCGACTGCAAGTTTGAGACGCTTCCAATGCCCGCCCGCGAAAGCCTGCGACAGGCTCTTCCCCTTCGCCTCTGACTAACGGAATTCGCGTTACCCCACTACCTTGCTAGGAAACGGGACAAAAGAACCCTCTTTCCCCTACCTACTTTGTTTCCAACTCTCAGCTCCGTCTAGAATGAATGGAGGGAGACGTATGATCTTCTCCGTTCGCTGTTATCGCTGGTCGCCTGCGAGTCAAATGTGGAGTGGTCGTCCGAGGAACTAATATAGAATAAACTTTACGCAATGTCACCAAACTATACTACCTCTGTCAAAATAGACAGGGCTTAGTCTTCTTTTTTTCAAAAGTCGGCGCCAAATACCATGAATTCTCCTTCATATATGCATAAAGAAATGAACTGATGCATGTACGTATATACACCTAATTTTAACTGTAAAATCAAGAATATCTGAGGTTGGTAACGAGCTGGATTAGTGCTGATCACTGTGGCATCGAGTCCTGTTCTAGTATCAAACTAAGAGTGAAAAATTAGACTTAGAAAAGATAATAGATCAGACCAAGAAGCCAAAAGCTTTATTTTCTCCCCCACCTTTCCGTGACATTACCTCACATCTGGAAGATCTGTAAAGACAACTCAATGTGTACCGACCAATGTGATTAGCTTGGGTTGTACGAAAGAAGCTCGCATTATCATTATCGAGTTATCGATCGAGCAGGTGGCGCTGATTATCCTTCCAATCGAAGGAATTTCCGCTTGGGTCGTCAATAGAAGAGCCTTGGCCAGGGAAGCCAACCTGCCCGAGCGCATCCCCTCGCCAGCTGTTGGCCCCTCTACTCCACAACATACTCGGGGAGGGATCGCCTTGAGCCCATCCGGGATTTGCGGAGACAGCGGGTCTTCCCGGTGCTCGAGTGCCGCCTACAGCCTACCGGGACGGGGAGGGAAAGAAGGCCACAAAGACGGAGAGGCTCTGGCGCGTCAAACGGAGGAGCGTGCCGTAGGACACCTCGCCGCTTGGGGCCAAGGGAAGGCCAGCTGTTCGGCCTACCCCCTTCTTGCTGTGGACAAGCCAGAACGAATAATGACAGCAACTCCCTCATTATTAAATCACTATAAATAATGAAGATGTACACGAGAACAGCTCGTCACCTCACAAATGAATGGAATAGAACCACCCCTCCCCCCAACTGTCTTCATTCCCTTCCGCTTTCTATATTTTCTTCCGTATCTACACTATCAGACTACGGCCCCTCCCGGTTAGGGAGGGAAAAAAATGGGCACATCTCCCACCCACGGGAAACAGCGCCGGCACCGACCCTTTACTGTCGCGTCCTTCCCCCGGCTCACACTTGTAGCGAGACCCTCGTCTTTATAGGCTTCAGCTTCAAGCCCATGCTCTCCGGAGACAGCAGCTCAGGGGAGATGCATGACGGGCTGAGAGGGCTCCTGGGGCTGCCACTCAGCCGCGCCGGTCTGTAGAGGCCGTAACCCATGAGGAAGAATTCCATGGGCACCAGCATCGCGTCGGCCTGCTCCTCGGTCACCAGAGACCCGCATGACTGAACCTGTCCCGATTTTGATGCGGGGGGAGTAAGGCAATGATTTAGGAGGCAGATTATCAGATGGCAAAGCGAATGGTGTTCATGAGAAAAGGATGGTGAAGTCATACCTCAACCAAGGCGCTGTATCTCCTGTCGAGATTGGTGGCCATGTAGAGGGCCTCGGAATGGAAAGGCGAGCTCTCACCCACGAATATCAGGGTCCTACACCGAAGTTTCTTGAACCCTTCTGTGAGATCGTGTCTCCTGTGGGGAACATCAGCCGTTAACTAGATAGAGGGCAATAAGAGGCCGTTCAGGTCATCGTGGAAATAAATGAGAGCGTACCCATTGACTGCTTGGAGAAATCTCCACACGTTTATACTCTGCCTCTCGTCTAGAAGCTGTAGAGACAAGAAATATTGTCAGACGACCGATAATTGAAGTATTCGGTTCGCAACCGAAGAAACAATACAGTGTATGATGAGTACTAACACTTCTGCAAGCCTTTACTAGATTCGATTCAGGGATCCGTGCGTCCTGTAGACAGAAAGAGAGACTTGTTAACTGATGGGAAATATGGCAGATGATTCCCAACTGTTACGAAGAATGACCCATGAACAAAAATACCTTGCTAAAGTAGCGTTGAAGCAAGCATTCCTTTACCAAACCACACATGCCATAGAAATAGAGAAGATTAGCCATTACCTGCAGAACATGGAAGATCTTAGCAATAAAGTCTTACACAGGGATCGCACTAATCAACATAATTAAAGGGGCAGCTCAAGGGTTGAACCTTGTTGTACAACCACTCAGTCCATGAGGGAGCTTTACAAAGAGGTGAGACCAGTATTAAACCAAGAACACGCTCCCTAAACTTCATCTGAAGGACGGCAGAAGCATACTCCCTACATTAGACATCAGTTGCATATGACCGCATCATAGATCATTGCCTTCATTCAAGGGACTTACAGCGAAGAGGGTAAGGACATATGCACCACCAGTCACACCCAAGCACATCACTGCATGTAGTCTGGGAAGGAACAAAATGACCACACAAATTAACATACTTCCAAGTGTCTAGAAACTTGAAAAGATCGAAAATCGCATACTGTACACAATTGGTCGAAGACCAAAATAACATAGACTATTACCCAAAGAAGTTGAGAACATCAGAAACCTGATCTGCTAGGTCATCCACCGAAGGAACAGGAACATCTGAAGAAATCGGAGCAGCTCCTAACTGCAAGAACTCTTGAGCAAAATTACGAAAAAGAATGTTGTTAACACAATATTCAAGGAGCTCGTAGCCATGTGATGATTGATGAAGATAGGATATGCATCCTAAGTGGAGAAAATAACCGACCTCATGACCTGGAGGACTGATGTGGTAGATGCAAAAGTTGTGGAGCAGCAAAGAAGAAACTTCCGGGCAAAAGAATAGTACTTGGAAACAGGACATATCTGATCAGACAAAAATTGAAACTTAGATGCTTCCAGTTGGATGAAAGCATGATACAGATGAAATCAATTAATGAAAGAGAGTACATTGATAGAGCAAATGATCAACGTTGAAAAGTACATATTGATGCGTAACACAAGTGAATCACTTCACATAAGTGAAAAGAAAACGATTTTCTCCCAGAAAGCAACTTGGAAACAGCCCAATCTACAACAGGAAGTTGGGGATTTAGAAGCTAAAAAAATAGTAGCAGATACCAGTACTCACGATTTAGTGCGATGTCTGGATAGGTGATGAGGGCGGGTTTGTCTTGGTCGCCATATATAACAACAGACACTAATCCAAAGCTAGTTTGTACAATATGTTCCTGAGTGAATATGACAGGCATGAGAAAATTAATGCAATGAATCAATTTATGGAAATTTTCACAAGAAAACGTCAAGAAAAAGCTCTCCATGTTATCAATAGGAACATCATGTAAGTTAAAAATGGTAAGCAAAACGAATGAATATGATTTAGAAACGTGAGGCATGGTTGAATATCTAAACAACAGTCACTAATGTTATCGCCATATGTTCACAACCAATCAAAGAGGCATAAGAGAAAACTAACTACGGACATTTAAATATCATTTCAAAAAAACAGAAGAAATCATATTCTTACTAAACAGTTGTCATCAATTTATCTAGAGTAACACCAACTTGCTATCTGCGTCATGCTCTTCAGATCATAAAACCCGTCTATTCAGCGTAGGCAGTAATCATCAGAAAGGAAAACATTTCAGTCTTTTTCTTCATCTTCTTTATTGAGTTGGTTTTTAGTTATCTTTGGACATGGAGGGGGCACGCAGGGAGGGGGGAGAGGAAGCACAGAAAACCACTGAATAATGTTTCTTTCCAAGGAATACCACTAATGTAGAAATATTAAACTCTTTTTATGATCTCAAGAACGCAACATAGATTATGTGTATGTGTTAGCCAAAAAAACACAACAAATATTTCCTTCCAAGAATCGTGAGAACTTAAACCTCAACAGGAACAACGTAAAAGAAAAACCATTGAAAAGGTTGGGAAAAGAAGAACATAATCCCAAAGTGGAAAGGCAAGCCTATCATCTGAGAGCCAGGGAAAACAATAATAACCTTAGAAAATTCAACTTTCCCAAAGGGATGCCTAGGAGTTACAAAAGAAACGTAGAAAACTATTTAACGGAAAAAGAACACGAAAAAAAATAACACTCCCACTAAACAACATAATCTTCGCCATCAATTAATCCCATCCGTGCGAAAAAAAAACAATAATTCGTGCAATCAGTCAACCTCTTCTTAGAATTTGAGGAGCAAGTATGGGATTTACCTAAAAGAAAAAAAACAACCCTCTGTAGTTATTTATATCTCCAGAAATAATAATTATTCACTCTATCAGGCTATCACCCTCATTTCAGATCCTCTGAGAACGTGCGAACGCCTAATCAGAAATGGTTACAACTGAAATTTGAATCCCCCATTGATCCCCCAATATTTCCATTCCGCCCCTCGCTCTTTGTGAGAGTGGGTGATCGGGTGGTTGGTTCTTATGAATGTGCTTACGTGAAATAGGTTGCTACAAGGCTGTTCATTAAAAATATTAAAAGATCAAAAACGAATATACGAAGCTTCTATCATTGGAAAAATTAGAGAGAGGAAATCGTTCCTTTATTAGATCATTGTGGACGTTGGATATGAGAACCAAATTGACTTTCTGAAATCAAATAAAACAGCCATCAGCTTACCAAAAACATGTACAAACCCAAGCACTAATCAAGCATTGAGAATAAAAGAAATCCTGGAAAAGAAAGAAAATGCATAAAAACGAGAGCAACCGCGGGCACCGCTCCATCTCAAGCAAGAAAAGCAGACCAAATTGCTCAACAGAATCCTCAGAAAAGAGATGGAAAAAAAACAGGCGCAGCACAGAAATGCATGACCAGATCCAGCTGTCGAGCAAGTGTCCCTACCTTCCCCCCAAGAGATATCCTCTCAATGTCGATGGAAACGGAGCCGCTGGACTCTCCCATGGCGTATGCTCAAAGTCTCAGAGAAAGAGGAGCCCCCCCTCCCTCTCCCCCCTCGAGATCCTTCCCGTCCCTGCCCTCCACTCCTTACTTCTCCCCCTTTTTCTTAGAAATATTCGCCCGCATTAGAATTAGTTAAATATGGAGAAATCGTTGGTCCCTTGACCCGGAGCTAACCATGGTTAAGACCACCGACGGACCCCCTCCTTCACGGGCGACATCTGGGACGGAAACCCTCCCACCGTACGCGCAGTTCCCAACTGGAGAGACACCCTAGCCTGGGTTAACTCTGGTTATAATGCCGACAGTTTGAAGCTAATTGACGAAAGTGACCGCACAACTCCCCGATAGTGACGTGCTTTCCAAGCCCAACCATCCGACGGCTCCCCTAGACTGGGTCCCACTGCTCTCCACGTGGTCGTATCCTGTTGGATCCTGCCAGCAAAACGTGAAGGAGATTAATGGGGCCTCGGAGGGCCCACTGGACGCTGGGTCAATCTCCGCCAACGGATGCCCGCCGATCTGCTGACACGTTCGACCCCTGTAGCCACCTGGACGACGATAACGCGGGGTGAAGATCTGGAGGTCAAAAGGGCAGGTTGACGGCGCCCCCTCTCATAGGATTCGTCAGCGATATTTACGGGGCGGGCCTAATCATTTGGAAACTAAACCGTCCTTCTGCGTAAGAGAGGGAAAATGGAATCTACTTCAGACCTAGATAGGCAGAAAAGAGAGAGAGAAGGGGCCGACAGAACTGGTCGACGGGAAAGGAATCTAGTAATGGAGATGAGAACGTTCTTGAATTCTTCCACGTTTTCGTTGAAGTGTCAGACTACGTCGTCCCCCGTACACACTAATTTGTTTATATATCAAATCCCAGGGATATTTTTAGGGTGGGTAGCTTGGCATTATCGCCGTCGTCACCCGGAGAGGACATCCCCCTCCTACGGCGCCCGTCCTCCCCTGCTACGGCGTAGAGCTCTGAGCCGCCGCGATGGGGACGGCGACGACCTGACGGCCGCTGATCGGAGAGAAGGAAGAAAGGGATGGAGAATGGACCAAAGGGTATCCGTCGCCGTCTCCAAAGAGTCCCCCGGTTGGTACCGGGTACGCTTTCGGACGGAGAGAGCTTGCGGCCCCCTGACGGAGTCCGCCCCGTGCTTGCGATGGCTCTGCCGTGGGCCCGCCCGGCGACTGTCCCCCGCCGGAGGAGCTGCGCTCGCCAGCTATCCCTGCACGCGCCGCCCACTGTCGAACACGTTATGCGCGTGAACGGCGACGGACAGACAGGCCCTCCCGGCGTCCGTGCCGGCCGGCGCCTCCACCGTCATGTGCATTAACCCCAAACAGCTACAGCCCATCAAGGCGGCGCCGGTGAGCCCGCCGGGGAAGATCACCGGAGATGACGACGAGGGGGTCCCCAGCTGCCTGCCCCACCGGGCAGTTGTCGCTACCAGCTCGCCACCCGCTCCATGTCCTTCCAACAGCCGCACGCGCACGGGTGTACCCACACGTGTGTCGACAACCTCAGGGCAAGAGGGCGACTCCTATCCATGGAAGCCAACCATAGTCCACAAAGAACCTATATTTTTATCAAGATACGTCTAGCCCGACTGATAAATACGGGATATAATGGAGGAGGAATATGAGGGATCAGATGAACGAAGCGAGTCTCTATCTGACACCGACGGGTGGCTGGTGAGGAGTCCATGAGGACGCTGTAGGTGGCAAACAATACAAGGATGAGACCGAATGAAAGGGAGATTATCAAATTCAATATGAGGTGGCTGCAAGGGGAGATTCGTGTGTCGCCCATCTGCAACGCAGCACCCATTTTCTATCCGGATGACCCAAAACCTGTGTATTCCCACAGTAAGATGTTAAAATACTATGGAACAGACAGTGCAAGGTGGCCGTGTTTTGAATTCTCTCGAGCCAGGCGGCAGAAGGTGAAAGAAAGTGAGGATTAGTTGACTATCTTCAATCGCTGTCTTCCATCTCCTCGTCAGAGGGGGGGTTCTCCACGTCGCTCTCGCCGCTAATCTCACCGGCGGCTTTGGAGGGGGCGGGAATATCCTTTGCAGTGTGGTTGTGGAGCTTGTACCTGATGAATCTCGCTATGTCTCTCTCTCCGCCCTCCTTAGATCCTTTGCGTTTTCTCCCATCCCCCGGAGCTGATTTCATATTGCGTGCAGCAGATAAGAACACGTCGTCCATCATCTCTACTTCCTGATCATTAGTTTCTTCCTCGGCTGAAGAACCTCCCTTACTGTCAAAAAAGAAGATATCGCCATCCTCCTTTCTATTGGACTCAGAGGGCCTGGCCACAGTGGAAGCCTTTGGTTCATCAAAGAGAAGCTTGCTTTGCAGTCTGGATAGATCAAAATTGTGCACCTTATAACCACGATCTTCAAGGTTCAAAAGCCATTCTGCGAAAAGAAAAATTATAACCCATGTCAGTCGAGAAGCTAGAAAAAGAATAAGACACATAATTTTGAGTATAAACCCACTGAGAAGAGATTCAGGTGAGGCTGCATTTTTTCCGACGAGCTTTTCTGCCCCAACTCTGTCGGTGATCAACTTGGTCAATGACGATCGAAGAGCTGATCTTGAGAAAGCATTTAGGTATGCTGTCAGTTTAGCCTGATCTCCTCTTCCACTGCATTCAGAACGAATTTATCAGCATAAACAGATAAACAGTGTGGCCTCTTATAAGAAAAAGTCCCTGCAGTTACCGGGCAGCTCGGATGGCTTGATGGGTAACTATCAACCTTGCCACGTCAAGATTTTCAATGGAGAAATTGTCTGCTTCCCTCTCAGGATAAAGGAAAGAATACTCGACTGGTACCACTGAATCGTAGATGATATCTCGCAGAAAGGCTTCATCAACTGGATTCTGGATCACATGGCTTTGGTATCAGCTCAAAGTTTTAGAGTTTGTGAGTAATGATAATAAACACCTTTACAATTAATAGGAGAATCGTCCGAGTCATCCAATTCAAGTCATATAAAACTAAACTTGCAATGGCTAACATGTTGATCTGCTGTGATTTCCTCTTTCTTATTTTTTGAAACAGCGAATGCGTCTGTGTTAAACAAGAATGACCATTCAAAGATAAGTTGCCGGGTGACTCTGTAGGAACACCCAAGGTATTCTAACAGACAGATCCTAGAAGCATAGCAATGATGATGCCTATCTTTTGACTAAATTGCTCGTTACAATAATGAGTCACCAAAAGCCATCAAGGAGAAATTCAATTTAAGAAAACCTAGTCATAATCTTGGAATGGAAATTGGGGAATGATAAGAATGATTTTATGAGTGCTCATAATAAACTGAGAAAAAAGGTATTCGTAATAAACCGAGAAAAACATACACTCTGGTCGGCGATCATAACGATGGGTGCATGCAACACTATGATTTGCTGAATTAAAATGAATTCACACTACATGGAAAGACCAACCCTTTCATAGGTTGAAAGCTCCCCAAACACTATAAACTTTTCATCCATAATGTACAAACAAGAGAAGTTTTCAGCTAATATGTGTTACTTCAAGAGAATGCGCATAACAATATATTGCCCATGAAATGTTTCGATATATTCTTAATTGTTTGAGCGTATTGCTTACCACAAGTAAACTAGAAGGCAGATCTCCGTTTAGCAGCAACACCAGTAAAATCTCTGTCAGATACCATGAAGAGGTCAGATCGAGAACAACTATAGTGAAGCATGAAATTTGATCATCCCATGTCAACAAGCAACGGTTGATGTTCTGGCCTAGGTCAGATTGGGCATTTCTACATACCGACTTCCAGATACACTCGTGAAATAGTTTCACTGGCGGCCCTCTAAAATCTCATAAGTGAAAATGCCATGAGCAGAACAGAGGAAATCTGGAGCTAAAAGTTTCACATGAAGGCCAGAGTGCTAGAAGACCACATGACAAGTATAAGAGGACGGATGGCTGCACCTCACAGTTATCCTTCACTGTCCATTATTTGGGGATCAGAATATAATTTGGTTATTATGTAAAAATTCTTTTACAGGAATAAAACTGATACCATCGGGATTACTTGGTCGAGTCCAGAAAAGTGTTTGCAATAACTCCTAAAAGGCATTCTCGTGGAGCTAAATGCTTGCTCATTCTCAAAATCGAGAGGCGTAAGATGGCCATTTGTCAACAGTTAACAGCCAGGTTTTGCAATCGTCTGGCTTCCTCGTCCTTGATTAGCTGGAAGGTGATTTAGCGCGGGTTTTTTCATAAAAAAACAGAGAATCCCGTCTAAAATGCACAATGAAAAAAAAAGAGAGAAAAAAAATTATTGACGTGATGTTTTCAAACTACTAGCGCACAATGCAGGTACTAGAAAATGGAGGGCCTCCCTTCTAGCTTCGTAGGTATTCTGAAAATATCATGAAAGGATGAAAAACAAACAAATCAAGCATATCAACGCCATTCTATTCATAGGCCTAAAATGAATACCCCGTCAAGTTGCACATGAATCGTTGTTCACTGACCAGAGTTCTTTAAAAGAGGAAAACGAAAGATACCATATCACTAATCAAGTGAACGGGAGTGAATAATTACCGAAGAAGTCAAGGCTCTTAAAGCCTGTTATTGAACCGACGGCCCAAACCTTCAATTCGCTCCTGAGTTCTGGACTCGAACCTCCCGTCTTCTGAAGCTTTAAACGCAACATTAGGAGGAAGACCTCGGCAATCACAACCCCGGACAAATAACGAACCTGGCACCCGGATTTTGCTAACGCATTACGAATTTCTTCGTTAACAAAAGGGAAAAACTCCTGTAAAGCGTCTCCACCGTCCGTCCGCCGCGCCGTCCAAATGCGAACCAAATCAACGAAGCACGGAACCAAACAATCGGAGGCACCATTTCCGTCACAGTTCCTGCTACTGCAAATGCTGATGTAGCTCGAAACCCCTTCTACCAAAAGGTAAATTTCTTTCCTCAGCTTCCTCAGCTCCTTGGTGGAGAATTCCTCGCAGGGCTTCTCGACATCCAACATAATCCTCTGCAGCTCATACACGACAGGTGCAAGCAGAGCGATGCTCTTTTGCCCACTGCAGGAAACCGAGCAAGCAGCAAGCAGCTGGAGAAGGTCCCTCACCGCAAAAACCCGGCCTAAAACCTCCTTAGCCGAAGAAAAGTTCTCGTAGTAGCTCACGGCGGAGTAGAACCACACGACCTCCAGCTGTGGATCAGCTCTGGACTGCAGAAGCCGAAAGAAAACAGAAAGGAAGCCGGACAAATCACATGTTCCCTTGCGGATTTCGCCAAGGAAACGGTCAATGGAATCCTTCAACAAGGACTCGTATGCCCCGCCAGCAAGGCGCCCGAAGCCTGGAGACTTCGCCATAGCCGGAGATTCGAGAAGTATTGGGTCCATTGCCGGAGGTCGGATCTTGGAGCCCCTCGTTTGAAGATGTGATCGGGCGGGAGGAATTCTCAGGCCCAAACCCTAAGTCTCCCACCCTACTACAGTTCTAAAAGAGGTCTTAGAACTCGATAACCCAACGGTAGGGTTTCTTTGCTATTTTACGACCGACGCCCGCACCTTGAGTCAGTTACACTTCCCGCTGCCCATTGGACCACTATAGCCCGTTCTAGCATTTTGTAGTGATATATCCCTTACAGAAAAATAAATAAAATAACCATCACTATTTAAATTTTGTAAAAAATAGTTTCTTGAGATCATTACGCCTCATCTAATATTAATAAATACATTGGCGGTAAAAGTTAAATTAATATACTAATATTTCAAAATTTTCAAAGAAGAGTCCATTTAAATTATTAAAACGTGGTCATAATTCCATGCCAGTAAAATAATGTCGTTATCAAAGATACTTATAAGCAATCGCCCTCTCATTTAAACTCTAGTCTGCAGTATCAATCATGCTATGGAATGAATCACTGAGTACAAACTAGCAATAACATGAACGATATCATGCGATATGCATGAAGGTTTGAATGATATTCAAAATAATTGAAAATAATAATGATATCATAAAAAAGTATGATTATTAAGATGTTTCGTGATCATAAAAAAATATAAAAATAGGGAAAAATATATATATTTCTAAAAAAAATCATGATGACAAATGCTTATGAGTCACAAACATGGTGATGAAAATGCACATTGAGAAGGGATCATAATTCTATTCATAAATAAGTCAACGTTTGTTGCATTCCATGATTTAGACTTGATTCACTTGTTATCATAAGGTTATAGAAGATGGTGACATTGATAATGAACCTCAATTGTTGTGGCCCTTCACCTGACAACAATGGTTTAGAAATTTCAAAGAGGATCCAATCAACTTAAAAAAGACATAGCCATTGAGTATTTGACTTATGCACCTGACCTCCCCTTCAATCCCCTTAGAAGTTTATAGAATTAAAGTGTGAATGTGCCAAGCCAACCACCAATCCTTTGCTTGGCCCCATAAATTAAAAGCCTAGCCCAATCCTTGATACACATATATGGGACTTATTACTCGAAGAATAAAGATAAATACTTTGCTTTCAAGTAAACTATTTTACATGCTTTTAAGTTCGTCTGATTTTGCAATCCAAACAAACAAGACCAAACATGTTCTAAAAGTTCAGTAAATAAAAAAGGAAAATAACACCACTTTATTAGATATCTTATTGGGTGGGGGAGTGTCAACATGCTAAATCTAGGACTTTTATAGTCACTTTTTGTTTTTCAAGAAGGGAGTTGATTGGATTAGTTAGATGAGTTGCACACTCAATAGTGAGAAAGATATAATGCACATGTAAAGTAATAATTTTATCTTTATATGATCACATCTTGAACACCCATAAAAGCCTTTATACTTATGGACTTGCAACTTTTCTTTAGTAACTTAGAGAAAGTGAGTTGATTAACTCCAATAACATCTAGCAGGTATATATTGAATTGAGAAATAGATTTGATTGTACAATAAACAGTTAAAATGTTCACTCTAATGACTACTTTTGAGGGTGCTATATCATCTTGTTATATTCTTCTTCATGCAAGGATCAAGCTCCGTTATATCTCATAAGGACTGAAAGTAACTCTAGAAACTTGATTGCATACTCTCTCTCTAATATTCAACTTGATTTCTAAACCTCCGTGTTGAAGAATTCATGCTACCAAAAGCAATGATTCAAATTTGTAAAATATTTATATTTCAATGATTTTTGCCTTCATGCCAACCCATGGGTGAGAATTTGAAAGAGATTAGTTGGGCACTACTCTTATTGGGCCTCTAGAGATGAAATCTGAAATAAGTGCTTGAGGAAATATCTGAGTCACATTGAATCATAAAATTTACTGCAAGGCTAGTTAAAGAGCCTTTACATATGTTGATATGAAACTAAAATTCAAGAAAATTAAAAATAATATCAATTATAGTATATACTATTCGTTCCTTTTATAGCCTTTATCAGGCCAGTAACAAAGGGACGTGTGCCGAGCTTGTGTAGCATGTGAGATTAACTACAAAATTTCTTATAAATTGAGTGTTATAGGGGTTGTGGGACAAGGGGAGGGAGGAGATAGGAACATTTGAGAGAATTGAATCGGTGTGGGGAGGGGGCATGTGCCACTAAATATTCGTTTTAAATTTAATGTGATTTATTTTCGGTTAATTATTTTAAATGAAAGAATAGAAGAGGAACCTAACTAAGTGGGCTGGGTTCCGATGTTCCCCGGCCCATTTACATCGTACGTGAACGGGGCTTACCGTGTTGCGGGCCGTCACGTGCCGGAGGAACTGGCGACAGGGGTTTCACTAACGAGAAGCACAACTATAAATACCTCCCCTGCTCCCACTGATTCAGTGTTAGGGTTTTCTGTGTCGATTTTCTCACTCCCTCTACGAGGAAAGAGAAGCCATTCCATGGCGGACGACAGTCAGTTCACTCTCCGGTCGGAAAACAAACGGAAGTACGAGGAACCGGGTGCTGCCGTGGCCTCTGCCGGCGCTGTTCCTTCCTCGCGCCGCGTCAGTGGTTTCTCATCGCCCCCATCTGACTCGCACCCCGCCGCATCTACCACTCCACCCTCGTACAACAATGTCCCTCCCCCGCCCGATGGGATCCAGCTCGCAAAGCAGAGAGCACAGGAGATTGCAGCGCGGCTTCTTATCGATGCCGAGGCCAAACGCCCGCGCACCGAGAACGGCGGATCCGGGGAAGACGTTGGCGAGAAAGGTCCCGTCCTTCTTCGACTGATTAATGTTTACACCTCTATTTACTTTAATATATTGCAGCGAAATGCCTTACTTCCGAGTTTTATTGGATTCTGGCTGGTATTCTCGTTCGAAGTCCCCTTGTGAACCACGACAAAGAGTGCGGTTGAAATTCGGCTTGAACGTTTCCATTGCTCCATTATTTTTCCTTTTTCCGTTGACAATTAGACCTAGTATTGCATTCTTTGTATCTTGCTGTTGCAATACGATACGGGCACAGTAACCGATGAATTTATGCCGCGAGTTGTTTTCCTTCACTATAGTTTTGCCGCACTGGGGATAGTTGACCGAATGATTAGACAGTGACAATATGTCTTAATCTGTATCCAGGTTTTCTGCGTGAGCTTCACGTGTCCATGTCTTTCCCCACTGTATTGAAGATAATCCTATCAAGAATCTGCGAACTTTGGTGTGTTCGATGAAAAGTTTTTCGTCCTCACTGTATCATTGTTTATATATTTTTATAATCACCATAAACTCCTATTCTCATATCACCGTTAAATCGCAGGACCATAAATTGGTCTAATTTACGTTTCATATATACTGCATTAGTTACGTCTCACAGCAGTAATGTATTCACTTGTAGTGAATTTATATGATTTTTCTTGCATAAAAGTTCATCTCGTTGTTTGGTTATGAAAAATTATCATCGTAAAAGAGTGCAGACTTTAACTATCTGAATTTTATTTTTAATATCAAACTCGTTTCAACTAAACCTTTGTCCTCGTTGATCAAAATTTTCAGTCTCATCATATTTCTTCATTTCTATTGACTGCAGATCAGTTTCACAAGCCCATGACTCAACCACTAACAAGTTCGCTTGCCAGTACGAATGCACCCACATCGTTTGCGTCGTATGGCTATCCGGGTACAAGCAAAAAGATTGAAATCCCCAATGGAAGGGTATTGCATTATCTTCTTGACAATGGCTGATCCATATTTGTTGTTTTTATATGTGTTTAACTACGAGGGTTTATTATTTAGGTTGGTGTTATTATTGGTAAAAGTGGAGAAACGATAAAATATCTCCAACTTCAGTCAGGAGCAAAGATCCAGGTGACCAGGGATGCAGAGGTGGATCCTAGTTCCCAGACAAGGATGGTCGAACTGATGGGTACTACTGAGCAAGTCAACAAGGCGGAGCAGTTAATTAATGATGTTCTTAAAGAGGTGTGGCCCAGTTGTAGCTCGGTTTTTCGTTTAATAATCCCTTGGCACGCAGAGGTAGTTGTATCGAATACAGATGGTTTTCTGAGAGGTTACTACTTGTAACCTAAGGTAGTATGATCGTCATTTTTTCTTTCGACTGACAAACTGTAAGTGAAGGATTATTCCATGCATGATATGCTTGACTTATGTTTCTAACTACTCATGATGTATTTTATTACTTCAACAGGCAGAAGCTGGGGGTTCTGGCATAATTTCTGCGAGAAAGTTTGGTGGTGTTCAAGTTGGGGCTGAGCAGTTTATTATGAAAGTCCCGAATAACAAGGTTAGTGTCTTAGAGGAACCATTTTGTTCCCTTTCTCTCTGTTTAACTTATTTACTAAATTTCTCTTTGATGTCTTAGGTTGGTCTAGTAATTGGCAAAGGTGGAGAAACGATAAAGAGCATGCAAGCGAAATCAGGTGCTCGGATCCAGGTATATTTTTTGCGTGATAGACAATTGCACGGTGGCTTTGATAATCACGTCATCCATTGTACGTACTGCATGCCTTTTCCACTGCTAAAATTATCCTCATGGTGAGAACTTTCCGTGATTCTCAGCGTTTGTCAGTTAGTCTTCATAAGCTCGTATCCAATTTTGATAACTTTTTAATATCATTTTCCCTTATCTATTCATGCTCTTGTTGAGAAAAGCTGTCTTGAAATCTGAATGTCTGCCTCTACTGAAAATTGTGCTAATTAATGCGACCCATGTCTACAACATAATAGTCAGGTTAGGTGCGTTATAGGGCATGGGCTAAACATTGACAGCTTCACCTTGGTGGTCAGTTCTGTTTTTATGCAGGATAGAATTTAACTTGAAAAGAGTTTTGTAATTCTTTTTCAGGTACCAAAAACAGTTACCTTTCCTTGAAAAGGTTTACTTCATTGTTTTACCTTTAGAACTCTCGATTTGGATGGTCAAATGACACCAGTTTTTGCCTCACTGTCTGTCCATTGAGACTTTCTCAATTGGGCTTTCTCATGTTGAATGTTTTTAGGATCTATTCGTGATGTTTTCCTCCTGGTCATCATACAATCCATTATTATGACCACGATTTGAAACCTGTATTTCCCAAGTGATTTTCTTCACTTGGGAGTTATGGGCTTTCGCTTAAACTGCTACTTCTCTGTGAATGCTTTCTTGGTCGCCTTCCCCTCCTGTCTGGTGGCCCTAAAGGGATGTTGTGTTCGGTGACATTGAACTAGTACTCGTGGTCTGTTGTAAACCCGTGTTATGGCTGGATGTGTTTTGACTGCTAAATGCACATTCTGATAATCACACCTATACTATATTCAAGTAGTCATCATTTGGTAATTTTTCATTTCAACTGCCCTAAAAATGATATTGTTGATTTATTTCGAATATCCTGTAGCTGCTGATATGAAGCCATCTGATACCTTTCGGTAAATTATGGCAATTAGCTGATTATCTAATATATTCAGATTTTATAGTAATTCCATATCAGTCGGTTTGCTGTTTATGCATTTATTTTCTGATATTCTGAATTTGGCTAACTGTTAGGTGGACTTAAATCTCTGGCTGAGTTGTTTCCAATTTGCTCTAAGTTAGTGAATGATACAATATTGTTTTTAATTCTTATTCATGTTTTGATCAGGTGGGCAATGATTGTTTAGAAGGCATACATATGACTCTTAGTTTTAATGCTTTTAAAAATCTGTATAAACTCTTTTTGATGTATTCATCTATTTTGATATGATGTTATTCATTCATTCACTGTCCTTGGTGCGTTTTTTATTGCCTGTAATTTGTTTCATGTGCGTTAATTCAACAGTAACTTATCTTCTTTTGGTCAGATAATACCATTGCATTTGCCTCCTGGTGATACATCAATAGAACGGACGGTTCAGATTGATGGTACTAGTGAACAGATCGAGTCGGCAAAACAATTGGTTAACGAAGTCATCAGTGAGGTACATATTGGTGGTCACCTTGCGCTGTGCTTTAATCTAGTATGTTTGCTGCTTTTTTGGCAGATAAACTCAGTGTTGCTGTTTGTATGTGCTACAATTTTTTTGGGGGTTATTTTACTATTCAAATTCAGGAAATATTTTTAGTATATCAAAATTAAATCGTTAACAATTAGCACTCATCACCATTCTTAATTTGTCAATGTTGTTTTCGAAATAACTCTTTTTTCATGCTTGCGATCATTTGTTTTTTCGGGTAGTCTACTTATTAAATTTAGATTCCCAAGCCTTATAGTGTGTGGTTTTTTATGTGTACATACTTGAACGTGTAATTATGGGATAGTCATTTGAATTTGTTGTCTCGTAGAACTGTCGCTCTTGGGCCACTGTAATGAGACATTCTTAGTTTTCTTTTATAGGTTATATTTTCAGCATTGCTAGACTACCAATTTCGGTTTTATTTTTTAGTGCATCTGAGGTAATCACTTTATGTGGATACGATTTCTTGTCGATGCTTTGAATGAATCTTGGGTCGTTGAGAAATTTGGACTTCATTTTATACCATCTCAATGTTTTTATGCGATGTTGATATAATTTATGTTTTAAAATGAAGTTTTTAGGAAATCCGTTTAATATGTTGCAGAAAGTTCTACCTGGAGAGTTTAGCTGACTCATTAGGCTGTCAATACAATGTTCTCTATTTAAAGAGATCCTCAAATCCTTCTGTCATGCATATTTTATGACTTTTTATCTATTGGTTACATTACTGGATCTTGCAACTTTAGTTTCATAGATATTCAAGTGCATATGGATATTGCGATTAAAGCTGTCAATTTACTGTTGAGGTGATAAGCTTGCAGGATGCTGGAATTTCTAAAATTGCTGGGCAATCTGGTTTATTATGTCGGAGGAGAGTTGGGTTTTGGTCAGTCTGTTCTTTAGTATCTATGGATTGAAACATAGCTCTAATTCTTGTACAGGAATTGTGGAACATTAGTTTTTATTTTTTCGGAATTTTCTATTTAAGTATCCCATTGTTTTCAGGAGATGTTTATCCTATCTCTTTTCACATATTTGAATCAAGCTGCTAGCTGTTCTTAGTAGAATCTAATGGATTTTGGAATTATAGGCTTAGCCGATGGAAATGCTATACTGATTGTGAGCTTCACGACTCAAATTATTATTGGAAATTATTGTAGGATTAGCTCTTGATGATAACTACTCAGTGCAGATTATAGACTCAGGTTGTTGATGTTTCTGGGCTTGGCACTGGTATGCGGTCTTAACCCACAATCCTGATAACTGTTGATTAATTTGCAATGGGGAAACCTAAAAGAATATTCTTGTTGACGGGTCATCTTTTGGACTTCTGATTTTTCAATCTGCAAAGCCTAAAATGATTCGTTAGGTTGACTGAATTTAGTTAGAATTGGCATCTTATATATCATCGCCGTTTTACATGGTACCGTCTGTTATGTAAATATAGATGTTGCGGATAAATAGATCTGGTTAATGCAACATGCAGGTCTTTTTTTTGCATGACACATGTGCGTTATATATTTCTTATTTTTTGGGATTTTTTGTGTGTTCTATTCATGTCCTTTATCAGGGAAACCTAAATGTCACGGATGGTAACGTTTTTTAATGGTTGCTAACTCCATCCTCATTTATTCTGATTTCTTAGTATGGAAACTCGTTTCTAACTCGATAAATGTTTGAGTATGAAGCTATTCATTTGCCATGCTTGAATGTTTTTGGTTATATCCTGTTTTAATCACTTTTATATTTTATATTGGTTTTTGCACTAAGTGATTGGATAGAAAGAATTTAGTTATTATTTTTTCTGCAGTAAGTATCCATGGTGGAATCCTCATGGGGAACTGTCTAGAGCTTGTCTGAAGAGGCTTTGATTTTTTAAGGTCTCAGATGATTTAGATCTCCTGACTATCTATCTACAGATCTGGTTGGAGCATCATTTTATTCTAAAATATTTTCATTGATCATGCTTCTCTAAAAATATGAATAATCTGTCAGTTCTGACTTGGCAGGTTCATTCTAGGTTTTAGATTTTAGTCAATGATCTGCACCTTATTCATGGGGCTTCTAAGTCTCCTTGATATATGCCGTACGTTGTAATATCTTCTTATATGGTTGATACAGGTTTAATGGGGTCACGTGCTAATGGAAAACTTTCAATAGCGTTTTATTTTTCTCCCTATTATTTTAATTGTTTTAAGTTCTCGAAGATTCTCTGCCTTGTAAGTCATTAATTTGTCATTTTCTGTGGCTATCAGTCCCCTGAAACTGTAGTGTCTCATCCACTGTTCTTTAACTCCTGAATCATCGTTTTTCTTGTCCCTTGATGCCCATGCGTCATGGTTCATGCTGCTAGGAAACATCTCGTGCGTTAATATGATGTTTTCTCATTCAATTTTTTCCCTGTAGTGTGCCAAGTGGTCCTGTTTTTGACCTCACGTGAGATAGGCGTTGATAGTTTTGAATTCTTGCACTTGGAATGTTTGGCAGTAGCGCTGATAAGCACACGTTGTTCAATGGTATAGCTTTAGCAGCTTTCTGCTTATCCCTCGCTCAGTCTGACGCTAACAAGATGGTTGCAATATTATGCACTTTATTATGAAAATGTTGGATACTTTCTAGTGTGGCACTTGTCAAACATGTCTCTCTAGATTTTCAACTCGTAGTAAGTCCCCCAATTTTTTCGAGCTAAGAGGAGGATTGGCATCTGCTGATATTGCCTGAAACATGTCCTCCAGTTGGGGTAAGTAGGGTTTTTCTTCTTTCAATGGGTGTGATTGAATGTAAATTGATTTTTTAATCATTTTTATGCTTATTTTTGCTACTTTCTAATTCCCGAATCACACTCTTCATGTTTAATTCCAGTTTTTTCACCACTTCGTAGTAGAGACTACACTGGTATATATGAATTAATTTAATATTTTCAGAATCGGATGAGAAATCCACCTGTTGGTGGGGGCTACCCTCAGCAAGGATATGGCCAGCCACGACCTCCAACCAATTGGGCCCCGCCTGGTCCTCCCCCAATGCAGCCACCTGCCTATGGGTACATGCAAACGGGAGCCTACCCTGGCCCACCCCCGCAGTATAACATGTCTCAACCACCGTATGCAGGGTATCCACCACCTTCATCTGTTGGCTACTCTGGTGGTTGGGACCAGTCTTCCAACACTCCCGGTCAACAGGCCATGGCTGGCACAGGCTATGATTACTACAACCAGCAACAGCCACAGCATCAGCAGCAGCAGCCGCCACCTCCTGTTGCAGGTTCCTCTGCTCCTGATGGTAGTGGGTACAACTATAGCCAGCCTCCGCCCGCCTATTCCCAGGACCCATATGGCGAATCAACATTCTCACAGCCATCTGCAGTCCAGCCTCAAGGTTACAGTCAAGATGGCTACAGCTCTGGCGGCTACCCTACTGGGCCGCAAACTGGGTACATGCATCCTCCGAGCTCTCAACCAGTCTACGATCAGCAACAGAGCTACGGGCCATCCACGGGCTATGGTGCGACAGGCCAAGATGGGTCTTCTGCACCGGTCTATGGGACGCAGCCCAGCTCCGCTCAAGGGCCTCCCCCGCAACTTCCTCCTGTCCAGCCGCCCCCTGTTTCTCAGCAAGGTTACACCAGTCAGCAACCGAGTAGCGCAGTAGCAAGCTATCCTCATCAGGGATCCAGCCAGCCCGGATATGGAATGCCCCCAACCTCCCAACCAGGGTACGGAAATCAGCCCCCTCCTGCAGGATATGGACAGGGAGCCCCTCTTCCACAGCCTGGCTATGTGCAGCAGCCACCGCCACAGAAGGCTCCGCCTGCCCAACCTGTTTATGGACAAGGTCAGCCAGGCCCCAGCGCTCCAGGATATGGCCAGCCAAGTCAAGTTCAACCAGGTTATAGTCAGCCTCCAGTTGCACAATCTGGCTACATTCAGCAGGATTCCGCTCATCATCGGATCCCTCCTTCAGGTTTCGGCTCTGGAGGTCCCCAGCCTGGATACGGGCAGCCGCAGTCTTATAATGGTGTCCCTCAAGGTCAACAAGGTTATCCCCAGCAACAGTCGCAACCGTACGACTCGTATGGTGGCGGGGGCTATTCACAGCCGCCTCCTGCATATTCTGGCGATAGCTCGGTGGGAGGGAGTACCCATGGGTCGTTTGACCCAGCTGCTTCTCAAGGGGGTCCGGGTGGAGTAACCAAGGCACCACAGAGTTGACGATCCAAGGTCGGTAGCACTACAACGTTCTGGGGTTTTCTTTCAGCAAAGCTAGTTTATGTAGGATATAAAGTTTGATATTTTGTGGGTCATGCGCACTTGAAAGCCTCGTAATTTCTTGCTGTATGGGTTATTTTGACGCCAATACTTGCATATCAGCTTCCCGCAAACGTCTTCATCAGTCTCATGAGAAACTTCTTCCGGTCGTGTTTGGACAACAACTAGGCCGAACACAGGGCACTACCGGCTCGCTAACGGAGCAAGAACGCTGTCTTTTGGGGTTCTCTTAATAAGAAGCCACCTATTGTTGAATTTTTCCTTTTTTATACGGAAGGATTACAAATTGGGTCGATGAACACCGCACCAAGTGAAAAACAAGGGTAAGATTGGATGTAGTCTAAAGGAGTTTCAGTCCATTAGCATCTAGTCATAGAGATGATGGATCCAAGTATATAACACCATGAGCACGGGAGAGATCAACTGTCAGGCTGCTTTGTGCACTGCTCCGGTCTCGTCAAATCTCTCTCATCCTGTAGAGCCAGAGGCGGGGTCCTGCACGTGAGATGGCCCTGCCTCCGTCACTGTCCTTGGTTTCAAACGTCAAAACCCTGGTTGATCCAACCAGTCGGTCCGCCGCGGCGGTTGACAGTCTGGGTCGACAACTTGGACCGCCACAATGCGTTCGTCCCTTTGAATCACAAGCTGGTTCGGCAGGCAAAACCCAAGAGACAGAAGTAGGCGCAGGTGGGAGATCATGATGGAGCCCCAGAGATGATGATGTGAAAGCGAGAGAAGAATGAGCGAGAGAGAGAGAGAGAGAGAGAGAGAGATGGTACTTTGATCCCTCCTTATGGTGGACAAGAGTCTTCTTATAGTTGTATAGTCATCATCACACACTCATGTTGCCCGACCGCTTCTGCACTTTCTCGCCCTTTTTCAGTTTTAATGGGCCGTCCTCTATGTCGCCCTTCTTCAGGCCTAACGGCCTGTTGTCAGTTGACCAGTCCATGGTCTCATGCCAACCATCGGGATCTTTTTCACATGTCAGGTGGGATCTCTTCCTACTTGGGTGAAGGGTTGAGGTGAGTGGCTCAATAATATTCTTCCCTATGAGACTCACTTTGTCCTCAAAATGAAATTCGGGGAACTACTTACATATGACCTCCTATTATTTGATGAGAACTTTGGGCTCAAGCAGCCCATGTCAGATGGCTAATGCTTTGAACAGTTGCACGGCCTAAGTCTTCATCCAACTTTATTGGGATGACTAGGGCAAGGGGGCTTGAAGCATCCACCTTCTTAAGTCAAGAGATGTGGAATGCTTGAATTGGGCGAAAAGATCTAGCTGATAAGCCATTGACTCAATATGCTTGAAAACTTTGAATTAGCTGGAGTAACTTTGTGCCATTTAGAATCACTCAATTTTGGAGACATCATTGGCTCTAATACTGATGGAGCCATGAGATGACGATGTCAAAGTGGGAGAAGAATGAGACGGAGGGTGAACTGTCATGAAAGATTTAATCAGTAAACAGAGGAAAACATAAGAGAGAGAGAGAGAGAGAGAGAGAGAGAGAGAGAGATGATAGATACGTGGATAGAAGGAAGGGGCTTAGAGGAACCTCCCAAGAGGGCCGATTTGAGATGACTAATCTCCACTTCTCCTCTCGGAGATACACAACTTAAAACAATACTCTGATCCCTCCCCATGGTGGACTATGGCCTTATAACTAAATGCCCATCATCACATGCTCTTATTGCCTGATAACTTCTACGCTATATCGCCTCTTTCCAGTCTTAACGGGCCACCACCCTCTGTGTTTCCCTTCTACAGGCCTAATGGGCCATTCTCAGTCGACTGGCCCATGGTCTCCCACCGACCATTAGGATCTTTTAGACGTGTCAGTCGGGATCTCACCCCCCGTGGGCGAGGGTTCCAGGCGAGTGACTCAATAGATCAGCTAACTTCCATCATCGAGACAGTGAAGAATCCGCCGGACTTCTGCAGGATTGCTGTCAAGAAGAATGGGGGGCTCCGTCATCTCCTCTAAGAACTTAGTTCTCATCTCCCTTCTTCAACCTCCGAGGCAATGGTGTTTTCAATTAGATGGGCCTTACGATTGAGAGATTAGGCCAATGTTGGGCCGATATAGTCCGATCGGCCCAATTATTTCAATATATCAGGCCCAAAACAGCCCGATTTTTACCCCGTCGCCTCTCTGGAAGGTTTGCGATCGGAAGCGGGGAAGGCGAATCGAGCCCGTCGAGCATGAAGCCGACGGGAGCCGATGGGAAGGGGAAGCGGGAAGCGACAGCTGCCCCGTTCGAGTTCTGCAAGGTCTGCAACCTCAACCACAACCAGGGTCGGAGGCATAGGTACTTCCCCAACCACGTTAAGGCTCTTTCTCGGTTTCTCTCCCGGTTCCAAGACAAGCTCTCCGAGCTCCGGTTCTTCTTGAAGAACCCTTCCCCCCTTCGCCCCGATCACGCTGCGCTGAACCGTCTCTGGTGCGTTTTCTGCGACACCGAAGTTGTCGAGCTCGAGAGTTCCTTCGTCTGGTAAGGCCGTGCGACCCTACCTCCTCCAGAGAAAATTTCTCTGTCATCCGTACCATCTTTCCTCTTGTTTCTCTTGCAGCTGCAATGCCATCTACCACCTCGCAAGCTCCGAACATTTAAAGAAACTGAAAAACTTCTTATGGAAATATGGCGGAGGGATGGATCGTGTCTCCTCCTTCATTATTTCCGAAGTGGATCTCCTTAAGGTATGAATTGCGTTTTTCATTTTCTCAAATGACTGGTTCAGATATAATCCTTTTTTTTTTCTAGGGAACCTAGGAGTTTGTGGAAGCTCTGTTTTTCTCCGTCATCTCATAAAAAAGCTTGTGAAAATATGCTGCCTATTCCCGTTCCCCTACACTTTGTTTAGTATTGGAATCTTGATCCGTTCGATGATGCGAGTATGCTATTTTAATGCAGTGGGAGAAGAAATGTGAAGCATCTAAAATTGCGCATCCGATCCTGTGCGACGTCAGTATTGGTGGACCAATGTCATCAAAAGATATCCACAATGACTTTAGCTGTAAAAATAAGAATACTTCTGTAGACAATTCAGTCCTGTCTTTTGAACAGACAATTTCTCCTGGTGTTCCACCTTTACAAAGTGATACAATTGATGTTAAGACGAGGCTTCTCGTCAATGATGTCGAGGTCCCTGCTTGTTCGTCTTCAAACAGTGTTCTGGTAAGCTTGTCTATGCCCATCGTGTATGATGATTCTTGATTTGAATTTGGATCATTTGTTTCCTGGAAACCGTGTGATGTGTTTTCTTTTTGGGAAATCATGGGATATGCACTTAAAAAAATGTACCATGTTGGGGTTATTTGGTTATAGTTTGAGAATCGATTGTGTCTAACTTTGTGATGATTTATCTGTGTCTACATCAGGAACAAAGGAGAGGTCTTGGAAGTGAATGCCCTACTGGTATTTATTGATACTTCTTTGATTTGATTTATTTGATACAACTCTAATTTACCTAGGAGTCTCTTCAGAGACGTCGGATTAAAGTAGATTTTCACTCTCCTTTCCTGGAATTATGTTAGGGATATATTTTTTTGTCACTATTGAGTGGTGCAGCATCGGCCTGCTTCCTATTTACTATGAAGTTTTTGCCGGTAACAGTGTAGATTTACATTTTATCTTATTTCTACTTCTGAAGGCCACGAAGCATATGTGGGTCGCGATATGCATCCGCCCTGGTTAGAAGACAATGAGAATGTTGATTTGATTCCTGGAGATAAAAAGGTATTGAGTCTGAATACTTCAGTTAAGGGAGGGGCTTCACGGAAGTTGAATCCTAAACGAGTTGGAGCAGCATGGGCAGAAAAGAGAAGAGTGGAACTTGAGATGGAGAAGAGCGGGCAGATGGTCGCTTCTGATTATGATGATAACTGGCTCCCCAATTTTGGTAGAGTTTGGCAGGATGGGACAAGGAAGGATTCTAGAAAAGAGTTTGAAAGGGAGAAATATCAATCCTGTGATGCTGATCTTGAAGTGTCTATCAAGTTACAGCCATACATAAGTAAAAGAATGGTAAATCACTACCTCTAATAATTGACTGATTTTTAAATCTGGCACAGAAAGACGTTGCTTAGATTTTTTCTACAGCTGCTACTTATTTTACAATATTTTCTTTGACTTGTATATCGCATGATTTATTCTGACTTTTCATTCATACTTGTACCGTATGCTAATAGATATTTGACTCATTGGTTTTTTTTTCCCCAAACGTATTTGTTTAAGTTTATTTCAAATGGATAACAAAAAATGCCCTGTCTCTTAATCCTGCGTCTTTTATTACCCTTTTTAAAAAATGTTGAAGCATCAGCGGTCAGTGACTTATCTTGTACTATTCTCCATTGCCAGTCATAATTATAGAGGCATAATTGTACCCACTATCTCACGCATGATTCTATAAGTTCTAACGTGCAATTATTGCCATTTCTGTCCTTGTGTGCTTTTATTTTATTTGTCCACCTGTTTTTTTTTTTTTTTCCTGTTCGTGCGTTTTATTTTCTATATAACGAAGTTCTAGATGTTTTTTTCCCATGATCATTCTCCTAGAAATATATTGCTTTAATTGAATTCCAGTTACAGAACTGGAATTCAATTAAAGCAAATTCCTAAATGGCTTTAATTGATCGTCTCTTCACTTTTTCCTTTTTTTTATTTTTACTCTTATTCTTTCTCTCTCTCTAGAAACGAAATTCGAAAAGAGGGCATCACCATCGAGCATGTGGTTTCCTCTTTGCAAACAATTTTCAATTTTTATTACCTTTTTTTTTTTGGGCAGTAATAACATCTCGTGATATCTTTGTTGGCTAACAAAGAGAGGTGTGGGACAATGTTCAGCGATCGCCGTTGTTAGTATGAATCCACAAAATACCAATCATGTTATATTATAAATCAGCAGGTGGGATCAATCTCAGTAAAGCTGATGGTTCTTGCACATAATTCCATTTTACTCTCAGCATCATGCTTTATGTGCATAAATCCATTAGCCTACCCTCGGCATCTTTTCTGCATTATTTTTGCTACATATTTTTTAACAAATGGGGTGGCTATCTATCGCAGAGACTGGATTCGGGTGGGGATACGGGAGATGGTCACGTCTGACGTGTTTTCGGGGACACTGCGGTGCTTGCTTCGGGGCGAAGCTGAGATCGGTTGCTTTCGGTGACGAATGATTTTCATCAATTGGCGGTATGAACGGAAACCGAGAATCTTCCGGGACCGTTCTCCCAAGTTGGGATCTGCTCTTGCTGAGATCGAGGATCATCCTATCCGCTGTACGACTGTAAGCTGGAGCTGTCCGTCTCGCCATGAACGGGATCTTGACCCCCACCCCCGTGCAATAATTTCCGAAAATCTCTCTGTGAAGCTGTCTCCTATTTTACTCTTCGATCGGAAACAAGAATCTCGAATAATAATAATAATATTCGGTCGCTTGTGGATAATGGTGTGCCCGCACTTAAAGATTTCCTTTTAAAAAGGGGACAATTTCACGCGGGTTGACCTCGTCGAAATTGATCTTACCGCCTCTTTCTGATTTTCGGCTGTCCCTTGTTTCCTACGCAACGAATCTGACCGTAGAAGGGGAGGGGAGATCCGTGGCGTCGGGCGGCGGACGCCTCGCCATTGCCTCGCGCTCGTAATCTCCGTGTGCCGAGGGTGGGAAACTTGGCGGCGGTGGGCGTCACGTGGGGAGGTGGGAGCGCTGACTGAGAGACCCCACGCACGCACGACGAACGCGTAGCCGGTCAGAACTACCCGCGTGATATCAAGGTGCGGGTGCCAGCGCTCTTGCGACCTCTACGAGCCCCCATCTGCCATTGATATCCGGTCGCGGGGGGGGGGCAGGGGATGGATACGTTTCCATAGAATTTTTTGTTGGTATCCTAAAAGTCGCCAGGGAATTGGGCGGAGCAGACGACCTGATGCTGCGAAACTCTCGTCTCTTCCTGTTTCCTCCTCTTCTATTTCGTCCCGTGTATCCGGTCGACGGAAGGAAATTGAATCTGTTTGCGTCAGGCATATAGTCTCTCCTTCTCCTCGTTCCCCTCCATATGCTGGTTGCTTCCAGATAAGTGGAATTCGAGAACTCTAATCACCGGATAGGCTGGATCGCCCACCGTCGAGATGTTGCCGAGGAGCTTTAAGGCGGCGAAATGGTAAAGCTTGATTACCCGTCTGAATTACCTTCTGGTTCTTCCTCCTTTTTGATATTCGCACCAAGCCGACATCTGTTCTTCTTAATTGAATCCAAACAAGAGAGAATGTTCCACTCGACGGATTGGTTTGTTTAGACTCTTCTTGTTGGTGGAAGATGGTCGGTATTCTTTTTGGATAAAATTTACCCTTGTTTGACGACAATTGTGTTTCTTGTGGAATCGTCGACAGCAAGACGTCTCTGAAGCTCGCGGTTTCTCGAATAAAGGTTCTCAAGAACAAAAAGGATGTCCAGGTGAAGCAGATGAGGAAGGATCTTGCACAGCTTCTCAAAACAGGCGAGGACCAGACAGCTCGTATCCGGGTTAGTGCTACATAGACCTTCTTTGGCCTCATTATGCTCAAATGTCTGGTATTTATTTCAGAATTATTAGTCAATGCTTTCATCTAGCTGGATTTTTCTCAGCCTGAGAGCATTAATGACAGTGAGAAGAATGAATTCGTACCTAGGAGGTGATTGGAAATAAAAATGGCCGTCGAAAAAGGGATCCATTCTTTTAGCGATCTTGGATATGAAGTGAGATCCAAAGATCTAGTGTGAGTTAATACTTTCCAGTTGAAGATCTGCATCTCATGGATAATTGTTGGATGAAGTTTTCTAATCTGCGAATGATCAATATTTTCAGTTAAATGATAATGGTACCCGTAAAATTTTGTGGTTTCTGGACAAACATCATCTCTCTGTGTCAGCAATATCACTCGTATTGCATGGAGGTCGATGCCTGCATTAGGTGCGCAGTGAGATATTAGGTGAAGGGTTTTTTGATCAATGGCATGATAGCAAATCCTACTTCCTTGCCAACTAGTTGTTGAACTTAGCTCAACCACTGTAGGTTATGATTAATTGCTTTTACGTCGATGATAATCAGTGAAGATTGAGATGCTTCGGTGTTGCATTATTGATTATTTTACTCTTGAAGGCGCGGTAAACTTCATTTTCAGGTACAGTAGCTATCAATAAATGGTACGGCTCTCTTGTTTATTCATCTTGCCTGTTTCAACTCCATAATCGTCACTTATGTAGGTGTTTAACCTGTTGGTTCGACTCATAATCTACCGTGTTAAACGGCCAGAAACAGGAAGTTCTTAATTTGGGTCCGCCAAAGAATTAATGTTTTCCATAGATCCACGTGACAACTCCTTTCCTTGCGGATGAGTACGATGCACAGTTTCCAACGTTCCATCCTCTTGTTTCCCCATCATCTTAAAAGGAACCCGGGGTGGGGGATAGCTACTGCCCATCGTCTTGGCGACTTGTGCAATACCTACTTCCTACCAAAAATTAAAATGGTGAGGTCCCAATCTTCTCAACAGCCAGATCTTCAAAAGGAACTCCTGTTGGTCGTTGGGGTTTTTTTTGTGCCGGAACTGTTGCTTCCCTTCATAGGTCCGATGCTGCAAGGTCAATGTCCAGATCTAAGATTTAGGAAACGTCTCGTGCAGCCACTCTAAATCTTCCTTGTAATTCAGTGGGAATATCAGTTTCAATATCATCGTTAGCGGATTATACAGTATGTGTTTCCACACTGGAGGGAGAAGTCCCAAACCCAGAAGCCGACCAACATCGACCCTGCTGCAGATGCATTTTAGTGGTAGAGAGATCAACACAGATGAATGGGAAGCCGAGGGGTTCCTTTGATCGAACAGGAAGTTCCCATGTGAATCATCTACCAGATATTATTGACAGAAAAGAATTTTAACTGCTTGTCGCTTGCTAAATGCCTGTGCTTCCATTATGCGTGTCTTCAGATGCCCTTCAGTTTTCTATCAGGTTCAATCTGAATTTATAATTAAAACACCATGTAAACTTTTTTTTTTTTTTACCGGTGCTTCGGTATAACCCATTCAATTGTCTACAGGTGGAAGAAGTCATCCGGGAAGAGAAGACCATGTCAGCATATGATCTTATTGTGCTATACTGTGAGCTGATTGTGTCACGCTTGCCGATTATTGAATCACAAAAGTACATATTACTGAATCATTTCGTATTTTGCATTTTGAAAAGTATGTTAAAATGACGACATAGATTCCGTTTCTTTTTGTTTGAGCCGCTCTAACGTGTTGGTTTCTCTTTATATCTCTAGGTTTACCAACTCTGTTGTAGGCTGAATTTGGAAAAGATAGTTAAAAAGATTTTTGTGAGAAATGAAGTAAATGACTACTTTAACGATAGGGTTAGATTAAGGAAACATTTGGAAAAATTCCTCAGCCGAGTTTCGATTCTTATATTTCTTCTGACGCTGCAACAATGCATCGTCCAATAAATTGGATTATAATTGTCTTTCATCGGGTAGCACTAAGAAAAAGACGTGATAGCCGGGGCATGCCTCTGTAGCATCTTCTCTGGTCTTCTTTCAGCATACAGTCCTGATCTTGTTTTAACTAGCATTTCCTGTTATTTTATTCTCTCATTATTTGGATTTTTTTCCCCAGGAGATGCCCCATTGACCTTAAGGAGGCAATATCCAGTATTATATATGCCTCACCGAGATGTGCAGATATACCGGAACTTTTGGATGTTCGCAAGCTCTTTTCAGCCAAGTATGGGAAAGACTTCACTGGGGCAGCGATCGAGGTTCGACCAGATTCTGGTGTTAACAGTTTGGTAAGCCATAAATGGAAACCTCTTTCCATCTGCTGAAAATAATATCTTAGGAGCATGATTATGTGCTTCGAGTTTGAGTATTTTTTAGCCCTTATTTTTGACGTTCAGTTTGTTTATATGCTTTTAGATTATCGAGAAGTTATCAGCAAGAGCTCCTGACACCGATACAAAAATCAAGGTTTTGACCGAAGTTGCTCAGGAACACAAAATAAATTGGGAGCCTACGGCATTTGAAGAAAATATTGAGGTTCATCAAATGGATCTGCTGGTAACGTAATTTCTGTGTTCCATTTGTCTCATCCAAGGTTATTTCCTAATTGAATGGAACAAATAATGATCCCTATCTTTTTGTGCCTTAATAGAATGGACCTACATCTTTTACAAGTAGTTCGGCCTTGGAATCTTCTAGCATCCGATCTCGACCTTCTCCTGTACAAATGCAAGAAGCAGCTACCAAGGCCCATGAAAGAGATGTGAACAGTTCCTCGGCTGGTTTCAATTCCTCTTCGCTTCCTGCTTCGGTGGAAACCTATTCTCAGCCTGGAACACGAGCCACAGGTATAAATTGGTTTTTTTTTCCTCGTCGTAGTCCCACCTTCATATATTTTAATTATCCAGTTCACTCTAATCTGATCATGCAAATGATATTATGATTGCGTTCGGCTCCTTTTAGGAAGGACGCACGATGTGGGTGAACCCACTCACTCAAACTATACGGAAGAGGAGGCTTCTTTGAGTCGTCAGAAGTGGCCATTGCAATTCAAAGATGCAACATCTGCTGCTCAGGCAGCTGCTGAATCAGCAGAACGGGCGAGTATGGCTGCCAGGGCTGCAGCCGAGCTTGCATCCCGTGGAGAATTTTGTGAGTATTCCAATATCCCCCCTGAACCATACACTCACGGATCCAGATACGAAGCTAGAAACTTGACGGCTTCAAAATCACAAGAATCACAGCATAGAGACACAATGGATAGGAGTCATAAAACGGATGAAGCGAGTTCTGCAAGTAAAAGGATTCGGAATGTTGTGGGAGGTGTAACTGAGCACGATCAAGCCGCGAGAGATGACAGAAGAGTAAGTGACAGCTATACAAACCCTAGAAGAGATAGTTCATCTGAGGATGATGCCGAAGAAGTGCCCCAGCGAATCAACAAAACCAGCAAGGATGGCTCTCTTGGCGGTGAAACTGCAGAAAGGCATACCATCAGACCTGTTTACTCTCCTTTTGTGAACCATTCGGATGATGAAGATGTTTCTGTTTCAGATGTCCGAAATTCAGATAGCTCCACTCCAAGAAGCGTCAATGCAGACTCTGTCCACCAGAACTTCAAGAATGAAGATCATCCCGATAGTTCTGACGCACGTCAAGAGGGGATTGAGAGGAAGCTTAGAAAAGCTTCATCTTCTCGTTCCAGTAGCATTGATCCTGAGACCGTTTGGGATTCTCCCATGAGAAAGAAGTCCTTTGATCAAAATATCTTGTTTAGTTCAGCCCAAGAGATCAATCAAAGCGGTTATAATAATGATCATCCTGCTCTTTTTGACCCATCTGATTCAGACAATGAGGAACATTTGGACATAGACCACATTTTTCAAAGGCATGAATCAGATTTTCATGGAACATCGTTGGGTGTGGACAGTTCTACTCGTCACAAACAGAGAAGTGGATTTAATGAGGATGGCTCGCGTTCCTTGCATTATTTGTCAACACAGCCTGTTGAATCTTCTGGGAGACTTCACGGGGAGACCAGTTTGTCACCACGCGATGCTGTGGCTTACAAAGAAACTGGCTCAGATAGTGAAGATGAGACTTGTGAAGTCCGTGACAGCGGAGATAAGGCTTCAAACGCTCTGTACCGCAATCAGAACATGGGATCATCGTTAAAATCCCCAGTGAGGGAAAACAGATCCGATAAATTTTTACTATCTCCTACTGCTGCATATTCCGAGCCCCATTCGAGTAATGAAAGTGGTGAGGGACTGAAGTTGGGAAGGCTAACTGGTGGACTAAAAAACAAAGGTTATTCTCGCCCTTTTTTCCTTTCAAGCCCTGTGGTTAATGAGTTCCTTCCATCAGAAACTTCAACCAGCGATTCTTCTGAAAAACCAACGGCTTCCCCACTAGACAAGATGGCAGCATTTTCTAGTGTCCAGAAGCTATCTCCCAAAACAAATGAGTCGAGGCCAAGGCCCCTGAAAGCTTATGTTTCAGACAGTAGTGATTCTGATGATCTCGAACAACATCCTGCATCTGAAAGGAGTGGACGTGGCAGTGTTGGCTCTCTTTTATCAACATCAAGATCAGATGATCATCACCTTGCCGACGAAAAGAAAAAGTTTTCAAGCACATTCATGAGACAAGGTTGTGATGAGCTCGATCAGGAGATATCTTATCAGAGACCAGTGGGGAGATCTCCGAGGAAATCGAGTCATACCCTTCCAGCAACCTCCATTGACAAGTATTCTGTGAAGGAGACTCTATCGCCTCCTGGGAAACAGGACCTTAGAGGTGCTCCTGCTTCCATTCTGTCTGACCAAAAACCAGAGGATACCAGAGCAGGACCCTCCAATGTTGAGAAGACATCTGGGCGCACCGACATTTATGATAAGAAATCACCTATCAAAACTAGCAAGGGTTCAAAACCAATTGCAATCTCCTACTTTGACGAGGACGAAAATGAGGACGAGGTGGTGTTCCCGCCTCGAAGAGCCCTTGGAAGTGTTGGCATTAGAAGTGGCAGGGTCTCTCAGAGAACCAGAAGTCCGAGAGTTGACCAGGTCTCGAGCTCACGTCGTGACTCAGGGACTCCTGACTCAGAAACAACTGCTCTGCCACCAACCATCAGTGTTAAATCAGAGACGACTCCATCTCCTCGACAGCATCAGGAAACCACGGTTTCGGTGCAAAAGGACAGCTCGGGATCATCAAAAAGCAGCTTACCTCTCAAGGGTTCATCTCCGACTGTTTCAAAACAAACTGGCCTACAGGGAAAGATTGACACTCAGAAGCCGTCTGAACTGGAGAAGGGTTCTATCTCACGAGAGGGATCGATCGGGGGTGCTCCACATGTTCATCCAAGACTCCCTGACTATGAGACACTGGCGGCCCACTTCCACTCACTCCGCTCAAATCGACGATGAGGAGAATTCTCGATGGTTTCGTATTTCAACGTCGGGCAATAATATAAAACACTTGGGTCTGACGATGTGAACCCATATGTTTCCTTCACCAATCTATTCATGGATGTGCCGCACCGTTCATCTAAATCCTGTGCTTGACGTTTTGTCAGGTGAATATAAATTGTCGGTTGTCATTTGGTTCAACTCTCGTTGACATGGAGGACACCAGGAGGTACACCCCTTAAATCGAGATCGGCTGCTGCAGAGGATTATTTTTTTCAAGATTCCGCAAAAATAATGCGATGAGAGGCTGATCCCCGTAAGAAACCTGAAAAAACAGGCAATGGTGGTTCCTGTCGGGGCCTAGAGTGAAACGGAAGATGGGCTGGGTTCCCTTCCTGTTCTTGCTAGCCACGGTCTGGGGCGGGGAATCTTTGGACGGCAGGAGAGAATCTGTCAGTCTTCCGGGCTGCTAGTCCTCAGGTTTCAGAACCTGGGCGAGGCCCGGGAGCAGTTTGATGCAGAAACCAGGGGACCTGCTGCGATATCAAGTGACTCCGGCTCTCCAGACCAGTCGACCCCCCCACCACGTCCGTCCTGTTCACCGCGGGCAGATTGGAAGACTAACTGGCCTTCCAAACCCCCACCGCGTGGAAATGGCAAGCCTGGCGGCGGGCCCTGACGGAATGGCAGCCCTCCCCAGGGCACTCTGCGTCTGACAGCCCTGCGAGCCCACACCAACCGCGGCAGCGGCGGCGGCGGCGGTAACCGTGGACCAGGGAGGAGGACGGGATGGGATTTGGTGGGCCGGCTTTCGATCTGCAAATCTCGACCGAGCAATCAAGCCCACGCCCGGACCGACGGCCGAGGGACATCGAATCCAGTGGGCGACAAGGCCGTGGCCGGCCGGACATCGCCGGAAAGGCACAGTCTCCAGTGGCGCCGACGGCCTGGCCTCGGTCTGCCCGCAAGATGGATGTGGCATGGTGCCCAGCAAGAGAGAGAGAGATCCCCACTGTGTCATGCTCAAATGAGATCACAGGGGGAAAAAAACAACAGTTCTTTCCTGGGGGAAGAATTGGAGAGAACAGGGATGTGGCGAGGAGGAGGAGGCCGGAGCTTCCACGGGGGACCCCCGTTGGCTATGGCGGCAAGCCGAGTCGCGGACGTTACGATTCCCCGGCCTAGAGAATCGCGGGGACGGATGGCCCGCGGCCAGGCTTTGCTGGACGGACGGCAGAGATTCGCTGCCACGCATCAGCTGTTGCAGAGTTAGTTTTGCGTGTACGCCATCTCCCTCCGCTCCGGCGGCCGCCCGCTCGCCGGCCGTCGGTGCACCTCGTCATCATCGGACGGTTAGGTTTACGGATAAGCCGACTCGTCCGTCGGCGAGTCGGTCGACTCGCCAATCAGAACGTGGTTTAACTCGGGAGACCGAGCTCTGCCGGGCAGTAATGGGAGAGCCCCTGAAGTCTGCTTTGGGAAGCGTGAGGTTGAATTGAACAGTCCGTGGGCATGGTCCCGTGGAAATTTTCCTTCTTTCCTCGGTCTCGTACGGGCTACCAGGGATAGAGAGAGAGAGAGAGAGAGAGGGGCCGTCGTCGTGAAGGGTTCTCGTGAGCTCCCCAGTCTCCTACGATCCTATCGACTGCGACGAAAAGACAAGATATAGGGGGGAGGGGAAGGTGGGCGGAACAGAGAGACCAGAGGACGGAGGAAAGCGTCTCTCTTACTCCGGACTGCCCTTCCCATGTGGGTTGTCCAATGTAAGTAGTCCCCGACGACTGAAGGCTTCTTGGAGCTCTCAGGTGTCTGTCTGGGAGCCTTCACAATAGCCCCCATGGTGGCCTGAGAGAACCTAACGGTACCAGTAGTTTCGTCCTCTTCTTCTTCCTCTTCCTTGGACTCTTTTCTTCCTAGTATTCAAGTCCTCTTCGTGGAGGCTCCCTCCCTGTGAACTTGATCATCCTAGGCGCCTTACCGATCCTCTTTGGAGGGGGGTCGGTTCAGATCCTTCGAAAGAAGGGTGGCGAGACGCCTGAGGCTATTTCTCGCACTCGCTTTTGTGTCTCTCCCCGGCTTTCTGTCTCGCCTGGTTGAGGATCCCGATCCTTCCCGTCGTTTCACACACCACCGGAAAGCAGCGTTCGAGATCAGATCAACTCTTCAAGAGACGCGAGAGAAAGAAGAGGAGGCGGGGAAGGAGGAAAGATTGGAGGAGAAAGGGCTGTTGTATCGTTTTGAGGATGAAAGATCCGTCGGCAGCGGCATTCCAAGCAGCGATCAAGGCGCCTAAGTTCCCGCAGGAAGAGCAGCACCTCAGGTGCCCCCGCTGCGACTCCACCAACACCAAGTTTTGCTATTACAACAACTACAACCTCTCCCAGCCCCGCCACTTCTGCAAGGACTGCCGCCGGTACTGGACCAAGGGTGGCGCCCTCCGCAACATCCCCGTCGGCGGCGGTACCCGCAAGAACTCTAAGCGCAGCGCCCCCTCTTCATCGTCCTCCAGTTCCCACACCAAGCGGTCGATCAGCTCTCCGTCTCCCGCGGCCGCCACCCATGCAGCAGCCGAAGCGGGAGAGACGGGCGCCGCCTCGTCAATATCCACTCTCCAATTTCCAAAGCTCGAGACTATTCCCTCGGTATACTCTTCCACCGACGCCGATCGCCAGTTGCTGGACTTCACTGGGAGCTTCAGCTCGCTGCTCACTTCCCACGGGCACTTCGGGAGTCTCCTTGACAATTTCCATGCGGGGGGGGCGGGAGTCCTCGGGCTACCAGGAACCATCGACATGGGAAGGCCGATCGGGAATCCTTCTCTCGACCTGCACAGCCCCGGCGATGGCGGAGACATAAGCGGCGGCACCCCGGCGGCGGAGCCTCAGCAAGCGCCTCTTGGTGATAACCTTCTGGGTTTGCCGGCGGACAGTAGCTGCTGGAGTGGCAGCAGCGGCTGGTCCGATCTCTCCATTTACACTCCAGGTTCGAATTTCCAGTGAAATAAAGAAAAAAGCGGAAACATCTCCTTGCATATTAGAAAAGATGGCGAGAAGAACACCATCATGCCTTCGTAGTTTGCCTTCTTGGCGAACTGGCTGTTTCCTGGTATATTCTTGACATATTTGTGGACAGAAATTATAGTACTAGGTGAATTAGGATGCACACGGTGGATGCCGGTTTCTGTGGAGATATGGAGAATAATCTTCTGACATAGTTCCCATCGTCAATTCATCGGCTTCCTCCTGGTTACATTGGAGAACCGCCCAAGCGATAGATCCGATATAACACTTAGTGGCCGCGATGAGGGGTTCCGACTGCCTTCCGTGGTGGACTCGTGGGGAGGGACGCCATGGAAAATTCCTTCTGCTTCCTATTCCTCCTGGTCGCGTCATTTCCTTTTTTAAATCCGGCAGCTTGCGTCTACCTCTCCCGGCCGTCTCTCCATGTTCTTTCAGTTGTTCCATCTGATAGCGATGGCGGCGATGGGCTAGAGTCACCGGTGCCTCCTGTTGTTGTCGTCAGCAGATGTTCCTCCACCTGTGTCGACTACCCACAATGGCGATAAGGCCCCCCTCCCCCACGCGGCGGGCATTAGAGCAATCCGGCAGCCTTCAAGGTGGCGCTGCCGGTCCCCGCCATCGTCTCCCATCCCAATCACGCTCCCCGCGTGCAACCTCCCAAAGCCATATCCTCTCACGACCAAACTTCGGATGGGAAGGCGTCCGCCGGGTCATGGTCTGCAGCTTCTCCTCCGGCACGCTCTGCAGAGCCTGGCCAGCGTGACCCCCGCCCCCTCGTGGCCCACGCGTCCTTCTCCCGCCGCGGGTGTGTGCCGACGTGTTCGCGCGATGCAGCTCCGCGAATTTCCGCACGGCGCGTGGTCGTACGTGCCCGGCGCAGTTCTGTTCGTTCGCGCACGCTGCAGTTCAGCTCGTTTCCCGTGCGGCGCATCGAGCGTGGCACCCACTCGCGCCGGTGGCGCGCATGCGGCGCCGGCGAGGCGCCAACGCCGCTACGTAACCGGCGCAAGTGCGCGCCACGCGGTTGGACGAGGGGCCACGCGCGCTGCGCCGCCCTACGGTTCCCATAGTTCTCACCTCGCGCCGTGAATCGGAACAGATTCTGAAGCACGGGGGGACTTTCGCAGCTGGCTGGGTCCAGCCTCGTCAACGAATGAAATATATCCTCCCTCGAGACAAAAGAGGCCGAACGAATCTCGCTGCAATTTGCTGTCGGGTTCCATCATCAGTTTTCTACTTCATTCAGACCACTGCACATCCCCCTCTCTCTCTATCTCTTCCTCGCTGGTGGCGCAGCAGTTGTTGACGGTCCTCATCGCCGAGTCACGGTGTCGTCACCCTGGGTACGAATAGAGCGGCGACTCACCGACCCGCGAGAGTCTCAACCGCGTCCATCTATGTTGGTGCAATAAAAATATGGGGGTTCTTGGAAGACGGAGCCTACGAGGGGTCTAGTGAGATGATGTCGGCCGAGGTGGGCATTTTCAACTCAGGTAATTCACGCGTGCGCTTCGCCCTCACACGTCAAGGCCACACGTGTTTCTTAAAATAACCCTCGTTGAATCCAATCGGTAAGTACGTCAGAAATTAGTATGACCCCGGCGTAGCTCACAGGTGAGCTAAGTACGCGAGCTAAATATGAACTGGTGAGAGATACAAAAAATAATCGAGACATTTTGGTAAAAATCGATGAATCTTTGACCTGGGTCGACCGATAATAAGATTTAAGACGGGTGGAAATCGACGTAGATATCACCCGTCGTCAAAAGTTTCCAGTTTTCCACTGAACTTCGTTTATTTTCTTCTCCCAACGTGGGGGCACAGATAGTGAAAGCAATAGTGCCCAGTAAATGTGCACTCTACTTGTAAATGACGACTAGAACCATGTCTATCTGCAAACGGGTATACATTGTCGTAGAGTTCTCTCCCTCTCTCTCTCTCTCTCTCTCTCCCCTCCTCTCCGCACACGCAGCCCCGTAGGTTTGATTCTCATCTCTCCTTCCCTCCTTTCTCTTCCCCTCTGTCTGTCTGTTCCCGTCGCCGCGTCTTCACACTCACTCGAACAGCCAATGTAAGCGCATGCAAAAGCATCAAGCTCTCGTCGGGGTTCAGGATGGGAAGATCCTCGCCACTGATACGCCTGCCAACGGCGCTTCGGCGACCAATGTCAATGGCAGTGACCCGCTACAATGCCGACCTTCAGCCTCTCCTTCCCAACATCCCCGATCTTCTGACGCCTCCGCGGATTCCGGGGGGAGACGGCGAGATTTTCATCAAAAGGGGTGGATGCCCCTTCGGGGAAAGAGGCGGCGCCGCCCCGGCGACTCGAGCAGCCGCCCGCCGCCCCAGCGACGTTTATCCTTCCCAACCCTTCTGACAGCCGTCTCCATGACCTTCCCACTTCCTTGGGCCTCACTCAAATCCCTTATCGGGTGGCCCAATAGCTGTGTAAAAATGGGCCAGGTGCACCCGACGTGGGCTGCTTACCGGGCTGGGCAGGGAAATATGAGCCAGATTCAAATGGGCCCAACTGGTGGGCTTAGGGATAATATGGTCATTTTAAAATTAATATAAAATAATATTAATATAGTAATTTTCCCGAGGGGGGGAGGAAGCTGGAGGTAAAACCGGACGTCACCTGAAAAGGCGGCATCTCGTCGCGTTCGTGAAGAACTGGCGAGAGAAAGTACGCATTGATGCACACTGGGGAGGTGCGTACTCACGCATATATGGTCGCTGTTTGGGGAGACCAATTGGTTTTGTCGTTCGTTATATGATGGCCGCTCTCGCCCCCTTCTTCTTATATGTGGGTGCCTGTTCTCAGTGGACATCGATGCGTATTGTATCGGGATTCTCTGATGACGCACGATGTCTTAGATTCCTTTGGAGCCAGTTGCCCTCGTGTGCTCATATTTTTTACCCACCTTTCTCCGCCGCCTCCGCTTCTCTCTCTCTCTCTCTCTCTCTCGGCTGTGTTTCCGTCTGGCTGACTCTCACTCTCACTCCCTCTCACTCCCTCTCTTCCGTTTCCCTTAGTACCCGGTTCGCATTCCCGACGCCGAGCATTGTTGTCCTCCCCGCTGCCTCTGTAAGGTTTTCCATGCTTGTTTCCCTTGCGCCTGCCTTCTTCCTTAGGGTGCCTCTTCCTGCTCTCCATCAGCTTCCGCACGCCTGATGCAGCTGCAATATCGCCCGAGAGGAATGGAGGAGAAAGAGGAAGAAATCGAGAAGGAAATCGTGAGAAAGAAGAGCTGGAATGGCGGAATTTCTTAACCCGGAGCCTTCTGCTTATCTCACCATCTCTCTGCTCCCGATTTTTCATCTTCTTCTAGATTCCTGCTCCTCGCAACATTTTGCTCTAGATTCCCTCCTGAATCTTCTGGTCCTTCCAAGTTCATCTAGGTTATGCACCTAGTGCGTCCCATCTCCCAGAGTTTTTTTCCCCAAACCCATTTTGTTTGGAATAACCTGCTGGAAGGCCTTATGCATCAGATTAGTGAGAGTCCGCTGAGTTTAAAGTCGTCGGAATAGATTCAGACATGGGCAGCCACCGTGAATCTGACAAAGGTCAGACAAAGAAAATCGACGAAACTGCAGGGGGGTTGGTTTGGGTGCGCCGCCGGAATGGGTCATGGTGGCCTGGTAGGATTCTGGGACTCGATGAGCTGCCGAAAAGCTGTTCAGTTTCGCCGAGACCAGGAACACCAGTGAAGTTGCTTGGAAGAGAGGATGGCAGCATGTTAGTGCTCAGCTCCTTTACAAACTATTCTCAGGAAAAAAAGCCCAGTCCAGTGATTTAGATCTAAGCTGTTGATCATTTTTGGCTCCTTATTGTAAATTTGTGCTTCGGGATTCGCATGCTTTATATTTAGTTATATTTAAATTATTTTCGACAATTTTGGTTGATGTTATGCTTCTTTAAGGAATCCGGTTAATATGTGTCTCTAAACTGGTTACTGTTTACAGAATGTCCTTGATCATGTGGTTGTTTTTCTTCTGTCATCTTTTTATTTGTTTATGATTTTGTACTTGTGGCTGCTGGTTTCGCAATTCGTGGTACAACTAGGACATCAATGTTGCTGGAGAGCCTAATTGCATGATAAAGTGATTTTCCTATCCAGACTTTCAATCCTAAAGAAGAAGATATTTGGGACCAGTTCTGCAGTGTTTTCATTTTTTCGTACTCATGTACCTTCTCTGAGCCCCGCAGAGCAATAGTTTTATTGATGGAAAAACAATCTTATCCGGTCCGAAAATTTGTACCGGCATGCTAATGGTATCCAGATCATAGTTTTTGCAGAAGCAACTGAGATAAAGCTCACCATGAAAATTAAATTTTTGTAGACAGACGGTATACATTTAATCTCTAATGCAGTCTTTTCAGGGGCTTCCCCGCCAAATGGATCTTTCAGGCCATGCCAAGTTGTATACTAGCATTCAGTGTGTCTTCTTTGGGCAGCCTCATTGGTTTGCTATGACAACCAATTTGGAACTGATTCCCTGGCTTCCTTCACCGTTAAATCTATTAATGTTCTCTAACCACGCTCATAATGGCCGCCAATTTTAAAGGAATCGCTGGAATTCCTGTACGATCAGAGATGTGTACTCTCCCACTTCATATTAGTCATCAGGTCGAACAAACAATATTTGGTGGCAGATTCTACTTGCCTAGTTTAATTTTTAATTTTCTTTCTTCTTTACTATGTGCATAAAAAAAAAAATCAAGTACTAGAATATGTTAACAAGTATTGAAGTTGGTAAGGGTGCAGAGGATGAGGACAAAGAATGAATTAGAGAAAGCTCTTCACATTTTTTTTAGCCGGCCTCCATCATATCAGATTAGAGATTCTACTTTTATAAAATTGGTTAGTAATCCTATAATCTTTTGGTTAGTATGAACTTGTTCGCATGTCAATTCATTATTGCTTGTGACGTTCAACGATGCATGCAAGTGGCCCTTCAAATAAGAAATGAGAGGTAGGAAGTGGATTTTCAGAGTTCTAGAGAATTTGCAGAGTTCTAGATCGTCAAGTTTAATCCTAGAGAGTTCAATTTTTTTTTACTGGCAAGAGATTCACATCTAGTGAAAGCTACATTTTTCTGCAGAAAGAAAATTTTCAACTCTATCTTATGGATATAACAGCCAGGGACTATGGATATAATGTGGGTCTTCTGTCCCCATGTACCTGAAATGCAATTATTTTTTGTCTTACAAAGCTTGGAAGTAAGACAGAAAGATCACCAGAGTAACGTTATTTGTCTATGACGAAAGAAGTCAAACATGTCTTTTCACACCCATACCCTTGCTTTTTTTGCTATTTTTTATTCAAGGCCATCGCCTGATCGAAGGAAAAATAATGTATCCATTTTACACAAGCAAGAAAAAAAAAGTCTTCATCTCACATTGACGCTGGACTTCTACCAGCCTAGTTCTGTTGTTATGCATCTATGAATCACTTTGCCTGAATGCAAAGATAGCTTTTTGCTGTCATTCTGTTTATTTTCTAATTGATACATGATCAATTTCTTTGACTGTGTTTTCTGTGCTCCCATGGACATCAATGAAACAAATCATTCTAATCTATTTTTCATTGCCCTGTTGGTCTTCAGGGATTGGTATAATCTTGAAAAATCAAAGCGTATAAAAGCATTTCGTTGTGGGGAGCATGATGAATGCATTGAAAAAGCTAGGGCTTACGCGGTCCAATCTATTAGGGTAGGACCAAAAGAAAGGAAATATGCCCGAAGAGAAGATGCCATTCTTCATGCCTTGGAGATTGAAAAGGCTACCTGCATGCGAGAAAAGCGGGAGCCTGGCTCAGTATTTAACAAAGGGAAAGGAATTGTAAGTTACGTTGGCCTTGGAGAAGAGCAAAGCCATTTGGCTAAGACAAAAGTCAGTAAAGTTAGAGGAGGGTCAAATACAAAGGTGTCTCAAGCTATTGCACCATTGAAACAAATGGAGGATCTAAATACTGTTGAAGTACCTGTTTTGCAGAAAGAAAGATGGAAAGCGCCAACTGATTCGGAGGATGATGGTACTGGAGGCTCAAAACGGATGAGACACCTTCAAGAATTAGGTTTGGGAGCGGTATCAAAAAGGAAGCTCAACACAATCTTCTCGAATGGGCAGTGTCAACCCCTCCCAGATAGTTCTCTCACTGTGCCTCATGTACACTATGGATTCTTTAATTTGAGCAAACCTAGTAGCAAAATAACTTGCTCACCTTTAAAAGAGGCAACCCAGTTGCCTCAAATTCATGAGACGCTAAAGAGGAAGAGTCGCCGTCGTCGGTTAAGTAAGGTTTTGAAGAGTTCTGCCACTGTCGAAGTACCATCTGTTTTCTGTGAGGATGGTAATTCAAGCCTGTCATCTCTTCGTGGAGTTGCATCAAACCAAGTTCGTGTTTCTGAATCTGCTGAGTCAAAGACGAAGGAACATCCACAAGCAGCCAATTCTTTTCTGGGAGGAAGTTCGGAGACATTTTGTGCAGAAGTCTCATTGGATACCTGTGAAGATGACTGTGAACCAGTATTTGACGGCAACGACTTTAATTCTCTCGAACTTCTTGATGATGGATTCTTGGATATTCCTGTTGTCTGGAAGGAAATCCAAACTGGAGGTAAGCCTAATTGTGATGCCAGTTTTGATAGAATTGTACATTGTCCCGATGATATCCCATGACGAATTATTTTTTCTATTTCTATAAAACATATAGAGCTTGTTAATTCTCTATTTCCCGGTTAACTATCGTGTTAAATGCATGAAAGACAGAAGATCGAGGTCGAGCAGTGGTTATGATTGAGTTCGCTGATGTACTCATTCATTAATCATCTATCCAGGTATCTGAATTGTATGGTTAAAGTTTAACTCTCTCAGTCTAAAGGAGATCTGAGATTCTTCTCATTGTAATCCCTGATGTAATTGTTAACCTTTTTAAAACTTTGCACGTTTGAACTCCCACGGATGATGAACCAGAAATGTTGCTTTCTGGGGTGAGGAACAGGGCTACTGGCTTACAGGAAACGTGAAGGTGCAATAGTTTTAAATATAATAGCCTTGAGGTAGAGACTTAATCACATGTGGAGTCCATTTAATAGCTTCAAATGTGATTAATAGTTTATATGCTATCTTCCGGGTTGGGTGTGCGTTACGTAGTGCATATGACGAATGCATGATGATATTCCGTTCAATGTGGCAGCCAGCTTGTAGCTTCTTGACATACTTTGGATTGTTTTGCTAAAACATAGCCAAAACCTCGGATTCTTCAATATAATCAACTATTCAGGGCATTGAACTATACTTATAGCGACGATCATGATGTTAGATGGGTGGTAAGGTAAAACCACTATGCCATTTCTCTGTGCTTAAATTGTTTCGGAAAATTCTTGGTTTGCCAAGCTTCAGAATCTGACTTTGCCACGTTTCTAATGTATATAATCAGAATTTGTTTCCAGATGGCCGTATATAATCAAATCCTGTGATTTAGTGGCGGTGCCTTTGATCTCAGAAAAAATGCACATTTGGTGATGTTTCGCATGAGATCTTCTTAAGCCTATTCAGTTTATCTGAATTGTTGTCATGTAAAAATAGTCTTTCGATCCATGACATTGTATCTTGTCTTATCTAGATGTTGACAAGCACACATCGTAATGCAAAACCATCATTCTCAGCACAGAGTACTCTGCCTTTTACGTGGATTTCTGCAATGTTAGTTATAAGTTACTTTCCTTTTTATTATTTTTTTCTGGCTTCCAATGTGTTATTTTTCCATGTCAGATTTTTCCTGTGGACGTGTACCCAGTGGACCTGGAAAGCTCCAGTCAGGTGCGGTAGAGCGACAAAATGGTAGACGCTGTAAAGTTATGAATGAGTGGAACGATGCCCTCGATGTGAACGACTCTTCTAGCTTCTTAGAAAAAGAAACTTCAAAGGAGTATGCCGATGTGGAAAGAAAATATAAATGTGGGTGTAGAAGTGCAGATTATAGAGGAAATTTAGTCAGGGTCGATCAGTCTGAATCTTGTTTGCTAGATGCCCCGGATCTTGATGTTGGTACAATTTCCAAGGTCTCATTTGATGAGTCCCCTATTTCTGATAATGGTTGCGTGCAGGAACAGGCAAGATGTGAACTAGATTCAAATGATGATGCACAGGGTTGGTTTATAACTGGTGCCCTTGAAGTTAATTTCTTGGGCGATATAAGCCATGTAGAAAAGGTTTCTACGAGTAGGAGGGCAGAAGTCGGCCAATCAGACCATCGAGGAGGTACCTTTAATAGGCCCATATCATATAAGAGACCAGGGAAGTCATCTTTCTTGAGAGATCAATCCCGCTCCCAGCTTCCACCTCATGGGTCCCTTCCATGCCATCAAGTTCATCCTGGAGTTGGTTCTTCATTATATGATGTCAAACTGGATGTGCAGGCAAGCTATCAGGGCCCGCGTGTGCCTCTTATTTCTCTCATGAGCAGATTCAATGGCAAAGCTATTGTTGGCCACCCCATCACTGTTGAGGTCGTAGAGGATGCTTACTTGGACACTTCACTTGGAAATCGCTATTCAGAAAGTTGCAGCATTGATATGTTTCATAGCCATAAAGAGAATCGATCCAAGAGAAAGAGATACATGATTGATGATACCTCTCTTCTAACTGGAGGTGGCATTACATGGAAATCGGAAAGGATGGCCTCTGATCAATCAAAAGTTTCCCCTACATTCTCAGGGCGCGTGCCCTGTGAAAACAAAAGATCTGGTTTCTTGATTAGAAAGACTCGGCGGCTGTCTTCAATAGCTGTAGACCACAGGCACAAGAAGGAAGATAGAAAGGCGGCGGTGGAGAAGGCGAGGAGACCCATTGCTTGTGTTCCATTGAAGCTCGTTTTCAGCAGGATAAATGAAGCATTAACCTGTCCATCTCGTCCAGGAAACCTTCGTTGAGCATCGGTCATGGGTAACTTGTTTATTCCTGTTCTCTCTGCTGCAAACAGGTTTAACCAGAGACTATCCCCCTTTTTTGGATAACTCAACAGTTTTCCCAAAAAAATTGAAAGACCTAGTCTGGTGCCTGCTATTGTTGGAGGAGGAATACGTTGAAAGTATTTCATCTTCGTGTAAATTTTGAAGTGAGATTTTAAGAATTTATCATTGAAGTTTTTCTGTCAACATGATGTAATATTATTTTTCAATGAAATATGATGATTCTCTTCCTAGTTCAAGGAATATTTGGCTATTGTTTCCTTGCGCCTATTTTTCATTCCATTTCTCCCTCCGATTCGATTTCTGTCCATTGTCATTATATGCTGCTGCCAGAAGACAATCGATGCTGTGTAAGATGAATGCCAGCACGAACTACGGTCGGCTCAGAACCCCATTCCGAGGATTGGGTGTTTTAGTTCCTACTACGACGGTTCATCGCAGTATCAAGGAAAGAGAGCAGTCTCTGAAGGTTTGTAGCATGATTAGCTCCGTTTTTTCTCCGACCCTGATGTGAAATAATGACAGATTTGAGTTCTTCAGCGCCGAGGATCCTGAGGTAGAGTAAACGGGCTTCACGCGGACGAAGAGAGAGGAGAGAGAGAGAGGAGGGGAGGCGTGGGTCAGCCATGAGGTAGAGTAAAGGGCATCTGGGGTCAGACAATGATCTTGTGCCTGCTTATTCTGCCTGTTAACGCATCTAATCAGAGTTTATTCTGGTGACTCAGTCCTCATTCCTGAAAGGTTACGGTTACTTGGAAGGGAAAAATCTAAGGATATTAATTTCAAAATTCAGGGTGAATCTGATAAGTCAAAGCATCAAATTGCTTCATTTTATTCTTTTTTTATATTCTTACATTCTAGTTTTTCTTGAATCAGTGAATTGCTCGCGATGTGAGCTCAGAACTCCAGGGTACGTTCGTCCTTTGATGAAAGCCGAAGGAGCCAAATGCCTGCCCGATCCCCGCCCACTCAACAATAAGCAGAATATTAGGGTTTTCGGGTTCCCTATAAACCATCGCGAGGAACAATGCATTCCTGTTGGAGTTTGGGAACAGCACCGCCAAGGTGCAGTTCTCCAAGGAGGCCAACAACCTCTACAATGTCAACTCCTACAAGTACTCTGGTGAGCGTGTGCATCTTCTACCTTGCCTTTTCCATTGACGTCGATGCCAATGCTTCGCCTGATGATCTTACCTAGAATTATAGGTTTGGCTAATAAGAAGACGATATCAATCCAGCCAGGGGGAAAAGATCTCTCCGTTGTGCTCGCCACCACCAAGACGAAGAAGCAGACCAAGCCGGCTAATTGTACCACAGGTCGCTGATGAAGATGTAATTCACCAAGATGGCGAAGACGGTTGTGAATCAGGTAAGAAAAACCGCGTTTCAATTTACAAATAATTTTCTGGTTGACAGCTCTCTTCGACCATATCAGCTTATGTTCATTGCATGAAAATAGCATTCCAGTCAATATTCAGGTTTAAGTTCATGTCTGCTGATGTTCATAACCTCAATCACAACCAAAAACTATTTTTCCTTGGCAAAAACCTATTTTTTAAAAAAATCTTAATGTTTACAAATCCGTCGCCCTTGTGAAATTAGTTAAAAAAAATGTATGATAGGCAACAATTATTTACAATACATGCTCTTCTGATTTTTGCCCTCCCTCGGAACGTTGAATTGGCAATTTCGAATCAATAATAGACTGTAAATAGTATGCATGTCCAAGGTAGGTATTGCCACATAAAATGCCGTAAACAAATAACCCTTTTAGTCTGTTTACACGTTTCAGGTGTGAAAATAAAATCGTGGGGAAGTTAAACATAATCCCCCCAAGGGTTGTTTTAAGAAATTCATGCATATATATATATATATCTATATATTTACACAGACAAGAACCCTAATTTACGGATTATATGGTTATGGAAAAATATACTTTTTTTGAAATCTTTCTTGCAAAAAATCATTGGAGAGCAGCAGATACTCCCGCTTTGTTCCATGTAGATCCCGAGTTGACCACCTAATGTTGACGCTTCCTGTCTGTCTGTGAGCAGGTTGCCGAGAACTACTACTGGTCGGATCTGAAGAACGCTGCAGGTTTCCAGGTCTGGCGTGAAGAAGAGGAACAAGCAGGCCATTTAATTCCCGAACATTGAAATCCATCCTCTTCTGTTGGATACACCTCAATCGAGATTTCAGTTTCTTCTTCGGTCCAGTTCTTGCAGACCAACGAATGAATTCCACTGATCATAATCCATTAGATCTTGGATGAAGTTCCACGCATTATATGTACATATGTAACACCGACTGACCGTAGAGAGACAAAACTTCAAGGGGTTTAGGTTCTCAATCCACCTTCCTCGCTTTGAAGCTCGAGATGCTGCTCAGAAGCTGCTTGGAACAGATATCCTGCGCCTGCGCGACGTTCTTCTCGCGGTTGGCTCGAACCCAGGCAGGCTCCTGTTCGGTGAAGGTGCAAAAAAAATGATTTTTGGGTAGTAACAGAGCATTCAGAGTTTCTAGGCGTGACCCACCTCGGGGACGAAGTGGGAGAAGCCGAATTTGACCAGGAGGAGCACGTGCTCTATAATGAGAATCGCCTTCAGTCCGGGCTCTATCTTCCATTTCCCCTCCTGGTCGTACAAGCAGACCAGGAGGGTGCAGTTGGTGCAGATCGACATCACGATCAGAAACTGAGAAAACATGGGGACATGAAGCAATGAATCGGAGGTATACGAATGCAAAACTGAATTGCAAAACTCTGTGATCAGCAAGGAACACGTCCAGAGATCTTACTTGGAATATGTTCAGCCAGGCTCCTATGGACGCAGAGGCACGGGGGACAGGCCTCCGGAGCATGACCAGCAGCTTCAGAGCATCGGCCCGGATCTCTGTGATGTTGTTCTGGATATGAAAGGGACGATTGCGTGTTACAGAATCCACCTTCCAAGCTTCTTGGGTCATAATGTATTTATATACGATATAGTCCAAGCATGGCTAACCAGGGCAACAAAGCAGAACACGAGAGGAAAGGCGCAGGCGAACATCGTGCTCATCCCAAATTGCAAGGCCAGCTCTAGAAAATCTGCATTCAAACCCATAATTTTCACGTGAATGATGGGATTCTGGAGGCATATGATTATATGCATATGGTATAATCTTGGCGCACCATCGAATAAACCATCTTCGAATTCGTCCCCAATGCTTGCAGTATAAGAGGGCTTTAGGTACTCTTTCTCCACTCTGGAGCCCAGCCGGATTGACTTTCGGAGTGATGATCCTTTTTCATGCTTTCTCTGGCTTTGAACACACGGCATTCATCAAGACAGATTAAACACTAGAAAAGAACAGTACAACCCAACGGAGATTGCAGAGGGCAAGATGATGAGCTTACAGAACAGCTCGGAATTTTTTATAGCTATATTTAAGGTAAGGTAAGGTGTTCTCCAATAGGTTCTCTAGCACCTGCAAGTGACTACTGAAATTGTTTAGTCGGGTTGAAGCAGGAGCGCTTCACAAAATAAAAATAAAAATAAAAATGAAAAGAGGAGCAATCTATCTTGCCTGAGATACAATCAAACGCTGGATCAAGATCTGCCGAAGAGTGGTGAAATTGCGGTGCATAAGTGCATGGTAGAACAAGCCAATGTATGATTGCATAAAATAAAGACCAAAAACCTACATTTAAAGGAAAACAATGGAGATCTGTTCAAGAATATGGATAATTCTAAAAACATGGAAACAACATAGAAAGAAAATGATAATTCTAAAAAGATACTGTTCAAGAATAATTGCCGTATCCTAATTGAGTAAATACTGTTAGGATCGAAGAAGGGTAGTTTCTACATATCATGGATTTATGTTTAAATATGAATTATGTTGATTGCATTTAATAAAAACATCTATTATAAGGATCAGTTTCCTTTCTTCCTTGATTCATTGCGCACCAAACAAGAACAATTACACACTAGTGTCCACAATAATATTTCCACAAAAAATTACACACTAGTATACTATTTATCAATAACCTAAAAGATGAAAAATTATAGTTTAGCGAACATCATTCATGATTAAAAGGAAAATTATGTCCATTCAAACTTATTCGGACATCTTTTTCTTACCTTGTACACCAAACTGTCAGCACTAGACTCCTCCCCTTTATCATGTTCATATTTGATTAGGGTAACCGAGACTTTCCCTCCGATTTTAGTGTAGTATTGAATTGATAACAAATAAAGAACCGTCAGTGCATACCTGAAATGTCAGATAATGTACTGATGTTACAAAGCTTCTTGGCGTTGCAGGAATATATACTATTGAAAAAATAAAAGAGAGAAAGTCCAGGACATAAAAATCCTGGAGCAGAATGCAAACATATGCATGCCAAATCAGGGAGGGTGCCAACAAACCTGATTCATGCAAGTAACCAGATGTAAAACTATATACAGGAGAGACAGATGAGCACACGATTAGCCTCCCTCCGACGGCATGAATGTAGACGCGGCTAAATCTCAGAAGAGCGGAAGTAATACTCCGTTTAGCTATGACTATGAGCCATAAACCAACTAGTATCCAAATTATACTATCCTGGTTTTAAATAATATCGGAATAATTCATTCTCTATCCGGCATGCAACCTACAGTATTCCCTTTCACCACAATTTCGATTATCATCCTTGGTTGAAATTCAAGCATAAGAACTTCATAAACCAAACCGTCAGACAAATTGCGACTGATGGCCCCGCTGTTCATCTCATAAGTCAATGGTAGAGAAAGAAAACATTTAAACACATAAAAAAGAGAACTTGTTATTCATCTCATATGTCGATGGTAAAGAGAGAATACATTTTCCTTGACCACAGTGCGAAGATCAATTTTTTTTTTCAGAAAGAGAAGCAATCAACTCAACTGTCTGACATGGATAGTTTTGTTCAAGAATACAACAAACCAATTTCTTGCAGGCAATCAGATTGGCTATCCTTCAGCCCACTACAAAGATCAAACTCGGACAGCACTCCAATTATGTAAATTTAAATATAACACTTAGGCATACAGTCATTAATTTTTGCAAACCCCAAAGCTTTAACAGGCAGGAAAAGATAAAGATACATGCAAAAGAAATACATGACAGAAACATGGGAGTCACCCAAGGAGGATATTTAAAAACATGGAACATAAGTTCCCAGCATACACATCGATCATATTTTCACATTACTGCACCAATAATTCAGTCACAAAATAGATCTTTCAAGTGTACAGAGGTCGTTTGAAACTCACTTCACCGCATCAGATTCTGAAATCTCGTAAAGGTGTGCGTAGACCAACTCAAATGGCAGCTGAAGACAAATAATGCCAAGCACAACAACGGCAGTGTTTCTGATCTTTTGTAAAAGTCCTAGCCATTCGTCTCTTTGTAGTGATTTGTCTTTTTCCAAGGGTCTACGAGTAACCATTTTGCTTTCAGGCTCCATGTGCGACTCGGGTAAGGAGCTTATGTCTGCACCACTAGGTTTGCACCCGGGGACCAAACTCATAGAATAATTAATCCCCCATCTGCAAAGCATCAACTCGAATGTTGTTAAGGAAACTCTCTTCAAATGTTACAAACATTCTGGAAAGCAAGTTACCTGGCTAAAAGAGCAGAGTTTTTCCGCTTCCAGAACTGGAAGAAGAACACAGCCCACGATATAATGAACACAAAAAATAGAGGCAGGACTAATATCTGCCATGCCCTGTTTTAGAAGTTTACAAGAGTCTACCTCTTAGAAAAAAAATAAAATGTAGAGCCGCAATTGTTTGATACAGCATGGCATATCAAAGAAAATTTTCATACCCAAGATCAATCATTTGCAGCACAAGTCCAAATGCAGCTGGAAAAAATAACCAACGAGTGTACATCCCAAGGAAAGCAAAATATGTAGCAATCTGCAAACGAAATACAAAGATAAGGCACTCATTTTTAATAAAAAAAATAAGTTACGTCCAAAAATGGTCATTTCACCTTCGTTCCAAAGTATGAATGGATGTCATCAATTGGTTGCCATGTAAAGTCCAACAAGTTGAGCGCCCAATTTCTCAAAAGCAACTTCCTCTTCGCTTCGTCTGCAAAACAAGCTCTGACATACCTTGTAATTTCTAAAAGCCTGGGCCCAGGACTTTCTAAAAGCCGGGGCAGGATTTAGGCGGCACAGGCATGATTTGATTATTGTGAACAAAGCCTGGGCCAGTAAAGCCTAGGTTACACGAGCTCAGAACTGACTCAGGGATTTCTATAAATCTACGGGCTAGACTAGTTAGCCAAAAACCCAGGAGGGGCGGTCAGACTGACTGTGGTACGGGACAGGGAGCATGCGAGGCAGCCGGGTTACTGCAGGGTTTTTGGGTAGCAACATGATTGAAGGGAAGGTGAATTCCAGGCTTCCCTTGAGACCACAACAAACCCCAGCCCATCTATGCACTTGGCCGAGCCAGGCCAGACTGTTGTTCTGGGTTTTGCTATGGCTAGAAACCAGAATGTTGGACTGACCCCTGGGCTTCTGCCCTGGCATGCTGTATTTACAGTATAGGAGAGGCATAAAAGTAGTATATACCATGCAAAGGAAACACTTGCTTTACAATGCCTTCGGATTTCATCATTTCAAGCAAAGATTCATTTGGCTCCCACTGATACTTTATGCTTCCAACAGTAAGAGTGATAACTGACTCAGTTCTGTTGACCTGCACATTGGTTTCATCACGATGGAACATAACTATTATATTCTAACAGACTCATCATCTGACAAGGCATAAAAACATGTTAAAAGACGTTTAATATTCCCCGCCAATCCAATCCACAGGGTGCTGAATTCATACATTATCAAGTTTTGGCAGCATCCATACTGGACATAGTTAACTATATTAGAACAGAGAACTCCGAAGAAAAGCAGCCATCGTGTTAAGGTTAACTTCGAGATTGTTTTTTCCCGCAGTATTTTTTTTTACAATTATATTTATCTTAGGTCGTATCTTAAAATACTATTAAATAAAATTAGTTAAAAATTTCCTCATGTTTTGTTATGTTCTCTAATAGAGAGCAGAGGGACCCATTTGGATTCTTAAAATAACTCAACATACTAGATTTCTTATTAAAAGTTTACTTTAAATAAATATGAGTTATTTGTTTTTACACAACTTCGCGAGACTAATTTAAGTCACGTTTGCAGAGCAATTATTGCGAATATTTTTTTGCAATGTATTAATATTTTGCATACAGAGACCTAATTTATTATCTTATTCATCACTTACCTGATAATTAACTTATGTTTATAATAATATTGAAACCCTTCAAAATCAGACCCCAACTGTGCTGCTGATCCACAGACCTCTTTGCCTTTATCTCCTTTAAAACCCTGATTCTATGAAGCGAACCAGGGGATGGGACACCAAGCATGTCAAGATATTGAAACGTGTCCCAATGAAATAATCCAAGAACAAACTAATAAGATGCAAATACAACACTAATACCAATGAAAGAAACTTACTATCCTGTAAATCAGGTGCTGGAAGCAACAAAACCGCTCGCACCAACTAAACAAGGAGCCATCTGGCTGCCTAACAAATGCTGGTTCTTGATCCCAATCAAACCTCAAGTCAACGCCTGAAGCAACCAAATATATGTAAAAGAAGCAACATCCATCATTTGATGATGCATAAAACAAGCGCATATACGGGAAAAAAAATGTAATCAAAACATAGTAAATAAGGAAAATATTATAGATTCCAACAAACATCAAGTCGATACCAATATGGGTCAGCTTCATTATTTGCAACTCAGCTGCAGCTCTTCCTAATGTCTCCAATGGTGCAGCCAGCTAAAGGCAGAATAAAAGATCAGAAAAGGAAGCTTCCACAAATGTCCCAAATACAGAGATGCAAGAGGTGAGCAAAAACCCTAGGTTTTTACTGGACTTTGGCATAGATTTTCTTTCTGTCAAAATGAATGCATAAAATATCTATAAGATAAAGTCATAAATAAACGAACGTATTGTTTAAAATGATAGGACTGAAAATTAAAAAGCTTGCACAAGGAAATCATATCCCAAGTACTCGTACTGAAGAAAAAGAATAGTATGCAATAATTCAAACACCTCTTTCTGTCCCTCAAGTGGTTCGTCGGAGTACTACTGGGAAAATTAGCATCAGCAAGGGACTCTGGATGGTTATCGACATCAGTGCAGTAGGCCAATAATTACGAAAGGATGTTCAAAATTTTTGAGATCTCATCATCTGCGTTCAAAGCAAACCCTAGATTGACGGGATAATGCTTGGTGGCGGCCATGACATAGACAATGATGCTATTTCAAAACACTTAAAACGATAAGTGAAGAAATGCTAAGAATATAACATGATAAACATCAAATTCTCATGGAATCAAGATTTTTTTTCCTCATCATATACAACTAGGTTTCATGTCCGTACTTAATTGACCAGATACAACTCCCAAAATCTTATACAAAGAGCGCCCTAAAAGAAAATCATTTTATCTGTTACTCCGGGGGTACTAGGGATGCTATCCTCAAGTTCGAACGCAACTGATCTCCACAGCATAATGTGGCTGCCTCAGCAAGCAAACCAATCAGTATGGCCACCTTACTCGTGGCAAGAGATGGGAAAAATTATTTCTTGAAAAATATTATAACGCAGGAAATTAATGCATATGACAAATAAAAAGGCCTAGCAAGTGGCACTATAATCTCCAATCAACCTAATTTTTGGCATATGCTATGAACATAAATAACAGAGTATGGAAACAATGTTCATCGCAGGTTGCCAGTTAGCCCAATGAAAAACACGTTTAGTGCTGATCGCATGATCACTAAAACCTAATCCGCAAAAAAGAAAAAAAAAAAACAAGATTCAAAGTTTGTTACAAAAGTCTAAGCAGTTGAAAGTCTAACCTTTCCACTGTTGATTTGTCATTATTCCAAATGTTCAAATTGAGGTATATTACACACTTCTCTTAGCTTGCCACATCACGTCTGACAGTGTATGTGCCAACACAAAAACCGCGTTTTTAATTCGACAACGATGAGAAAGAAATCAAAACTAGATGCCGAAAGTGTTCTAACCCACCTTCAAAAAACACTCCAGCTGATAAAGAACCACCTAATCCAGGAGTGGGTAAGTAGCTATTATTCCTTATCCTGATAAATTAATCACTCATGTCCTGTACTGAGAAGGTAATACGTTCTTTCTAATATGAAAGTGAAATCCCACCACCCTTTTCTGACACGAAGATTAAAAAGAAAAAATAAATGAAATCACACAATTTATGATGATGCCATAAAGTGTATAGCACAATATCAGAGTCCCTCGACTGATAAGAATTATAAAACATTCGTCGTGGGGGTGTCATTTCTGTAAAAGTCTATCTAATTCGAATGATTGTCTTGATTGGTAGCAATCCTTTCTGTTTCTGTATAGATAACTATCGAGGCATAAGTATACAAAAAGTCAACTAATGAAACGACTAGGTACCGCATTGATACCATCCAACTTTCATAGTAGAAAAATAAATATCACTGGCCTTGAGGCCACTGATGACAGACATACCTTGATAAACTCGTCTGAGATCCCTTGGACAATTTCAACTATCAGCCCCACTTTCATCAGCTCCCTAACAAAACACTCGACACAGTCGTCCCGCGGATTTTCATCCTTCTCTTCCCTCTTGGGCACAACAATTGCCAGTTCGAAGGTCGTCACCTCTTCGCGATTATCCATCGCTGTCGGAGAAACCACCCACACCTTGGACCCATCAGACCGATGAATAAAATCGAGAAACGAGAAACGCAAACAGCGCGTCACAGAGGAAAACGCTGACCGAAAAAACTCCATACGAATTGATGATCAACATTGAAAGCAGTAGTATCGTGGAGGCGGAGAAGCCCAACATATCAAACATAAAAGCAACCCACCGACAGACGGACAAGTACCATTTGATCCTCTGTGGCGTAGGGTTGCCGCTCTTCCTCGGTCACATCAGACGCCAAGCTATCGGCGAAGGCCAGTCGATGGCAAGACGAACGGTGCAAGAAGGCTCTCCATTTTGAGAAGGCAGGGAGAAGACAGACGAAACAGATAATCGGTGCAAAAGGATTACAATCCGCCTAGGCGATAAGACAGGGAGTTTCCCTCTTCCGGGGGGGGGGAAGGGGCTGGGCGGCGTAGAATACGATGTAGGAACGGTCGAAGCCACCGCTTCGCCAGACGTTTGACCGGACACGTGGGTTCGCAGTGGAGCGTCACTGCTGATCTCCGTTTACCGACCTTGCGACCTGTTGAGCTCCCTCCCCCCAGATCTTGAGAAGATCCCATCGCCATGGGGGGGAGTCGCTTAAAATGGAAACCTCCTCTGGTCGCACGACGACGACCCACCGTGACGCCAACGTCCACTGAGTGACGTTTCTGAGAGACGGAGAGGTGGGCCCCAACTGCTGACTTCTTCCAGCTGACCCATCTGGGCCGCGCGTGCTCACCGATTATAACTCGTTGTCATTTATTTTCTATTTTTAATAGGGAAATATCTCATTTTTATTTTTAAATATATTTAAATTATTCCCGATAAATATGATATTATTTAAAATTCAGGCGTATGCTTATCGGGCAATATTTCATACGCGAAAAGACAATGGCACTGTTGAGGTGGTGACCATAACCCTTTAACTCATAGCAGTACAGGCGGAGGATGCGGTGAGCTTATCCCAACAATTTAAAGGGCAAAACACGGGGGCGAAGGGTCGGAGGGAGGGGGACTGAGGCATCTGGCCAGAAGGGAAGTCGGCGGATCTGTTCTTACGGTTCTCCCGCTCTGCGGGTCGGGCGTCGCCATGGATTTGCTCCCGACGGAGGCGCCGTTGATCGCGCAGAGGCATGGATTTAGGTCTCTCAAGCTCATCAACGTGGGCATGGACGAGCCATTGGCGGAGAGCCCCTTTGGGGTGCACTATGGAGTGCTCGAGAATGGACTAACCTACTACGTCCGCGCCAATTCCAAGCCGCGAATGCGCGCCGCTCTCGCCCTCGCCGTCAAGGTCGGGTACGTTCAATTTTCCTACTTCACTCTATCTTCACTCGATTCTCTCGGCAGCTAGAACGGAAATTTATTTAGCAGCTGCCAAGAGGCTATAAATTGTGGAAACAGGTAGTGAATAGTAAATTATAAATTATTTTATCGTGGCTTGGAAGTTCTCCATTCATTGAAGTGTTGTGGACTCTTGTGGCACCGCGAAGTCAAACAAACCCTGAGCAAGTATCATGGTGATTCCTCAAATGCTACGAGCCGGATTAGCCTAAATCACCCCCCCAATAAATATTGAAACAAATGGTGCGTCAGAGCTGTGATTGTCCAATGAAGTCAAAAGGCGGAAACCGCTCTAAATTCGGACGAGAGTAAAGGTTATTTGTCAAAGCTTAAAATCCTCTATGACAGGATGGTGTTATCAGTAATCATTCAAGAAAGCTACGATGATCCGTAACACCAAGACAACTGTATAGTCCCATCGTCTGATCGTGCACCAGGGTATAATCTGGTATGACCTGTGCAAAGTCCTCCAAGAATTATTCATGTCATTCCAATACATCTGTTTTTTTCTATCATTCCTTATTCTATACCACGTTTGAAATGTTTGCACTTCATCTCCTGAGCCATAACTCTGAATCCGTTTATGATCCGCCTCCTAGAAAGCACTCTCCGAAGGAAAAATATATCCAAGCTTCTCGGTTTTATCTGTGGTAGACCGACGTGAATGTAAGCTTTGCCTCATGCTTAATCAGAGCTGAATTTTTTTAGCATCCTATGTTTCTGATCCACTCTTTCATTCAGTGATTATGATATTAAAACATACTAGCTTAGTGACATCCTTCACGAATTACAAATCATTGCCTGCTAGGTGCAAACAATAAGTTTTCACCGACTGAATTGTCTTCTGACCATTCCTCCTCAATTTTATTCACTGTAGCATTTGCGTTGTTGTTCCCATTCTCTATACCATCAGTCTCTCCTAATTAGTTTCGAACTTGAACGATAATTCACAATACTGCTGCAGTGTTGGTGCGTACATCTAATGGGTTCTCACAATCCATGTCCCACTAATGACGTGTTAAAGGGACCAAGAACTTTTTTAGTGTTAAACCATCTTGTAGAATGAATTATAATGGTAGTCTTTGATTCCATATTTCGCCACTAATATTTTATTTAAAACACTCAATTGTGGCAGCTCAGTTTTGGAAGAGGAGGAGGAGCGTGGTGTTGCCCATATAGTAGAACACCTTGCCTTCAGTGCAACAAAGAAATATAGTAATCATGATATTGTCAAGTTCCTAGAAAGTATTGGAGCTGAGTTTGGTGCTTGTCAAAATGCATTGACGTCTTCAGATGAAACCATATTCGAGTTGCTTGTTCCTGTTGACAAGCCTGAACTCTTGTCTCTGGCTATTTCAGTTTTGGCCGAGTTTAGTTCTGAGGTAGGAACACTTCTTGACAATATTTATGTTGACAATTTATTTTTCTTTCAAGCTTCTCATCTCTTATATCATCTTTGTGTTTCAGGTTCGAGCTTCTGCAGATGATCTCGAAAAGGAAAGAGGGGCGGTTTTGGAAGAATATAGAGGGGGGAGGAATGCCATGGGTCGGATGCAAGACGCTCACTGGGTTCTTCTGTTTCAAGGTTCCAAGGTATTCTGACATTTTACTCAACTTTTTATTCGATGATTTCCCTTGTTTATTTTTTAAGCCCATGCATGGATCGCATTATTTATTAGATATACATTGGAATGCCACTGGGTCCTCGTTGAGTGCTTCTGCTGTGGTACTCTTTTTACTTTTATTCAAATTTACATTCTTTATTCACGGTTGATTATTCAAACTTCCCGAAAGGTGTTTGATATGAAAAATTGTTGTATTCAGTTAAAAGAGAACTATGAATCAAAGGTTATGAGTATGCTGTCACAAATATGTTCTCTAAATATCCTCATGCCCCGAATATTTTGTGAAATGATTCATTAGTCACATTGTTGCCTAGTATTTAATGCTGACTTAGAGGGGCACACACTCGCAAAAAAAATTAAAAATGAGTGTAGTATCCGTCACGTATAGACACATGATCCGAAGAGGTTTTGCAATCCTCACAGAAACACAGAAAAAATTACAATACTTTCCAATGCGGAAAAAATAGACTGCGAAAAGTATTATGTATGGCTCTTGACACCTCAATTCGCATACTGACATGCCTCTCCATTATTCTATTCTGCATTCCGTATCCACAGAATAGCATCCAATATCGTTCACTAAAACTTCTGAGGTATTTCATCTAAATTGTCTGCTATGCCTTTTGTAACTCAAATCCATCCATTTTCACTGGGTGAAGCATCAAGTACACTGAATAGAAATAATCTACTCTCTCTGCATAATGATAGAATGGTTAGTGGCATTGGTTACCATAGGAATCGTTAACTGAAACTTCCAGGATTGACATTAGTGAGGGATGGACCTCAGGTACCCAAGCCTCCCCTGAATTCTCCAGATCCCACCTGACTTTTTAGCCAATGTTCAGAAACTTATGAAGGAATTCGGTCTAGTTTTGGATTAATGAAGTTTTTTTCCCTACCCCACTGGGATTCCGGACTGCAAACTTAATTAAGTTTGTACACTGTACTGTATGTAACAAACATCGTGCCTTTTCTTTATTAGTTCTGTTAGTTTTTCATTGGAATTCTTTTGTCATTATTGTAATCCACAATTGGGTGACATAATCACTTAGTTCCCTGTCACAGATTTATTTTTTTTGTGAAGCTTTGTCGTTTTTTCAGTGTTCTACTGTTTGTACTCTTTCTATTAGTCACTCATAGAATTGGAGCTCACTGCAGTATGCAGAACGTCTGCCAATTGGGTTAGAAAAGGTGATTCGTACAGTTACTGCAGAGACAGTTAGACAGTTTTATCAGAAATGGTATCACTTGCATAATATGGCTGTCATTTGTGTGGGGGATTTCGAAGATCCACAGGTTCAAGTTTCCACAATTTCACTTTACCTCTTTTAGTGTTATTTTGCTTTATTGAATGGGGTAAATGTTGTTCTCTTTTGTCTCTTTTGCAGGCTGTTGTTGATTTGATCAAGGTTCATTTTGGTCAGAAACTCTCCTTACACAGTTCCCCTCCAGTTCTACCTGATTTCCCTGTTCCATCTCATGATGAACCACGTTTTTCCTGCTTTGTTGAGTCCGAGGCTGCTGGGGTTTGTACTTAATCAGACCATTTTTTATTCCCATGAATATTTGAATTTTTTTGATATTGGTGCCAAATTTGGATTGTGCTCACGTGGGAAATTTTCCAGATACATCTATATTATGTGATTATATGAGTACAACTACCTGTGAAAAAGATCACTTATGTGATTCATCTCTTGCTGGTGTCTGACAGTCTGCGGTGATGATCAGCTGCAAGATCCCAGCAGCTGAGATGAGAACAGTCAAAGATTACAGGAATTCACTCGCAGAAGCAATGTTCCATTGTGCCCTTAATCAAAGGTTCTTTAAGATATCTCGTAGAAAAGATCCCCCGTTCTTCTCTTGCTCTGCTGCTGCTGATATTCTAGTTCGTCCCGTTAAGGCCTATATAATGACTTCTAGTTGTAGAGAAGGAGGAACCGTAGGGGCCCTCGAGTTTATGCTCATGGAGGTAATTTTTATTATCCCTATGGAGACTTTGCTTGTAATTTTTCCTTCTCCCACGGATACACTATTTCCCAGGTTGCAAGGGTACGGCTCCATGGGTTCTCAGAAAGAGAAATAGCTGTAGTCCGTGCTCTAATGATGTCAGAGATTGAGTCTGCCTACTTAGAACGTGATCAGATGCAGTCAACAAACCTGCGTGATGAATATCTACAAGTATGTTTAATAATCTATTTTTCTTCTCTCTCTGAACTAGAGTCTGAATGTTTTGGTCTAATTCATTTTACTCGAAACCATGTCACATGCAGAATTTTTTGCCCTCCGTTTTTGTCATTTTCCTGCAATCTGTGTTAAAGTGCGAAATCAATAACTTCTGTAGCAATTTCTGTCGAACCTTGGTTATGCTTGATCTTTAGTACTTCATATGCTTCATAGAATGAAATAATTATTTGAAAATGGAAACACCCTCGATTCCTGTTCACTGCCGTCTTTGTATATTTGATTCTAAGTAAGATAACTGCAATTCCAGGCCTCCTCATCTCAACCCTGCTCACTCTGTTAATAACATGCACGTATTGGAACTAGTAGGCTTTGCTTATGTGGGATAGGTCATGAACCTTGTGCTTATTTCGTGTTGTTATATGTTCCGGGACTCTTGGATCAAAGAGATCATCATCAGCTATATATTTTTCATCCCTCTAGGAAATAATTTCTGCAAATAAAGCTGTTTGTATTTTTGTTATTTTATCTCTAGGATAATAATGGTATTAAAAACTTGAGCAATGCCAACAAGTGCGTTTCTGTTTATACTATTTTTTGCTTAGAAGTCAAGTATTTTTCCAAAAATCTTGAGAAAAAAAATAGCACAGGACATTCTCTTGGTCACACTGTCGCTGGGATACCTATTAACTGGACATTCAAATGTTCTTGAGTTTACTGCTCTGGTTTTACAAGAGCCAGGTTCATGTGTTGATAACGTTACTTTGGTTACTGATATTATTTTAACTTATCTTTGTTGAACACTGCAGCACTTTTTTCGGAAGGAGCCTGTTGTAGGGATAGAGTATGAAGCCCAACTGCAAAAATCAATCTTACCCCGTGAGTACACTTGGAAATTTTTTGCAGACATCTTTCCATTAGAGGAAACTAGTTATTGCGATTGGATTCTTTTCGCATTGTAAACTTAAACGACATAAACTTCACGCATCTCTGATTAAAATTCTGGTAAGATATCATGTACTTAAATCATAGGGGAAACTTTGTGCTCAAATTTCGACCTAAAAGTAGTTTCCGCATTTTTTTGTTATGTCATGGGGAATAAGGTGATTTAGGTTGAACCAGAGTCCTGGTGCTTACGATTAAATGAAGAGATACATTCTGGATTTTTATGTAATATATTTCACGTGATCAGATGATGAACGAAAGATTCGGCCATATTCTGATCTCTTTTTGAGTCAGATTGAGGCCCAGTCAGATGTGGTTAACCGATTTGATTCTACGGACAAGCTTCGAAGCAGTCTTTGCAAGACAGATCATGTATGGCAAGGAAATCTAGACCCAGTGCATTTGTTCACATTGCAGAGGCTTAAAATTAGTCGGGGTTATTTGTCAGAAAACTTTGCTCATATTAGGCGTTATTACATATTTTTCCTGAAATTTGTTAATGTTTTTAATTTAAAGACTATCTAATCAATCACTTTATTATTGGTGGAACCCTTACACCTACCACTATTTGTAGTGTATCTACAAATGCTAGCTTGTATACAGTCATTAATATTTGCACACCTATCTTGTCGTATTTATGGGCATGGATTTAAGTTTCACCCTCCAACGAGCGTGGATGTAGAAACCTCTTAACTTTTATGCTTCTTGAGTTGAAAAGTATATTCTCGAAAGTTTTGAGGATTAACTGCTCCTGATCTAGTACTTGCCCATCCAAATCCCAGAATTTTGACAAAGCTGCCTAATGACCTATTTGATAGTCTCCTGTATGATCACATCATTCCCTCTTGTGATTAAACCTCTTGGGGCTATCATCCACCGGTCATAATGTTACAAAGTTTCCATAACTTGCATAAAAGGCGTGGAAAAAATGATCTTCTAGTAATTTTAAAAATGTCAGATGGGAAGTTTTCGTGTCTGGATGGTAGATGATCTCTTTATTGTTCATAAATGCTTGGCAGATATCTCAGCAGAAGAAGTATCCAAATTTGCTGTAAATTTCTCTACATCATGCAGTTGTGTGATTAAGATAGTTGAACATCGAGCTCGTGCAACATTAGACGATCTGAAAGCTTCTGTCTCAAAAGTCAATACTTTGGAAGGAAAAAGAGGTATTCCACCCTGGGATGATGAGCATGTACCCGAGGAAATTGTTTGCAATAAGCCAAACCCAGGGTATGCCTATTTTAATCTTATCCGGATGCTTGGCTCTGCAAGCACCTTATATTTCTGGTATTATTGATTACATGCTGCTCCCATATGCACATTTCCGCCAGATAATATTAATTGACTGATGTTTTATTGGGTTATTTTATTTACTGATTACTCTCTTGCCCTTGTGCCTGTGGTAGTTTTTAAGGCACTGGCGATTTGACAAACTCTATATTCTTTCTTCACTTTATGCAGTATGGCCATTGATCTTTGATTGTGGATACTGTTCTGTTCACGTTTAAAGTATAGATATAGTGTGATGATTATTACTCGTTGGTTGAATACAAAGGGATTCTTATATAGACCCCCAGAACTAGTTGATTTTTCATGGCTTGAAACTTTGTTGTGTACTCTGGTTGGATTGGAATGGCGGTGAAAATTAATTTTGCATAAAGAGTTCATTATTAGTATTGTCAGATTTGACAGGGTTACTGTGCCTTTTTTATTTCTCTTCTCCAATGACACAGGATTCTCGAAAATCCGACTTTTTGTGATTGTTGTCAAGTAGATGAGTGAACGATAATTTTTCTTTAAGAAGGCATGTGTTTTTTATTATCCTCTTTTTTGTGATTAAGTCGGTGCATTATTCTTTATTATTGAAGTGGGCCGTGACCTAATTTTTGTTTACATCTAGACTACTCTCAGAAGTTAGTTTCTTGGTTGTTGACAAAATGAATTTGGTCACATAATCTATGTTCTTGTTTTGCCTTTAGCTTGATCCGCCCGCTTTTATTAAGATACCATTATTTATGTTGAATCTGCTTCATGTTTCTTTTCCTACGATGAAAAGGCATAAATCTTTGCCAGAACCCGTTTCTCACTTTCCAGAGGATGTAAATGATGTCACATAAACAAAAGATAGCATGAAATTATGAAGTAGGGAAGAAAGAGTTTCGAATTAAAAATGGGTACATATGCATCTTGGTCTTCTCATTGCCAGTTTTAACAAGGCGATTTGTTAGGTTTCGTAATTGGCCTAAATTTGATCATGTGTCTAAAACTGATTCCTTTCCCTCTGAAGTCCAATCATGTGTCAGTTCTCTACAATCTATTTAACCAATCTTCTTTTGTTTCGTTTAAACAGTGTCACTTGTTCACTAAAATCCAAAGAGAAAGGAATACATATAAAGCATCTGTACTCTGTACAGAACTCTATATAATACATGTGAACTGTGAATTGTATTTTAAACGTTCAACGTTCTAACCTGCGGGGTCACATTTGTGCCATCATTTGCTCCGGGCCTTGAAAATAAAAAAGGCTCTGGCTATTATTATTAAAAAAGAGATCTTTTGAAAGATTTCTGTAAGCCATAGAGACATGATATATGCACAGAAATCAGCAGCACACTTGCTGCAATATCAGAACAATATACCTGTGGAATCGATCAGTAATATATTTTGCAATATGATAAAAATGAATGGTAAATGGCTCCATAATGATTGTGTTTCTTGGATCGAAACTTGTACTATCTGTTTTCTCATTTGGAAACTAAATCGTCTAAATTTTAAAAATTGCATAGATTTTCTCACACTCATCTATGTGAATAAAAGTTAGTGTTCTGCAAACATCCTTCTTTGGGGCCTGTTTTTATTGCTTTGCTAATTGGCTGTATATTCCTATCTGGGCTATATTTCCTTTCCTCCCTGCATCTTTGCGTCTCTACTAATATTTTAGTATATCGCTTGAGCTTTTAAGATGACATCCTCGATTTTTTAAAAAATTTCCATTATTTTCATTTTGCTATTCCTGAAATATCATGTAGTATATTATCTAATTTCCCACTGGTTTACAGATTTATTGTGCAGCAATCGGAATTTCCAAATATAGGGGCTACTGAACTCACGTTATCAAATGGAATAAAGATCTGCTATAAGTGTACTGACTTTCTTGATGATCAGGTAATTGTTTTTTGGTTCCATCTGAAGATGTAAACCATGTTTACTTCATGATTCCATGTATGAGGGCTAAAACCTGCTTCAAAAAAAGTCTTTTGTATGGAAAATGTTGAGAATTGATCTTGATTGAGATTCTTGCAACCTGGAGAATGAAAGGAGACGATCTTCACGAACCTCCTTTTCCAGGAAGATGAATTAGTCACCACTTCTTGGAGCAGAGTTTCCGCAATCCCAAATTCTTACATCAATTATTTTGGTTTCCCGCTTAAGTACAGGCAGATGAGTTAATGGACCAGGCCCATTACATTTGTCTTTAAGTGAATCCATTAACAGTCTAATGGATCCACTTAACATAGGGAATGACAGAGGACGAAAATATAGTGAAAAGAAACAGATAGAAATGAAAAACAATACTAGGGAGTTCAACACCACCTCTCAAGTTGGGTATGGATGTTTTCCATGCCCAACTTGGACACCATCCTTTGAAATACTGGTCTTGTGAGTCCTTTTGTGAATATGTCAACAACCTGTTATGATGTCCCAACATATATCAGATCTACATCTCCTGTTTCTATTTTTTCTTTGATAAAATATGGATTGACCTCAGTATGTTTGATCTTGTCATGTTTTACAGGATTTCGGGCAATAGCTATTGCTGACTTGTTGTCACAAAACAATTTCATATGATTTGACTGGTTGACTCTCAATTCGTCCAGCAGACCTTGAATCCATAAGCCTTCACATATCCCTTTGGCCAATGCCCTGAATTCTTCTTCAGCACTAGATCGTGCAACTACTTCTTGCTTCTTGCTTCTCCAGGTCACAAGATTTCCACAAACAAATGTATAGTTTTGTGCAACAAATGTATAATAACCCGATGTTGATATGCGATCTATAACAGACCCTACATAAGCAGCATTGGTATAGTTTTCAACATATTGATCCCCTCTTTTTTTGAATAGAATGTCCTATCCCGTTGTTGTCTTTAAATATGCCAACATCCAATATGTTGCATGTAGGTGTATCTCCCTTGGATCATTCATATGCTGACTGAGTACATTCACTACAAATGTTATATCCGAATGGGTATGATTTAAATATATCAACCTCCCAATCAACTGTTGTTATGAGCTTCTGTCCACTTGATTAGAGTCTTTACCTTCTCCCAAACTTAGGTTGGGATCAAGTAGATTGTCAGCAGATGTACACTCTAAATTTCCAGTCTCTTGAAGTAAATCAAGAATACACGTGTTGTGAAAGAAATACATTTTCTTTTGAATATGCAACGTCAATTCCCAAGAAATATTTTAATCTTCTTAGGGATTTGATATCAAATTCCCTAGATACATTTTGGCCAAAGCATTTAATCTCCTCAGTATCATCTCATGTTATGATGATATCATCTACATACACCATTAAAGCTGTAACCTTGTTTGGGTCACCATGCTTAATAAAGAGAGTGTGATCCTCATTGCTTTGTATGTACCCAAATCCTTTCATAGCTTGAGTGAATCTCTCAAACCAGGCTCGGGGTGATTGTTTTAAGTCATATAGAGATTTCTTCAACATGCAAATAACATTATTTTGATGAATAAATGTGTAACCTGGAGGTACATTCATATACACTTCTTCCTCTAAATTTCCGTGAATAAATACATTCTTCATATCAAATTGATGTAGTTCCCATCCTAGATTTACTGCCAATGCTATAAGTATCCGGACGGTATTCAGTTTTGCAACATGAGCAAATGTCACAAAATAATCAATTCCATGAGATTGTGAATAGCCTTTGGCCACCAACTTTGTCTTGTATCTTTCCAATGTTCCATCAGCTTTATACTGAGTCTATACCCACTTGCAGCCAACCACCTTTTTCCTGAAGGCAAAAGGACTAAATCTCATGTACAGTTCTTCTCTAGTGCATCAATCTCTTCATCTATGGGATGACTTCATTCTTTGTGTGACAGGGCTTCTTCTACTGTCTTAGGGATAATAATTGTCTTCAGGTTCATAAGAAAAGCCTTGTACAATGGTGTTAACCTATCATACGATAGATAGTTGACCATAGGATAGAGTGGTTTATTTATACAACTTCTCTTTCCTTTGCGTAGAGCAATGGGTCATTCTAGTTGCTCTTCATCAATGGTTTCAGTGAAGTGATTGTCCTCTTCTTGATCGGTACTATCAATTTGAGATGTGTCTCTTGTACTTGGACTAGTTTCTTCTGTTGGTTCTCTCTGCAGTACAGGTAAATCATTCACCTCAGTTGGTATATTTTGTGTCTTCACTCTAGGTCATCTTTTATACACTTGTATTTCTTTGATTCTAAGAATGGGTCTCCTGAATCATGAATTCATTTATGTCCTGTAACTCAGTGGCACCAATCGAGTTCTCTAACTCTTGTGGATTTTTCACCCCATAATATGGTTCTAACTCATTAAAAGTAGGATTATAACATAACCCTTTCACATAGTTGAGTACCCAGTAAATATGTATTTTATAGGTCATGGATTAAGTTTTCTTACTATGCCTTGAGGATGAACATAAACAGTACATCCAAATACCCTTGGACGAAGATGAGTCTTTAGTTTCACATGAGGATATAATTTGGCCAACAGTTCCATAGGACTTTGATATTCTAGTATTTTTGCTGGAATCCTATTAATAAGATGAGTACTAATGAGGACAGCGTCACCCCAATATTGCCTTGGAACTTTTTGTTGAAACAAAAGCGCTCTAGCTGTATCTAATAAGTGTCCAATTTTTCTCTCAACCATCCCATTTTGTTGGGGTGTATTGACACAAGATGACTCATGAATTATCCCTCTCTGATCAAAGTAAGAGGACACAACCGAATTAAACTAGTCTCTAGCATTATATGATCTAAACCTCTTGACAACAGTTCCGCATTGATTATAGATCATTTCACAAAAAGATTTCACCACTTGGGTGGCATCTGATTTGATTTTAGGAGGTAAATCTAAGTAAACCTGGTACAATCATCAATAAACAAGATAAACCACCTGCATCTAGACAAGCTAGTCATAGGAGCTGGCCCTCATAAATCAATATGTATACGATATAAAGGGATTGTACTATGTTCACCCTCATTTTCAAATGAGGAGCATTTGTGTTTGGCCAATTGACAAGCGTCACACTAGAATTTTTACATCACGACCTTCAAACACTGAAGGAAACCATTTTTTTAAGAGATCAAAATAAGGATGTCCAACACGGGAATGTTGTAACAGTATACTACTCTTTTTGTGTTCACTGACTCCACTCCAAGGTGACTGTTGTACAGACATCGTTGCACAATCATCCTCTTCCTAGTAGAGCAAGCCTCCTCCTTCCTTAACATGTTCAATCTTCAACCTTGAGACCTTGTCACAAAATGAACATCTATTGTCCTCAACAATGAAATGACAATTAATATCTTTGACGAGTTCCTGCGGTGAAATCAAATGAGCCTTTAGTTTAGGCACATGTAAAGCATTTCTTAAAGTGCCTAATGATTTATTTTTTAAGTTCCCAATCCCTTCAACTAATAGAATCTCCCCACCAGCACTAATAACTTTTCTCTGCCCATCACATTTCGTATAATCAACAAATTTGCACATATTTGAGATCATATGGTTTGTGGCGCCAAAGTCAAGTATCTAAGACAATTTAGAAAAATTGTTGAATGCATATGATTTTGAGAAAAGTTTATTCTCACTTGACTGACCCAAGGACATATTCTTGAGTTTCTCTACTTCCTCTCTCAGTCTTTTAAATTCATCACCCTTCTGTTGATTACGAGGATTGGAAGGTTCCTTCATCACAGATTGACCTTCTATAGTCTCTGCTGGTTGAGAAGTAGCCACATAAGCCCTCACTTGTTGAGGTGGTCGTTCATATAGCTTCCAGCAGTTTTCTCTTGTATGCCGCTTCTTCTTGCAATATGAACACCAAAGGTTTTCTTTGTTATCTCACTCTTGGTATCTTCCTTGTGATGCAGTGATTATGTTTTGATTTCCCTCCTTTTTCTCTAATTGATTCCCCTGATCTTGCTTGCTGGAGGCAAAGGTTGATGGCTCATTCTTCCCTAGTATTGATTAAACTCAATCTACTCTCCTCTTCCATAACAATCTGGATAGTTTCATCCAGATCAGGTACCTTCTCACGATGTAGAATTTGACCCTTTAGGCTTTTATAATCATAGTTTAGTCCCACTAGAAATGTATACATTGTGTTTTAATGTTTGCATGTGCTCCTTAGAACTAGGATTCTTTACTGGCCAATAATGGTCAATCTCCCTCCATATAGTCTTTAATTCACATAAATATTTTATAATTGATTTACTTCCTTGCACTAAATGTGTTGTCTTAGACACCAGGCTAAATCCTTCAATCGTTGTGTTTCTTTGAACAACTTTTGTGAATTTGATCCCTCAATTTCTTCACCGAGTGTATGAATAAGAAATTCTCATACATCTTTTGTGCCATTGTACTTCAACCATATATGGATAATAACCTCGTCTGATCTCCATCCTCTATAATTTAGATCTGATTTTTTTAATGGTTCTTCTATAAGGTGATCTATTAAGCCTCTTTCAAGAAGTGTCAGATCAACAAATTGCTCCTATTAATGAAGATTTATCTTATTCAATTAAATTTCTCTGGGATATTTGGGAAAGTATGACATAGTCTCTCCCTTTCTTCAGTTGTCGCTAGAGATGATACGAGTTCTATAGATGATGAAGAGCCTTCCCCTGAATGCATTTTGAAAGTCTTTTTCCTTCATACTTTTCAGAATGTCTCAGTTCACTACGTGCAGAGGGTTTCTTTCTTCCTTTGTGTTGCTCCAACACAGAAACAAGAAAAACAAGATTCAAGAAACAAGAGACAAGTATCTGATCTTACCAGAATCAGCACCGCTCTGATACCATGTTGAGAATTGATCTTGATTGAGATTCTTGCAACTTGGAGAATGAAAGGAGTCGATCTTCACGATCTTCCTCTTCCAAGAAGATGAATCAGTCACCACTTCTTGGAGCAGAGTTTCCGTAATCCCAAATTCTTACAACATTATCTTGGTTTCCTGCTTAAGTACAGGTTACATGAGTCAATGGGCCAAGCCCATTACATTTGTCGTTAAGTGGATCCATTAACAGTCTAATGGATCCACTTAACGTAGGGAATGACAGAGAAGGACGAAAATATAGTGAAAAGAAACAGATAGAAATGAAAAACAATCCTAGAGAGTTTAACAGAAAACACTGTTGGTGTTTGGATGTACATGTTAGGACTGATCTCAATTTTCTGCTTTATGAATCTAGTTGGGTATTCTTGGCACCAGGATGCCATTCTCCTGCCGTTGTTCAAAGCTATGCTTTGCTTCTTATTTTTTTGAGCTTTATCAAAGCGTTGAACTGGTTTTATGCCAATTATTTATTGCCTTGACCGGTTAGATTACGATATTCTGTCCTTATCAGAAGTGTCAGTAATACTTGTTCGTTAAACGTCAAAGGACAACGCTCATGTAAGCTTTTATTGAGCTCTTAATATACCCGATATGCAGTTATTTTGTGCTATACCGGGATAGTGAAGGCCAGATTAACTGAAACAACCCTAAATGAAAAGTGAGGTCATTTCTCATTGAATTGAACCCCTCTGAATTACTATCTAAAGTAAAAAAAAATTTATCTCGAAGGCTAAGTAAAAACATAGAAAATTTCTAAAATTTCAAGAACTAGATTCACTGACGGAAATATGCATATGACGAAATGAATCTATAATTCATTTGAATAATTCATAATAACTTTCATTTGAATTTTAACTTTTTTCTGATGATCCCCTGCTTTGTTCCATCATAGACTACCCTGTCAAAACATTTGGGTTATGCTTGTGATGTTTGCCAACTTGAAGTGTATAAGTTGAGATACCACCGATTCAGCCATGCTGCAATGAAATGCATTATTTATTCGTTGATCATCCGTTGCGATCATCATAAGATTCTCACCTGTGTGTGAGTAAAATACCATATAACGAAACTATTGGATCGGCTGGAATATCTGAGTCTTAAATCTCGATGACTGTTCTTTTTCACTGCTTCATTGTTCTAATTTGACTGCTATCCTTTACATTGACTGGCTTGTTTTAACTTAATTCCCTGACATTTCTATGTGAAGTTATTTTTTTTTTGTTCCAAGATAATGAACCCATTTTAGTTTATGGCTGATGTATTTGACAGGTAGTTTTCACTGGTTTTTCCTACGGTGGATTATCAGAACTTTCAGAAAGTGACTATGTTTCGTGTTCAATGGGACCCACTATTGCTGGAGAAATAGGGGTCTTCGGTTACAAGCCTTCTGTGCTTATGGATATGCTTGCTGGTAAGAGAGCTGAAGTTGGTACAAAAGTCGGAGCATACATGAGAACATTTTATGGTGATTGCTCACCATCGGATCTTGAAACTGCGTTACAGGTTTATATGCTCAACTCCGTCTGCTTGATGACTTTACTGTCTCAGATTCTGTCTTCTGAATATTGATCACTTAACTACTTGCTGAACTTGCAGATTGTTTATTTCATCGATCAAATGGACAAATCATGTGTTTTTTTTCATTATGTAAAATTTCCTAGGGATGAGATGAAGATCCGTCTTTGTTCTGTTGAGTTTCTTCATAATTAAACATTCGTATATATTTTGACGTTAAGAAGTGCTGGCCTACTTTGGATCTGGAAGAGACTTCTGTCTTTCTATTCAGTTTTCCCGTTGCATTATCCTGTGTGAATTCAATGTTTTTGCTAACCAGAGGTATCTTTAACACTAACATTTAGCTTATAAACGTGAATTTTGTTTCCTTGTTGTAAGAAATTACCTGCGTATGAGATCGTGCTGTTTGATATTTCTAGAAACAAACCATTGCATTACCTTTCAATTAGATTAACACAATAGTTTACAGGACAAACTTTTGGCCACTTCTTGTGTTTGAGTTAATTGTGTGTGATTCTACCTCTATTCTTCATTTATGGCCTCTTCTAATCCAGTTTATTGTGCAAGCTCTCTGCAGCTGGTCTACCAACTTTTTACTACTAGTGTTAAGCCAGGTAATGAAGAAGTAAAAATTGTAATGCAAATGACAGAAGAGGCAATTCTTGCACAAGAGAGAGATCCATACACAGCCTTTGCCAACCGTGTACGAGAGTTGAACTATGGGAATTCCTATTTCTTCCGGGTATCCCTCTCTTCAGACCTCACATTTTTTTGCATTTTTTTCAACCTCTCAATTTTTTTAATTTATTGGTGACTTATAAATCGGATCGTTATGCAGCCAATCCGAATTTGTGATCTTAAGAAGGTGGACCCTATTAAAGCATGTGAATATTTCAACAATTGTTTCAAGGATCCCTCAAATTTTACTGTGGTCCTTGTGGGGAATATACATACAGAAACAGCTCTTCCTTTAATTTTGCAGTATTTGGTGAGTTCACTTCCATCATGATAAATATAAAACTGAAATGGCCATTTTTTTGTGGAATACTAATATCTTATATTTTCAGGGAGGGATACCCAAACCGTCCAAACCTATTTTGCATTGTAACCGTGATGAATTGAAAGGCCTGCCGTTCACATTCCCAGCTAAAGTAATTCGGCAAGTGCTTCCGTAGACCACTTTTTGTTGATAGAAAACAATTGATATATCGTCTCACTTTCTCTTTTGTATTTATCTCTGCTTGTTTTCCTGTGATAATCAGTCTAGATCACCCTAATAAGTTGAATTTCACGCGTATAGGGAAGTGGTTCGTAGCCCCATGGTGGAAGAACAGTGCTCTGTTCAGCTAGCATTTCCAGTGTTGCTCAACAATTCCTCCATGGTGGGACAGATTCTTGGTTCTTTTTCTTTTGCCTGAAAGACTTCGAGTCTTTACATTTTTCTGATTGATGATCTGAAATTGAGTTCGAGGGAGTATTTCTTTACTCTTTGCCTGATTTTTGCTCTTTCTTCTTTCAAGATGGAGGAAATTCACTTCGTTGGATTCTTGAGCAAGATTCTTGAAACAAAAATTATGCAGGTTCTGAGATTCAAACATGGGCAGGTATTCCGTTACGACATAATAATTTGGTGCATCTGACATAGGTCTAATGTGCTCATCCCGTGCCTTTTCCTTGCAGATTTACTCTGTAGGTGTATCAGTCTTCCTTGGTGGTAATAAACCGTCAAGGACTGGAGATGTACGCGGTGATATAAGTGTGAACTTTTCATGTGATCCGGCTATCTCATGGAAGCTTGTATGTGCTTCATTCTGCAGGAAGACCTATGACAATATTAAAAAAAAGTCTAGAAATGCCATATTGGAAAGTTTACTGTGGTTTCTCCTCTTTAAATCCACTTCTAAGGAAAGAGCCTTCTACAGGTTGATCTCGCTCTGGATGAGATATTACACATTCAAGAGCGTGGCACGTCTGATCAGGATGTCCTGAGCGTTCTTGAAATTGAACAACGTGCTCATGAAAATGGTTTACAGGTTCTGTTGTACATATGTCAAATTGTTAACATTTAGGCTGCTTGAATCCCCCGAGTTTTTTTTTTCAAACTCCGTAAAAGTGCCATTTGATTTCAGGAAAATTATTATTGGATGGACCGCATTCTGCGTAGCTACCAGTCAAGATCATATTTTGGTGATGTTAGTGCATCTTTTCAGGTAGTCCATCTCCTTCTCATTAGTTATTGCTTTTTTCAGCTTTCTTTCTGGGTTGCTACTCATGTCTGCGGCATTCAAAATTGGCTTTTTGCGTTTATAGTTTGTGTCTACCGTTGACTCAAATGGCATTTTGTCACCCTCGCTTATTTAGATTGAATTCTCTATTTTCAAGCACCAGGTCTCGTTGTGAGGCATATATCAGTAGCTTCTGCATCGTATCGTTGCTATTCCATTCCTGGTTGAATCTCTGCGTAATCCACTACCATCTGATTTCTGGGCAAGGCTCAAAGGTTTCTTTAGGGACCCATGAGACTCTTAACACCCTTCCCTCCCTGAAAAAGGTAGCAAAAGAACTTGATCTCGATGGTTACTGTCATACCATCAGGTGTTTGTTGGCACCCAACACGAGCCTGCTGTTTGGCAAGGCCTGCTGTGATCAATGGGAGGCCGGTATGGCGGAGGATCATATGGAGAAAGGTTAAATGACTGCCTTGTGCGGGGAAACACAGTGGACGGAGCATGTTCAGTGGAGGGATAAGATGGTGCCTTCTTTCCAATGTGTCTAGAAAGCCTCTCAGTCGTCATCTGGTGAATTCTTGAGACTTACGGCTGGGTGCTGGTGACGGTTGAGCAGGTTCGTTGAACGACTAGACTGGAGCCGGCATTCTCTCGGAAGGATTCTGGTTATTTAGTTCGAATATCTCCTCTTAATCTGTAAAACGGCTGAGGAACTGGAATTCCTAGACCATGTTAGCAAACGGTGAGAGGAAAGGCCTGCGCTGTTGAACACGATTGTTATTCTGCGACAGAAATGAACCATGAAAGGAGAAAGTAGTGAGGAGATGGCTGGTCTATGCTATTCTCCAGGAGAAAATGAATTCTGGAACTGGTGGAGCCAAGCGATGTCGAGGAGATGATTCTTATTGTTGCAGAATGCAGGAAGGGAATTCGGATGGGAAATTTAGGAGCTGTTCTTGTTGTAAGGATAGTCTTACCCAATTGCCCCGAGAAGCTTAGCCCGATGCTTATCCGGGATGTACTTTGCGGACATCTGGCCTGGCAGCCCTAGAGAAACAATGTACTGAGCCCTTACCCCTCGCGCGAGGGCCGCTGCTCCACCTGGTTGGACCATTTTTTTCCCTCTGTTTGGAGGAAACAGGAAGCCAGAATATGATATATAATGCATCTGCAGATCTGTGGTCCCTTTTATTGCATTATGTGTCGGTAACTCTTAATGGAAAGGGCAACTCTTGTCTCACGTGTCCAGAGTAAAGACGTGGCTTTTCTTCACTTCATTGTGTTCTTGGAAGGGAACTAGCTGTGGCCGAGATTATGCTTCTTTCCATTTCTGCCCCGAGAAATTTCTCCTCCAGCTCTTGCTCCTTCCAAATGCAGGTTCAAGACGAAGGACGCACTAAGGTTAGAGAATCCCTGACACCAGCGACGGCCCAGTCGGCGCTGCGAAGGATTTTGCCTTTCCCGTGCAAGAATCAGTACACTGTCGTGGTCCTCGTGCCTCAGATTTCCTGGTTGAAGGCGTTCAAGTCGCTCTTCCCCTCGAGGTTGAAAGATCTCAGCCGGGATGCCAAGGTGGGATTCAACCTCCATTTTCCCATCTTCAAGCTCTCCGATCGAATCTGCAATGACCAGGGTTTAATTTCAGTTTCCCCTCTACATCCCTCCTAAACAATCATCTGATGGTCCGCAGGTTCTGGCGGGCGCTGCAGGCGCAGCGGTTCTTGCGATCACCCTGTGGAGACACCTCAGGCGGTCCCCAGGCAGGTAGCCCCCAGCAGCCCCTTCCAACTGACCCTCCACAGAACGGGCCAATGCCTAACTCCTCTCCCTCCCCAAGCAACCAGACAACTAGTAACAAGTACACGCCAGATTAACGCCAACATGCCGCAGATTGGCAGCTTCTAGCGATGTCAGACTGATTCATCTTCAATAGCATCCCGCCGCAGCCGCTAGTCCGTACCTCTCTGTGCCGCCGATTCCCGTGACGTGCTGCTCGTGGCTGCATCACTGCGCCGTCGTCTTCTGTCTGGATGGGCCTACCGGTTTCCGTAGCCTCCCGCAGGGGCGCTTTTTCCGACAAGGAGAATTAGAGCTAGGAAAGGCGAGCGGTTGCGGCCGGCCCGTCGGCAGAAGACGCGTCGAGGTCACTGGACGCCAGTACCGTGCCCCCCGCGGTTCCTTCCGTATAAGACGACGCCCTGCCAGATGCCGACGGCGGCTAGAAAGTTGCGTCCTTTTCGGCCGATCTTTGGGTAAATATTTGTGGCAGCGTTATTTTAATCGATGACGAAGCGCCGCCCCTGCGGTGGCGGTATTCAGAATAGTCTATGGATCATATCCAAGATGGGCCCCATAAATGATGAACCCTAGAAATGACGACGCGGAGAGAGGCCCACCTCTGGCCCTTGCCGAAGTGGACGAAGTGGGGCATCAGGCTCGAACACCGATTCTTTCATTAGTTGAAACCCAATGCATAGACTAAGACCCTTGCCGTGTACGCGTTCGGGTCAATAGTCTGCGTGTTTGTACAATACTCTCGGCCGCTTTTTTCTTCGTTGACCGACTGGGCGCGTTTGGAACGCGCCGTCTGCTAGAGGGAAGTGGAGGGTGTGCAAGCGACGGGCCTTCAATCATGATCACGGCCGCTCTGGAGTCCTTCTCTATGAGTTAAGGAAGGAGATTTTCTTTTCCCGGGGAAAAAAACTGTACAGGACGGGAAGAAGAACAGGAGTCGTGTAGAGGAGGATGAGGCAGGGAACTCAGCTCGACGAGGAAGTAGCTCTTCGCTATACACTACGAACAAATGCAACGGAGCAGCGAGGAAGTACGGGCACGGCTGCTACGCTCCCCATCTGCCGTCCGACGACCCCATACTGTAGTCCTGATCCCGATCCTGCAGGAACAGGCAGACGGCGGAGCAGTCGTCTACTCTGGAGGAGGGAAACTTCTGCCTCCAAGCCCGCGCCGCAGCCTCCGCCACCGCTTTGGATGCCTCATCCCTGGTCTTCGCCGACCGCACTATGGCCACTACCTCCTCGTTCGTCAGGACGTCCCACACCTGTCACATCATGGGGGGGTGTGTTAGTGGCTGGAGGCACATTTGGGGCGAGTCACCGCGGTACGAGTTGGTGGGTCTCTCCAGGCACCTACCCCGTCGGTAGCGAGAACGATGAACTGGTCTCGTGCGGTGAGCCGGCGGTAGGAGACCTGCGGGACGGAGATGACCCCGTACTTCTTCAGCTGGAAGTCCCCGAAGGCTCGAGCCATGGCGAGCCCCGGGTAGTCGTCGTCGGGGAGCCACACCCGCGCTATGTCGGGCTCGTCCCTGAGTGCGAAGATCCTGCCGTTGTTCCTCTTGATCCTCTCGGCCTCGTCTGGAACGATTCAGCGACCGTTAGATCCACCGTTCTGCGGATGATTCGATCTCTTAACCGGAGGAGATTTAGAGGGGCTTACGAGGGAGACTGGGCTTCAAATCGGTGGTGAGAGGGACGACCAAGAGGTCACCTTCCTCGGAGAGGGTGCCCAGGACTGCCCTCGAATCCCCGAGATTGGCGATTATCAGGTCCTTGCCCTGTTGAGTTCATAAACCCGGTGTTAATGGAGGAATCGAAGAATTCGGGTCCTGAAGTGGGGTTTAAGAGGAGGAAGAAACCCACTAACTTGCTTGATTATGGTGACGGCGGTAGTGCCGCTGTAACGGCACTCCAGGTCGGCGTCCATGCCGAGCTCCCTGTCCATGGCCTTGAAGGCGCTGATGCAGGCCTCCTTCCACTCGTCGAACATCTCCGGCGACGATATGGAGCTGTCGTCGAAGTCCTCTGAGCTCTCGGCATCGCTGTCGTAGTCCTCGTCGGAGAGGAGGAGGGCATTCCTGTGGTTCAGCAGGAGGGAGGGAAGGCGATCCCGGACCACCTTGCTCACTCGGTGGCCGTTCCTGCCATGGCCGTCGAACACGCCGCAGAACACCCCGTCTTCCAGCCCGTAGCCCTGCAAAAAGGTCCATAGCTCAATCAACGTCGTCCTTGCTTCAACTTTTTTTTTCAAAAACGAATGAGAACTCAAACGGAAGAGACCAGATAGATAGATGCTAGATGCCCACTGAAATGAATGACTGGGAGGAATACGATAGGAAACTTTTTCCGGCTACTGTTAATCCCGGATAAAGGAAGAACACCTAAGAGCCTGCTTCCAGCCAGAACTCTACCCGAGGTCCTCCATTTTCACACGGGAAGTTTCCTCGAGAGAAGCGTGTCAACGGTTAATCTCCCACAGATGATGGCGGGAATCCCTTCTCTCGCATGGAACAGTCAACAGAACCTGATCAGGCTAACGCTCCCCTCTCTAATCTCCCAAGTCCCGTTCGACGTCGGCCATAAATGTTCTGAAATAATCCAGATCGATCGGAGAATTACATCCTTGACTTCCATTTCGCAGAGGACCATCTGCAACCTTCCATGTTCCCTTGTCGACTTCTTCTAAAATTCTTTAATGGCGAACACTACAGGATCTAACCTAGACTTGGATGCGTAGTGGGCTCAGGAATTCCCGCGAGTTTACAGGTCGTCTCCCGATCTTCCTCAGAGCCATCTAATACAAGAATCAGTACGGAGACGAAGAGGATAAACACAGATCCATATGCAGCACAGGCAAATCAAACAAGATTGAGAGGCGACCATTGCTGGATGGGTGAGAACAATCGAGTTCTGGCCGACAGCAAGATTGAAAGATCGATCACGGAAGCAGCAGTCAAAGTTATCCAGAGGTGTTCGCAGGGTAAGGATCCGGTTCCACCGACATGACCTACCTGGCAGAAGATGGCAGAATCCTGGTTCGGACCTTTCTTCCCTCGACGAGAGTACAGAGAGGCCATTCTCCTCACCGCGTTCGGCGACATCCATCCATCCTCGTCTACCACATAGCGTACGTTCTCCTCCCCTTCTCCCTTCCCCAGGGACGCTGAAGAATGGCAAACTCCCATCTCTTCAGCTTCTCTCAGAGAGAGAAAAACCTGGAGAGAGCCAGAGAGCGAGAGATAGACAAATAGAGAGAGAGAGAGAGAGAGAGATAGTCCTGGGACTGGCATTTTGAAGACGAACCTGTAATAAACCACTAGGAATGGCGCACGTTAGCCGGCATACGTCAACGGCTAGAGTACGCTGCTGTGTTCGCTTCCAGTGGGCTCGATTCAGTCTAAACTGCGCTGACCGTCGACTTCTTCGGCTCCGTGGTTGGCGTCTAGTGGCGAAGCAGTCGCTCAGCAGCTGCTGCCGGTTAAACGGAACCTTCTCGATCAGGATAGACGAGCCGCAGCCAGGAGAAGAGGCTCTCTAACGTGCGCCCCCCCCCCCCCCAAACAGCGTTAAATCCCCGTAACGGTGGTGTCGTTGTCAGTCATCACCCGCTTGTCTTAGTAGACCTCCAATTTTGTTGACCCCTTCAATTGTGACCACTCGACAGGAGGGTCGGAGCCACCGTCTCCGCGTTCGAAGAGCGTCTGTCACTCGCGCCGTAAAAATCAGCGTCAACGGGCCCGGGGCCCGAAGCATATGGGCCCGTTTTCCCGAAAAAAGTCGTCCCCACGACCCCCACCGAGATGGAGATAGAGAGCGAGAGAAAGAGAGAGAGGTCTAATCCAGGAGGAACCTATTGAGGCGATGGGGTTTGGGCTTGGTGGCCCATTTACGGTGGTAACAGAGCGTGAGACCAAGTTAACGCCGGCAGACGCACCGAGCAACTGGGACGTTCTTGTCTTCTCCGGTCTGCGCCATTCGTGGGTCAGACAATTCATGGCGCATTAAACGTGGTCTCAAGTCAACGAGCGATCAGTAGCTCCAAGATATCTCCGTCCTTAACCGGTCAAAAGCGAATAAATTCTAGATTAAATGATATATAGATAATATATATATATTTAATGGGAGTCAATAAATTGCCCACACAGGAAGAACACACACCATCATTGGGTCACATTCTTCTTCCAATCTTTGATCAGGCACCATGATTACGAGAGCGAAGCTCCTGAAATTTTCCACCGATCCCGGCCAGAGTCAACAATTTAGAAGATTGCGTCATAACTTCTGATAAGGGCATTTATGAACAATTATTAACATTAAAATAATAACAAGGATTGACCAATCAGGCCAGGAGAGCCCGAGGATTGTGCCGATCACGCCGGCGAGTGAGGGATCGGGCGGGCGGCGGTGGCGTCCTCCGGTGGCGCAGCGTCGGCCGGCGGCGGGGACCTCCTGGCGAGGGATTTGGGAATGTCAAGGTCTTCCTGAGTGCAGCGCTGGTGGGGATGGCAGAGAAGAAGGCAAGTCTGCTTGAAGAGGACGCGGGCCAGCCCTTGGCCACTCTCAAAGATGTATCCTTCTTGCTCGCTGACGTGTTCCAGGGCGTCCACGAGGGCGTCGTACACGCGCTGGGGGCAGTTCTCGGGGCCGGGCTTGTCGTGGAGGTAGATGACGTCCAGAGTGAAGAGCTTCTGGCTCACGGGCCACTGGTGCTGAGGGCGGGTAGAGGACCTGCAGTAGATGAGCACCTGCAGAATATGACATCACAGGTGGGTCAGGAGCTCTTGATCGACATGATGATGAGAACCATTTTCATTGTTGTTCAGATTCCTGCAAAGTTGCTAGTTTTCTTCTCAGAGTAGAAAACCCACAACAAATATAGAACCATTAGTCAGCCTCGCATGAAGCGACTCATCCTTTGCTCTCAGAGTGCTTACTCAACATAATATGAAGCAACTTATTTTTGCTCAATCCTTCCAAAGTTGTTGATTCTCATAGTAAAACGGATCTAAATCTTTTACATCTTAATTGACAAGATCTGAAGCAACTCATTTCTGTTTAGGTTCCTCCAAAGCTGCTAGGATTGTTCAAGTCATTCAAACAGAATCAAGGGAAGAGAATAAATCAACCAAAAAATTTACTATACTTGTTAAGAGAAAAACATTCCAGAGAGATTCAGCGCCAACTGTGAGAATTTCAAATTTTCAAAAAAAATCGCCACCAAAGTTCTCTCCTTTTTCGAGTCCTGAGAAATGATCACAGCCTGGGATGAAAGTTGCAGGCTCAGCAACATGATGCCATGAAGCGGGGAACGAAATCTTGGGGTTGATCCTTGCATCAAGGAAATATCCGACCTCCGATGCTCCCCCACCATGTTTCCCTAATGGTTTTCTTGAGTCTCCACACATACAATTCAGATGGGATTGAACCTATGACTAACAGTAAATGAACCCAAAATGGGGTTGCCATGATGAGAAACACAACCAAAGGCATCTACCCAACTCGTTCAGCGACTCAAATCACAGATAAAGCGTATGTCAATCCACTGATACCGGACTAATGGGAGGCGATCACTTCACAAGTAACATTCCTCTATGGCAGTCTTCTCAAAGAAAGAAATCAATAGGATCCTGCAGTAATAAATCGTAGAAGAGAATTATTTTCCCCATGAGATTGCAACCAATTCAATACCATCATAATCTCCCCTTCTGCCAAAGAAAATCCTGCCAATTTAAGACACTTATTCTTGAAAGAATCTGACAAGAACAGGTGCCGAATCAGAGAACCCTAATTTTCAGAGATATTTTCTTGTTGAATCAGTTATTTTGGGGCTAGCCCCATGAGAGTTGTGGAACTGATATTTCCATTGGATGATAAGCAACAGGGGAAACCACTTCTCCTTTCCTATTCCAGCTTCGTTTCTTTCACTGATGTACAATGCAAGAACAAAAAGTGGTCCGAACACCCCATAAATAGTTTTAAAAATAATCTGGTTGACTGCAATATTTGCAGAATACCGATAATCCGTCCATTTACAGGTAAGGATTTGGAAATATTACCACTCTGAAGAGCCGGCCTTGGCCTATGGATTTCTTGGCTTCATTGTGAGCAACTCGGAAAAGCTGGGTCAGATCAGCAAGGCCAGAAGGTGAATCAGAAGCTCTGAGCTTCTGAACTGCAGCACGCGCAGAATCAACTTCGTTGCTGAACTCTTTCCGGATCTAGAAAAGCGAGGTCATAAATAAGAAACGCTAAGAATTGTACTAATCAACAAACTGCTGGTATTGAATAGTAAGAATTCAGATTGAAGATGAACCCTGAGACACTCCAGAAATATAAAAATTATGGTGAACACGCATTATAAAATGCATTCTGATGACAAACATCTCACGCAAAGCATAAACGAAAATATCACTATGTGTAATCTCTCATGGATCCTTCAAAGTTTCTAAAGGTAATTAAGAAGATTCATCCTCCAAAAAATTAACAGGATTAGTCGGAATGCCACAAGACTTATATTTTCAACCTAACAAATATCAGCTTATAGGACTTGACATGTTACTGTGGAATGATTTATCATAGGAAAGCCTGATTGGAGAAGGATAATTTCAGAACAAAAAAAAGAGCACAGAAAATTTAGAAGAATCAGGAATCCAGTCATTTTTCATAAACCTGGAGAAAAGATAATACAGAAAACCGGCGAGCTGTATTTTTTTTCCAATGGACAGCGTAAAATCCAACATCGGAATAGCATCAAGCAGTCATTAGCAATCGGACGCACGGATCTGATCAGCCAGAGCTCAGTAAATGGATAATGGCCAGGGTAACGTAGCATATAACAATACAACCTTCAGATATTTTCGACCTAAAGACCAAGTAATAAATCCATCGGGTGCTTGATGAAAGGGGTAGCTGATGATCTGCTTATACCCAGTCAAAGGACCGCTCCAGAACAGAGAAGGCAAAACGGTGACCGGGATTGATAGAGAGCTTCGCGCTGACGAAGAGGAGGATGGCCTGCTTGATGGCATCGAGACGATAAATGGGCCTGCCCTTGGGACCTGACGCCTTCATCTCCACCTGAGTTTCCACGTCCACGTCCACGCAAAATAAGACATCTTCGTGGCAGAATCGGCACGGCGGCAGCCTGTACGCCACCGTCGCCTCGGCGTCCCCGGACCTGGCGGGCACCTCCATCTCTCTCTCTCTCTCTTCCCCCCCATCTCGCCTGCGGGCAGCCCCGCCCACCTTCTCCTTGGGAAGCGACTGGGCCGTACTGCAATCGGAGGCCCATAAGCTACTGGGCCGATAACGGTGATGACGTCATATGCGAACACCCAGATCGCCAGATTTGGCGGGAATGAGGGTGACATTTTCCCGCCAAAAAGTAACCACGTCTCCGTCCTACGCTCTCGAAACCCTTGTTCTTCTGCGGCGTTTCGTCCCCTGCTCTCCCTTCCTCCCTCCCTCCCTCCCTCCCTCCCTCCCTCTCTCGCATTCCATGGCGTCAGGTTACTCCTCTCCTGTCAGCAGCAATGGTAACTCCTCGCGGATCTTCTCTCCTCGCTTCTGTTTCTTATTCATCTTTTGTTGATGGTGCCTCTACGCGTCGTGTTTATTTGAATATGTGTACGATCGGTCTTCAGGAGGACCATCGTCCCCCGATGAAACCTCGTTTTCAACCCCACCGATTGCGAACACCAATTCCTCTCCGATCCCGCGATCCAATGGTGGGAGTGTTCGGAGCACCAGTCGGAGGCAGCAGCGCAGCGACTCGTCCACGCCTGGGCGACGCCCGCCTCAGCATACTTCCTCGGATGGAGGATTCTCCACACCATCCAGCGCTCGACGGAACGCGAGGTTCCCGAGGCCGTCCCCGGGGATGTCCACACCGAGGACCACGTCAGCTGCTACTCCTACATCGACTGACGACGTTGCTCCGTCATCGGAGGCTGGGGATGATGAGCCAGAAGATGCCACTCCCGTATTTGTTTGGGGGACTAACATCAGTGTGCAGGACGTGAATGCGGCAATCCTCCGATTCCTGAGGCACTTTAGAGATCAGCACTCCCACATTGACGGGAAGTACATGAGGGCTCTCCACCGTATCCTCGAGCTGGATGGAGGCTCTGGATCTCTGGATGTGGACGCCCAGGACGTGTTCGACTACGACCCTGACCTCTATAATAAGATGGTGAGATATCCACTGGAGGTGCTGGCCATATTTGATATTGTGCTCATGGACATGGTGGCGCGCATCAACCCACTCTTCGAGAAGCACATACAGACTCGCGTCTTCCACCTCAAATCATCCGTCTCCATGAGAAATCTAAATCCTTCTGGTACAATCGATCTCGGTTTTTATTTTCCCCTTTCTACTGTAGTCGGCACGCCGTTGCACGCAATTAGGTTGTTCTGGTTTCTTTTTCAGACATCGAGAAGATGGTGTCAGTGAAAGGGATGATAATTCGCTGCAGCTCTGTCATACCAGACATTAAAGAAGCCGTGTTCCAATGTCTCATATGTGGCCATTTCTCTGATCCAGTCCTCGTTGACAGAGGTACGCGGCATTGAGTCATGAGACTGTTCGAAATTAATTTGTACTCCTAACTAGCTTCCTAACTTGAATTGGGGTAACCAAAGAAACTTCTAAGACGGAAGTTTACGAAAAGGGACCTTAGACCTACCTCAATTCCCGAATACTGCTTATGATGCAATAGTTAGTCAGAACTCACTGACTTAAGCTTATTGTTTTTCAGGCCGCATTAATGAGCCCACAAGATGTTTAAGAGAAGAATGCCTAACATTAAATTCTATGACATTGGTTCACAACAGATGCAGGTACTGATTCATAATTTCGTGGGGGCTGGAGGGGTAGCGTATCGTCAATTGAATTCCCTGACATAACAGCTTGATGTTGTTTGTTGTGACAACCTAGGTTTGCCGATAAGCAGATTGTGAAACTCCAGGAGACACCTGACGAGATCCCAGATGGAGGGACCCCGCACACCGTCAGCATTCTGATGCATGATAAACTCGTGGATATAGGAAAGCCTGGTGATAGAGTTGAGGTTAGTGAGTGCTAATGTGCTTTGTTGTGTTAGATTCTTATCCTACTTTGTCATCTGGTCGCCATTTTCGTCCCTACAAATAACTTAGATGCGGTCTTTATCGTTTTGTGGTCATATTGTCATTGTCTCATTGTGATTCCTTAAGACAGGTGACTGGAGTATACAGAGCTATGAGTGTTAGAGTAGGAGCAACTCAGAGAACTGTAAAATCCCTGTTTAAGGTAGGCTTCACTGCTCATGAACGTTATCTCTGTTTATTTGTTGATTCCAGTGGACACGGTGATCCGTGGCAAACAGAATTCAAACATTTGGTTTCTCCTTGTGATGTCAGACATATATCGATTGCCTTCACCTAAAGAAGACGGGAAAGTCAAGGATGCAAGTTGAGGATCAATTCGAATGTGATAGCTTTTCAGCTGGAATGGCTGAACGCAATGATGGCCCCTCAGACAACAAAGAGAAAGTAATAACATTTTACCATCCTTCACGTTAACGTTTAATGTCATCTTTATCAAGAAAGCTTGCATCATTTAGGTGGAACGATTAAAAGAGCTTGCGAAGCAGCCTGATATATACGACAGATTGACCAAGTCCTTGGCGCCGAACATATGGGAGCTGGACGATGTAAAGAAGGGTCTTCTTTGCCAAGTATGCAGGGAACATTATCTCTTACTTTTCCATGGCTTCACTTGTGATCTGCAGAAGAATAATGCAACAGTTGCATTTTTACTCTTCATCATCCGTTCTGTCTCCGTGATTTGAGTTCGTGTATGAACACTTTCAGATAGTGTAATATTTGCGTCTATGCCGTAATTCTTATATTTTTTACACGCTTGTTTTAGCTTTTTGGTGGGAATGCTCTGAAGTTGGCTTCTGGGGCTGCATTTCGTGGTGACATAAATATCCTTCTCGTTGGAGATCCGGGTACGAGCAAGTCTCAACTTCTTCAGTATATGCACAAGCTGTCACCTCGAGGCATTTACACCAGCGGTAGAGGGAGTTCTGCTGTGGGACTGACTGCTTATGTTACAAAGGATCCAGAGACTGGCGAGACTGTAAGATAATAACTGACTAACGATTTTTTCCAATTGACCTTCAATGCTCGATTTTGCATTTAAACCTCTTTAACAATATCATTTCGCTAAAAAAAATTTCAGGTTCTAGAAAGTGGGGCGTTGGTCTTGAGTGATAGAGGTATTTGTTGCATAGATGAGTTTGACAAGATGTCTGACAATGCACGCAGCATGCTACATGAGGTCTTCTCTTTCTGAGTACATTTACATAGAAATATGTAGCTGCATAGATCTTTCCAGATAGTTCGAGAAATCCAGTCATTTTATGGAATCCTCAGATCTTCCCAGAAAATCACTTATTCAAATTTGTTTCGGTATGTAGGTGATGGAACAACAAACAGTTTCCATTGCAAAGGCTGGAATTATTGCTTCATTAAATGCTAGGACGTCAGTCTTGGCCTGTGCAAATCCCAGTGGATCACGATACAACCCTCGTCTCTCTGTGATTGACAACATCCACCTTCCTCCGACCTTGCTTTCCAGGTTTAATTTTTGCAAAGAAGAAAGGACCCCATCTGTAACCCATCTTTGTCTCACCTCACAATCATCTCCTTTATGTTCAGGTTTGATCTCATTTACTTGATTCTGGATAAGGCTGATGAGCAGACCGACAGGCGGCTCGCCAAGCATATTGTGGCCTTACATTTCGAAAACCCAGAGGTCAGAAGCTTTCACCGACTTTGCTTTTATCTAGTTAACAAGCCTTCCTAGTCACCCCGTGTACTGGCGATTCAACGGAAGACCACACGGCGTACTTATAAAGCTAGCCATTTTTCTGTGTTTGAAAAGAGAAAAGTAACGATTATCTTCGAAGGTTATGGGCACAAATTAATGATATCACATTCCGAATGCGTAAACTTTACAATCCGATGTTTAATCTGATCTAATTCTACTGAATTTCACCCCGTGCAGACTACAGTGCAAGATGTTCTGGACGTTCCTACTTTAACAGCATACATCAGCTATGCTCAGAAGCACATTCATCCTCAGCTGACCGACGAGGCTGCCGAATTATTGACGCGCGGCTATGTTGAAATGAGGAGAAAGGGAAATTTTGCAGGAAGCAGTAAGAAGGTAGTGGGATTAAAAGCACAACCCTGAAGATCCACGTCCTTCGTCTGCGAAAATGGAAAATGCCCTTATAATAAATAATACGAGCATTTCTGTTTTAATTCTCACAGGTGATAACAGCGACCCCAAGACAGATTGAAAGCGTGATACGCCTCAGCGAAGCCTTGGCTCGGATTCGGTTCTCAGAACGGGTAAAAAAATTCATTATTTTTTCCAAAAATTATATATATATATATTATATTAATTTGATTTTTTATTTTGCAGGTGGAAGAACAGGATGTGGTGGAGGCATTCAGATTGCTGGAAGTAGCCATGCAACAGTCGGCCACCGACCACGCCACAGGTTCAGTCGACAACACTCGGTTGCACCGTGCTCTTCGTCTCTCGGCCTTGGGAGGCTAATGTCTGTTGCAACAGGGACCATCGACATGGATCTGATCACCACGGGGGTCTCCGCAAGTGAGAGAATCAGACGGGAGAACATACTGACGGCGGTGAGGAACCACGTGCTGGAGAAGATGCAAATCGGAGGGCCCTCCGCTCACCTAATGGAAGTAAGTCCCGACTCCCATCTCGATCTTCCCCTTAACAGCCTCCCCTTGGAACGTTTAGATCAAACGACTCAGCACCGCGCTATTGACGCAGTTGCTCGAAGAGCTGAAGAAACAAGCTTCTTTGGAGGTCCACCTCAACGATGTAAGGATCTCCGTTCTAACTGGGCTTTATTTATTTATTTATTTATTTACTTAATCTGGGGGTCTGCCAGCTGCGCCACGCCATTGCGACGCTGATGAGCGAGGGGCTTGTTCTTCTTCACGGCGACAAGGTGAAGAGGGTGTGATGAATGGAAGAGCCCGCCGCTTCCCATTTCCTGCACAACGTTCGGTGGGGGTGACCCGAACGAATCCCTCGCAGAGGTGTGAAATACATACAACTTGACGATGAGCGCTTCGAGAAGAATGTTCTTGGAACGATGTGATCCTCGATATTATAATGTTATCATGCGGCTGTGCTGTGCCTGCCTCTCGTTCTCACACACGTTGACTGGAACCGCGCTGATAGGGGAACTCAGGCGTTGACCTCTCTTCACAAGTAGTAGATTTGGCGGGTTGGGGCATCCATCTCAGCAAGGATCATACTCAGGACCTCAAGAGTCTGCCGCACCATCAGATGAGGAGCGTTTCAAGTGGCCCGCTAGAACCCAGAGTTCCATGAGGATTATCACCATAAATGATGTAGCACATTTCTTCAAAAATTAACAAATGTGACCAAAAAAAAATATTCAGGTGGCCTAAACAGGTAAAAGAGCGTGGACCACAAACGAGATTAAAGTCTCAAAGCGAGGTTAAGCTCAAATAAACGTGCGAATAACACGTTAGTTTTAATTGTAATACTTTTTATTATATTGTTTTAATTTTTTAAAAAAACTGATTTTGTGCTTATTTAAAAGTTGTAACTTTATGTACACGAATAATATGATTTTTTTTGTTACACTTGAGATATTTATATTTTGCTTGTAGATTCAAACAACTCCTGTGGATCCAAAGATCACCCCAAAAATTAGATTGAAACCAATCTTTTTGGATTGAGAAAATTCATGCCTTGTGAATTCGACACTTATTTTTATTATTATTCCACTCCATTTTGGTTACTTGTGGATTCAAGATTCTATATTCGATTTCCCACAACCTGCATTGGGTCAAGTGGTATCAAAACAACAAAGGGACAACTCCTTGTGGATTCAAAGATCATCCAAGTGAGTCTTCGTGGATTCAAGGATTGAGTAAATTTGCGCCTCGTGCATTCAGAGCCTGGTTTTTCGTCGTGTCATGAAAAGTCAACGATTTGGATTTTCTTGCTCCAAATATAGAAAAGAAGCCTTTCTATGGCCACAATAGTTCCGGGTTAACGAAAGTGGATTGTGTCGATGAGGAGTTCTGGGTTAGCAGCTCACATCTCAGCATGGGCAGAGAGAGACCCTTCTTCCACAATGAACGAACACAAATGTCGGCATAGGAAGGGATGATCATCACCAGCACGCTCAACAGCTGAAAGCTGCACGGCCCCACGTCCAGGAGGAAGAACGGTTCCTGGAGAAGAGACAGACGTCCAGGGTACGCCGCAGTGCCCTCCCTTTGACTTTCTGTGGCCAATCCGGGTGGGTCAAAACAAGATGCCTTTCACGTGACTTTTCTTCTTTCCTGAAAATGGAAAAGGAATGACGGTCGCCTGTGCATTGTACGCAACCATCCTAAGAGCCCGGAGAGGAAAATGGTGAGGGATTGGGAGACTGTTGCGTGTTGAAGTCCGGATGTAGCTCATCTGCGAACCTCCAGGCTCATCCCTGATTTCGCTGGGCGAGGATCTCCGCAATGAGCTGACGTTGACCAAAGAGATGCGAGTTCTTCAGGAGCAAGTCTCTCGATGAGGAGTTCAAGGTGTAGCCTTGTCCTGGCATCCATTTCAGCAAGTGCAAAAGGAGCTCCTCCTTCTCGGGCCTCGCGATATAGCGCGATATAGCTATGTGAAGCACTTCCTGGGATATCACCCACCAAAACCAGTCAGCTTTCCTTCCAAAGACTGAGACGTAAATGCGTTTCACATGATTTTTGAATGGAGGGATGGAAGATGGGGACGAAGATGTCCTGATATCCATAAACGAGTTTCAATTTGGTGTGGCACAGGCAAGGAAAAAAATACAAAAAATAAAATAAAATTGCATGCATGAGTAATTTCATATTGAATATGCGGTGTGAATATGACGATGCTTCAGACACGTGTCATCTGACTCCGAGCCACAAATCGTGGGAAAGTATTTGACTTTCTTATCTGGAAATACTGGTCTGTCTGCTGGCCGTACAAGGTTGACTTAATAGAGGATGAACGAGGGTTCTGACCATTTGCATCCAGAAAATGAAGAAAAAATTCTCATCTTCAACTCAACCCAAGTCAATTCAACTACTACAAGTGATACGAATGTAGCCACGATTGAGATGGTAAAGTCGGGAACAGCCCGGTTGAACAGTAATAAGAAAACAAGAAAATAAGAAAATCTCCGGTACTATTGTTCTTCCAACTGCCTAGAGGAACAGTTGAACAGTAAATCATCAATATTATGAACGATGAGATTTAATTCGCCAGTCTGTTCTGCGTTTGATCTGCTGAACTCAGAGTGATTAGTGAAGTGGGCCACAGTACATCAGGCAGCGCATTGGCCCTTCTTTTAATTAGCTGATATATGATACATATTAAAATAATATGAGTTATTGGTCATTTGGAAAACATTGATAAAGGTAACATGGTAGGCTTGGCGTCTCGAAGACATTGAGAGAAGTGGTGGATACAGTGAGAAAAGCCTCTGGAGAGAAAAAAATATAAGGTCGAAAAGCAAACCTCGTCAATTTTGCGCCCACAACGGTGGAGTGCTTTCACAACATCATTTATCATGTTTATGTTGCCTGCTTGCATGAATGAAAACGCGAATTTGTCCAAGGAGGGAGCCGAGATGTCTTCAGCATTATCCTATAGCATAGATGATTTTGATAATACGCTTCACAGAGGAAGAACATGTAAAGAAATGAAATGCTATGTTAAACTAATTCCATGCGACCAGGCCATACCTTCATCACTACGTAGGCATTCTTGAAAAGCTTCGCTCCGATCAAGATGTTCAGCATCTTCTCGTGAATGGATTTGCGTGGCGTTGTCTTGCTGTATCTCAACATATTGTAAACTGAAAATGCTTCAGATGGGGCACCAGATTTTCCCAGTTCTAAGATCAAAGAAGAACAAAGTTCCTGAAAAATAAGGAGAAAAGGATTTTGTAAGTTTGATCAAAAGAAACGACAGGTTCAGATGAAAAGAGAAGACAGTGAAGTTTGTGCCCGAGCAGCAAATATCGACTATGATGTTGATGCATAAACTAAAAATATGAGAATAAAGAGGAACGCATACATGGACAACATTGATGCAAAAGTAGAAACTAACGCAGAGCAGCCAAATGAAATATGAAAAATAAACACAAGAAACAGATCCCAAATCTCACGTAGTACCTCACCCACTTGGTGCCCTTTACTGTGCATGTCCTCTACCGTCTGGTATGCAAGATGATAAAGTTTTTCTTTGAGGAAATACTTGACCAGAATCTGAAATGTATTCCAATCTGGAGAAATTTTTAATGCATCCATCTTTCTTAGCATTTGCATCACATTTTCCATTTCACCAGCATTGCAGTATGCCCTCAGCAATGTGTTGAGCATTACTAAGTCATACTTGTCATAGATAGTCTCGTATTCCCTTGCCAGTTCTTTTGCTTCCTTCAACTGCCCATTTCGACAGAATGCAGATATCATGATACTATAGGAATAACCATCTGCAGCCACATGCAGACAAAGGTTCAAACAAATCTGATACGCTGCTTAAAACTCTAAGCTAAAGCAAGAACCTAATGAAACCGAAGTTTCACCATTTCGTCTTCAAACACCACCCAAGGATGCCAACATCAACAAATTTACAAAGAATTATAATGAGGCAGATAAATATCATCCATGAGCAACGAAGGTCTTGAAGAGCATCAGATGATTTTCATGATGAGAAAAAGCGCACTTCCAATTAAAATTTCATTAACCTGGGAAATTCTTCGTAATTTCATCAAACAACGTACAAAAAGGGTGCAGCTAATGCACCTGTCAAACAAAGGCACCGAAAAAAAAACTCGTTTAGCAAGTGACTTCCAAAGGTACACTTCAAAATGAACCAATGGATATGCGTAAATCACTAGCAGCGTACAATAAAGAGGGAATCGGAGAAAAACCATAAAAACACACATGATCCAGGCACCACTTCCAAACTATACCAGTTGATGCAATAAAATGCATAACAAAGAAGAAACTGCTCCAACCTATTTTTTGCAGAAATCAAAATAAAATCCAAAGAAACAAGAAGAAACATAAATATTGGGTATAGGATGAATGAAAGGTATGAGCTAAGCCGATTTTCCAGAGAATAAATTTATAAAATTGTTACTGATGCATAAAGGAGGTTCCAAATTTTAGAAAAAGTTATTGAAGAACGGTGATATGAATGTAAGCTTTATTACTCCTGGAAATATCAGAACTGGACTTATTTTGTCTTTCATAAACCAACCGAAGTTATCTTGCAGAATTATAGAAGTTGCAGTAATTTACGGCCTGATTCACCAAAAGAGAAATAAACTGACAATCTTCCACTCGCAAAATAAAAACGAATGTATGTTAATCAAATTAATAACATAGAAAAATTCAAATCACTTTCACCTGATTTTATTTTTTTTTCCTTCATTTTATCAAAGATTGCCTTGGCTTCACGCACGTCTCCTTTCTTTGCAAGGTTGTCCATCACTAAACAAAAGGGTATCTAAGCAAAAAGGAAATAAGTAAGCCTAGAAAAAAAGTAAAAAAATACTAAAGATTCCAGAGGTCATTGGAAAGGAAGAAATCTAAATCAATAGTGACTAAAAGAAGTACAATCAACGACCCTAGACTATTTCCATGGACTCCTCTGCATCTGTAGAAGTAATTATATCATTCCTGATTGAACGTGAATATTATTTTGTGATTTTTATGCATCACTCAAAAACAGGATCGCACATTTTAGACAAGCATTACTTTTAATATCCATGATTGCAGATTAACAGTTAATGATTGGTAAGTTGGTAAGATCTCATTCGAATGTATGAAATGGCCAGGAGGCTAGCTCTTTTCAACCCTGCAGAACTCGCGCATCTTAGATGCACACTCATTATGATGAACTTTGAATCGCAAAGGTCACTAAGTGAAATTATCTACTGTGTCGCCATTGAACTGGCAAAAGAATAGAACTCCTCGGTTTTTAGCGGCATGTACATACAGTACAATAGTCTGCTACTTTCAAACAAGTAATAAACGGATAACCATCTCTCATGTTTTCTATACTTCTCTATTCAGCGTATTCACTTGCGTTTTGCAGTAGTCTTCATATATGGAAACGGCATGCTTACTCTCTCGTAAAAACTAGACCTGGTGAGTTCCAAAACCTTCGACAAGAGCAAATTCAATTTATCTTGAAACACGTAAATTCATCTTTGGTGTTATCTTTTTACTTGTAAATCGTCATTGGGTGGACACCAGCACGTAGTTGCCCCCAATAAGTTCTATTAGATAAACTTATTGATAAAACAAGTTATCTAATGTTCATTTTCAAGTCAAGGGAGAGCAAGCTCTATCTTTTCGCCTATCCGGCGGTTCCATAAAAGCTGGCCCATTTTGATTTGATAAAAACACAGTTTTTTTTTCCTCAATTATTTATTTCATGATGAGACCAGCGGTAGCTTTCTGTTAACTAGCTATTAGGAGTTAACAGCCGTCATCAATTTCTGCTTGTGAGTTGTTATTTCGGTTTACAGTTTTTCCCAAATTTGAGGCTACAATGAGTTCTGCTGGCATGTCAGGTTGTAGGCCACTGGAGTTCTCTACCATTCACAAATGTTAAGTTTAAGACCACCAGGGGACTTTTAACAGTGGGCTTTTTTTATTTGTTTACCAATATTCGGCACAGAAATCTTTGAATCAGTTGATGTCACACAAAACTTCTTCTACAAGTAGTAGATTGAAATGATGTTGACACTAGGCGAGAGGCGAATGACCAGTATGAGAAGATAAAGTTTTGTACACTACATAACATAGCCTGTGATATTTCTTTCCAAGTCACTTTCCTTTTTTGTAGACAACAGAAAAGCTTCCCTTCAGTTTTCTTTCTTCAACACTCCTCCAAGACTTCTCCAGGCACCTTTTGAATAGGCTTTGTTGAGAAATGTTGGAAAGTCATTATTGCTTCTTTTCTATTTTTTGTTGATAGGGTCAGTTTCGTTATTGCTTCTTTTTTTGTTTTGCCTGTTAGATATGACACACTTAGGCAGACTTTGGCCCCAATTAAATCATTTATAGTGTTATATGTGGGGACGCCAACGGTGTGAGAAAGTAACCCTCTCCACTGCGCTTAAAATTCCTGGATGCTACTCCATCTACTATATCCTGTTTCTTGGAACCCAGGATTTTCTAGATGTTGCTCCATTCTCACTCGAATCTCAGTTTATCTACACGCTTTGGATTATTATATGCCAGATTCACAGGAGTTCTTTCATGTCTCTGATCACATATTTCGTACAGATTGCCCCACCCATTAGACAGGCTCAATAGCAATAATGCCTATCAAACTTATGAAGGCTACTTTTGGTATCACCTAATAAAAACACAAAGGCCAAACAAATCTCAAATCAAAGACAGATTAGTACTTACGCTTTTTCACGGTGAACAAAGATATCTTTATAAGAAACTAGCCCATTATAAAGTAAGAACTAAATGCTAAAATTGATTGGAAATTTTTTATATATTGTTGTTTTCTTTCGCTAACAGTGGTTATTACTTTCCACGGTAAAGAAAAGTCTGTGGCATTTATTTACCTCGTCCTCAGCATATCCCAGATTCTCCAAGTCAATTAACAATTCTCTCGATCTCTCAAGCAGGCCACCTCGAACGTACACCTTCAATAATGTAGTCAAGATCACCTGAAGAACGATAAGATTTTTGGGAAATTCAAAGGTTGACCTTTAATCTCAAGATAAGAGTATAGATGCCCAAACAAAGGAAAGAGAGAAGGAATGCATGAAGGAAATCAGCCAACAATTAATGATCAATATCTTTTTTCAATTTACTAGTCCTTACTGCCATTCCACCAAACTTCATTGCATAATGATATAACCATTTCTGTCAAGTACTGGTACCAGGACAATTTTTCATTAAACCTCTCTTGGATGCAACGAACAACCTGCTCACCACAAAAATGTCCTATTTGGCTTTCTCATCCGTTTTGACACTCAAACATTCAATTGCATCAGCAGTGTGCTGAAATCTGGAGGCAGTAATATTTCTGTTTCCTTGTAGTAGTCCTTCAGTTTGCTCATTATTCTCAACAAGGAAAATTCCTTTGTGTTGATACCATTCATTATAAGTCTTTCACTCTGGAAATATTTTTTAGTATGAGCTCCTTATCCTCTTTGACTTATTTTCCCACAAAATAATGCTCACAGAAAAAAAAACTAATCTGACTTGCTTTTGGGGATTCTGGTAAATATACACCGTAAAAAGAAAGGAAAATTAATTATCGTGCAACGAAGACCACCTAATGAAAACACAGCCTGCAAAACAAATTTTGGAAGGAAATTCACAAAAAAATGTGAAAAGAGCTATATACAGAAGATGAATGATAAGCTAACCTTATTGGGGACCAATCCAGCAGATTTCATACTTTTTACAATTTCATCAGCCTTCTTGTGGTCTCCATCAACTGAGTATGCATTTAGCAAGGAGCTGTAATGGAATAAATTTGGGGAAAGCCCTTCAGCATTCATTTGCTGAAAAAACCGTTCTGCTTCTTCACATAAATTATGCGAAGCGCAAATAGCCAAGAGAGTTCCATAGATTACATTGTCCATGTGTAATCCTCTGCTTTCAAGTTCCTCTACTAATTCAAGTGCCTGGGAATAGCCATGCTCAACTTTAGCGCAGCCAGCCAGAAGCTAGAAAATTACAATGATAATATCATGAGAAGTGTAGTTTTAAAAAGCATTTTATCAAAGATCAAAGAACCGAAGTACAAAAAATAAAACTAAAGTCAACAGAAATCATTAAAATTAAAACCATATAGAGATAAAGAGAGTTACTATACTGTAAGTGAACAAATCTGGCACCAGGCCATTTTCCTTCATCTGATTAAACATTTTGATGCAGCTTTCAAACTTCCTGTCCTTCAGCATACAACCCAGCAGAGAATTACATATGGAAACGTTATTTCTTGTAGATTCATCCTCAATACTACTGTAGACATGTAAGGCTCTAATAAGATTGCGACTTTCTCCCATGTATTTCATAAAGCTGCTGTATGAGGCAATATTGGTCATCTCGCGCTCCTGCATCCAATTAAAAAGCTGAAAAACAGCAAACAGATAATTAAGTATTACAACTTAATAATATCCCTCCATACACATGGATAAGATCTATTTAAGAAAAGTGACATAATTGCAAAGTAAGCGTATCTGGAAAACAGAACTATTAGAACATTGTGCAAGAAATATTGGAATTCAGAAGAGCTTCCTTCTGTGTGGATTACTAAGTGGGTACTCAGTATTCATTGCCAATTCACCAAAATCCTCATGCCTCAGACCTTCTGTTCATGTCCCATTCTCTTACTTCCCAGCCATCTTTCTACGTACATTTGATTTTTTAGCATGACATAAACAATTTCTCTGAGGGTAGTTACTAACTTATTGTCATGTGTCAGAGGCATGACAGAGGGGGTCAATGCATTGGAAAACACTGCAATAACGATCTAATCATAAAGGAAAACAAATTATACACGTATCCGTCTCTATAAATCGGAATATTTATTGGAGAGAGTTCAAGGCAAAATTTACATAAATTTCTCCAAAAAGTATCCTGGTCCACAGAAAAAAAAGAAGGGAATGAGAATCCCGTCCATAAATTTAGGAGAGGGAGACGGTTCAAAGGATGTTTAATAAAAGTGCAGAAAAAAACTTGTCCACATCCCTAACCTGAGAAACATCCTGCCACCTTTTTGACTTCCCAAAAAAACGCAAAATAATGTTCAAATCCTGCACTTGCAACTTTGTCTCCAACCTGGAGCACTGGAAAAGATCAATAATCTTCTCGCTGAGAGGTTTTTCAATAAATCCAGGAGGAAAGAGCAATAAGAATGACACAGTATAAGACGAATGAAGCAGCCAGCTGGTTCTAATTTTTTGTTGCAAAGAGGGTGACCAGCACTTAGATCCTCCAACCAATGCCGCTATTCTCTTTACAGCGGTTTAAAACTTTATGCAAGGGTGACAGAGTGTGCGAGAATGATTTGTGATTAGGACGAGGGGGTTTCCACCATTATAGGAATATTAGGTTCATAAATTATTGACGTCATCTTATTGCAGACTTGCTCTTGTGAGCAATGTTTCTTGAGATCTTTTACATGCACACATCATTTTACTTATTTTAATACCAAAAGAATATCCAGAATCCATTGAACAAGCACATTCCATTTCCTTTCCCTCTCCAGTTATTATAAATTTTCCAATAAATACTACCGTTAAACACCCTACTTGCTATCGAATTTATTTTCCCAGTGTTCACTAGTTTCTACGATTGGAGCATCTAAAAGAATGACGGATTTAAGACAGTTTTGAGACGCCCGATAAAAAATAGTAAGACTTTAATGCATTATAGAGATAAGAAAAATATAGTGCCAAGTAAGAACTCCGTGCTATAGAAAATTTTAAAAACACCAAAATATTTTTTTAAAAGAAAATTCTTTGGACACCAAAAGAAAGGAATCACAGCGTTAAAATTATTTCGTGGTGAGAGTCCTGTCTAAAAGAAACCTCCAGATGATCCACTTCAATCTATCAAAGGTTACATCCATATGGAACAGAGATACCGTTCCCGATTCCAAGTTCTAGGGAGGTCAGTCAATATAAGATTCAGGCGTGCGTCCTATATACATTCACACAACCGCATATATATATATATATATATATAGATATAGATATATATATGTGGGTGGGTGTGTGGGTGTGTGTCTGACCAGAGAGAAATAGGATAGAGTTTTAGCCAGTGCAAAATCTTTAGACCGCTTATATGACAGAAGACTGTCTGACTGTTAAGACCACCTGACAATCCATTTGAGGCAGCCATCCATAAGCACATCAGGTGGATTAGTCATTCCACGTTGGTCATTAGTTCCTAACATAGAAACATTCGAAAAACTTGACCTCATTGCAACGTTTAAACGGTAACAAATTTTCCGTATCTCTATCTTCACTTGTTCTTAATTCCAATATCTAGCCTGAGCCTAAGAAAGCATAAGTCTCATCATTTTCTTCTGATTTCATTTAATCCACTATCTTCGCCGATTGCGGAGATGTCTCTATCTCCACCGGTATCAGCAGTGTCGAGGCAACTTCCCAACACAAGTCTTCGAGCATTGAGAAAAAAAGTCGACCGCGCCTTGATACCCAAAATTTAGATAGAAATAGAAATAACTGTTTCGATCATTTACGACTGACGTCGAGACTGTAAATAAATAACTGGGGTGATGCGTGAGGGAAGAGAGTGAAGGACCTGCTGAGCGCGGACACCCAATCAGGCGACTGAATTACTTCTGCAACAGCATCCTGTCTGGAGGAATTAACCGGAGTGGCAGGATTCCTCTTCCCGTCGGTTTTGGTAACATCAAGAGACGAAGATTGGGAAGAACGAGATGCACCCGAACCAGAAATATGATACCTGTCGGTCCCGGACGATGCAGGGACACGGATAACCCTCTGGTTCTTCCTGGCCCCCGCAGGAAGGGAAGTAGTGGCAGCGACCGAGAGAGAGGAATGGCGTGACGGGAAGACGGGGACCGGCGGCGACAAGGCGAAGACCTCCATCGCTCGGCTCTCTCCTCGCTGCACAGCAAGTCGGTAAGGTTCAGGAAGTATAGGACAGTGGGAAGCCCCCAGTCGAGTAAGTTACCGTATTCCCCTGAGAGCCTTAACGTGGCCACTCTTCGCACTGCCGAGCCGAGCTTCCCGAGCGGGATAAACGATCTGGGACAAACGAAGAGAGGGACAGGTAACCGACGCGCGTACAACATACCGCCCTTGGGATGACGTATGTTTCACATTTATGATGTCATAATTAATAATATTGCATTTTCCGTATGATAAAAGTCTCCTGTAAACAACAACAAAAATGTCTGGTTTAGACCTCTGGATGGCTATTGGCCAATTTGACCCAAATCACAGCCGGCCCAGTTCGAAGATCACTGGGCTTTATCATTCGGCCCGATTCTCTCTCTCCTTTGTCCCTCCTCTCTCTCTCTCTCTCTCTCTCTCTCTCTCTCTCTCTCTCTCTCTCTCTCTCTCTCTCTCTCTCTCTCGCCCTCTCTCGCTGTCTTTCTCTCTCGCTCCCCCTCTCTGTCTTCTTTTATCTCTCGCCCTCTCTCTCTCTCTCTTTCTCTCTCGCTCGCGCGCCCCGTCTCTGTCTTTCTCTCTCGCTAGCTCCCCCTCCCCCCCGTCTTCTCTCTCACGTTCGTCAAGGTCGTGAGAGTAGAGTACACAACTCCCCTTCTCCTTCATCACGACTCTCGACTGCGACGCTGTGGAGATCCAGAAGCCAGCACCCGAATCCCCTGGAAGTCAAGAATGTAGACGTCATCGCACATCTATTCTGACGTATGTGATCGGAAACCGGGCCAGGTACATAACCATACGTCCCCCTCCCCGCGCCGCCGGGAGGGGATGTGGCCTCCCAGCCGCAGCGGCGGAGGCCCTGTTGAGAAAGATTCCGTGAATCTATTGGTGAGTCGCGTCGCAAACGGTGGTCCCATTGGAGTCCTCAGCATTCACGTCAGACACATAGAAAAGTTCAAAATTATAAATTAACACATGATATGTAAATAATTATATGGCCATTGGAGACAACGTTGGGGCATCTGACTCTTCCATGAACTGACGATATGGTTTTATTTTATTCTCCTTTAAAAGAGGGGCTATTTATTTTTTACTCCTCGTAAAATACCACACTCACAACTGAATACCTCCTATTTTCAAGGAGGCCCGTCACAGCTAGACAGGCTTTGACATCTGGGTTCGCATAACTACAAGTATCAATTTAATAATGGAATATCTTATATTCGCTTGGGCTGAAATACAATATCACCCTGCTCGTTGGTAAAAACATTCGAATGGGACTTGACTTAAAAGCACAAGAGAAAGAGAGAGAGAGAGTGGGAGAGGGAGAGGGAGGCATATTAAAATATTCGCATGGTTTTATAGGGCGGTAACAACAGCTTACAGCCTAGAAAAAAAATACTGGAAATTATTATATTAATAAAATAATAAAATTAAATGGAGGGATAAATTCCTACGGCACGCTTTCTTGTAGTAGTCTCATCGTCATTGTTCCTAGCTGCAACTTGGTGAAAAAAATATCGTCTTATAAGGCCCGAGGGAAAAACCGTCTCTTTGAGCAGCCATCGATGGCCGTCGATTTTGCTGATCTCCGGTCATCGGGCGGTTTTTTAACGGCCGCTCTCCGAGCTCGTTCCCGTTGGATAATAACGTCGGTATCTCTTCCCCCCAGGATCAACGTCACACGTCAGATTAATGGGCCTCCACCGGCCAACCGGTCTCAACCGCCGGTAGTGGAGCGGCCATTCTCCTCTGGTGGGCCCAAGATCGGCCAATGAAAGCGTGACATCAGCGAGCCTTAGCGCTACGCCTGCTGCGAAGCAGTACGTACCAGTGAGGCATGCTTCGCGTCGGAAATAATGTCCACGTAAGCATACCTAGAAGGCACGGCAGCGTCAGGTAGGGGTCAATATCGTCGTGGACTTTTTGACTTTATTCTATGTACCCATTGCTTCTTGCTCCCCCCTTCTTCTTCTATCTCTCTATAAGTCCGGCCAGTCTCCGGCGAGTCTCACCGGCGACTGCATATCGGGAAATCTGCCTTGCGACTGCCGACGTCGCTCCATTGGCAGAAGACTGCCGCTGAAGATGTATCGTCTCTCCGCTGCCCTCGCCGTCCTCGTTTTGTTCCTCTCTCTTCTGGCTGCGGTGGACTCTCGATGGGATTCCTCGCTCAGACTGTGGTCCGAGAGGGAGGAGACGGCCCCCAGCGAGGAGTCCGTGGGGACGCGATGGGCCATCCTTATCGCTGGTTCTTCAGGCTTTTGGAACTACAGGCACCAGGTCGATGCTTCACCTATTTCTCGCTTCCTCGATAACTTACTGTTAACTTGGAGCGGGGGTTCGTACCCCTGGGGGGTTTATCGGTCTCTCGTCATATTCTGTGTTTCTCGGCGTGTTTTTATATGAAAATGGGCGTTAATGTGTTTACCCTTGCGGGGCTGTCTGTTTGATCTTTTGATCTGAGCAGAAATTAGTTTGATTTGTTCGCATAGTCGGTGGTTCGAACGTTTTTGCCGGGTAAACTGTTCTCCGCCGTTGATGGCTCGTTTGTAAGACATTTGTCATCACTCGTGTGACTTCCAGGGCTCCTTGCGTGAGAAACACGAGGTCATTCGGCGTCATCTTATTTTGGATTTTATTCTGGAAGTCGTGGGTTCTCGTGCTGACTCATAATTTCACCTATTGATGTCCATGGGCCAAATAGAGGTTCGATCTCCGAAATCCACCAGCAAGAAGTGGTGTTTCTATCCATACGTGGTTAGGTGTTTACGGAAGGTGGTACTTATGACGGTAAATTAATGGACGTTTGCGAGAGAGGATCAATAAGTTTGACGAGTTTATAAAATATGAGATATACCTCTATTTTTATTCATAAAGTGGAAAAGTGTAAGAACAAAGGGATTTGCCTCCTGGAACGTTCGTGGTGGCGTTAGAGCTGCTACGAACTGGTATTTGCAATTTCTGTGGGATAATTTCTTTGCTATGCAGATAATATATATCCAATCAATTTCTCAGAGATTTATCGATAGATTCTAAAAATAAAATTCAAGATTCATTTTCTGGAAATATTTCACAGGAAATATGTCGTACAGTGGTCGTGTAGTTGTCCCAGGTACAAATCTTATATTCTGTGTTTGGATGTTATACGAAATTTCAGATTCTAAAAACTACTTTGAGTGGTTCCACCCGTACGATCAGGTTAATTCTTTTCGTGGTTGTTTTCACATAGGACTTTACTTTCCATGATTCGACTGGGATTTTTACCAAAAATTATTTGCCAGGCTTCTCGTCCTTCAAAATTTCCAAGGCTCATTTGCGCGCTGGATTCATCTACTTCGTGAGATTACAATACTTTGAGCGTCTGCTCTGGAGATGGCCAGATCTTTGTTTCTTGGAGAGATAGCCACTCTGAGAGAGAGTTTCTTAATACGGCTCTTCGTTTTCCCCTTCTTTTTTTTTTTTTTCTTTTAACTTTTTATATTCTGGAGGAACAGTTTCAGGTAGTTCTTGGGATAGCTCCGTTTGAATTCATATATCTGTGGTTTCATGTGTTCCTTGGCGTAATATTTTTGAATGCATATATAGCTGTTTGATAGGTTGTCATATATGCCAAGTTTGATGCTCTCCATTTCTTCGTTGTGGGAAATAAAAAATTAGGGGATATCAGACTGGGCACCACTAAAAGATGCTTGGCCTGGTTGATTACTGAATTGTGCACACCAATGGCTAGAACATCAAACAGGATCTGGTTTTAACACTTTTTTGAGAAGCTGTGATATCGTCAGAATCCCCCTTTGGGAGACTCCAGTAAGGAAGGCATACTAATAAAGCATATTCCTTGCATTGGTGGGGGGAAATGATTCTAACATGCATATGTTTTCTATCCCTTCAATTCCAGCGTCTGGTTTTCACCTAACGATGCCCACCCAATCTTGAACCCTCTAAGTGAATTCTGTCTCATCGGTATTGAGGACCTGAAGTGCATTTTTTCTGTTGAAAATTCGTTTAGGCGGACATCTGCCACGCATATCAGATAATGAAGGAGGGTGGGCTGAAGGATGAGAATATTATCGTCTTCATGTATGACGATATAGCCTACAACGAGGACAACCCCAGACCGGGAGTCATCATCAATCGTCCAGATGGTGGAGACGTTTATGCTGGAGTCCCCAAGGTTGCATGCTTCACCCATAACATTGGGGTTATTTTTCTACTTTATTTGCTTTTTCTTATAAAAATATTTTGCGCAGGATTACACCGGTGACGACATTACAGTGAACAACTTTTTCTCCGTTCTGCTCGGAAACAAAAACGCTCTGACTGGTGGTAGTGGGAAGGTTGTTGACAGTGGCCCTGATGACCACATCTTCATATTCTACGCTGATCACGGCGGTCCAGGGGTACTAGGTTAGTTGTTGTCTCGCCATCTTTTTGTCCTTTCAACTGCATCTTATTTCTAGTTCTCCTAGAAATAATTCACAAATCCTGGAGTGGGCCAACCGAAGTCCCATAATAATTCACAAAATGGCAGCAGATGATCGATCGTCTCATATGCTGATGAAACCAGATGAAACCATCCAGGGCATCTTGATAGTTATTACATTGGTTTTGTCAGTACATTTGTTTTTTCAGCCTGATTTCTCGTCAGAGGTCATCACTGAGAGGCCTGTTCTTCAACTCCTTTTATGTTTCCAGGGATGCCAACTTATCCCTACCTCTATGCGGACGACTTGGTAGATACCTTGAAGAAGAAGCACGCTTCAGGAACCTATAAAAGCCTGGTCAGATGATTTCTATCATATTCTTGTATAGCTGTAGATTCTCGGGGCCCGTAGGAAGATATATGTACTCTCATGGAACTGATGCATGTACATATATTCTTGATGGAGACAGGTGTTCTATCTTGAAGCTTGTGAATCTGGTAGCATATTCGAGGGTCTCCTTCCAGAGGGCTTAAACATATATGTCACCACTGCCTCAAACGCTGAGGAGAGTAGTTGGGGAACCTACTGTCCAGGAGATGTTGTCGGCCCTCCTCCCGAGTACTACACTTGTCTGGGAGACCTGTACAGTGTTTCCTGGATGGAAGACAGGTGCGTATGCCGGCTTCTCTTGTTCCATATCACTAATCCCTGCTTGGATTGTCTATAGAAGGTTTCTATATGGGCATCAAGGAAACATGTGATCGTAGGGTCAGACAGATGGACTGTGACTTGTCCTCTCTCCTGCTGATAGTTGCTCATTCATATCTCCCTGTTGTGCGATTGAATCACGCGCCTTCTTTTGTTAACATCGTGTTGGACCTTGAGCACATTATGGTGGAGGAAAGAAGAAGAAACTGTCAATCAATCACTCAGCGTAGCTTTAGCTTCTCCCCTTCTTGATCTGAGGGCTAATGCCTCCCTTTCTGTTGCAGCGATATACAGAATTTGCACGTTGAAACCCTGAAGCAGCAGTATCATCTGGTAAGTGGGCCCCCTTCGTTTCGCCTTTCGCTGATGCCAATTCTGTTTTCGTTGACTTTTAACATCCAGACGAACTCTTCTGTTTCCAGGTCAAAGACAGGACCTCGGTCCACAACACGTACACATACGGCTCGCATGTGATGCAGTACGGAGATATGGCGATCAATGCCGAAAATCTCTTCTCGTACATTGGCTCAAATCCTGCCAATGACAACCTCACTTACGTTGTGAGCAACTCCTTGCCCTCATCATCAAAGATGGTCAACCAGAGGGACGCTGACCTTCTGTTCTTCTGGAACAAGGTATGCCTTCACGCAACAGATCTCTCTCACTTCTATGATGGCCTCTGAAACCATTCTCTGAGTCCCTTCTTTGCCAGTTCCGGAACTCTGAGGAAAATTCTCCGCACAAATTCACTGCGCAAGAGAGGTTGGTGGACATGATGTCCCATCGGATGCATGTGGACAGAAGCATGGAGCTCGTTGGAAGGTATCTCTTTGGGCCTACCGATGGTGCGGAAGCTCTGAAGGCTGTTCGTCCAGCTGGGCAGTCTGTGGTCGACGACTGGGGCTGCCTCAAGACCATGGTAGGTGTAAAATTGCCCGATCTGCTTCGTGTTCTGTTTACGTTTCTATTGTTTTTGCATCCACATGCAGGCATAAAGATAACGAAAATTTCGGATTTTTTTTCCTTTTCTCCTAAGATTATGCAGCCTTTTTTCTTTGATCCTTGTTTGGTAACATTTCTCTCTCTCTCTCTCTCTCTCTCTCTCTCTACATAGTATTCCTCTCCCACCCAAACTCCCATAATCTCTTAGTGGGGAATGGATTGGTCTGAATTTTGAGCAACCAGTAGAATCAGAACTCTGGGTTTCTCTTGAGGAGGTGAGGGCCTTGGAGAAGTACTGTTGTTCTCTCTCATCTCCCCTTGCATCTCCGCTGAGTGGGGAACGGGTCGGTCTGGACTTTCGATTAACCTGCAGAATCTGAGCTCTGGATTTCGTTCGAGCAGGTGAGGACCTTTGAGAAGCACTGCGGTTCCCTCTCCCAGTACGGGATGAAGCACATGCGCGCCATCGCCAACATCTGCAACGCCGGCGTCGGGGAGGAGGCGATGGCCGAGGCCTCCGCCCACGCCTGCGGCAGCCCGCCCTCCAACCCCTGGAGCTCCCTCCACCGCGGTTTCAGCGCCTGATAGCCCCTTACCCGGCGCGCCCTACCTACCCCTGTACAGACATTTATGCATATAAATCCCCTTCCTTCTTGTACAGAGAATGCCTGTTCTAGGAGAACGGCTCTATCCTCCCCTTCCTCGCCCAAATCTGTATCAGCATCGGCCAATGTAGCCATCCCTGGGGAACTATCTGCTTCAAGCAGCCCAGTTGCTACTAATGTGCATATTATTATTATTATTATTATTATGCCCAGTTCGATGTTCTTTCTCCCATCGACGACAGCTTGGAGGAGAATAATAACCGAGATCAGGGCTCGACTGAGTAGATTCCGCATCCCCAAAAGCAGGTGCAAATGAGATGTCTATAAGTGTCCTGTGGCTGCCGCGTGGTTCCGCCGCGATGACACGATGGCGGCGGCTGACGGCCTCGCTGACACTGGGGAGCTAGCTAAGCTTGGCTGGCTTTTGGTTCAGTTGGAGCGGAGTGAGGGGTAGGAGGAGAGACGGAACCGCGTGCGATGGTCACTCTGCTCGACCCTTTTTATTCGTACCCAGCTCCTCATTTGCAGCCGCGAAGCACTCCAGCTCTCCCTCTCTCTCTCTCTCTCTCTCTCTCTCTGCAGGCCAGGCGAGGAGGAGACATGGCTGCAGGTCGCAGCACCAGGGCGGCGCTCGCGCTGTCCCAGATGATGATGGTCGTCCTTTTCGTGGTGCTCTCACTGGCCAGGGGGGCACTGGGGGCTGACGCCCCTGCCCCGGGCCCCGGCCCCATCGCCGGCATGGCGTGCCTCCGCCAGCCGCCCGCCGCCGCCTTCCTTGCCCCCGCGGTGCTGCTGCTCGGGTATCTCCGCCATTGATCGGTCCCCGCTAGTCGTTCCCGGTGACCCACCCGCGCCGGCAGGTGGGTGGCCTCTGTGGTTCCCTGTTGTCGGGTCTCCGCGAGAGGGTCGGAGCCGAGCTTTGATGAATAAAAAGGGGAGGAATGCGTAGGCAGCGGCATTCCTCCGATTTGTTGCTGTCTGACTTATCATTCTCCTCCCCCACCGCGGTTGCGCCGCCGGCATTCCGTCCTCTTCGCAGCCAGCAACCCTGGCAGCAGTCTCTGTGCTGTCGCCGGCGGCAGCGCCAACTCTCTGGCGCCCCGCTCCCCTTCTCCCTGAAGGCCGCGATCTTTCCCCTGCCCCTTCTGGGCGTGTGGACTATTGACTCCTCACGGTGCTGGCCGGGGGCCCAGCTCCTCTCGGTGGAGTCTCTCGTGCGCCGGCAGAACAGAAAGGAATATATGTTGTTCCAAGTCTGTCGCCGACCCGGCTTTCCGAACGATCACGCCTGGAAAGCGAATTCAACAGACGACAGAGAGAGAGAGAGAGAGAGAGAGAGAGGGCAGTTCTTGATAGTAAAAAGCTTGGGTAGTGCTCTGTTCCAGCTGATTGAATATAGTGTTACAGCGACAACGGGGCGGCAATCTCAGATATTTCCGTGATGCATGCTCCAGTAGATGACCGAAAAAAGTCCCAAATTCTCCGTGATCCTGCTGCCGATGACTTCACCCCCGCTGGAGATCGATCCGTCAAGAGCTTCTTCACTCCGACGCCCCGGCAGCAGCCGCCTGCGATCCCTCTCGGCGGCGGCGGGCCACGAGAGCCTCTGCTTCCCTCCCTCCATTCGAGGAAAATTCCTCCTCCGCGGAGAAGAGGACACCCCAATACCCTTGCCGGTGACCCCTCGGCGGCGGCGGCGGCGGCGGGTGCTCGCCCTCCTCCTTCGAGGAGCTCCTACTCCGACTCGCTCTGGACGCTCTCCATCGCCTTCAAACCCCTCGGCTTCTGCACCTGAGCACATCAGAAAGACAGGAGAGAGAGATTCATCAGCCAACCCCACACCACCACACGGCCACAGCGGAATTGCCATTGCCGGAGATCACCCACCGCCTTCTTGGAGGTCTTCTTCTCCCGGACCTCGTAGCGCTCCAGCGACACGTCGCCCAGCCACGTCCCCGGACTCACCTGCTGGGAAACACGGCGCCAACGTAAGCATCATCCAAAATATACGAAGGGCCCATTAAAGCCCACAACCGGTCACTATTGGACCGTCCTTCTTCAGTCGACCTTCTCCGGGCTTATGGACCCACACTGGGAAGAAGATGCTAGGAAGCTGATTCCACTGACCCAATTTGGGACAAGCCAACGTCATGGCCCACTAAAGCACGGCGGGAAAATGCAAATTTTAATATTTATTTATTTATCATGCGTATTTTATTTCGATTTTAGTTATTCAGAAAAATCTAGAGAGAGAGAGAGAAAGAGAGAGCGAGGCTTACGTTGAGGATCCGCTGGAGGCACTTGGGCCGCTTCTTGGGCCTCTGCGGCAGCTTAGCCCCTTTGAAGGTCAGGAAATCCTCTTCCTTCTCCCGCGTCGTTAGGGCGATGACGAAACTGGGCCACGCCGCCGCGTCGCCGCCGGAGGACGACGAGCCCCCCTCGCCGTTGCCCGCCTTCTCGCCGGCGGCCCTCCGGCTCCCCCGCGCCGCCTCGGGGCCGTTCGTCTGCTGCTGCAGCTGCTGGGCCGCCGAAGCTTCCGAGTGCCTGAGGAATTTTGACAAGGACAACTGAGGAATTAAAGCATCCATCCGCCTCTAGTGGAGCTGGGAGACCCCGCCCCGGTCAGCGCCACCGGCAGCCCCAGGGACCCACCGTGCGAAGAATCCAGCGATCTTATCGAAGATGGAGATGGAGAGGGAGAGGGATCGTACCGAGTGTTGTAGCCGGCGGGTCGATGAGCGGGAGAGGCCCGCCGGAGAGGAGGAGGAGCCTTCTTGTTGGTGGCGATGGCGGTGCTCTCCTTGCGGGGTTGTTCTTCGTGGGACTGGGCCTTGACGCACCTGAGCCGCTTCCGGTTGCCCCACCGAAGGAGGAAGTCCGTCGTCTTCCCCCCACCGGATCTGCTACAGAGCACCGCTGCTGCTCCCGCGGCGGCGGCGGCCCGCTTGGCCGTCGTCGTCCTCCCTGTCGTCTCCATCTACTGCCGCCTTTATTTTGAGCCTGATAACCGACACGTGCCGAAAAGAGAGTCGCTTCGACACGACCCGGTTAACCAGAACCGCAGACGAGGCCCCCGGACCGGATCAGAGGGGAGAAGAAAAGGAGGAAGAAGAAGAAGAAGAGGTCGAAGACGATGACGACGACGACGATGAAGAAGAAGAAGAAGAAGAAGATGAGAGTGAATGGGTGCTCCGAATGCTGTGCAGGCCAAGAAACCGTGGAAAATGTGATGCAGTTCAAGAAGGCTGGATCGTCCGTGGATCGAGATAAACAATACACCCCTCTGGAATTAATTAACCAAGGGGAGTGGGGATTGAACGGAGGAGGATCCCTGCAACAAGAAGCGGAAGAAGGAATCAGAGCAGGAGTTTCACGAGAATCGGATTTCCCTCGAGCAGGAGCAGAGGAATTTGTGAGAAAGATTGGGGGACCTTGCGGGTGTATGTCACATAATCGCTACCATTAGGCGTGGAAGAGATTTGTAAGCTGTAATTTCAGACTCCTGCTGCCGATGAATTCGAATCTTCGCGACCTGGAATGAACCAGGAAGGAATCATGATTGAGAAATGAGAGCAGAAGCGATCTCGGCCGGGGAACAAAAGCATCGCACAGACCCGACGGAGGCAATGCATATTTCTCTTTCAGAAGTGGATTCGGGGAAAGTCGTCGAGGGGATCGAGATCATAACAACCAAGAACAAAAGTTCAACCGATTTCGCGACGGGAAGGCAGAAAGCATCACGATGTTAAAGGAATCCTGATACGGTTGCGGGAAGAGTAAGATCTGCAAGTTCCACGGGGGCAAACCCTCCCTCTCCACTCCAGCAATGTGATAATCCTCGGCTGCGAAACTTGCGAGAAGGGAAGAATCAAACCTTGGTTAATCAATAGGAGGAATAGGAAATCCTCCGAGAAATCTCGAATTCCCCAGGAATATATCTGCGCCACGAAAACAGCGAACCGGTATCGGAGTCAGGATTATCCTCTCACGGAGTATAATTGCAGAGTACAAAACCTTGGAGCTCCGGCACCTACATGGTAATCGAGGGGGGAAGAACCTTACAGAATCAGAACCTGTTCACAGTCTGCAAGAAAGATGAAAAGTCCCCGAAGATACGCAATCCGAAGCCTCTGATCTTCTCAACACCTCCATCAGGAACAGCCGGGCATTCCCATCTCGAATCCGGCTTCGCTGACTCCGCGGTTTCCTGGGCTTCTTCTCCGAAAATAGACCAATCGACTGCGAATGACCGCAGAGAAGAAGAAATGGCAGAAACGGAGACCGCGAGCTTCCTCTCTCCTGAGCTAACCTCAGAAGGCCATTGTTTTATACTCCCCCTCTCTCCAGTCTCCGTTCCGTTCCGTTCGTTACTCGACCAGCGCCGTCTCCGTTTCCTCCGGTCCTCGTGCCACTGCTGTCCGCTGATTGGCAGATCGAGGGACAAGGAGCCTTCCTCGGATGCCCGTAACGGTAGTCTACTTTTTCGATGGTCATCCTCTAGCACTTATATTTGTTATTGTGTCCCTCTCTGCATCAAATTTACTATCCGTTCCGTTTCAGGCTACATATCTGGTATTGATCAATACGATGAAAGTACTAAGTTACCCTCTGGTTCTCTCTCTCTCTCTCTAACATCCATACTCTAGAGATATTGCTCACATGCATAAAATATTCGGTTTCTCTGTTTTACTTTACCAGCGTTGTCAACGAGCCGCCTAGGCTGACCCTTGATGGAATAGGGAGCGTTTGCAAAAGAGAGAGAGAGAGAGAGAGAGAGAGAGAGAGAGAGAGAGAGAGAGAGAAGGGGGGGAGGAGCATAGTGATAGGCTTCCACTGATTGTATGACGTGGACGGGGAAGACGGGGTACCACCATGATCATAGACAAGTGAATACATCTACTACTGACAATGCAAATGGGAATTGAACATGGGAAATCTAAGATTATAAGAAGTCAAACGGTAGCATGGTCATTCACAAGACTGAAGCCCACGTTGTGAAGTCCACTTAAACTCACAATGAGACAGGAAAAAGGGCACCAGAGAACACCAATCAATCACACGTTGGACTCAAGTTCTTCGTTGATGATAATGGTTGACCTTCCAAGGATATACCAGACAGGATACATTAGAGTGATCAATATGGGATGCGAGAAGGTTGACTTCATTAAGAGAGTGATTTGAAGCCCAGAATGCTCAAGAGAATGTTCAACAGAAGATTAACATGGCCTCTGATGGAGCAGTTAATTTCTATTACTGAGCATCGAAAAGCTGAATTCCTCTCTCAAGAAAAATGGCAGTTGGGCAGCATCAGAGCTCAATAAATGAGGGAGATGAAGAAGGAAAACGAACACAACAAGACCATGTGCTTGGGAAGAATGGGGTTCTTGATGGTTACTAATAGATCGATTCGGTAGGCAGAATTGACTGAGTTCTTGCCGACTATAATCATTATTTAAATAAATGCGAATGTTCCCAACATCCTCTACTCGTAACATATTAAAAAAAAAAAGCCAAGGTTCATCAATTATCTTCACTACTATAAGTCATCTGACCAACATCAGACAGTAAAAGAATCGATGAACCCATATTAACATTTTGGAAGCCAGAAAAATACGATCTGGATGGTCGTCGAATGAATCAGATACTCATACTTTATCACTGCAGACTGCATAATTTTCTGCTGAAACGGCTGATTTCTTCTCAACTAAAAGCAATGGGTGTCGGGAGGATACTCATTGTATCCAGTTAGAATTATCAGATCTCAGATAGCAAAGAACAGGATTCGATCAGAAAGAGAATCCAATACATTCTCCATTGAAAAAGCTCATCAAATTGGAAGCTAATGAGTAGATAATGTAGTTACTGCGCAAGGCGCAGCAGAGCTCCGTCTTGTCATACACGTTAACTGAACCATAATTCGCTAGAGGAACAAAATAGGGAGAAAAGCCATCATCAACATGAGCAGGCGACCAAAATGACAGGCATTCTCATTTACTTCTCTGACGAGTTAGGCCCCCTCTTCTTGCCGAATCCAACAACTGAAAGGAAAAAAATCCCGAAGTGTGTATCAGATGATTGATAACTGTTCGCGTGAAAATAAACATGCACAATATTTTGTGAACACACAACTTCTCATAACTAGTTGAAATATTCCTGGACAATCTTTCAGAGATATTGCAAGAGGGATGTGAAATCGAAACCAACCGGTAACTCATTTGAATTGTTCTATTTGTTAGTGAGATCGATTCATTGACGCTAGACATTGCCAGAGATGTTTCAAAAGATTGAAAACGGGCGAGGAGAAGGAATCAATACCTGCAGTGACGAACCGGCGGTTGTACTGCATGCGCTTGTGAGCCCTACCCCTGGGCTTCTTCTTCTTGTCCTGCTTCGCCACTTTTGGCGTCTGCCCTCTCACCTTCCCCGCACGCGCCAGAGATCCGTGAACCTTCCCTGTTCAGAATCGGTTTGGGGGGGGGAGCATGAGATTGAGAGAAAGGCGGAGCAGAGAATCCATATCTCGAGTCCGAAAACCCAACACAGGAGGGAAAGATTAGGGGAACTCACCCATGGCAGACCTTCGACTAGGGCTTCTCAGGGGGGAGGCCTACTCGCAGGAACTTCTGTAAGCTTCGGTCGACGGCTGGACGTGAGGACGGGAATAGTCGGATTTTGGAGCAGTATTTATATAGCGCCACGGAAGAAGCCCTAGATATCTCCGTAGATCACGTGGAAGGCACGTGCAGAAGTAAGGCAATAATATATTAACATAAATACTTTTAATTTAGAGAGATAATGATGATTGCCCCCCTTAAACCCACAGCTGAAACCTCTCCTCTCCTCCGTCCGATTAGGATTTATTATCAAACTGTTGGATGGCTGGGATTAAGTGGCCGTTGCCTGCACCCTCCCCTATCTCTCTCTCGTAACCGCTACGCGGGGGCGAGTGAGCTCGAGGTGCTCGACGAAATGAGAGCGGCCATGGCAACTGCAGGGGCCTCCCCCCGTTCCGGTGGTCTCCGCCAGTTCCACAGCCCTCGCGCGTGGTTTCTCAAAGCCAGGTGCTCGGGTTCCTTTCCATCCCCTTCTTCTGCTCTTAGGTCTCCTGGTGCGGTTGCGGCTGTCGAAGGGGAAGTTTCCGATTCCCGCGCCGCCCCCAGGAGGAGAGCTGATGAAGATGCCATGGCATTGGGCGACTCTCCGCCCACTGCCGCTATTCCCAGTCCATCCTTCTTTCCTAAGAAGGGGCAGACTTTGGAGCTGGTCTGCGAGAGCCTTGCCTTCAAAGGTAAGGGTGTCTGTAAGGTGGCCGACACTGGGTTCGTCCTCATGTGCGACCATGCTCTCCCTGGCGAACGCTTCATCGGCCGTATTTCACGCAAGAAGGGAAACTATGCCGAGGTCTGTCTCTGTGTGTGTGGACACCAACATATAAGGCATCCGTTATTAATCTGGCATATTGTCTGCCTATTTGAATCTGCGCATTTAATTCTGTGGGAGTGAGCGGAAATTTATTTGGTTCTGACTTCTTGGAGAATCTTTAAGTCATTTTACTTTCCTTTTTTTTGTCTTTGAATAAAACGCTGTATATTTTTTGTTTTCATATGTTTCGATTACTTAATTATGTATAGGTACAAAAGTTGGAGACACTTTCGCCTCATTGGGAAAACGTGGAAGCTCCATGCAAATATTCCTCGGATTGCGGAGGTTGTAAAACACAAAACTTGTTGTACGAGGCTCAGATTAGAGCAAAAGAGCAGCAAGTTCATGAATTAATCACTCATGTTGGGAGGTTCTCTGAAAGTGATTCAGAATTTGCCACTCTTTTTAGGCCCATAGTTCCTTGCAATCTACATTACCATTACCGAAATAAGGTTGGTTCCAATCTGAAGTGCTTGTTTCTTACTTTCAATCGATGCAGGATCTTGTTATCTATTGACCAAAGGCTATCTATTTTCGTAAAAAAATATGGTTTTTCCAATAATCTATTCACATTGTAAACCAATCATGTTTTCTTTTCTTTTTTCTTACATTGATCTTGCCGCATGTATATGAACCCATCCAGGAACAATAATTCGGATTTACCAAAAAATATAGTGAGTTCAGATAAAAAAACCTTGGGCAAAAACACTTTATATGATAAATATGAGAACATCAAGTGGCTTGAACATCATTTAGCTTACTTGCTGTATAGTAATTAGCCCGCAAGTGGATAGTACCACCTTGAGCATGTGTCCTGTGCTGTTGAAATAGATTAGTTCGCCTTCCCAATTCTTCTTGTAAATACGATCTATAGGAAGGCATAACTAACTTGTCACTTCAGGGAATGTCTTTTGTTGTTTTCCAACATTTTTCTTTCTCCTAGTTTTGACATTTCATTTCTTCTTAAAAATAATTCGTCATTATTGTGGGATATCATCTTCTTCATATATGGCAACTTTTTCCTAATGGCTGCTTTTCCATGATTTTATTTTTTTTCTTTACATTCATGGTTACATATGATTTTGGTATTATATTCTCATACATACAATTTTAAGAAAATGTGAGCAAACAGTGATCCCAGGTTAGGAAAGCGGAAAAACGTCTTATGACATATTATAGTATAATAAGAAGTCTGGAAGGCCTTGTTTCCTCATCGGTCTTTGGGCTAGTAAATTTCTTACTAAATATTCTGGTAGTTTAGTGTTTTAAATCATGAAAGTTGTTGTGCTTAGTGATCCATATTATTTTTAATTTTTTAAACTGGAAAATCTATGAAAGGAAAAATGATGAAATTATGTGAAAATTGTATTTTCAGAACTGAGATTTAAACCTTGGTGCAACTATATATAGCAGTAAGTGCTCATTCGCCGTATGCTCTGTCCTTTATCCTTTAGTCTCTGAAATCGAACGCAATTTGCATATTTGCAGATGGAGTTTTCTTTTGGTAGCCAGAAATGGCTACCTAGAGACCAGTTGTCCAGCAGAAGTAATCCGGATGTTGATGAATATGCATTGGGATTGCATGCTCCTGGTCATTTTGATAAAGTGCTTCATGTTGAGAAATGCTTATTGCAAAGTGAAGCGGCTAACATGGTACATGAACAATGATTTCTTTTGTGTTTCTCAAGTAATTTATGTTTTTCTGAGCAGATATTAGCCTCAAGAGAATGTGCGGACCTTAATTGTTGCCTCTGTTTTGATGTGCCTTTATTCCACTCCATTAGAGGCATATGATTCTATGTCTCGGCGTCAAAGTACCCACAGTTTCTCAACCAACTGACTTTCAAGAACTTATGCTTTGATAATCTCCAATTACTTCCTGAAATGGAAGTGGGAAATAGAATTCTTGTGCTTTCTGTTTTGATGCCCAGACATAATGCTGTCCTTCAACTCTCGTATCCTTATTAGTTCTTTACAATTCACCCCAAATTACTAGGCAAGGGTTTGTGGTTATATGTTGTTATTTTTTGTTTTTCTGTTTTTAGAAGCAGATTGGGACATGGATATGCATAAGTAATCTTCTCCAGAGAATGCTCATCCTGGGACTAGTTTAAAATAATTTGTCTTTCCTTGAGCATTTAAATTGTTCAACTGCTCGCAGATCTACTTTACTACAAGCAAGGAATGACTTGATGTTATTTTGATTATTCTGCTAATTGATAGGTTCTTGCAGTTATTCAAGACAGTTGGATTGATCCAGCGTTAGGTCTTTCTCCATACAACGTTCACAAGCATACTGGATTTCTTAAGCATCTCATGCTGAGGACTGGCAGGTGCTTCTTCATTCAGGCTTCAGTTGCCAATCTCTGAACTTATGTGTATAAAAATCATTAATGGCGTTTGTACTAAAGTATTTTGTTGAACATCTGTGTATTCTTTCCGTGAACTCTCTAAAAGCCTCTGTATATCCGCTCATTGGATGAAGATGTCCCGGGATATACTACTTGCTGAAAATTACACATTCATGTCTGCACCCTCTAATTGACGACTCTGCTACCTCATGTAGTTAACTGAAATGGATCTCCTTCCAGATTCTTTTCTTGTTGTCAAAGGTTCAGATGTAGTAGTGGTCAGCGATTACTATGTATTGAAATTTGGTAGATATTTCCTGTTACATTGGTTGAAATTCTTCTATACCTAGCTACCCATGCAAGCAACAACATCCAGGCAGGTGTAAAATGTTTCCCGATTACAGTCAATGGTATACGTCATACAGCTCCCTTTACACATATTGTGACTGATCTTGTAATGAGATTTCGACACGTCAGAAATAAAAATTAACCTAACTTATCGTAATGCCTCTTATAATTTTCATTGACTGTATTTTTTATTATCTCTTGTGTTGCTTCTAGTAATTTAGTCTTGAATATCCTTATGGTGTCTTCTTTATGTTTCAAGCATGATTAGATCACTTATTTCGGAAGAAGACCGTTGACAAAGACCTATGCTCATTTGTGGTATGGGACAATGTAACCACTCTTGTAACCCTATTTGCTTCGCTGTTGGAAGATATTGACATGAGGTCGCAATATTTATACTTGTGAAAACGTCGATTAACAGTTGTGGGCTGGATGTTCAACAATCAAATAACAGAAAAAAGGAATTGTGTCTTTCTTCTATATGCCCTCAGGTGTTTAGTTTAGTTTTTACATTTGGCTCATTGTTTTATTATCTCCCTGCCTTTACTTTACGTATTTAGTCTTCAGACTAAGATTCTTGGATGAAGTTACAGTATTGTAACATTGGATTAACGAATCTTATTTTTTTTGTTCTTTTAGAGATTGTGTGACAGGCCTTCCTCAACTGATGGTTAATTTTGTGACTTCATCCCACAATCCTGGTCTATTGGCACCTTTGGTCGACAAGATTTTGGATATTCCGGAAGTGGTCTGTGATCAGCCTTTACCTTTACACTTCAAAGTTGCTGCTTTAATTGATGGGTTAAATTTCGTTGGGTGCTATACATTAGTGTTGGAACCTTCCCCTCTCTGTGTTATGCTTAGGTTAGGTTGGGAAGGTCCATGATGATGCATTATTTAAGTGAAAATAAAAGGTAGCACACTCTAAGGACGAAACTTATTTTCTTTCCTATACCCTCTTTAATTACGAAAATTTCCTGACTAATCTTTAGAAATGTGCTGTTGGCAAAAGGCATCTTTTCATATCTAAAATAATTTTTGAATATAGTGGTAAATAAAATCCTTGTTGTTATCAGGATGATTACCGGAACCATTGTCTTGTAGTTATGATATTGCGTGGTTAGAAGAAAAAAAATTCAATCTGTGTGAATTTCTAATTTTTTAGTGTAATTTTAGCTTCATTGTCCATTACTGTGTGAAGATTTTTCATTCTTAAGGTTGTCGGTTTAAAATAATTCAGTTGTCATTGCTTGTTCTTTTCCCTATTTATGAATAATTTTATCCGTCAGTTTACAACAAGGATGTGGTGAAACCCTTAAGTAGCTCTTCTCAAACTATATTAGGTTGCTAACTTCTCGAATGGAAGTACTTGCATTTACAGAAAATTTTAGTGATTTGTGCTAGTCTTTTTCTTCATAAGGTGTTAATACGTGCGTATCTACTCTAACACCCTCGTCATCTGTCTTCCTCTTCTGCATATGCTTTTTTTTCATGAGGAAATGTCAATATATGGCTTTTGTTTTTTTTGGAATTTGATTTATATCCATATTGACTTCTTAAGGTGAGCATTGTCAATAATGTGAATACGTCACTTGGAAACACATCCCTTGGGGAGAAGGAATATGTTCTTTATGGAAAGCCAACTATCACAGAGACCTTAAGAGGGCTTACATTTCAGATATCTGCAAATTCTTTCTTCCAAACAAACACTCACCAGGTTTGAGCAAAAACTTCTTCATGTAGGCTGTGAATTTTTTTTATTATCTTTGTTCACGATTAGAATCTTTTGAGAAATATTAATATTTTAGTTATGTTCTCATACTGACTTCCAGATGTATGAGAATAAGTAGTTTCCTTATTTTGATTTTGTTATTATCTTTTTTCACTACTAGAATCTGTTGAGAACTATTAATATTTTAAAGATGTTCTCATACTGACTTCCAGATATATAGCGTTAATCAATATTGTTTATCTTCTGTGTAAATTTTCTTATTGACTCTCATTCAACATCTTAGAATGTGATCGTACATAAACCAAAACTTAAGAAATTTTCTGGTGCATGAGGTGAAGAAGATATGATTCATCTTTTATCGAAAAAAAAAAATGTCTTTCCTTAGTTCGTTTGGGAACAGACAAGAGAAACAGGTTGGTTCAAATTTATTTCATGTCCTTCCATCCGAATATTTGCATCTTATTGAATATTGCCTTTTCTGTCACAGCTTTTAATGGCAGATTTAATATGACAAGGATAAAGTATTTCTCTGCTGTTTGATCTCAGTTTCTCTATTTATGTCTGTTTTGTAGTACAATTATCATCGTCCCTTGAAGCCTTGTGATGATGTCAGGAAAAGATCTGTTCCGTGTTACTGATCAATAAACAGAGTTTCTTAATACAAAAGGAATCCACGTGCATATTCATATGTGTGAGTCAGAGATCTGGCAAGTAGCTAGTTCGGGCCAGAAATGGACTCCATTATGTTAGGATTGACGGAGTATTTTTTCTCAGTGGGGTAAAATAATGGGAAAGTATATACTTACTGATAAAAATTGGATTGGCAAATTTTGAAAAACAAGAAAGAGAATAAGCCTGGAAGCGGTGGGAACCTTGTAGAATGGGATCCACATGTTTCTTTAAATTTGCTTCAATCTAGGATCAGTCCATTGTGGAATCACCTCGAAGAAAATCAGGGTTGTCCTGAGCCTAAACCATATTGATTATCTGTTTTTGAGGTCTTTTCAAAATTTTGTCGAATTGAAAATTATATGATACTGTGACATGAAAATTTGCTAATCGTTGCATTGTCTTCTTGACTCGAATCTGAGTTGATACCCAGATTACGCACTTACATTTGTTTTCGTGCTTTAATTTTTTTCCTGTTCAAAAAGTTGCTTAGCTTACCAATTGAGTTTTAGGCGCTAAAACTCAATCCTTTTTTGAGAAAATTTGTATTTGTCATTGCCCTGTGTACAGTGGGTCAGTCGAAGAACTCTTTAGATGAGACTTACTTCTTCGTATTTAAGTGGTATTCTGGCTGGCAATTTTTGAAGTACTATTTTTTTTTTTTTTTCAGGCAGAAGTCCTTTATAAGCTTATAGAAGAGTCTGCTGGTCTTAAAGGAGATGGGTCAGAGATTATCCTTGACTTGTTTTGTGGTACTGGAACGATTGGTCTGACACTTGCAAGAAGGTCCACCCTTTGATCTAGTATTATTTGTTTGTTGACCTCGATCACATTCAGCATTATAATTCTAGTTTATGACTGGAGGCTCTTTTGGCCATTTTTTCAGCGTCCGGCATGTTTATGGTTATGAAATAGTTGCTGATGCAATATCAGATGCCCGTCGAAATGCAGAAATTAATGGCATTACAAATGCCACATTTGTGCAAGGCGATCTGAATAAGATTCGAGATGAATTTGGAAATGACTTTCCTAAACCTGATGTCGTCATCACAGGTTTTCTTTCCCTGAAAAATTTCATTTCCTAGTGATTCTTTAGATAGAGGAGTTCCATATTGGAAAAAATATATATATTTCACCAACTATTTTTGCATTGGATGTCCCAAGAAAATTGCGTTCTGTTTTAAATTTTCCTAGTATCAGAGCCAAAAGAAATTATGAGCCTGCAGGTAAGGGGACGTGCCAAATCAGTCTCGCATTTGAAGAAATAAACGAGTAAAAACATGTGGTGAGATAGATGGGTTACCCTCCGCTCATTATAAATTGGTTTTGAGTAGGATGAATGAAAGCCTTAATAGTTTTATCCACATATACCTGATAATAGAATTCAGTCTTGTCTCATTTTGAAGTAGATAACTGTTCTGGGATGGAGCTAGGACAACATTGACCCACATTGCTCCTGAACTTTGTGGATTCCAAGATAGTTATTGAAGCCATCCTTTCGCTTTCTCGTTTGTGGCTTTGTATTTCGGTCTAATTCATTTCTCCAGGCATATATGTGCTGTTTTATGTTCTTCCTGAAGTTGCTCCTGAAATTTTATGTTGTTTTGGGTTGACGTCGAAGCTCCTAGCGTACATTTCTCCAGGCAAAAATATGAAACTTTTACTTGGAAAAAAATTATGACGTTCATCTCACATAAACTGTAGATCCTAATCGCCCTGGCATGCACATGAAGCTGATCAAGTTCTTACTGAGACTCCGAACTAAGCGGATTATCTATGTTTCCTGCAATCCAGCCACATGTGCCCGTGATCTCGATTATCTCTGCCATGGTGTGGTAAGTTCATAGGATTCCTTGCTATTGATCATTCTACTCTGAGTTGTTGAACATTATATCTTATCCAGTATACTTGTAATATCAAACCCAGGCAGAGCAGAATATAGAAGGTTGCTACAGTCTGAAGAGTGTGCAGCCAGTAGACATGTTCCCCCATACTCCCCACATCGAATGCGTTTGCCTCCTGGAACTCGATTCTTAGCTAATTGAGGTCAGAGAAGGCTACCTTGCTGCGTTCATCGACATTATTCTGGCAAATCTTCAGCATTGTGAATGTTCTGCGATCACTGAGCATACCCACACCATACATTGCTGTTGCCGTGGTAGGTCCTAAGTAGTGGATGAAAGTCCAGTGATGAGGCCTTCATAATGTTTTAATGCCGCTTCAGCCACAGGGAAGATGGAATAGAGAGATGATGACCCACGGTCTTTGGGTTGACTTCAGATAGACCGTTGGTGAAGTCGTATTTCTGTAAGCCTTTAAAGTGCCATATTTTTTGTACAACTATGGTTCCTCCGATTGTTGGTATTCAATAGTTTGGTATGCATTTTATGGCAATCATTCAGTTACCATTAATGTACGTTTTTTGCTGTATCGATGCAAATAATCCAAGAAAATTGATCACTGACCATAAAATTTCGGAAAATAACTAATTACATGTGATTGCATAGAATAACACCAGCAAGTCAAGGTAGCCAAGGTTAAACCAGCTCACAACAACTCAGGGAGCCCATAAGAAAACCTCAGCTCACTCTTACTGACTTGTTATCAGAGTACCGCCTCAAAAGGGCTAGAGAAGGTCATCTACACAGAATCGTACTGCTGCCTTTCTCTCTGTATGCGCTGGAAAATTCTTGCTGCTGATTCAGTTGTTGATTTTGGGTTATGTGGGACCACCTTGATCACCTGAGTATGCTGGCCAGAACCTTCAGAAACCATGGGAAGCGGAGTCACAGCAGCCCTCTGCCCTTGCAGCCTGGTGTCACTGGGACTGCTCCCCGTACTTCCTTGCAGAATACTACCTTTGGATTTCTGAACACTCCGATCAAGCTCCGAAAAGGGTCCGCTCTTTGGGTTAGAGACGCCGCAAGAGCTCCAAGAGTGCTGCTTGAGCAGTGGCCCAGCTATCGGCTTCAGCTGTTCAACTTCAGCGCCGTGGACTGGAAGCCCGAATGGGACTGGTAGAAGGGTCGGGGCGATTGCTGCTGAACCAGGAAGAACCCCAATGCTTAGCTGCTGGTGAGGCACAGGAACGCCATAGGCGGGGCTCATGAGCTTCCCTGCAACAGGGGCTAAGCTGAGAGGGGTGGAGCCGCTGTAGACGGTGTTCATGAGAGCCGCCGGTGGAGGGTACGGGCTGGTGCATGGCTTGTATATCAGTCCTTCGGAGGGAGACATGACAGGAACCAACCACTGGTTACTAGCCGGTGCCTGGAAGCACCATGGACGAGGTGTGCTGTCGGAAGAAACTGGGAGCGAAGAAGCCTGGTCAGTCGGATGCTGTACACGATGAAATGAAAGGATGCCCGCCATGTCTTCTGTGGTAGACTTGCTGTCACATTTCGCCTTCTGAGAGTGATCCCGCTGGTTAGTAATCGGTGGTTGGGGTTCTACCAGGTGATTGGAGCCTGCCACCTTCTCCTTGATTGTCTTCATCTGAGGCTTTACCAAGAAATTGGCGCAGGGATCTTCCACAGGCTGACCCTGTAAGCGAGAGGTGTCTTCAAGCAGTACATGCGGTGAGACAGAAAGGAGCTTCTGGACCTGTTTGAGGATGTGATTCTCAGATCTAAATCCTTCTTGAAAAGGGTATGCATTTATTTCTTTGTAAGCGAAAAGATTAAGGAAAGGGAAAGCTTACTTTTATCAACTTATGGAGTTCAAACACTTGTATTCCAAAAACCCTCTGTTGACTGCAATCAATTGAAAATTCTTTCCATATTAGATCAAAGATAATGATAGAAACTCAGTAATAATAAAAAAAACATGTGACGGACTTGAAGGTAAGCCCATGCAGTCAGAATTAGGTCAAGATTTTTCCATTCAATCTAACATTAGAGGAAAAAGATTCAAAAGAATAAAATTCCCAGGTATCTAGAAGCAATTACCATTTCTGCCAACGGCTAGATATCCCTTGAGAGGAAAATATTTTCATCTTTTTTTTTTTAGATGAGCACTTATTATCTGCGGTCTCCAGTAGCGCACTACTTTCCAGAAGAAGAAAAAATAAATCTGCTTCGAGAAAAAAAAAAAAAAAAGCCAGTTCCCCTCCAGTGAATTCCCTTTCAGTCCATTCATATTTTGATAAACCCATTGAATACAGGTAAAGAATTCGGAAGTCAAACCATGGATGCCTCAACACTAAGTAAATTCCATCCTTATTAAATTCCGATCCAGGGTCAGGATTGAATGAAAGATATATAGATACAATTAGCTAAATAAAATAAAGTAGTCCTCATGAATTGGACCTCACAAGCCATTGAAAAGAAATAAAATACAAAGGAGATAATTTGAGGATGAACCAGAACGGAATGCACCCAGAAATACTCACTTGGCGATGGCTCTCCTCATTTTCCAAAAGTGCTTGGCACCGATCAAATCTACAACATCATCCGGAGATATGTCGATGCCTGGTACTGAGCCCATCGAGGTCCCAGAATCTTCGTCATCAGCACCAGAACCTTCCAGTGCTTCTTTGTCGGAATCCCCTGATGAAGGGCTTGGGAGCACATCAGCATCTTCCACTGATCCAGTTCTATCGAGACCTTCACCTGCACCTGGCTCCATTAAACTGTTGCCAGGTAATTCTCTGGAGCAAAACCCAGTTCTCCCATTAGATTCTTTTCCTGCACCTTCAGCACCCCTGGTACTCCCAGCTGACCATCGACGTAGGCCAGTGCTTCCACATCTGGTGCTTCTAGTTCCCTTCGATTCAAAACTGGCAGTCGTCAGAGCAACAGTTTCCTCTGTTTTTTCTTCTGCACTGTCTCTCTTATGCTGTTGCATGATTAAACCCCTGATGCCATGTTCTTCCACAGGTTTTCTGTCTTCAGCCAGGCTCTGGGTATTAGAAACTGTGGATCCACTTTCCTTGAGGCTGTTCAAATAAGAATGAGCAGTTGTTTTCTCTCTGTCCATGAAATGGTGATCTTTGTCAGAGCGCAGAGCAATTCCAGGCTGAGAAATAGTAGGACTTCTAAAATCATCCTCATCTCCAGGTTTCCTTCCAGGGCAATCCTCAGCTCTGGACGAGCTATCTGGACGTAATGAGCTGCATTGATCACCCACCTGTGGATGATTACCTGCAGTCGAAGCTATTCTCCGGAACCCATGCTTCAACGGGTGTCTCCCAACCATCGTTCTCGGACCAGCTTCATTCATCCTCTCCAGTGGATGAGTACTAGACTTCTCTGCCGGGTAGGAGGGTACAGGAGAAAGCGCATGGTTGAGAGAAGGCACAGTCTTCTCATGGCCACAACCCTACAGGCATGAAATACTTGTGATCACGCCAGTAGCAGCAGCTATGCTGAATGATATTACCTGGTTAGATCTAATTTTTCAAACTGGTTAAGTCTCAAATGATTGATGGACCAGATTTTTTTTATTTTTTCCCCACCCTTATAATTACATGCTGTTTGAATCCTGCATGGTGTTTTGTGAATATAGGAGCACTACGAGATGCACCCAGAGTTCATGTTATTGGGTCTATAATGCTTGAAAGCAGGAACATTTGAAAAGAAAAAGGTAGCACGGATTATGAAGATGCAGAAATTAGGGTACTCCTGATTCTGCACTTCATAAGGTTGTGTTCGGAAACACAGAATACAAGGCTGTTGTTATTGGGTGAAGAAACCCTAAATTGCTAACCCATGAAAAGGGCCTCTGCATAGTTCCGAGGTGATCGAGGACGCCGACGCTACCCGAGGTTATCGGTTTAGAACCTTTGCGAGTGCATCTTGCAACGTCCAATCACGAAGGGTGAAGGATTCTTCCTTCTGTATTCGCCGTTTTTGGAGAAAGATCGAGGGGTTTAGGGCCTCCGGGGAGGTGGAGAAGGCCAGAATCAAGGCAGGTTCAGAGCAAAACATACCTGGTTTAACGACGCAGAGGGTACCAAGCTATCCGGCGCCGAGGATGGCGAGTCCGATTTCAACATGTGAGAAGGAATGCTGAAAATCTCGTAGAGCGCCATCTTGTTCCTCGGCGGCGCCCTGAGGCCCCCTTTGCCGGCGTCATTGACGTGAAGCCTCGGGAACAGAGGGCCTGCAACATTCTCATCCTCTCTCCCCCTCTTCATCCCTCTCCAACCTTCAGCCTCAGATCCCGCTCAGGAGGGCCTCTCCGCGCGGAGTCGAAGGTCCACAATCCTCATCCCGCCGTCGAAAACCACAACGGGGGAAGGTTCCCAATTCCGACCCTGAAACCCTCGTCGCAAATCTCCAGACGCATCCAGACGCCAGCTCAGGTGGGTAGCTGTAGGCAAACCACGTCTTCTTCCTCGGACTCCTGAAACTGTGCGGTGCGGGAGGCGGTGGGGGAGCGATATCCCCGGACTCAGGAGGCCGATGGCAGAGGATCACAGTCGATGAGAATCTGCGAAGCCAACGTGGAAGTATCCAGGGAAGCCGATGGGAGGCCGAGGATGGGTCGGTGCTCCTCGCAGGCCCCACCGTGACCCGGATCAGCTTCCATCCTTTTCCACGGCGCCGTAAAACTGTAAACCCAGTCAATTTGGAACCCTTGAGAACAATCCCGGATAAATGTCGGGCCGGTTGAATTCGGGTTTGACTTCATCATCACATACGGAGAACACCTGCGGCGCCGCTGTCCGACCCACGGTTGCTCCCCCCACCGTTGACCGGGATGGAGAGCCGAGCAAAGTGCCCTTTTTTTTCAGCCCTAAAACTGCGGGTGAAAGCCGGCGAAGCCCACGGTTTGCCGTCCATAGAATACGGCAGCGGAGGAGCTCCCCTCCTGGTGCGAGCATACAAATACAGGGATTTGCTCCCTCTTTCAGAATCATCGTCGGAGAAGGAAGGTCTTCTTCTTGTAGATCTCTGGTTTGCTCTTCAGGGCGGAGGATCTAATGGCCTGCATGTGCGGCGTGCCGGTGGAGGTAAGGGCGACGGTAATCCCGATCGTCATCTACTGGGTCTACTCTGGATTGTACATGGCGTTGGAATACACGGGCAAGTATCAGCTCCGACGGCGGCAAGACGGCGGCGACAAGAACTTGGCCTCCAAGCGGCAAGTGTTCTTCGGGGTCCTCATCCACCAGGCGTTCCACGCCGCCATCTCAGTCTACCTCTTCAAGGTAATCCTGCTACCAGAGCCATTTATTTGATTATCCGTTTCTCTCTCTCCCCCCCTTTCCCCCCTTTTCCCCCTTTTCCCCCCAGGGTTGACCCCCTTCCCCGCCGCCTCCGCAGATGATAAACCCCGGTTGCGCCGCCTCCACGAACCAGCCTCGCCTCAAGATCTTCGGGAGATTGGTGGCGGCGCTGCTGGTTATGGACACATGGCAGTACTTCCTGCACAGATTGATGCACGCCAATAGCTTGCTCTACCGCTACTCGCATTCCAAGCACCACCGCCTGGTGGCGCCGTACGCCTTCGGGGCGCTTTACTACCACACACCAGAAGGGCTCCTCCTCAACACCGCCGGCGGCTTCGTGGCCATGGCCGTCACCGGAATGCCTCCCTGCGCCGCCATGGTCTTCTTCTCCCTCGTCGCCATGAGGACGGTGGACATCCACTGCGGGATGTGGGTCCCGTGGCACCCGCTGAACCTCCTCTTCAGCAACAACACCGCCCACCACGAGCTCCACCACCAGCCCGACGGCAGCGATTTCAACTTCTCGCAGCCCTTCTTCGTCTTCTGGGACAGGATCTTGGGAACCCAGTTGCCGTACACCGTGGGGAAGGCGGAAGGAGGAGGATTCGATCTGAAGGTGACTAAGAAGGCTTAGGTCCGGAGGCCGGCCCATTGTGGATAATGGAGAGACCCGTTAATGTACTGATGGGCCTCATCGCCCACTTAACGTTGCAGAGTCCGTGTTTCTGTGAATAGAAAACGAGGATCGGACCTCTCAGTTTGACGTCCTACTACAGCTACCATTATCTGCAGCCGGTATTTAATCTGCCGCAAGAGAGAGAGAGAAGAAAAGAGAGTATGGGGGGGGGGGAGAAGGAGAAGGAGAAGAAGAGGGCGGGACGGCGGGGAGAAAGGTGGCGCCTTTGCCTTCTTTTAGCCTAAGCCACGTGGTGGGCAATAAGCGGGGGGTCCTCTCAAGGGCACGCCTGGCTCGAGTAAGGGGAACAGAACCCACTGTTACCGATTCACACGCCCGAAGGGAATGTCCCCGTGCGTTGGGTCCCTCAATATTCCGCCATTAAAAAAAACACAGGCGAGTGGCAGTCGACGGAACAATGAGAAACCCGAGGAAAGAACAAAGCGGGAGCCGAGAACATTTTCCAGGAATTCGAGACGTAGATTCCTAATCATAGGTGTTATAATTCTTCATACTTTCCATGTCTGGAAATAGGGAAGTGATTCCCGCTTCGCCGGCCTCTCAGAGAGAAGGCTGTCGACGAGGCGCCCGGAGCCATGACGCGCAGGCCTCGAAAAGAGGCAATTATGGGCGATATGATGGGGGTGAATGCGATTAGGGTTTCTAATGAGCCGGCTGACGATGGTAGTAAACTGCTTGCCGTAGCAAATCCTGCGGATAATGATGAAGATAATGATCTATTTCTCGGGCCATGGTCTCTTTTAAATGATCATGGAAAGGTGAGTTTTTTGTGGCAGAAAAGACGGTAAATTTTTGGAACAAGTAGAGACTTCACTTGATCAAAACTGGGGGAGATCAGGAGCTCCCATCTGCATCTGGGGTACAAGGGTCTGCAGGGGAAAAGAGTGGTCGAATGGCGAAGAAAGTGGAAGGGAGGAAGAGAGGATGCTGCCGGCCGCGGAGCCAAACCCCTGGCCAACGGTTTCCAAGGCGTTGACTTGTGACTTGAGGAACTTGAGATAGTTGGCGGCCTCGTCGAGCATGGAGGCGGTGTCCATCTTACTGCCGCCGGGGACCAGACTCTGCAGCACCCTGAGTCTCTCGCTGATCCTCTCCCTCCTTTGTCTCGCTGCGACGGTCTGCGGATCGCTCGAAATCCTTACGTTCTTCCTCTTGGGCTTCTCCACGGCCTCCACAGTTCCGGGGTTGACCGGCCTCATCGCTGCAGCCCTGTAGATCATCTCCTTGACCTGGGCAATGGCCTCCGTGTCGGGCTCATAGCCGTTGTAGAGCCGGAAGTCAATCCCGGACCCCTCCATCCTGTGTTTCGTCCTTTTCGGTTGCGTCTCGAAGTTGATTCTGAAGCCGGTCTCGTTTCTCAATGGAGTTCCAACAGCGAATCCACTGTCTCGCTGTTTCCTCTTCAGATTAGGTCTATTTTGGGAAACCCCGAGAAGGGGAGCATCTGGGCTGGAAGAGCCCCGTGAGAACAGCTCACCGCTCCTGCGAGAACCACAGTTATCTGATTCACCCGAGGAAGCGCTGCCGCTTGAGCTCGAGTAGGGAAAGATCTCACAGCTGGACAGTATCGCCGACATGTCTTCTTCCTCTCCGACGTTGATGCGGAGTTGTTCTCCAAGAGGAGGAGGATTGCCGATCGTTGCAGAAGAAGCCCCGAGAAAGGCGGCCAACCACATGGTTTCTTGCAACTGCCTCGTTTCTGCGAAGTCCAGGGATGGAGACGGAGGGAGTCCCTCCATCTCACCTGGTCGACTCATCTTTCTGGGCTCGATGGGTCTGAACCCAGGTAGCTCTACTCTGAACAAAGCTTCGGCGAGATCAAGATCGCCGTAATTAGAGTACGAATGGAGAGAATTCTTGCCGTTTTCATTCGCCTGGTTGATCCACATGCAAGGAGGGATGCTCGTCTCGCTCTCGACAGCCAGAGAGTTCTCCCACCCAAAAGCGTCCATTTATGGTGACAAGCAAAGGCCTCTTCTCCTGGTAGGAGGAAGAATATCGCTAATCAGGATGATTATTAAGGCAAGAAAGCAGGAAATATAAGAATAGTTCATCCCGAGTAAGATGGCTCGATTACCTATTCAGGATCGTCGCAGCTGGCCACCCAAGGCAGTTCAGTTCTGTCTGACATTCGAGGATCTCCAGTTGCGAATGACCGTCTCCGGGGAGCAGAAGCACAACGGAAGGGCCACAAAATGGATTCTAGTGAGAACTGCCGCTTTATAATTTGATGCCAAGAAGGGCAACCAGACTCGAAGTAGAATCCGTTCTAAGAAACGAATTCTACGTATCCATGGAATGAGGGGAGAGCACTCAGTCGGTCATGTGATAATACCACGGAGAGGAGTCCGTGGAAGGCTGTGCAGAGAGGAAGAGAGTGGAGCCCGAAGCACACGGGTTTCTTTTCTCAGTGGGCACCATGAGGAGGGGAGGGTGGAGGAGATGATCCCTTGATCAAATGAATTGAAGCATGGAGAATGTTGGCCGTTATAAAGGGCTGAAGTAGAGACCTTCCCTTGTACTCTCTCTCTCTCTCTCTCTCCCTCTGCTGATTGCTGAAGAGGGGAGTGATGGACTGAGAAAGATGAAGACTTTTAGATCAGTTGGGTCGGGGATCGTTCAGATGGGGAGCATGCAACTTCTGAAGTGATCTTTGAATAATCGAGTTAGGGGAAAGGCCTGCACACTCTGTTGGTTTCTTCTGCTCATTCCCGGAGACCCCACCCCGCAAGTCCCTCTCTCTGCCACCTTTCACCAGAGTCGTCAATAAGAAAAAAACTTAGGACTGGGACACCGCACCATCTTAAGACCCACTACCTATCTTCTCTCCCCATCCAGCGGCCGTTACAGCCGAGCTCCACCGATACGCTCGCGGAAGAACGACCGAGGGTTTCTCCGATCACGATCATAGGGTGGGTGACCGATTAGATCGAGTGTCATCGCTGACCGCAGATCGACCTTGGAGACCAGTATCATTAATGACTGTGGGGAGAAGTTGGAGCACTCTCCAGGGCTAGAGGAAGGGCCCCATGTGGGGAGATGGGACGTCAGTGGCCCGGTAGAATAAAAAAATAGGACGATATAGACATTAAACAAGGTGGAATTGAATCATATTCATCTACAAGTCCCCACTGAAACCGGCGAGCTCTTTGATGGCTGACATGCCTTATTCTATTCTAGGGTTTGAGGTATAATATCGCGGCGGGCGAGGGGAATTGAATCGCCCTCTCTTGGATGTTGTGTGATCGTGATAAGGAACTGATGGATCGGGTTATAAAAGTCCCTCTGACAGAGGGCAGAGAGGCTCGCAGCAACTTGCTGCGAGAGGTTGTCCACACGCGGGGGGAGGAAGGCGGGACTGATCTCCGAAGGCTTCCTCGTGCACGCCACGAATACAGCCCACTGTGAAAGGGGCTGCGATGGCCGGTGCAGCGCTCTGACGGGCTTCTTCCTCTTCCTTCTCCTCCAGAGAGAGCCCTCGCCGCCCGAAGAATTCGGCATCCATCGTCTTCCTACTGTCCTTTCTCTCCTCCCCTCATCTTCATCTTCTTCCCCTCTGAGAATGGATGAATACAGGAGAGTGAGGCCAAGTATGGCGAGGTCATGATCAGACGTCAACCTCGGCCGCTCTTTTTATCCTTTCTTGGTTGCGCCTTTTTGAGTGTGCTCTCTCTCTCTCTCTCTTCTTCACCGCCTGTCTAATCCTGGTGGTGGACTTGACTTCGTCTAAGACAAACTACCTTCCTGAGCGGTAAAGTCGGAGTTTCGCATCCGTTTGTATGTACTCTTCTGAGTTGACAACTCGAGGTGGCATCTCGTAGTCGTGAGAACCCGGCAGCTCTCGGGAATGTGATGCGTCTGCGTTGTTTGGAGCGCCGAACTTCAGAGGAGAGAGATGTCAAGATTAGGATTATCTCATTCTACCTCCTCTCTCTCTCTCTCTCTCTCGTTCTCCATCGACATGGGTGGGTTAATGCGCAAGAGATGTTGTTAGTCGCAGCGATAAAGAGATTTTCAAAACATGGGTTATCATAATCCACATCTCTCTCTCTCTCCCTCTGTCTGTCCATCAACATGGGTAAGTGATGAGAGGTAGATGGTCGAGGCTTGGAGGGTTTGGAATTGTCAACGATGGAGGGATATTTTCCTCACGTCATTTTTTTGCAAGGTAGCCTGTTATGGAAAAGAATACTATCCTTGTGGGGATTTCATGATTCGAATGCCGGTCAATTGTAGGGAATTATTGCCATAACCCATGTAAAATATGAGTTCCTTTTTAGACTTTTGTAAAGCAAGCACGAGATGCTGTTCTTTTAAGTATATTCAGAATCCCGTATAAAACTGAGGGGAAAGGGAGTGGGGAGAGAGAGAGAGAGAGAGAGGACTAGAGGGGATAGAAAGAGAGAGGAATCTAGGCACAGAGAGAGGGACTGAGATTGAGGAATCTGGGGAGAGAGAAAGTAGGTTAGAATGAGGGATGTAGGTAGAGAGAAAGGGATCTAGGGAGAGAGCGTGAGAGTGAGAGAAAAGGGTCTAGGAGAGGAGGGAGGGAATTAGGGAGAGAAAGAAAGGGAGTAACTGATATATGGGGGATGGAGTGGAGAGGAGAGAGAGAGAGAGAGAGCATCGTTGAATTCGATTTCCATGTTGGAGCAGGACCGCGGTGGCGGAAAGGAATCTTGTGCCGGATACCATCGCAATGCTCCCACGCGAACGCATGAAAAGAAGGAACAGACTTTCCATCCACAGCACCGAGCACGTGAAAAGAACTTACACCACGAGAGCAACGATGGCCGGGTGTCAAATGTTCCAAAACGGAGAAGAGGTCGGTTGGGAAGATGAATGAAGGAGAGAAGAAGAGCCGGTTCCCGGTTCTGATGAGAGAGAGAGAGAGAGAGAGTGAGAGAGGAGAGCCCAGTCGGAAAGATGGCGCGAGACGCTCGGAAAAGGTTTCAACACACTTAGAGTCGTGGCTCACGGTAGCTGGATGGGATCCGGGTCAAACTTCTGAGGCGTATCAACACTCGCCGGACGAGATGGCCGGCGGAGCCATCACCGCCGACGAGGATCAGGACCACTTCTGAGGGCCCAGGAGCCGTCCCTTCTTCCTCCTCCGGTGCACAATCATTGCATTATGATCCTCCCGGGACCAGACCGGAGTAGACTCTCTCTCTCTCTGGCCCTCCCACTCCCCGTCTGTCGGACTCCGCTGTTGCACAGGGGTGAGCTGTCGGGAGCTGCCGGTCCTATCCATCAGAGTTGTATATGCTAATCGTCGTAAGGGCCGGCGGGGGTGACAAACGCTGCAGCGGGCAGCCGCCCATTTGCCAACGCTGACCGATCACACATGGCCAGCCCTCCGACGGCTGCCATTTGCCACCGGCCTTGCCGGGGACCATCCCACCAAACGATGCCCCGAGCATTCAATTCCTATCGTCGTGGGAAGCTTCGCGGTGGGGCGGAGGGAACCCGTGAGCTCAGTCTGCGGCGCCATCGCAGGAGCTTCTATTGCTCCCATGCAAATAAGAGTGTGAGGGAGAGAGAGAGGCTCTCCGTCGAGATGGCCGGCGGTGTCGCTTTCCATCCCGGAGAACTGGCACCCACCAGGCCCGAGCGGTCGAAAACCCTGCACTCCTCTCGACGGGTCGAGCACCTGGTTGGCCCCGCGACTCGGCGGAGCTGGTTTCCTTGCGGAGGGCTTCTACGGCTCAACCCGAGTCTCCGTCCCCGCTCCGCATTCCCCCGTCTCTCTCGGAACATCACCGGTCAAGTCGGCCACCATCACGGATCGTGTTGTCACAGTCAAAAGTCGCGCATCAGTCAAGCCTCTGCTCCATCCCTCTCTCTCTCTCTCTCTCTCTCTCTGCGCTTGTTGCTGATGCTTTATTGGTGGGTGCAGAGGTGGAACTTCTATAAGATCTTATCAAATTAATGTGGGAAATTGGAGTCTTTCTGCACAGAAAGCCCGAGAAGTCGGGGTTCGGCAGGCCAAGCAGACGTAGAACAGGAAGAACGCAGCCACTCAGGATGGTTTGTTCCCAAGGGGGAGGGGGGTCAGGGGTTAGATGACCCAGATAGATGCCACCTGCCACACGATTGACAGATAGATAGATGATAGAGAGCGTGCGAGGGAGAAAGAGAGAGCGAGAGAGAGAGAGAGAGAGAGAGACAGTCTACGGTTGTCGGCTCTTCAGATTCTCTGCTGCGCTCTTAGAGAGAAGCCTGGTAGAAGACGAAGCTTTTCTCCTGATGGGCAGGGGATGCAATTCGATCGGAAAAGATCTAGTTTTTCAAATGAATTAAAACCTTTCTCTCTCTCAGTTCCCATCTCCAGCTCCATTCACTGCTCCATCTCCACCGTTGACTACCTCCTCTGGGCACTACGAGATCCCCTCTGATGCAAGTATGGTGGAGGGAGGGACTACTATCTAATGGGCCTGGAACATACTAAAAATATTCTTCAGGGGCATCTTAGTCAACGCACCAAATCTTGGGACTCGCTGGTTTCAGGGGGGGGCTATGGGTCAGAACGAAGAGATGATGGGCACATCTGATTCAATCTACGCATTATGTAAGTATTTTTCATGATTGACGTGATGACTTCGGTGGAAAGACCGTATAATATCAGGGATTGAAGTCAGAGAAATATCATGTATAGGATAGCCACTCCCAGCGACGCCAATCTCACAAACGTGAAAGTGACGGAAAAGCTTTGGTGTATTTCTAGGCGAGTCTCAGTAAGAACCTGGAAAGCAGAGGAAGAAGACGATCTCGCCGTCCCTCCAAAGTCGTTCACCACAAGTCCAGCATCCGACCACGAAAGATGGCTTCCGCTTTCCGCACCTGCTTCACGGGCCCTATGATGAAGACCTGCAAAAACCAAATAGGCCTTCTCTGAAAAGTCTGAAGGCCGCCAAATATGCCCCGGCCCAATGCTCTATCTCTCTCTCTCTCTCTCTCTCTATCTATCTAATGGGATCCTCTGGAGGGTAAGTGGGCGAGGGCCTGTTTTGTGTCGTGACTTAGTAAAATATCTGGGCCAAGTCCATTGGTACCCACCCATATGCAAACAAGTATAAAAGGAAGCAATTCAGATGAGAGTTTTATAGAGAGCATCTTCTTTATGGGAGATGCCTCATAATCCTGTGACTACACACCGATCACCTCTCTCTCTCTCTCTCTCTATCCCTCTACCTTTCTCTGGAAAGCCATTAAAAGAAGTAAATGATGTTCGACATGGAAGGAGCTGACCTTGTCGGGGGGGCCCTTGTCGCCTCCAAGGAAAATTTCGGCACTGCATCAGGACTGGGCATGAGAAAAGACTGCTTTGGGAAAGGGGTGATCATATTGCTGTGATCAGGGCCCAGCGGGAGCTTACTTGCAAGACTGTTTGACTGACAAGATGCACGCCCCTCTCTTCCCAATGACGCGCCCCATCTTCCCCGGAGGGACATTCAACACAGAGAGTATCTCTTCTTCGGGTAGGCAGCCGTCAGCGAACAGGCCACCTGCAACACCACAACCTCGGGTCAGCATTCATGGTCCGACACATCTGAGAATCTCTCACCGTGTGGCCCCTCAATAGAGATTGGGAACCTGGGATAGGGGGAACGGGGGGCCAATCAGCGAACTCGTTCTCGTTGAGGCAGAAGCAACGGCAGTATAGGGATCCTCGGACTTTCAGAAGCGAGAGGGACTGATTGCTGAGCTTTTCCATCATTTTGTTGTAGATATACAGGAGGAAGCGGACGTCATCAGCAGCTGTGCGGACCATGAGCTCGGACAAGGGCCTATAGGCCCAGAATCCTGGATCCTGTCAGTAAAGCTGGAATCTCAATTCTGAGACATTTCTTGGAGTATGCACAGAAGGGGTAGTGATAGATTTCGCGGAAGTTCTCAACGCATATAGCATCTGAAGCATGGTGATATGAAGCAGATAGAAAAGAATAAAATTCCATGGAAATAATTAATGAAAGTCTAAAGGTGCCGTGGACTAATTAGGGAATAAAACCCCATAAAGTTTACGTTATATTAGATCTAGGAAACTGACAGAGGACATTTGAAACTGCAGACATCCATGATATATTCACTGGGATACCCTGATGTATTATTTAGAAAGACGAAGTACTCATCAATAGGAGGAAGAGTTCTCCCTTCTCCATCACTCATCTGCAGCTTGGCATGTGGAGGGTGGGGTGGGGGGACGTTTTGGTTAGCATGACCAGCCTTGGCAAGGGGATTGTACTAGGTTTCACTCCGAGGGGGCAACAATAGAAAAATCCATGGGATTTGTACGTCTGCCATGAGGAAATCGTCATTTTCGATCTGAGTAAGCCAGATTCACATTAAAACCATACTCAGTGTGGGACGATGGCAAGTCATGTATCCATAAAAGTTAAAATTCAACAAACAAAGAGACTTCTTCCTAATTCAAGATATTCCAACGGATAGCTCTGGAAGAAATTCGATGAATATAATGATAGTGAAGCATAGAAAAATACCATAGATTCCCAAATAACAAATGTTACTCAATTACTGATAATGTACAGGTAGTGCTGAAGGGTAATATCACAGGGCTCCAAGAATGAATATAGATTGATTTTTATCAAGGATTAACTTTCATGTCTATACTGCAACTTTTTCAAATCAATTCTATCAGAGTGCTTTCCAATGTCCACGTCCAAATCATTTAGGTTTACTGTATCAAATACAGTTGATCATAAAAATACACCGATCTTCATAAACAAATATCTACGGACCAACATCACAATATAACCATGGTACATGGCTTCATAATTCACAAAGTTAGGGGATAATTTTTCCACGTAAATTGTATGCTGGACTAACCTTTCTCATAAGAATGCGCACCTCTTCCTTTTCATCATAGGAGATACCTGCATCAATATTGCCAAAATATAATTACAGATAATGAGCCAAAACAAGATCAATACATACTGCCAATTGATCCATGCATTGATCACACAGAAAGTAGTTGAAGAAAAAAATCACAAAAATGACCAAAAAAGAAATAAATCTGAAAATGATAGGAGAAATGTACAAAAATAGTATAAGAATGAAAAAAACGACTAACGTCTCTGTTGAAGTCTTTAAAAACCTGAAATATCAAATAAAATTATTTTAAAAATAACTAAAACGATACGTAAGTGGTTAATCAATGCCTTCGTTCCTTAAAGACTTCAGGTGGTAGAATAAAAAGAACAGGCCAATAGTTAACGCCAACTGCATAACCTGTGGCTCTCAGACGGAAACAGTTGTTAACTATTGCTTGTGGTGTAGTTAATATTATAAAGAAACCATATATTCCGAAGCACGGATTAACACCATGGTAATGTTGACGGAAATTACAACACGACGGATAATGGTTAAAGACATGTCCAATCAGTTCAGGGACGGCACCATAGCTTTTTATTCCCTATGTTATGGACAAGTTGGTGCGAAAGGAACAAGAGGAGATTTCAGAACTCTTATATGGAATTTGCTGATTTCTTCAAAAGACCCATCAAGAAAATTAAAGAGCAGATGCTTGCAGCAGACGTATGTAAGCCTCATTAGCTATTAAGATGCAGGAAATGAAAGAGGAAAACTTTTCTTGATTAGACCGCAGTTGTAAATAGTCATTGTACATTCTGATGATACAATGCATCAAGACATTTTAGTAGGCTTCTTATTCTGGTAAAAAGGCATTTTATATTTTCTTTCCTTATTTCAATTAATAGTGTTCTTGCTACACGCACAAACTCAATCTCAAAAGTCCTGTTTTTTTTATGCCTTTTAGCAGCAAACAGAAGGAGTGAAAAGTGGAAGTATATATAGAAAGGAATCTGAGGTTTACGAAAACCACAGAAACTTTCTTTACATAGTCACTACCACGTGAAAAATTAAATTCAAATCACAATCCAACAATGCCACATAACAAGCATCCCAATAGGCAAATCAGTTAATGACGCTCCTCATAGTGATTGGACTGTTAATGAATGAAACTTAGTATAAAATGAATCAAACATCTCTGAATTGCACCCTCTAATGATGAAATTACAAAGTCATTCCATCCGGCTTACTTTTGGTTTTTAAAAAATTCAGCCAAGTCTTTAGCAGCGAACCTTTCGTCCTTTATTTATTTCCTATTTCTTCTGAGTGCACACACGGGGTGTGGATGTTCAAGAGGGCATTTCCAGGGACAGATTTGAAATTAATTCATGATTTTTTTATCAAATCCAGCCTGAGATAGAAGGAATAGACAAATGGAGATTATGGTAAGAAGTAGTACCACAATAGCGTGGATCTGCAAGAAGGCTTACAAAGGATATGTGGTCTAGAGATCGTTCCTTTCCCTCTTGTTCCTCTATTAGAGAGTATGCAACCTACGAAAGCAATGCACTGAAAATATCAGCCACTGAGGGAGCATACAGGTTCCAAATTACGATGTTCTTCAGAGTAGGGTCGTTTCAGAATAAAAGCAGTCAAATGATTCGCGAAAGAAACTTCCACAAAAAAAAAATTATTGCATCAGTAGCCAGAAAATAAAATCTTCGCCAAATCTTGGAATGCTCCAGTAGATCCAAATCCCATCAGATGGATGCCATGAGATTAGAACATAAGGCAATATGGTTACAGTAAATAATGCAAAGTGAAATGCCCAGAAAAAAAGAAAAGCTACATTTCGTGACCAGCTTCAGAAAGAAAAATCACTGCTTGCATCTGCGTCTCATACTTGTCTCTCAGAAATGGTGGGAGGGCTGCTCCCTATATTCATACGATGATATTGTGAACCATCACACACGATTGACCTCGTATTTAAATTACAAGGACGAAAATTTCAATGAGAAAAAAAAATACTAGAAAACCGGTGATACTGACCTGGGTGTCCATAACATTATGCAGTTTGATTCCAAATTGAAAGTATAGTGCCTGAAGCAAAAACCAAATCATGAAGTGGTAAAAATAGGTGGCAAATTTAAAGTGTGTACATAATAAAGCACAGAAAAATAATGCAATGCGTTCATACACCTCACTATCTCTTTTGCAGTCATGAATGATCTTAGTGACATGATTAGACTCAAGTGCAGGCTTACAAGCTTGGACAACTGCCTCCCCACCTTCAATGGCATCAACCAAGTATACTGCATCTGGAAATGCTAACTGCAAGACGCAAACTTATAATCATAATCAGAGTTTCTTCTGATGCAGAAAAAATTGTAATGCGTATTGCTTTTAACCATTGCGTAGAGGGAATACGAAATACCTGTATCATTCAAAGGATGGTTATCTAAAATCAATGTTACAAAAATTATTTTATGAGGCAAATGCCTATCAAAATTCGTGCTTAAGCCCCCAAACTGTCTTTTCTCGCTCAGGAAATAACCCGAGCAAAGGAACGTTTGTCATAAGAGTTTATAGGTACAAGAAGATGGATCAGTATATTCACACAAGTCATTCTTACGCCCAAATAAATTCCACATTCCTTGATGCAATATGTTCATATGAATGCAACTTTCAAGGAGCAATACCACAAGTTCACAAAAAAAAGGCATAGCAATCGGCTTTATGATTGCTCTGATGGGCACTACTTCGGAATAACCCAAGTATCAGCGAGTGCAGTTCCAATGCTATAAAAAGCTGGTGCTAAGCTGCATTCTGATTATAGTAATTACCATATAATGATTGTGAAAGGGTGAAGTGACATCATTCTCTTAAGAAATGATGATACTTCCGTTATTTTACAGGAAGAACACTCTAAACTAGTTGCAGATTACAATGGAGAATTTGATCGGAATTAGATGGTATGCATACACCATTTGAATAGAGAAACGCCTCTCGTCTATAGAAAAAAGCTCCGAAGTAAGATACACTACCTGCATGATGCAAAGTGTTCCACTGCGGCATAGATCAATACCCTCACAGTCAAAACCAATTACCAACTGCCTTTCAAGAGAGGGCTCCAGGAAATCTGCTGGCAGCTGAGATGCATGTGTAACAGTGTGTATTGGAACTAGCAGGGGATTCTCACCGAAGACCTTATCCCCTACAATGGAGATGAACGCAAGAACAATAACAAAAGGATGTCAATAAGGAAGCAATAAGGTGAGGATAAACAAGATAAAGATGATATGCAAATAAACCAACAGCGAGAAAAGTAGCATTTTACTACAGTATTTCTAGAGATCTTGATTAAAGTTTCCCCTCCCACTGTTCACCAGTTGCATGTTCAATTTCATGCTCGGGTGACAATCCTTCCGGTTTCTGAAACACGAGTAGAACTCATGCTGTAATCGCTCTTCCTAGGATTTCGAATTTTTCATACTCTTAAAAATAAAAATCTGGCTCGATTGGATATTACCAAAAAATCACAGTAAACATCATACAAAATTTAAGCCACTGCGATCTACAGGCCAAACCAAAATTTTGAGTAATGTACCTTTGTAAATATTACCCATATTTAAAGTCTTGAGACAGTCCATGAATAGACAAATAAAGAAATAATAAGGAGAAAGCCACTTAAGAAAAAGTTCGGGCAAGCCAAATTACAGGTTGTGTCAAATCCAAGAAACAAAAAAAAAATCTACGGTTTATCACGCTCGAAAAAAAGAACAGCCGATAATCTCATTTCCCAGGTTGAAAGGTATGAAAATCAGATTGCGACGCCTAAGTCAAGGTCACCGTCGAACCCTAGACAACGGAAAAATGGGAAAGCAACGAGAACTTTATGGACATAATTCGGACGTCAAACATATGGAGAATCAAGTGGACTTGCTATCCACACGCAAAAAAGGATGCAACGATCCTCCCGACTGTGTACACGTAGACACCAGGCCTACGATCCCACAATACGGCAAGGTTCTCATGAGATCCAAGGACCACGCCGAAGCAGACAATCAGAAACAAGCAAACTACCACGCAAATAATCTCCTGAAAGAAACAAGACATGGCGAGGCAAATCATAAACATCACCGGCAAAAGCATGTACCGAACGAGCCAGCCGTCGCAGATCGAGCGCCCAAAAGCAACAACAAGCACCAACTAAAGACCCATAATCGGAACATGGGTGCAGAGAATGCCTGGATGTGTCGGAAGCGGAACGTGAGTCTGATGAGGCGGCCGCGCTCCGGGAGAAGCCATCCTTCTCAAGCCAGCTTAGAGGCTCCCTCGGCTCGCTTCACTCCGCAGCCGGCCGCCGGCGGGAAGAAATGGAAACGACGATCTCGAGGAAAGCCTCCGCCCTCCGCCTCCGTCCGCGTTTTATGCGGGGGGCTCCATTGACAGGCCCGCTCCGGTGCAGAGGGACCGGTCACCCTTCCTGCTCCATCCCGCCTCCGCCGCTTTGAGAACATGGGCTTTTAATTATGTATTTATAATAATTCATAATTCATGAAGTATATTCTTTATTTTTTGTTTTTATGATCACAGACGAGTTATTTCTAGGTGCCCGTCAATGCCCCTAAATAATTTTTGTTGCTAAAAAAATAAAGTAATAAATTAATAATGACCTAAATTATTTTTTATTTTTCCAATGTGTAATGGCATTCTTATTTCTCATATTTAATTAAACTAAAATGTTATTTACTAGTATGTTTTTTCGTTCTTAAGATCTCGACCAAGTCTTTTTTGTTGCTAAAAAAACAACCTATAAAATTAATAATGAGATAAATTATTTTTAATGTGTTCCTTATGCGATGGCATTCTTATTTTTCGTATTAACTTAATTCTTTAAATTCTAGTTTACTTTAATTCTTGATATATAAATTAATAATGTTTAATTTATTTTTTAAAATCCTTTTTTTAACGGCATTCTTATTTTTCGTATTTACTTTGTGGTGAAATCGAGTAAGAATAAGCTTTTAGAATTGGAAGAAATAATTCAAAATTAAAAAGAATAGCGAAAATTAAGTCAAATAGATGTTACCGGTTCGATCGTCCGGTCCGACCGGGAAGTCGCACTTTTAAGCGGGCCGGCGGGGTTGCTGAGGAGGGAACCAGGATTTAGAACCGGGGACAGCCTGCGTCCTGTGAGGGAGGAGGGTGGGGGCAGAGCAAGAGGAGGGAGCGGAGAGGGATGGGGGCGCCGAAGCAGAAATGGACGGCGGAAGAGGAGGAGGCGCTCCGGGCCGGGGTGGAGAAGCATGGCGCCGGAAAGTGGAGGACTATCCAGAGGGACCCTGAGTTCAGCCGCTGCCTCGCCTCCCGCTCCAACATCGATCTCAAGGTGTTTCTGCAGACCCCCGGCACAATTACTTCGTTTGAGCTTTTTTTTTTCGAGGATTTGGGCGTCATCGCATTTTATTTTTAAATTTATGTAACATTCAGGAAGTCAGTTGAACTAAATAACCATGGAATCCAAATCAGTACACCAGAGCCCCTTTACACCGATTCTTTGGATTTCGTTCAAGCCTCATTTCAAGGTTTAGCGGGGCATCCATCCGAATCATTTGAAGTCAAGAAAGAGCACTGGTTTCCAGGAAAAAAATTCTTCATCGAATATTGCTGAAATATTTTATACTTTCACCGGTGCGTGCAGGAGTTTGTTTTTGCGCGTGCTGTTATCACCATCATACGAATTAATATATAGGCGGTGGGCATATTGGACGCAGATCGGGAAACACTTTTTAACCGATTTTTTAGAAAACTACACTCTGATTGAAACGGCCTATTCTGATTTGCGTCCTAAATTATTCGAAGTATGGAGTATTTTTAATTTTTTAATTTCAGTTTGAGAAAAATTATTTTGTTAAACATAATAATTCCTCGCTACATCATTCCTTTTGCTTTGTTTGAGGTACAGGCTATGTTTCATTCGCTCTTAAGTTTTTCTACCTTTCAACATCTGATGTCTTTGTTAATCCATGCACCTCAGAGGTTTCTGACCTCATTGAGGTTTTGGACCCGTGCCTTTCTTTAATGTGCTGCTGACGTGGCATATTTTATAAAGTGAATGTTAATACACATATTTTGTACTTCAGTTCTTGGTTAGCATGCTTGCGGTAATATTTGAAGTGTTTTCACATAGTTCCTGCTGATACAGGACAAATGGAGGAATATGAGCTTGTGCGGTGGCCAAGGCTCTAGGGAGAAAACGAGGGTGCCTAGGATAAAGGGTACCACAGGTGCCTCATTGCCTAGTTCCCAGACTCTCACCTCTTCTGCACCAGCCAAGCTTGGAGGTTTATCAGTTAATACAGATCTTTCGAAAAATGCTCAGGAGCAAAAAATATCTCCAAAGTATGTTTTATTTCTGTTGAACGATGGCATAAATATTTAGACTAGCGTTTTTCTTCTTATTTCTAGTATCATGCAATATTTCTAGTGCTAAAAATCACAGTGAATGAACTTTCGCGAGGGAAAAACTATATGATCTGGCACACATAATATATGCCATTACATGAACACTAGAGCTCTCTTCTCAGTCAACTTTTCCTAAAGTGTTTCCTGATGTGAATAATTGGTATAAGCTATGATTGATGCTTGAAATTATGGGAAGATTGTCTGAACAGAGATTGGCATCAATTTCTGCAATTTTTCAGCAGTATGCTATACTGTATATATAAATATTCATTAACCTGCTCTACTCTGCATACCCTGGTGAATAATTTGGTGACAATGAACAGAAAAAACCAATATATCGTCTATATGATTTCTAGTGACCTTCTATGGAAGCTTGGTTTCCCGTCATCTTTTCGTGACAAGCTATTTCCATAAGTTCCCATTCATATTTTATGCCAGTAACCTTTATTTTGTTGAATGCCTTTTCTAGAGTTGTTGTGTTTATTGGGGTTGTCTCAAGAAACAAGTTGAAGAGGGTATTTTTGGAAGCTTTATTGGGGGCCATGTGTTCCTTTTGTATGCGCCTTAAGTAACCTTATTGGCCATCATGGAAAGATTACGGGTGGGATAACTTATGCCTATGAGATGCACGTATTGAATTTTATTTTTTCTTTATTCTTGTAATTAGTCACTCCATGATTTACGCCAACATTCCTTTTTCAGGATTGACTTTTTTTTGCCATGATAGTAAAATGGTTCAGATGCAGGATCAATAGGAATTTGACACCCTCTTGCATTTGCCATGATATGTACATCAAAAGAGGCTCTGTGGAAGCCCATATTTTTATTTGAACTCGTTTGCAGGACGTCAATTTTCTTCACACTCTACTATCCACTGCTGTCCCTAAGTGTGTTGTGTGGCTGGGGAGAGTGTGATATAGGTGAAGTGCCCTCCACAAGATAGTTCATAACTTGAGCCTAGTGGGTGTAGACTCTAGTGATTATTTATTCCCATTAATCGTCCCAGGAACGCTTCCTGGACAGATTGTAGGCTGGAATCTTGAGGATCATTAGAAATTTGACATATAGGACATTTTCAGTTTTATTTTTTTCTTTATATCGGGAAAAGACCACTTTGTGACAATGAAGAGCTTGGAGGGTTTTAGTCAATGGTTGGATGTGATTGGGATAAGGTGAAGCATTCTCAGCCATATCAGAAATGCAACCTTTTCTTCACTGTACATCTTAGTGGAGAAATCTTTTACATCAGATGTTGTCTGACAACCTGATATATAACGAGAAATTTTATCTCATGTTTGCTAACATTACATCATATATATTTTGAGTATTTTCTATCAGAACGAATCTTGCAACAACGTTTTGGGCATTTTCTATCAGGTACATTACATTGATTATTGAAGCTCTGTCTAATGTGAAAGAGCCACAAGGAATGGATGTTGGTGCTATTTGCAGCTATATTGAGGTGAGTTTTGCACATCTTACTGGCTTAATGTCTTCTGGTTATTCCTAAACGAAAAACTTTTTTCTCATGCTTATAATGTTGTAGGATATTATGTGTGGCTTCATAGATTCACAGTATAGGTTTAACATACGCTGAAACCAGTATGTCAAGGTTTCTACTCCGTAGAGAATATAGATGTCAGAAGTCAAGGGCCCCTGGTCCTGCAATGGATCATTTATATACATAAAGGGTACATCATGCCATCTCAGCTTTCTTCGAAACATAGTTCCGATAGAAATGATCTACGCTAGGAAAATAAGCTTTATGAGAAAAAGTACCAACTAGAGGATATGACTGTCTGGTTATTCTATGGATAGCTATTTATTACCACCACTAGTGCCCATCTCTTTCTTTCCCCTTGATTTCATTACTTATGCCACTAGGAAATTGGCACAGTGATAATTTTTAAATAAATTGTGTAACAGAAGCTGAAGAGAGAACCATGAAAAACGTTGAATTGGCTAGGGATAATTAAAAAACTGAATTAGGATGAAAACTTTCGCTCTTTAGTTCCTGCTTCTATAAAAATGAAGAGCTATTTCTGGTATGTTAGAAAATATGATTTATCGGTAACTGTTTTTAAAATAAAGAATCCCCTAAAAAATAAGATACTTTTAATTAGATATGCTAAGATGAAGGATTTCCTTGAGAGAATGTAGTGTCATGTTGGGGTCTTCTCAATTTTATTGTTTAGGTATTTTTCGTTTTGCTTTTAAACATTCATGGTTATGGTTTGTACTATATTCTATGTAAGTTCTCCATTTTGGATGAACTTACTAATGAGTCGATCTACTAATGGATAGTCCTAATCAGGTATGTCAAATCGATTAATGAATGTTTAAGTGACTGATTCATTATTTTCATGAATATACTAAGAGTATTAAACCAACCAAATGACATCACTAACAACTCATAAAGGTCTTTTATGTTTTTAAATCAAGCTTTCATCCGTCAGTTATGCATTTGTTAGTATGGCAGTAACTACATTTCGAATCAAGCCCTTTGGTAAATTCCTTTGAACCGACAAACCTGTTCGGCATATCTCCCATGTTCCATTTTTTAGTGCTCGGATGGTACCTTTTTTTTGTTACTTCAAATACGATTGAATCAAGATCCGGTCAAATATTGTGAATGACATGATTGCTTAAGCTGGAAATAAATAATTGGAAAGCCCTCTGGAACGTGAGGACACTACCTCCACCTACTTATATTGTAAGTAGGCGGAGTTAGTGTCCTCCAAGGTTGAAACTTTTAGACAGAAAATCTTATTCTGAATCACCAAAATATCAGATTCTTTTCACTAATCTTCTGTTGAATTTAATGACAGCTTCCCACTTGGTTTCTTAAGACAAGTAGAGTTTATTCTTTGTTATGGATTCTGCCACTAGGAATAGTAGTTACTTCGAAGTCCGAGGACATCCCATTTTGATGCGCTCTGAACTCCTTTTGTGAAATTTATGATTAAAAATTATACCACTGTTCTGCGTAAACATTAAATAATATGACCAATACTCTAACTGAGGATGGCCAACTATTACTCTGCTGGGTTCTCTTGACTATTTTAGAATCCAAGTGCATATAACATTTGTAACATCAAGGAAAAGGTCCTGGCACTGATCTTCATTTTTTACACATATCATCTCTCCCGAAGATTTCCTTGTGCGCTATGCGTTCTTATGTGAATAGCCTATCTCATTATCAAATGGGTTTTTTTCTATTAAGAGAACATACTTTTTGACTGCTCCACTGCTTTTTTATACAGCAACGGAATGATGTGCCTCCAAATTTTAGGCGCTTACTTGGTTCAAAACTGCGACGACTTGTTGCACAGAACAAAATTGAGAAGGTGAATTCTCGTACGTTTTCCTTGATGGGCTTTCCTTTTCGAAGATATGTCCGGAAATAGGGGATACTGGTTTCGTGTATATGAGTGTGTGTATGTTTTTGTCTCTATCGGATGAGCACGTGTTTGCACCTTCACATGTTCAAGTCTTTGTGCATGCGTAGCTGTTTTACAGGGACCAGGTTCACGGTAGGTAAGTAAAATCATGTATGACGACTAATGCGGAAGCTGAGTTGGGTGGGAGTCTCTTGAAAGTCTTTCTCCCAGAAGGAGAAGATAAAATGGAAAAAAAAGAAAAAAGATCGCACTAATTTGGTTATATTAGAAAAGTTCAGGCTATTGGGTTCATCTCTCAGCATTATGTTCCAGTAAGACGAGCATTCATCAGACAATATTCCCCCAAATGGTTGAAAGATTGGGCTTTTCTGCATTTAAATTCTTCTTGCATGCAAAATCAGTTTTAGTGCCCACCTTGAAGTTTCATGTTAATATAAGTCCTCATGCTGTAGGAATTTGTGTTAATGAAAAAAATTCCCAGAATGTCTGGTATATTAAAAACTTGGAAGGTCGTCGTTAAGATTATTTAAAAGTCCAGTACATTGTGAGAAGATGGAAATCAATGAAATCTTTTTCCATTTCTTGATATATTGAAGAACAATACTCGAGTCTAATTGAAGAAAGTTATGAAGGCAGGCTTCTTTGTTGACCTGAAGCTTGGCATTGCTTGATAAAACAACGGACATCATTGGAATGGAACCACTTCTTCACCTTTGATAATGCACATGCATCTAGGTGTGAATATGTGGAGTGTTTATGATTAAATTTCATATTTAAGCATTGCCCCCATCTAAATTTTTTATGGGTAGACATCATTTCAATGAGAAATGGAGTGATTATGAAATCAAAGTCTTGCCACCCATTAAAATGGCATGGTTCTTGGCAGAGGTTGAAGCTAGGACAGTTTCCAATTATGGACCTCCCCGTTTATATTTCATGAAACTATCCGTACTTTACTGTATTAGTCTAGATGCTCAAAGGCACCCATCAATTGGTAACATGTGTGCTACAACAATAATCCAGGTTGAGAAAGGGTATAAACTGAGAGAGCCCTTTGTAACGAAGACCCCAACTCCAAAAGAGAAGGACCCAGGGTACCGGCCAAGGCCTCTACCGCCCCCTGTGATTACCAGCTCCATGGACGTGGTAGGGGACGCAGCGATAGCCGCCGCATACAAGATAGCCGAAGCCGAAGCCAAGTCGTTCCTGGCATCAGAGGCCGTCAAGGAGGCAGAGAGGGTCTCCAAGATGGCTGAAGAAACAGATTCCTTGCTGATGCTTGCAAGGGAGATATTCGAGCAGTGTAAAGTCGGGTTCCTGCGACTATTTCTTCCTTGGAAACAGAGATCGGAGCTCTCACTCTTCTCATTTGTTCATCGGTTTCAGGCTCTCGAGGTGAAGTCGTGACGGTCGCATAGTGCACAAGAAGCTAGCTGCTCCCTCTGCTAACATGCCCATGCCCCACCCTCCCCTGCTGGTCAACGTCTGTGTATAACTCCGCTTCGTAGAAACAGCAGCGCACCCCGCAGGTCTCTTTTAATTATGTTTCTTCTTCTCTTTTTGTGTTCTTAGACGGATAGAGTTCATGATATGAAGGTTTTCTCGTGTTCTCCTCTTCAACTAAAAGTTGAAGAGATCTCCCTCCTTATGGGGCTTGCGTGCTTCTTGATGTCGGTCAGAGATCTTTAGAGGATTTGAATGGTTAGTCGAGTGATTGCCTTCTTGATGTCGGTCAGAGAACCCCAAGGAAATGGCCATTTTGCTGGAGAGAGAGAGAGAGAGAGAGAGAGAGAGCAGCAGCAGCATCAGGGGTTTATCCGACCCGAAAGACCCCAGCTTAGAACCAGAATCTAACCACAAGAAATTGTGTATCTGACGAGGCCGTCATGAAAAATAATCGAAAGTCTGGTGCAACCAGTCCATCAAGCTCTACACAGCGGGCGGGTAAGTGCCCCGTAGTGCTATTAAAGATGGGATCTAGAATCTGCTACTTTCTTAACAAAATTTACTGAAGATAGTAATCATCTGGGCTCGGATGTGACGTTCTTCCATTCCGCTGACCCAATTGTTAGCACAAACTGAAATATGAGCATGAAAGCATAAATGACGAACACATTTCCGCAACGCGCTAAACAGGCTGAAGACCGACTTCCCACGCGCCTCAGCAACGAAATGCGCACAGATGGCTGCCGAATTCCGAAATGATATCCACCACGCCGCCATAACCAGCCACAGCTACAAGCTGTGACGATTTAAATCATCAAGAATCAGCATAAAAAAAAAAGAAAAACCAACATGAAATTGTCATCTTGTCGAAATTTCCACTACGATGCGAGAATTATCAGTGTTTAATCTTTTACTTGCTCGCTAGAATGAGAGGAGCCGCACGAATGAAATTCTTCGTGCGCATATTAAATCACTATTCAGTTTTATTTATGATTTCAAGAAGGAATGCATGCATGTGTTTAATGACGTAGACAGAAGGGGAGAGGGACATACGCCAGAAGAGCGAGAGGAGACGGAGAAAGCCGACTTAGGAGCACAGTGCATTTGGGAGATGACCGTCCCACTGATGCTGTAACGCGTGAGCACTGGGGAAGATCCGACTGCGAGAATCTGGGTTGGATACAATGCCCAACACAAGCAGATGAAAAAAAATCACCAAGGAAGTTAACCAAGTGTCTCTGTGTTTGTGTGTGTGTGAGTGAGTGAGTGAGAGAGAGAGAGAGAGAGAGAGAGAGAGAGGGCATCTTAAATTAGCTAAAACATCCCTTGTAAAGCATTTATGAACTAATTCTAAAATGGAAACTTTTTAACTCCGTAGTGCTCGAATCGCCAAGATATCATAAACAGAAGGATGTCTTTCACTGATAATATAATCTGTCATATATCAAGCGGAAATTCGCTCAGTCCATGTTCGAAGCCAGAAAGTTCGAGCTAGGGAAACATGGGTTGATCGTCATGTTCTCAGTGCAAAGCTAATGGGCGGAAGCCTACTTGGCATTCCAAAAAAGAACATGATTAATCTAACACTTATATTGGTTTACCAGAACCATCATCCAATCCCCCCTTCCCTCATCAGTCAGGTCATTTTCTGCCATTTTCCTAGAGCTTTCATCAATGGTCCGAGAGATACAAATAAAAGTAGCTAATTAATTTCATTTTGTGTAGATAAATGCCATCTGGCAAACATTCTTTGTGAAGATCTTAATATCTAATCACTGAGTCGTCGTGTTTCCACAAAGCTCATGCTCAAAGCGATTCCCTTCAACATATCGTTTTCTTTTCCTTGTTCCTCTTGGGGAAAGCGGGGGGTCATTTCAAAGGGTTGATAAATACTCTTTGGAAATATACCTACGAATGTGCAAACTTTTTTTAAAAAAAGAGGAAAACAAAAATGCTAAAGTAGATACTTTATTTCCATCAGAATATCACACACATTCATTTGAAGCTAAGAAAATATAGTCCTATACGAGGGTAAGGCATAACGAAAAGAGTTCATTGGTCATTAGTTTTAATGAATACACATATGCATCTCGAATCCTTACAAAATGAGAAAGAAAATGAATTAATTAAGAAAAGTACCACTATAAGATGACTCATTCGGATATACCCTGCTCACGAGAGAGAGAAAGATAAGAAGAGGTCTCACGAGAGAGGGAGAGAGAGAAATAAGACGATAATAAAGAAAGAGTGCTAAGACTTTTTTGAAGAATGAAACATGCTCATTTAAGGCTAAGAAGATGCTAAAGGTCCTTGTTTGTTGGCTTCCTTTAAAGATTTCGTCCAGTGAAAGGACACTCATGGATTAAAGATCTCCAGGACTGGAGTGGATTAATCTACCAGTTAGAACATAGTTGTGTTTGTTCCTTAGGGAACCTTTTCTAATCCGGCTCAATAGGCTCAGTATTTCTCTCCCGTTTACTTTTTCCTAAGGCTGCAAGATCTAGAGTTTTTGTTGAGATCAGTGTAACTTATCTTCTCTAACACTACCAACAGAGCAAGCAACTCCATTGAGAGAGCACCAGAGCGAATAGTATATTTCCTTCTTCTAGCTTTTACGGGAGACTGCCAGAGAATATCGGCTCCAAAGATATTACCATTACACACTTTGAATTATTCTAGGAGATATGTCTCACTAATTCTCACTTCTTCACTTCATCAAGTGAAGGTCTCCCAAGTTGGCTGATACCTCTCTTCTCGCCTCTATCAAGCAAGAGTAGATGGGCCCAGCTGGTGTGTCATAGCCAGTGTGACAACAACAGTAATATTAAGAAGAAGTCATATTCATTATTGGCTCCTTCCTCATTTGTCATGCATTGCTGTGTCTTCCACTCATTACTGCATGGGACTAGTTACTATGCCTCTGACTATGTCAAGTAGACAGCATGAACGAAAACAAAAAGACTGAAGTCTTTCTGTTAGAGTCCTTCATGTCAGAATAATTATGCATGCTGAAAATCTAGGTACAGTCCCCCGCTAAAATCCTTTTTAAGGCATTGGTCCATCATTCCCATTGGAGAATATTTCATGATAGATACTATATATTCATGTCAATTCCAACAAGATCTAGCTATTTATCCGCCCCCTGCCCTTCTCTTACCTTAGTCTTGTTCCATATTTGTCTAGCTTTGTTCTCCAAGCATCACGTTTAGAATCTAGGCAATTGATAGGGTTCTACCATCAAAAGTGAACATGAAGGAATATGGTTCCCCATGATAGTCAGCCATGGAGTGCAAAAGACCTACCAATTACATTGCAACTCCCGTATCTTCAGGGGAAATATTGTACCCATGAAGGAAAAAATCAAAACCCAGACGAAGATTAATCCCAAATCTACGATCCTGACTTTGACTGAAGTCACTTATGAATCGATGTATGCAGTTGAATTCCCCCTCAAGGTCTTTACAATCAAACCAGACTCTGCATCATCACATAGGATTATTTGCTATTCCACTTTCTCTCCTTACAGTTTATGCTATATTCTTAAGCTTTTTAAATATCTGATGTACTGTGGCATGAAACTAATGCCGTAATATGCAGACGTATCTGTACCCGAAGATGTTTTCGCCAACGTTAGAAAAGCATCACAAAGTTCTAATGGAAACATGCAGCTGGTGATATTCTTACGGTAACAAACAGATAGAAAGGCATTTTATTAGAGAAAACACTTACCTGGCTGTCATGAAATAAAACATCCTGCACAGGGAAATGGCTATCAGTGCTCCAGATACACTCACAAGAAGGGAGACTCCAGACTGATAGATTCCTGCCGGTGCCACACACCTGCACATAATATCTTTTTACGTATTACAGGACAGTTAATGATGATACAAATTTTACGCAAATTCAGTTCGTTCGAACAACGGGTTAGGTTATAGCATTCTCATCACCCATAGAAGGTTAACATGCATGCTACGATGAACAAAACTCATTTTCTTGGGACAAAAGGCAAAGAAAGGCACAAAACAAAGACAAAGGCTATATAAAATAAACGAATGCTTACACCTATATGTACACCCTACACGTGTTATATGAATTTACAATGTTATGGACCCGATACAATTTCAGGCATGCACAGATAAAACTAGTAGCTCTAAATGTGACTCACAACGGTAAGTTTTCATTGAGTTCCACCAACTCATTTACGGATGTTTTTAAAAGCATCAGCAGACGAATGACATAGTTATTGCCAAACTCTTTTCAGGCAGACGGACAAAATGAGAAATTGATTGGCAGAAATGCGTCTAGTTGAACCATCCAGACTGTTGCCCAGAAAAAATTAGCCCTTCAAAGAGAAGAGGTTTCACAAAATTGATCAATTGTGCCATCGCGTTTGGTATATTTAACATGCTAACACATTCAAGAATGAGGAAAAGATGTTTTTCTGGCGAAGGAAAAAAGTCTAGAGAAGAAGTAGGCTAATCTGAATACTATGCACGCCTGCATGAAAGGCAAGTCTAGCTATTATTGTTTATAATTAATATAGACATTCACTCACATCTTCAAACCAATTATGAGAAAAGCTAAAAATAAACCACACAAATATCGCGTTGGTCTAAAAAAAATAATGAGAGCTTTTACCAGCCAACTTTCACTCGTGTCAACAGCGACACAGCTGACCCATGATGATTCTTTTGGAGCATGACCCTTTTCTGGGTAAATCACTCGAGTGCATTTACCACTCCTACAATCTGTACAGCATTAAAGAAATAGGTAACTTTAGGCATTGATAAATTTTAAACTGCAGGGATTATATTCAACTGTAAAGCACAGATAGATTATTAAATCTGACTTAATATGCTTATTGTGCTAATCAGTTTAGATTTTTTTTTAAACTAACTGAAAGAAAGGGTGATAAATCTATAATATCAATGTTAAACTCATAGATTTAAAAGCTCACCCCATAAGCGCGTACTTCCATCTTCTGAACCGGTTATGATCTACAAGAAGAAAATAAGACACCCGAAAAGTTGTTTATGGGGTTAGCGACATTACCAACTGATGAAAATTCATCGAAGACGAAAATAAAGCACTTGAAACGAAGATTAAAAAGCAAGGAATATGCGCGATAGCAAGAGTATAATTCTAAACTAAAGTGTACAAAGTAAAGTCAATTTTTACGAACATCTTTCATGATCAGGATAACTTCAGATAAATTGATGTATGCATTTATGAATACGGTAAATGCCAACTTCATCGTGTTTCTCAAAGATACCTAATTGTGGTAAAATACCAGCTTTCTATAGCTTCACTCGACTATATAGTTCTTTTTTTTCCTTTTGGATCCGGTACTGCTTTCTTCCACTGAAAGGACAATACTTTCATAGGACCCTCCACATGGAAAAAAGGAAGAAAAACTTGGAAGACAATAGTAGGTGTATGTTGTTAGAGCTACAGTATCTTGGATTAATAATGATGATCCTTTGTTTTGGAAATTTGAAATTAGTGCACAGAACCATGTTGTATACATGTTCAAGTATAAATCCAGTACAGGTAATCCCGGCCTTTTAAGGAACCAAATAACATAATGAATAACAACACGGTGTGCCAGAAAAAGGATCTTTGAGCCAACCATTTTGAAAAAATGCAAATCAAAGACACAAAAGACTTCCTAGAGACCATGTACAGAAAAAAAAAAAGGATGCAAGAAACTTTCAATGTGTGACCTGGAATATTATGAACAGAAAAATAAACCTCATACATTATTAATTTCAAATGTTGGCACTATTTATCGGTAATTGGGCGGACATCATATATTTAATGGCAGAGATGATCGACAACACCATTCTCTAAAGAGCATAGCATTTAACAAGAGTACTCACCATTTGATATCAGCTGCAGATATGCTTTTGAATCAACAAAAAGAACAAGAAGTTTGGGCCTTTGAAGGAAACCTAGACACCAGATGATGGTCGTTCGAGAGGACCAATGCTCTCCCATGCTGCAACAACGCAATTTTTCTCCCGCGTCTGCCCGGGCCCAACCCTAATACCCTTCCCCACGATGGAGAAATGACTTAATAACCCTTCCCTATTTGGTCACAAGATGGTTGTTGAGCTTTTTTTCTTCTTATGGAGTAGGTTACGCCCACCAGGAGCCTATCATATGCCCTCCCAAGAGGCCATTTCATTTATCCCGAAATCCTACTTTGTAGATGTTTAAATGTACACAATGATGATTACTTTTAACCATTTTTGTGATCATGATCACCATATTCAAAAAACCAAAAGATGATGTCAGATGTAAAGCATCACAATGATAGAAAATGGAAAGTGGGGTGGACCACCTGGTGACCCAACCCAAGGCTGCCTCCATACAGGGTTGAGCTGAATGAGTTTTAGTGGCACTGAGTAGGGTTTGGGCTAGAAGGTGGTGGTAGTCCACATCCTATTTTAACTTTATCAAGCTAATCCATCCAGACAACGGGTTTGCACAATAAACCCAACTTATCAATATTTCAAAATAAAATTTTCATATCTATCAAGATTATGAGACAACGAAGAAAAGGCCGACCTGATTGCTTGAATTGCGAGCAGCAATGCAGTGCAAGTAGTCCTTATGTCCCTTAAAGATCCCTTTCAATTTGCCTGTCTCCTAAAATAACCACAGAAAGGCTGTCCTTAAAATAGCAAAGAAGAAAGAATAACAACGGATAAAACAACTGGATTCAGGAATTAAGGATTATAAATATCTTCAATTTTATATTACGAAAAATACACACCACATCCCAACAGTAAGCATGTGCGTCACCGGCAGCAGAAAAAATGGATCCTTCCTACAGAGAACAACAAAATGTTTAGATACAAAAGAGGAAAATAGATTCCTCTACAAGGCATATTTAATATCTTCAATTATAGTTCATAGAATGTCTTCTCCAGAGTTGGTGTGAGCTAATTTTTCCAAGGCAGAACGTACATTGCATCATAAATTCCTCTCTAGGTCGGAATAACAAAATATACCCGTGAAAGAGGATGAGGACGTTTACATAAGCATCACTTTGAAAGCTACCAAAAACAAAATATTCCAAGGACCACATCTACTGTTTGTACTTAATGTCCATCAGTAACATGAAAAACGACGTCACATAGCACATGCACACCGTGTTCGCATGCTTTCAGACTAAAAGGCTTCAACATATACTTGAAGCTTTCTTCCCCTTGAGTTTGAAACCAAAGGGATCTGAAATGGCTCAAGAGAAGCATCTGAAATGGCTCAGATAGGAATTACGCATGTCATACCACAAGTAGATCATTAATTCAGTCTCATCGATAAACTGATGAATCAGAATCCACTAACCTGTATATTCGTGGCAATGGCATTGTTCTCAGGAACTGGAGATAAAGCATCCCACGGACCCCTGTACAAAATAAAAGTATTAAGCGTAAATTCAGGAGCTAGATATGCAGCGTTTATATTGCTATGCAGTCTAACATTATGAGATATGAAGCACCAAAAGTCAACAGAAATAAGTAATACGGAGGCAACGAAAAGCCTAGTTTCAAAGGTGGAGATATGATGAATATGCACATCAGAGATGCATAACCCATGCTTTGTGCTATTTTACACTAATTGACAAACATATATAAGTAGGAACTCTTCATCCGAGCTATTTTTCTCCAAAAAACTTGAAATAAAAAAAGGATAATGGCTGATGATCAGGTTCTTCCAAAGACACCTCATGTTCCTACCACTGTGACATCTGCTACCAATAACTATGATATATCTACAATGAAGCATGGCTTGATAGCACGTGTAGACATTGTTTTCGGAAAATGGAAAGTCTATCAGAACCAGTTCCATTATTCGCTAGGGACAACGAGCCAGAGAGATGGGCTTTTCACTGTATATGGACATGAAAGACCTTTGATATAGTTCGCACAAGAAAATTTGAATGTCAGGATGCTATATGAGATTTAAACATCAGGAAAATGATATTGGACGCATAGTGATTAAATGAGAATGATTTGCTAGTAAGAATATGTTTATCAAACTACAAGGGCAGCCAAATAAGCATGCACGCATTTAAGCATCCGTAAAAGAACTTAAATGGGAGTAAGGCTCTATGCTGACTATTCACCTGTGTTGAGGGTTAACCAAATCAAGTACCGGATTCAAAGCCCCACCTGATGTGTATGGAAGAACAAAAAACGTATAAGAGCTAATTTAAATTCAGTTATTTTAGCAACATGATTCTAAGGGCTCGGTCAAGACGGTGACAAAAGATATATATGTCAGATGAACTTTGCTGAGACCAGAAAAAAAGGGGCATCTAAATATTTTACACTGATCTGTGTCCATAAAGCATATGAGCTATTCTGAAAGTCAGACAACCAACTGATTTCAGCCAGCGTTCATTACAGCCAATAGAATACTTTTCATTAAAACAACTGACAAACAAAAGTTTAACAGCATTCTCCAAGCCGAATGCTAGTCAACTTTCATTATGGATACATAATCCCTCTTCCACCTCACTAAACCCCTAAAACCGTAGTCATTTATCTAAACAGTATGATGAATGGATTATCATACGAACTCAGAATTTCTCTCGACAAATCTTACATTAAAGAAAGAAAAATCTAGAAAAGGTCACCGTAGAAAATACTGTCTGGAACAATATCAGTGTTAAAACTGATGTGGGCATCAAGAGGACTTTTTCCTTTGAATGATATCGTTGTTTTCAGGAAATAATTCAGGTACAAACTACTAATAGAGGTGAGACATATCCTAATGACAAAAAAAATCTAAATAAGGAGAGTGGATTTCTGGTCAACTCAGGTCGGCTCTCATTGGCTTTGCGTTCTAGAGCACCAGATAAACCTTAATTCACAGGCAAGGGGTTGTTGGTGAACTCTCTCAAGAGGGAAAGAGTGTCTCCTAAAAGACCCACATGATTTAGAATAGAAACGTGAAGTGATTAATGAGTACAGACTATTCCCATTTGAAGCACCTATAAAACATACCTGAGGTCAAGACCTCCTTCCATCTCCATCCACGAATCCGCCCATCATCACCACAGCTGCAAAGCTTAAAAAAAAACGTCAGTTAATTTATCTTCATGTATATGCTCCAAAGTGAACAAAGGCAATCCACAGCAGATTCAGACAGAGCACATGATCCAGAAACATGAAAGTTTCCAGATAATTCCCAGAATCAAGTTAACAGAAGTCATCAGCATCATTCAAGAAGCATCAATCAAGTATTTACAGCTTGTCTTCACTACCAGTGTTAAAGCTTCACCAATATTTAACGTTTTTATCACAGCATGCTATACTGGCCATGCTGAAAATAGGACTTAATAACGAAGTACAGCAGTTACCCTAGAGATTCAAACAATCCCAAATAAATTATATTTACACTAGAAAGATATCCCGACGAATTATGGACGTGAAAATGAAAAGAATGATAAAAACATGTAAAAAAGAAAATATATGGTGTCAATGACTTAGTTCAAAGTCCAATTCTACATCATTATCGAAGCTGTGGTAAAATATTATGATGGTTATATAATTTTATCAACCTGATTTTCCACTGATATATGAGGGTTTCCATCTGGAATATGGCAAAATAATTGATTACTAATTCGTAAGTATTTGGCACACATTTAGAAGCCAAAAAAAACATGGTGCAATCTCAACTGTACTCGGAATGAGCTTCAAATATTAACATTGGTCAGCTCAATATGGCTTCAGTTTGGGATAAAAGTTACGTGCAAGTACAGCTGTGGATCTGAGAGAGAGAGAAGTGATTCGTTTGATCACATTTATAAAAAGGGAAGCAGGCATCGAAGGGAAGAAAAGAGGAAAGCTGAGAACCAAGACGGTGATTGGGTCTTTAAATTGAAGGAGAGAATGTTGAATTACAGGTTCATTTTATAGGAGAGCATTGTGGTGAATGCCAAACAAAATGGAAAGTAGTCTGGGGCCTTTCTGCAACAACAGCAAATCATCCGAGGAAATGTTATCGATGCCAGCATCAATAAAATTCAGCAACAGTTAGTCTCTTAGCTTACCAACAGGCGACTGTCAGCTGCAGTAGGCTAGGAGGAATAGTATGGAATTGAGAACTAAAATTTCCATAGCAGGTGTCTCCCAGAGAGTTCAATGTGTGACAAGTGTGCCTTCAGCCACAGGGTAGCAACAATGTGCTGACAGTCAAAGGTAAGTTAGTCAGCCCTTACAGATCTGCATAAAACTGGTAGTTATTGATTCCATCGACAGTAGGCTCCTAAAAGAGTGACACGGAATTGACTACCATTGATGTTGGTAAGGGCTACTTCTATATTCTCAAACATCTCATGGGACGAATTCTCACCTAAGGAGAGTATTCAAACTTTCGAAGAATTGCATGCAAGAATCAGTCAGCATGGGAGAGAGATTCGTGATGGAAGAAGCAACATGAGAGGAAAAGAGGAGAGAAATGGCATAGGCAGTAGAGCCCTTAAACTGTCACCACTCTAAGAAATATGCCATCGTAATTATAGATGTAATTGTGTCAGATTCGGCATTGATCCAGGTACATTTGATGATTCTGTTGATAAAAACATTTTCTTCTTTTGAATGTGGACAGTACCCCGTATTCATAACAAAATTATACCCATAACTAGAATGATGAATGATCTAAGATAATTTGATACTAAACAGTTCAGTCTTATATTCATGATTTTGGCACATTGTATTATTCCAATGAGTGGCATTTTAAATAAATTCCGACACATATCAAGGTCATTATCAAGTAGCACATTTATCGATACTGTCACTGGTTTAAGATGATATGGGGCACCATCGTAAGGAATAAAGAAGCAGATTTGGGAAATAATGCTAAAACTGTAAAGATCACTAACAATTTCTCAGCTTGCTGATTTAGTTATTAACAGAAACAACCCCATTTCTTACTGTGTCCACATTCTTCATTTATAAAATATATGTAATAAAATAGTTCCAGATTCTCATCACATCATAGTTGAATCTCCAGAAAGAAGAAACGTCATTAATGCCAAGAAACTAATGATTCATCGAGTATAATAAGACTAAAGAAATGTGGAAGACCAGCAACTAATGTCTTTGGGTAGTCTATTGTGTTATATGTTCAGGTTGTCACCAATGTATCCACTGCACATAAGCCGTAAATCAAAACTAAGATATACATCATTTATACATCTGAAAATAATTTTCAAAACCGAAAACCTGTATGTAAAACTAACTGCACGTAAACCTGTATCAGGCAATACAAGCCTTCTAGAAGCGTTTATCTCTAAAACTGAAAATAACTCATGCGTATTCCATATTTCATGAAAAAGTGAATCGGAGACTCGGAAGATTTTAAATCGATGGTATCAATTAGAATAACTAACGAAATGGCCCAATCACTCAAAAAGAAGTGTCCCTAATAGTATCCATTAAAAACGAATGATAAACACCCAAAACTTAAGACTGTGATCAGCGGGCACAAAATAGTACAAATTATAAACAAACCTCAATAGCATAGCATCCTCCCCATCACCATAGAACTTGACATCATATGCAGGACCCGTGTGTGCTTGATTCAGGCGTAATGGTTGAGCCAATAGGAACTCAGAAGATGAACTTCACATGAAAACTATGTGAGAAGCTTGAAATTGAAGTGATTATAAGCGGTCGTGACAAAAGACCACAAGAAAGTAGACCAAGACTAGAGGTACTCACTCGTGATCCTTGACATTTCGAGAAAGTGCTTGCTGAAAAGTAGAAAAAATGAAATAAAGTCAATGATTATTATAACGTGACAGTTGCTATGTCGTCAAATCAGGCAGCCAAACAAGTAAATGATTACTAGATCCAGCATTGCCACAGTTGTGCCATAAATAGTTTTGACGAGGAAGGTTCAATGAAAATCATATTATAAATGAATAAGCAGGAATCATAGGCAGAAGATGATGCTGATGGATATTGTATGTTCAAAAGAAAGTTCAAAAGAATTTCATTGAACCTCATGTAATTGGCCTAAAAGAATTTGAAAATATAGACCAAAATTCCTAAATTTCAATAACATAAAACTAGAGATGACAATCACTTTAGAATACTAAATAGGAAATTGGAAACATAATAGTTTGAGAAAACGAGATTTAGATCTGGATATTTTACTTCGTGAAATTCTCAGATGGGAGTTTCAAGGATAAAAATAGCTGTGAAGTGGGAATGCAAGAGAATAACATGGACAAGAAGAAATAATTTTCCAGCGGCCAAGTTGGTGAGTTGACAATCTCTACTGAAAAAACTTTGATGGATAACATGCAATAATTATTATTGATTGGACAATTAATTCGTCAGCTGGCATCAATTTTCTCAGAAAAATTGCCCTAACATGTTGAACTGACCAATATCCCCTTGCTTCCATGTTCCAGGAAGCTCTATTATTTTCCGTTTCATTTCTTTCTCATTTCTGTTTTATCATTTATTCTATTTACCGCTACACTTTTCACTTTTGTAAACATAAATCGTGCTTAACGTCCCAAATATTTGGTACTCTTTCTTGTTGAAACCTTGCAAGCGTCCCTACAAATAATTTGACGGGACACTTGCAAAGTATCCCATTTTTGGCACACAATTTACATCTAAATCTGCAAGGGGAATGAGACGATTGAAAACATCAGCGTGCGTGAATATATTGCAAAAAAACGAAGGAAAGGGGAGTCGTAACAGTTTCTTTCACTGGGATCTTCTCAGCTACATATCAAACAGCTCATTTACTTTACCGAAACAGGCAATAGAAAACTATGAGAACAAGTGCAAGAAAAGGACGAAGAGAGAGAGAGAGCGCTCACGCGAGGAAACGAAGAGGCGGAAGCTGAGGCGACGCAAGAGGGGATGGAGTATGGGGAGACAGAGCCGTCACTGGAGGCGACGACGATGACATCCGGCTTTCCGGTCGCGGGAGGAGAGAAGGCAGTCCTGAAGATGGTTTTGGCGCGCAGTTCCCTCTCCTGGAGAACGCTGTTCCTGTATCCCTCTTCGTCCCAGTCCCGCACATCGCCGGTTGCTTTACCCATCTGCGAACCACCGTCGGTCTACCGAGCCCAGCGCAGGAATCCAGAAGAGGGATGGATTTCGGGAAGAAGAAGATTGATGGCCCCGAATTGACTAGATCCCTTCGTCAAACTACGAAAACGGCCGCGATTGAGCCTTCCCCCATGAGCGCGTCCCCCCTTTCCCCTCGTGTTCTTGGCCAAACCTTGCCATCTTCCCCATCTGAGCCTCAGCTACTCCGCCGCCAGGTTCCCCTTCGATTTACAGAGACGGGACCTCGTGGAGTGATGCGCCCACAAAAGGACCTCTTTCAAGCGACCGTTGCAGAAAATGACGGTTCTTATTAAAAACACACCCGTATTTAGATAAATTTCATTTATACCCAAGCTTTCAGAGACATCCATCTTCTTCTTCAGGAGATGCTGCTGTTCATGGCGCCCGTCTTCTCCGACGGCTTCACCCGATGAAACTCGATCTGCAGTCTCTGGTGGAGAGAGCTTGTGGAAGCAGGGGGCCCATCGCGCCGCTTCTCTTCGGCCTCCAGTTCCTCCCTCAACGGGATGGCAACGAGGAACCTGTTGATGAACTCTCTGCAGCAGCTCTTCCCGCTGCAGATGAGCTCCCCCTCGTCTCCTTCCTTCTCCGGCAGCCCCCTCATGAAGGACCCCTCGTCGAACTTCAGAACGTAGGCCTTGTCGCAGCCTTCGGAGAGCCGCTCCCCTAGAGTGTCTATGACGTAGAAGGCCTCAGCCTCCGCCTTCAGCAGGAAGAAGTGGTCGTTCCAGCTCACGATGTAGACCTTCGCGGCAGCGGCGCCGCCCTCCTCGGCGGCGGCGGCGATCTCGCTCCATATGTCATCGAAGGACATGGCCCCACGGAGGGACTCGAAGCTCTCCGGGAGGAAGAACCCCACGAAGGAGTTCTCTGGCGAGACGGCGACCGGCCTCAGGTTCGCCTCCATGACCGTCTCGAGGTCGAAGTGCTTGTCGGAGAAGCGGCTGGCGTAGGGCTCGGCTTCGCAGAGTTTCCGCCACTCGGAGGAGCCTTCTCTGATCAAGGCGTCAAACTGGGCCTGCGTCGGCGGGTTCATCTGGTTCGACTGCAACTTGTCGGCGATCACGACAGCGAGGACTGCGCAGGCGCTCTCGCCGCCGGCGCTGTCGTCGCGCTGGTCGATGGAGGCGAAGAAGGTGCCGGTGCTTAGCTTCGTCTTCCCCTCTCTGCTAATCAGCTCCTTCTCTTCCCATCCCTGTGGAAGAAAAGTTCTTGGATGAATGAATTTTTGCCATGATCGGACTCTTAAGATGGAATTGGATGAACATCCGGAGCTGTGAGGGAACCTTTCCGTCGGGGGATGATGACGAGCAGGTGATCGGGAATTGAGAAGCTCCGATTCCTCCTCCCTTTCCTTCCCCTCCGTCGCTGGTCTTCCTCCTCTTCTTCCTCCATGAAAGGAGCCCACGTCTCGGAGGCGGCTCCGACTGTTTCTCCGAACTCCTTCCCTCGCTGGAAGTAGAGCCCGTCTGTTCTCCGGCGCCTGCCGTCGTCGACGGAGACTGCGCCGGCATCTGAATCTCGCCGGAAGCTTCCGAATCCAATGTGTAGGACTTCTCTGCTGTGCTCTCATCTCGCGCCGCCGCCACCGCCGACGACGACGACGACAACGACAATGAGGTTTCAGGGATATCTCGGACGGAGATGATCTCAACGGAGCTGATGGCGACCTGCGTTCGTCAACGACAGAAAATCTCATACTCCGTCCTCCACCGCTGAATCTCTGTCAATGTAGGACATAATAGAAGGCGTTCTCACGGAGATTCTGGCGTCGCAGCAGCCGGCGAGTGAGGCGACTGGAAGCTCCCTAAGGGTCTGGGACCGATCAGACGATCCATTCGCTGCTTCCGCCCGCAGTTTGGAAACCATGTCCCTCAAGTTCAGCCTGGCCATCCCAATCTCTTCGAGCTTGTCGTCTCCTTTCGCCTGCGCGCTCGATTGAATGAATTCGTCGGAATCGAACCAGAACAGAAATTCTTCCTCCGATTCAATGTTCTACGCATGCAGGCCGACATAAATCAAACGCAAAAAAAAGCTTGAATAGCTGAGATAATTACTTGCAGGAAAATAGAGAGATTTTTTTTTTTCCGACTGTTGATCGTCTGTCCTTGAGTTCGACGGAGATGAATTGAGAAAGGGGAGGGAGGACTTACGCATAGATGGATCGAGACATCCCAGTCGCTTAGGGTTTCTTCCCTCTCCGTCTCCGAGAAGCCGCAGACATGGTCGAAGGTCGCGCCATCGCCATCCTTCCATTCTGCCGTTCCAGCGCGGACCACCATATCCACCGAAGCAGACCTCGTCGGCTTCCTCCTACCCTTCAGGGAGGACAACCCCCTACTCCGGGGAGGCCCCTTCCATCTGATCTCCACCCAAACCACTCGCGGAGCATCTCCGTCTCCGGTGGGCACCGACGGCGCCGCCGCCGTGAAGAGGCCGTCGATTCTCCTCACATCCATCTTCACGCGGTATTTCCTTCTCTTCCCCTCCGAAGCTGCTCCAGCCCACGGCGACCATCTCATCATCTTCTTCTTCCCCACACCAAGCCTCCCCTCTCTCCGGCGCCGGCAAGAAACAATTCGCCCTCCTCCTCTAGCCAGCTGCAACAATCCTCGGAGAATGCTCCAACTCCTCCGTCTTTAATCCCCTGGTTGCGCTTCTTCTCCTGCTCCGGCGAGGACCTCCCCGGAGGCGGAAGGAAGAGGTGGCCGTGAAGGTACGCGACTTGCAGGGGAGAAGAAGCGGAGACAGCCCAAGCTTTTCCGGACAGCTCAGCCGCGAGGCCCTCCTGATAAATAAATTAAAATTTTAAAAAATGACGAATCCCCGCGTTGGCCCTCCGATGCTGGGGCCCACATTGCGGGGGTGGGACGCCGATCCGTTGACTTGACCGGCTTCATCTAATCTCTACCAATGAGATCCGACCACGTGTAGAACAAGCGCCGCAGAATCCCACCACAGGGGAATATCCACTCGGGTATGTCTTAAAAGGAACACCACTTTTGGAGTAAAAATCCGGCATCGCAGGTTTCCCATAATAAATTCCTCATAAGTTATTTTCATTCAATTATTTTCCCATTCAGTAAATTAGGAAAATTATCTCGATAGACATCTTGCTCGAATAAATGAAAGAAAAATTCAGATATCCCCTTGTTATTACATGGAATCCAATAAAACCCATTAAAAAGTGTAATTATTATAATCGCCTAAGTCAGAGCCTAATCTTGCACCCTCAACCGCCGTATTATTCAATAGATAATTTTTTATAAAACCCATAGTATCCGAAGATAATGATAAAAAAGGGGATGAAACATAGTTTCCAAAAATGCAGCTGCCACTATTACGCACGTGACTGCGGCTAAGTCTCCGATCACGGGGCCGCGCACGAGTGGAAAAGGCATAGGGGCGGAAGCAGCGCGGGGGAGGGGGGGGTTTGAGAATAACCCTTTTTGGAAGGTTGTAACGGAATCTTTGTAGACACGGTCAGCTTGTCCGTACTCCTGTTCCAACCGAGGGCCACGTCATCGGCGGCGGAGGAGGAGGAGGGCCGTGATTTGCCGTCAGCCGCCGCGCCACCGGAGCGGTCTCTCTCGTCCATTCCGATCGGGACGGCGTAGCAAGGGAGAACACAGGGGTCGCAGATCAGTGATGGGGGGGCCACCGGCGACGGGTCCGTGGGGAGGACTGAGGGGAGAAATGGCCGAAGGAGGTGACGACAGCTAGACGTCACAGGTGGCCGTTTTCCATGGCTTCCGCCTTCCCTTGGCTTCACCTTCTTTATCAAAGATCCCATGCTATTTCCAAACGCGTATCATCCAAGGCTTTCGCAGGGGGGAGTGGCGGTTTGTCCCGCCACCAGACCTCCGGCGAGAGGACGGCGGCGTCCTCGAGAGGCAGTGGAAGCAGGAAGAGTGGGTGGTCGCATCGGGGCTCTCCCCGCTGGAGCTCTCGACGTGCGTCATCTGAGTAAACAGGAGCAGGAGGTGGAGACACGGTGGAACCTGCTCTCCTCCCTTTATAAATTGTTTTTCCTCCTCTCTTGTACCGCGTTCCCTCTCTCTCTCTCTCTCTCTCTCTCTCTCTCGGTGCGAGCGGACTGGTCAAGTTTCGATGGCGATTTCGGACCCTCAAGAAGTCCCCGGGGAGAAGCACGAGGCGCCGCATGCCGCCGACCTTCAGTCCTCGCTCCGCCGCAGGCTGGCCGCCGCCGTGGTCTCGGCTTCATCTTCCGTGGCTGATTCTTCGTCAAAGGCATACGTGCGGGAGGCCGAGACTTCGAGCGCGTGTTCCGGGGACGAATCATGTACTGAAACGAGTGCCGAGGGTGTAACAAGGGATCAGATCGCGGATGCAGCCAGGGATCGGGAAGACAAGAAGGAGAGCTCTCTGGCTGCGCACAGCGGTAATTATGCCGAAAGAGCAGGGGATCAAGAGGACGAGGAGAGGGAAAGCGGAGGGGAAGTCCACATGAGATACATGTACCCTACATCAGCTCCAGCTCACCGGAGAGTGAAGGAGAGCCCCCTTAGTTCTGATGCCATATTTAGGCAGGTTAGTATATAACTGCTTCTTGAGCATGGCAAGTCGTTGATCCCTATTATCTCTGATCGGCTCCTGAGCTCTGGCCTTCTGACCAAATGATTCTTTTCGCACAGATTTACGTGTAGTTTTTTATTCTATTTTTTTGTTCTGTTGCTACACTGCTGGAGTCTATTTTCTTTCCTTTTTCTTTACGATTCAAAGGACACTTTCTACATGTCATCAATTATTATCTATCTGAATTCTGTTAATCCTCGAAATGATGCTCATAAGAACTTGATCAATGGGATTCGCGGAGAACATCGCGCCACCATACGAGCATGGTATATATGATAAATATTAGATCCAAACTGAGAAGTGATTCCGTCCTCCGTATACGGCTCCGTATAGGTTGCACCCCCTTCCTGTGGAAGAAAGAGTTGCGAGTATCTCCCATTGATTGCTTGCCACTGAAGAATCGATGTTTATTCCATGTGATGGAGGACAGAATTTCTTGCTTACTTAGAAATCGTGTAGCATGTGGGATTTTAGAGAGTGATAAAGGGAGAAGCGGACACTACTAGACAGAGAAAGGAATAGAAAAAAGTAGAAAAAATGCAAGGTTTCAGTACCGAAACGTCCTGTGGCGCAAGAGACTGTAGAAGGTAGAAGGGTAATGTATTACAAATGATGGGGAGAGGTCTATAATTGGAGATCTATAAAAAGACGAGGAACATGGAAGACTCAAGAGACTGGGTTTTTCTTGGGGCTTACGGGAGGATCTGTTATACTCGAGTCAAAAATTTGATATCAACTGCATGGTTCTATGCAGTGTCGTTTCAGGAATTATCACTCTGCAATATTTTTTATGAGCACTTTCTTCCTGCTGTCATTTTGGCATTAGATCTAGGATAAGACTAACTCAAGGATACATATCGTTCATTCACATATTCTATTTAATAGCCCCTGTGTGTGCTCTGTGACTTATTTTTCATATGGATTTCTGGCAGAGCCATGCGGGCTTGTTCAACCTTTGCATTGTAGTACTTGTTGCAGTGAACAGCAGGCTTATTATTGAGAACATAATGAAGGTTTGCCTTTTCTTCTTTCATTTATTTTGACTAAAACTATTTTTTAACTCTCCTTTCATGTTTTGATTTATATCATAAACCTTCTTTCATTCCTGTTTGCAGTATGGTTTGTTAATTAGATCTGGATTTTGGTTCAGTTCGAGATCATTAAGTGACTGGCCACTTCTTATGTGTTGGTGAGGTTTCTTGAACATTTACCTGTTTTCATCTTAAGCTTACCTCTGACCAAAAGGCTGTATTCATACTTTATCCCCTTGTAAACTTCAGTTTCACATTTCCATTGTTCCCTCTGGGTTCTTTTTTCGTGGAAAAGTTGGCGTGGAACAAGTGCATTTCTAAACCTGTAAGTACGTTCATCATATAACCGCCAACAATCGTCTCCTGTGATTTAATACAGTCGAGCTTGTTTCTGTATCTAATATCTCTTTGGAAGCCACCTGCATAATCTTTACATGCGTGGCTATAGTAATTAATGTATTTTTCCGATCATTGTATTTATTGATATTCTTCTAAATATCAGACGGTGTTCCCAGACTAGCTGCTGAACTCGTGCAATTTCTCTAGTCGGTGTTCCCAGGCTATTCTTCTATCAGTGATTCTTGGTAATCCTTTAGTTGCGAAGGAAGTATTCTTGGTAAGTTGGTTGCCTACTACTTCAGCTGCTATGTACTGCAACTCGACCCAGTCTGGTAGAGTAGCCTTAGATCGACGCGGATGAGTCTGTCATAGGTGGTAAAATACTTGCGGATTCTAGAATAAAACTATTTCAATTGACCCCCTGCCCAGAACAGCAACAATGGTGAATCATTCCTAATTAGTTTAGCATTTTGATGGTCAAATGGGCATTTGGTTCAACAATTCCATTTATAAGGAGTAATAGGGGAGCCATTACTTCTTATAAATGGATTGGAGTCAGAAATCGCTTAAGCCAAACACGCAAGGAAACCAATAAATTAGGTCTATTCAGGCGACCAAAAAATAGTCTTTCATTGTAGCCTTCAATTGTTGAGAAATTGGTCAATGTCTGAGGAAGGATTGACGTGACAGGGTGAAAGGAACTAAGCAAAGTTTGAATTTATTAATGCTGATTGAGGTTGGCGAGCCTGAATCTTCGATGGGACCAATTTGTCCATTACCCGTACTGTACCCTTCAATGGATCATTTCTCTTTCGTTCTTTTAGCACTTTACCCATAGATCGAGAATCACAATCATGACAGAAAAACTGTGAACACCTGGATTCTAGTTCCTGTGGCTTCCAGGAGTCTCACGAAGAGCGAAAGTGAAATGGATAAGCACTTTTTGCTCAGTATCTTTTTCTCTATTTTTTTTTCCTATCTCTTATGCTTAATTTCTATTTTGACTCTTCATTACGGCTGACAATGGTTACCTCACATCTCTGGTAGTTGGTGATCTCACTCCATGTACTCATCACTACGGCTTCTATCCTTTGGCCTGTTTTCGTGATTCTCAGGTGAGCACTTCCTCTGTTTTCTTTATTTATGAATGATATTGATATCAGCATTCACCCTTCCATCTTGAGTTGGCTGATAACGTCTGAACGCAAGTGAAGTTATTTTATGCTTATATTGAATTGACTGATCCTCAACTATTTTTAACCACATGAATATTAATTACTTATATAACGGGATTCCTTTGGTCTGTAAGTCAATATTTAATTGTTTTTTTGACGTAATGTATAGAGTGGGGAAGTTTCAGTTGTGGCATCCATCCTTTATGCTTGACATAATGCATCGTTGTTCGATCTCTCTGATGGAACCTAAATGTGGAATATACTGTTCCATATTGTTGTTGTTGTCGTCATTGTGTGTGTGTGTGTGTGTCTATGCGTGTGTGATGATATCAATTGCGGTATTATCTTGGCAGTCTTGTTCTCTTCAGGTAAGTTATTCTTCCATGGGTCCATCAATTATGAAACTTCCAAGACAAAAACCCAAAAAATGAATGGAAACCTTCAAAACCTGAGAAACCATGGCGATATCTGGCTTTCCGGTCATGATTTGCATGTGGCTGTGATAAATTCACAGACAACGGTGCAAATGCTCACATACTTCTTGATTGTGCGACATAAATGCTAGATTGAGGTGGACTTTGTCAGTGAACTTAGTTATGATGGAGAATGTTTTCAAGACGAGAAGTTTCTTGGAATCTACAAAATAATTTGTAACAAAAGTGTTCGTAAATGGTTCGGTATTTGTCTGATTTTCATTAATAGAAGTTTAGTTAGGTGTTTTCTGGAGAGATAAATGATGCTTCTATATGTCATGATGCTTTGTCTGATGCAAAAGAGACAAATTATCTGTTGTACTTGTCCATTTCTTCAGCCAAACCATATATAATGTGTTTTCTTGATGTTGCAGATGTGATTCTTCTGTTCTATCCGGGTTGGCATTGATGCTCTTCGGATGCATCGTTTGGCTAAAGCTGGTGTCTTATGTTCATACAAACTATGATATAAGGGCATTGTCCAATTTAGCTGAGAAGGTACATTTATTATTTTCTTTATAATACACTATTTTTTTTCTCATCACGGTTGAGTCAAATCTGTATTCTCCAAGCTTTTAATTTCTAGTTAATAGTGGTCGATTCATTAATATCCTGTCTAAATTGGTATGTCTGAATATGATATTTAAGGTAAATTGCGTGACCTAATTTTTTCATTCTGGTATGACTTCTCGAGCCAAAACCTTAAAACCAAATTATAACATACTACTCTGCTTAGCTTGGGCTTAACTCATAGCTACCTTATCTAAGTATAGTCTAGTCTGAAGGTTTCTGCTCTAGATAATTTTCCGAGTTTTTTCTTGGGAGGGTGGGACGCAAGTTAGGGGTTCAATTCTTATACAGGTGATCCAACTTGAGAAATTTTCATTTAAATCTGGGAAGATGAAGAGTTGGAATGCCATAAAATCAGGATGGGAACAATTATGTTTAGGAGGGCAGAATAAAAGAAAATCTCTTTATGCTTCTTTATTGGAGAAGAACTAATCTAATTTGCGAAGTTCACGTTTGGCAATTTTTAGGGATACGTCCTTTTTTGCGCTCATCTTTGCCACTTTTATGTATTAGGGTGATGCTTCTTCAAGCTCCTTGATTCCTGAGATTGTTCAAGGTACCAGTCTACAAAGTTTGATCTATTTCATGCTGGCCCCAACTTTGTGCTATCAGGTAGCTTTCAGAAAATATCATTCTTCCATTACATTTTTTATGCTCTTCCTTTCCCTATGTGAGAATATGAGGCCTTTTTCAGTGTAATCTGGTATAAATGCAAATGCCTAAAGAGGAGATTGCTCACAAACTGTTTCTCAATTACAAAATATGCCACCCTGACATGATGACGACTCAAAAATCCCGTACTGCTTGTGAAGAGAAAACATTTAATTATTTACTGTGTTTTCTCTTAATTAAAATGAACCGATATTCTATGTCCATGCGCCTGGATGCATAAAATTTGTTATCGGGAGTTTCTCATTTCTTTGAAATCAAAGTGATGTCAGAGTATGTGCTAGATTATTAGTAGAATACGGTACCTTTGGCCTCATTCCTTGAAAAGGCATGGCTTATTTCTTGAAGAGAAAGAAATTATTTCTCTTACATTTAAACGAAGTATTCTATGTGATAGCTTCATCAAGAATTTTGTAATGCGCAGCACCTTCTCTTTGCTGTTTTCTCTGTTTACTCCAAGTGATCATTTCAATCTGCATTTGTTTATGCTTCTAATCTTTGTCTTTTGAAATGTTTTCTAGCCTACCTATCCGCGTTCTACTTGCGTTCGAAAGGGATGGGTGACTAGACAAGCACTCAAATTGGTGATTTTCACGGGGGTAATGGGTTTCATTGTTGAGCAGGTTAGAATCCTCTTGGTCTGGCTTTTTTTCATATTTTCCCTTTATTAGTAGTCCGAGGTTCATTTGGTGGAAGAATTTTGCAGTACATTAATCCAATAGTCAAGAATTCTCAGCACCCTCTGAAAGGAAACTTCTTATATGCTGTTGAGAGAGTTTTGAAGTTATCAGTTCCAACTTTGTATGTGTGGCTCTGCATGTTCTATTGCTTTTTCCATCTATGGTGAGTTACTTACTTTAGTGAAGAAAAATGCTTATCTTAGGTTGATGATCTGTCACGAATCTTCTATTTCAGATTAGATGCTTCATGTAACTTGTTTAGTTTATCAATTTTTCCTTTAGATATGTGCAGGATACATGCTTTCTTTTTTAGCCAAAGATGTGTCACTTTATCCGTTTACAGAACTTTTCTGATTTTTAAATTAAAGTTGCAGTTATACATTGTTTGTGCTGGTCATGTTAGTCGGAATCAGATCCAGAGGCAGAATTGAGTCATAAACCTGTCTGCCAGCCAATTGGTCAGATCAGCCAACTAGTTGATATAACTTTGGACGGCTGTTTTTTTACTCATTCCTAGGTAATCAGTCGACTAAGCTTCTAAATTGGCTGATATGGAGGCTTTGGGTGCTTACTAGAAAAATCAGGGTGAGTCAGGATAACAAAAGAATCTTTATTTCAAAGTGAAAAAAAGAATCGACCACTGTGGAGTGCGCTCAGGCGGTACAGTAGGTGGAGTTTCTTGGGTTAGAAAGGGTCTAGTGAGCATATAGGACATTGAAAACATTCTGTTAGATTATTGGGCCATCCAGTTGAAAACTAATTGGCAATGAGACAAGCAGGGGTATTGATATGACTACATTATTTTATTTTTATTTTTCTTTTTTGAATGTGGGATTATTCTTCAGTTGCAAACCATTTTTCCGATTCTCTTACAAGGGTAATACAAGGGACAATAACTATCGCCTCTACTACCATTTGGGATTATATTGGCACCGGACTTGAATTAGTCCAGGTAGATGACCTCATGATTTTGAGACTATGGGACTGAAGATAAGAAAGAAAGCAAGGGATGCAATGAGGAAATTTGAGAATGCAGTTATGTAATGGGGCAAGAAGACGCATTTGGGGGCTTGGTAAGCTTAATCATGCCAACCAACTTTGCTGTCGTGTCAATGTTATGCCTTATAAACCAGAATCAGAGCAGAAGAGCAAGCCGAAAAGTAGGAAACGGAGATTGTACCGTAAATTACCGAAATCATCATCTAAGACTGATAAGTTCATTCAAGCCGGACTGAGCTGTTTGGGCATATATGTCTGCCTCTTTAGAGCATTTTTTTCCTACATGATTGTCTTAACCGTCCTGCCACCATTTAAACCCCAAGCACAATTTGGTCCTCTTGTCTTTTTTAATAGATGCTTATTTCCTTTTATCTCCCTATTCAGATCTGGAACTGCGTTCTTGTTTGCAAAATATATCAATCCTTGTCATCATGACCTAGTTGATCAAAGTTTGGATGGGGATCCCGAGATCAATTGAAAGTCGGTTTTATTGCCTGAGTGTTGTCTGAACCTGCATCAGAGTAATTCGAACCAGCCTGATGGCTAAGCTCAGCTGAAATTGGTTGGTTCCTATGGGATGTTTCTATTCTGTTTAGTTTCGGTCGACCTTAGAATTCCGGGAAATCTTGGATCTTTCATGATAACCTGCATGTCATCTAACAATATACTCTTTTTCAAATCCCCTGTAAATTGTGAATTTGGTCTTACTGTATCCACGGCATCCTACATGCTATGGAAGATAAGGCAGAAATGCCCGTGATACTGTTATATAGGCACTGCACAAAGCTTACTGATTTTAGAAATTTCCAGTTTCTCCTCTGTGAAGGAATGATTCTTAGATTTCAAGTAGGATAAGTTGGCACAAACTCTTAGTTGATTTCATTTATTCTTCTCCTCGCCGTCTGCGTCTGCTTTCTTCACTAGGTAGCTTGTAGGAAGCTGTGGACATTTAGATTTTATGAGTATATATTTCTATGTATATATGGTGATCATCAAAAGTTCTATCCTGCGAGGAAAACGACTTCATGCTAGATACTAAGATTCTATTTACCATGCGAACTTCAACTGCACAGAATTTTGCACGATCCTAAATTTCTACCCATCTTGTTCTTCATAGCTTTCTTCTTGCTCGTGTTATGAACTGTTATACCAATGTCACATGTGGTAATTTATATGTTGGGCTCTTGGTTTTTACCGCAATCTGTACTAGCTGACACTGAAGGAATTAATACAGGTTAAATATACTAGCTGAGCTCTTAAGATTTGGAGATCGTGAATTTTACAAAGATTGGTGGAATGCAAAAACAGTGGAAGAGGTAGGTGTTCAACCGGTGATACAACTCGTGGGTTAAATCATTTCTTGCATGTAATTCTACTACTGCTTCACTGAATATAATCTTTCTTTTTTTATGTTTCTTCTGGGGCATCTATCTGGGGATGACGTCAGTACTGGAGAATGTGGAATATGGTACAACTCTTTAAATTCGATTCATAAAGTTGTTTCTTTTAGTTTTTCTCGAATTTTCGTCGGTTAAAGTCTGTGTTTGTTGTCATTTTCATCCCCTATTTCATTATGGTACTTAAATACATGAGCTTACTCCACTCATTACCCGTGGCTTTGAGTCGGATAGTCTAATTCTTCACTCTATTCAATGATGTATGGGATATCTCTAGAATGATGGCGAAAAAATTTCAATTCTTATCAAAAGATAAGGTAGCTTGAAACTATAATACGAATCCTGTAAAAAGGTCGTTTATTTGTGACTTTTGTTGTATCACCGATGCAATATTTACACACTGGGAATAAATATTTATGTGCTTTAAATCAATGATTAATCTGGAATCCTCCCTACTGATACGATAGTGTGTTCTAATACTGAAGAGTTAATATGGTCTCTCCCGTAAGCAAGGGCATGGATGTCAGACTCTTGGACTGATTATTGAAAGCTGCATTTGTAGTGACCGGCTTATTTTAATTTTTTTTAACATATGCATGAAAATTATATTTTTCATGTTCACATTAAGTTTATGGTATGTCAAAATGCCTTCAGACATTTTTAATGTCTGCTTGTTGTCTATAAATACACTTGAATTCATCCATTGACACCACTTCTTTCTGATATATCTGCAAACACGAAGTTCAGGTTCCTGATGTGTAATAAATACGCTAGGGGCAATTAGACAAAACAAATCAGTAGGAAAAGGTACTCTAAAAAAAAATACTGAGGTGATATCTGTAGCTGACCTGTGCGTGCACCGTTATTCTTCACAAATGTGTTGCCATTTGCATATAATATATTTTGTCTTACCCTTCGTTAATCCGCTGTTCTTAGGGCCACTTATGCGTTGCATCTTGTAATGCTGGATTAGAAGTTGATCATATCTTTGTCTCCAAAAGTTTTGAAATCCTATACCTTACCTGCATTCCAATTTATGTTTTTATTTTAATGTTCAGATCGATTGTAATATGTGCACTATCTGCAAGCCTTTTAAATTCCTTGAACAACCTTTAGACATATAGTTAATGATGAATGTAATCAATTAGACCGATGCTGTCTTAGCTAAACAGTTTGGTATGTTCCATTATTCCTAAATTAGCGACAAATATTTTGTTTCTTGCAGCCTGTCCATAAATGGATGATTCGGCATATTTATCTACCCTGCTTGAGGAATGGTTTACCAAAGGTAATCTAAGCCATCTCACTGCAATTTCAAATGGACACATTGGAGCCTAAGATGCTCTGTTCTAGATTTTCTGAGAATACTTGGAGCATTTTGACATTAATTTTGAGAAAATGATGTTGAAATACAGGGAGCTGCCATTGTGATCGCGTTTCTGATATCTGCCATTTTTCACGAGGTACATAGGACATTAACCTTCATAGCTTTGTTGAAATTCTCGTCTAGAGAGTCCTCTGCTTTAATTCAGTGTCTTTCCTGAGCACGCTAAAAGAATATGCACCACCATTTCACGTTCAATTTTAAATGATTGTTCTTATCTCTAGTATGCTCTAAGAGGTTTTTAATTCATATTCAGCGATTTTCTTGTTCCTGAATGATGGTTCTGGTTCTGTATCACTTGCAAGCAACACTCTGAGTTTATGACGCTGATACTTGTGTGTGTGTGTTTGTACAGCTAGTCATTGGTGTCCCTTGCCACCTTTTCAAGTTTTGGGCTTTCATTGGAATAATGTTTCAGGTAAAAGTTTCTGTATGATTTATAGCTATGCTTGCGAGAAACCCCCCCCCCCCCTCTCCACATAAACCGTGTCCTGTTTACGCAATATGCTCCTTCAATGAACAGAAAATTTCGGAAGATAAATGGAAAAGACAGTGACAAAGTAGAAACAAGCCATATATTGGATGCCTGTCGGAAGAAGGGGTCATGTTTGCCATACTACTCGAGTTAATAGAAATTCATTTCATAGAAGAGCTAGAACTTTGGGCTCATTGCATAAGCTAACAATCTGTATCTCTGAGATCAGTAGGTAATCAGCTGCCCAGCAATATTGGGTTAATTATTTTCATGAGACCCTTGTATCAGGGTAGAACCAGAAGAGTATATGTGAAAAGTATCTCGCTGTGGCAACTTAGTATAAACCTTAGCTCGGATGGATTATCATTCTTGTCACAAAAACCATGTAGATCACCTGAAATCTCTGATTTCTGTTTTCTTGTTGAGAGCTCATTTAGTCGGCCATACGCACCAAAGGTTGGCATCAATGAAGCAGGGAAGTGTTTGGATCTTTCATCGAATCAGAATTTTTTTCACGACGAAGAACAGGGAACCCCGGCACGGATCCAGCTTTCTCCTCCTCTGTGGCCAGTGTTCTTGTCTCTGTAAACACTAGAAGATCTGCATCCTTTCTTTGTCCCCTCCGTGCTCCTCATGTCTGGCCTTCTCGTCTCTTTGGAGCAGGTTCCTCTGGTGATTCTGACGAACTACCTGCAGAGGAAATTCAAGAACAACATGGTACGTCTCGGCCTCCTTGTCTCTCATCCGTGGGAACATCTGATGATATCCTGTCTCATCATCTCCCTCTACCTCCCCCCCGTGTTGATTAAAAAAAAAACGCAGACTATGGGTTATTAGTTTGCTCGTATGGACTAAGGATTTCGATGTCGGTGCCATTTCCCAGGTGGGGAACATGATCTTCTGGTCCTTCTTCAGCATCTTCGGACAACCCATGTGCGTCCTCCTCTACTACCACGACGTGATGAACCGGAAGGTGAGAGCGAGCAACGGGTAGCCCGTTGAATCCTCCGTCCCTCGGAAGGCCGCCTGCTTTGACCCCGCCGCCCCCTACATGCGTGTGCAAATCCTGCCCCTCCGCCCACCCGGTTGACCAGCTTCCTACGGCCGGGTTGGTTGGTTGCATGTCTTCCTTTTATGAGCAGCGAGTTGGAGAGGAAAACCAGAGAACCACTGTGGCAAGGAGGAACTCAGATTTTCCTCCAATTTTCCGATCAGTGTGGAGAGGAGAACAAAAAAGAAGAAGAAGGAAAGAATAGGCGACTCTCGGGGATGATATGGTTTGTTGTCGCTCTGTTTTACAGCATGAGGATCCGGTTCTTGATCCACCTGAAGCTCTTCCTCAGGGAGCTCTTCATCTTGCCCCCCACGGCGTAGCCCTTGTAGCCGGCGATCCTCCTCTTCCTCCGCAGGTCCGGGTCGCCCAAAGCCCACCCACCATTTGACCCTGACGGTGGCGGCGACGGCGGCGACGGCGGCCTCCCCTCGGCGTTGGGTCTGCGCTCCCTGGGGGGGGGCGTCGTCTGGTGATCGACGGCGGGATCGTAAGCTCCGTTGTAGCCCCTGACATCCTCCATGGAGATGGGCTCTCTCTTTCTCTCTGTGGGTACCGGCCAGAGACGAGAGAAGAGAGGGAAGGTATATAGAGGGGTGGGGTTGGTGGGAGGTGAGGTGAAGACGAAGGTTGGAGCTTCCCCCGATTGACTGACAGAGGGGCTGTTATCTCCGTGGACCAGATGGCTCCTTTAGTCTTCGACGACGAACACAACTATGGGATAGAACTGCTAGAGCGTTTGACTCGAGCTGAAGAACAGACAACTGTTGAGTTGATGTCATGAACACGTGCAGGGGAAGGAAATGTTCTAGATGCCTACGTCTCTCACGAGGGTGCTGAAGTACGTCGACCTGCCGGGGCCGAACGAGTTCGTCGGGCCTTGGCCGCCGGCGGTCAGCGGTCGGGGAATTCTGACACGTCTCACGTGCTGGCGGGGGGGGAGAGGCCGATCTGGTGAAGTGGTGATCCAAGAGAGGAGAGGATAAGGGCTCTTCCTTCCTCGCTTACTCAGCGTTCTTTGGGTGTACTCTGCGATGAGGAGGAGAGGAATCGCTACCTTGGCTTCGTCACCGGCGGAGGAGGGGGGCGACGGAGAGCGCATAGCGGGAGGCATAACCCAGGTAGCTCTGCTCTCTCGTCCTCCGCCTCCTCATCATCGGTCTGTCTGTCTGTCTGTCTGACATTGAGCATTCTCAGTTGATAGGTTGGACTCCGCTCCTGGAGCTGAAACGGATTGAGCAGAAAGATGGCGTGGACGCGCGTCTGGTGGCGAAGATGGAGACGTACCAGCCTCTCTCTTCCGTCAAGGACCGCGCCGCCATCAGGTTTGGGATGCTTTTGATGCCCTTCCCCTACAACTGCTGCAGCTGCTGCTGCTGCTCTCCCTGTCTCTCTCTCTCTTGCTCGCTCACCAGCTCTCTCTTGGGTCTTCCAAGCTGAGAAATTTCGGCGGAGGAATGCCGGAAAACCCCCTCTCAGGAGATGGCGAGAGGAGGTGGCGGAGACCCAGATAGACGGTCAGATGGGCGAAACCCCATCAGAGCCGAGATCTCGTTCCGACAGGGCCGATGATTGTCCGCTCTTTTTTTTTTTTTTTTAATGAATTCCATTCCTGCGTCTCTCTCGAATCGCCCGGGGATGATCTCATTCCTTTTTCCCTGCGCAGGATGATAGAGGACGCAGAGGAGAAGGGTCTCATCGCTCCCGGGAAGACGACGCTCGTGGCACCCACCAGCGGGAACCTCGGAATCGCCCTGGCCTGCATCGCAGCCCAGAGAGGATACAAGTTCATAGCGGTGATGCCGGATCACTACTCGATTGAGCGGCGGATCATCTTGAAATCCCTGGGGGCCGATGTGGAGCTCACCGGTACATCCTTTTTCTGGAAACATTGTTCTTCCGTGGATACCACCCGTAGGGTTTCATGAGCAGAGTACCATTTTGATGTCGACAACATAATTGCTGAATTGATGTCGGGATCTTCGCTGCTTTTCAGACTCGAAACTGGGTATGCAGGGAATCACCGAGAAGATAAACGAGCTAAGATTTACCATTCCCGATGTGCACACACTGGACCAGTTCTCTAATCCGGCCAATGTCGAGGCGCATTTTATGGGCACGGGTGAGTTGAGCGGTCCCGAACTCTGACTGTGATCTTTTTTTCTTTTTATTTTGTTGATATAATTCGGATGAACTTGATGGGATCCCAGCTCATCTTCTGTACCGTCTTTTCCAATCTCAGGGCCAGAAATCTGGGAAGATACAGCCGGCAAGGTTGATATCTTCGTCTGCGGGTCAGGGTCCGGAGGAACCATCTCCGGCGCCGGGAGGTTCCTCAAGTCCAAGAACCCTTCTATGAAGATCGTCTGCGTCGAACCCGCTGAAAGACCCGCCATCTCAGGTAAATTGGTTCCACGGGTTAGGATTATGGCCGGCGAAAGGTGTCGTCTGCCCTAATCTGATCCCTCGTTTCCTTCCTCGTAAGGAGAAAAAATTCGGTGGTCTATAGCTTCTGGTTTGATCGCTGTCGCTGGGAGGTAGAAAACTCCACAAAATTATAACCAAGAGGTTGTTCATTCGGCAGGCGGCTCGCAGGGGGAACACGAGATCCAGGGGATCGGCCCTGGTTTCATCCCCCACAACCTGGACATAGCGCTGGTCGACGAGGTCGTCACTGTGAGCTCGGAAGAGGCCATGGCGCAAGCTCGGAGGTTGGCCGCCGAGGAAGGTCTCCTCGTCGGCATCTCCTCCGGCGCTAACTTAGCAGCTTGTCTCAAGGTATAAACCTTAGAATGATCCCCTCTTCTTCCTCGTCCGGGTCTGTTTCACCGGCGCATGATCTGCTGCTTCTTGCCGGTGGTGTTTCAGATTGCGAGGAGGGATGAGAGCAGAGGGAAGATGATCGTCACCATCTTCGCCAGCGCCGGGGAGAGGTATCTCAGCACGGGACTGTTCTCCCAGGTGAGAGAAGAGTGCCTGAAGATGAAACCCTAGAAACAACTCCGACTCCATCTCCCTTGTTTCACGCTGTATTCTCTAGGATTTCAACAGCTTCAGCATCCACAGATGATTGATTCATCGATTTCATGGCGGACGGAGAGAAAAACGAAACCCAGAAGATCAATCGTCTGATCGTCACGTCACGTACAGGCCTCACTGGAATGAATATTAAACAAGAGAAAGAAAAGCACTAAAAGAATCGTGGCGAGGGGAAGCTGGAGGAGATTAGGGTTACAAGCATCGTTCGGCTCCTCTCGCCTTTCTCCTTATTTTCACCATGGGGAGGCGGACTTTCCTGGAATAGCAGCTCCGAGAACAGAGGAATTGCAGTGACGATCGTCGTCGGTCGGTGTATTTAATGCCGCAACTGATCCTCGCCGGCGACGTTGAGGGACTCGATGCCTTTGAGGGCGGATTCGAAGGTCCTCGAATGGGAGGGAAGCCTACCAGAAGAAGATGAATTCTTGGGCTCAGCAGAGGCGACAGGGGGGCTCATCTGGGCGCCGGAAAACCTGCGGAACCCTCCGGGGCTCGCCTCGGCGGGGCGGAGGCGGGAGAGGTCGACTTCGCCGCCGGCGGGGGCTTCTCGGCTGCTAGACACAGCAGCAGCACGCTTCGAGGATCCACCGGATCGCCCCAAAACTGTTGAACTGGACGGCTACAACGAGTTCATCCACATCCCGGTCAGGAATTGGAAAGATCTATCGAAGAAACGGAAGTCAGAAGATTGAGAATAATAAGCCATCCTTCTCAAGCGACACCAAGAACATCAGACGCAGTGATCCCGAATCATTCATTCACAGATTTAGGGTTTTCAAACGAGGCGAGCATGAACACATCGCTTCTGCAGCTACCCTTTTGAGTAAAGGAACGATTTTTCTACCCAACCAGGAACCACTGAAGGGATGTGATACTACCCATCAAAGAGATGGGTTGATGTTCTGGATAAGCTGCTGTCCCCATCACCGTTCTATAATAGTTCTTTCAAAGAGTTACGATTTCCGATGGTTCTAGAAAAATTCGCCGAGGATTCCCATGAAACAGATTATGAGTTCTTGTCGGAGACGGAAGAGGATAAAAGAAGTCAACGACTCACCATAGCCTCCTTCGTAGCGGTCGTATCGTTTGCAATCACCGGCTTCTGCCTTACTGCGTTTGCAGAAGTAGGCATGGAGGACCGACGACGAGAGGAGTCCACCGCAGACCAACCAGATATCCTTCCTTCTTCACCGCCTGAAATGCATCCGGGCCGTTTAAAAACTCTGCTGAACAGTAAAGAGGATCTGGCATTTTGGCTATGCCCAACGGTTTAATTTAGTAGAAAGCAAACACGATCCCCCTCAGTTTTTTTTTTTACTTTTTTTTTCCACAATTCCTCCAACATTTCATTCTCCTGACTGAATCAATATATATTATTAAAAAAAAAAATCCCAAAGGATTAATCATATCACATTGAGAGATGGAGAGGGAGAGGGAGAGCAGTGCCAATCAAGCTGCATTGATTGGAAGGCATCAGAGTTTTTTCTTTTTTTTAATAAGCTAAGTTAACCATCGCAGAATCTTATAGGCATATGACGACCAGATCATGTTTGCATATTTGATGATTTAGGTCAACTTCGAATTGTCAAGATTCGATTTTAAGCACTAAAAAAAGAAAAAAAAAAAAAAAAAGGGGCAATTTTCAGTTCATGGTGGATTCAGAGGACGATGCAAAACAAAGACAGTGCAGAAAAGACTACCTGACTGTCTCTCTGCATTCGCAACGGGGGGAGTCAACCCAGAGCTTGGTCCAGCACCGTCAATACCCTTGAGAAGTAAGGGAGAAAGATGATCAAACAAGCGTGCAAGTTCTCCGACAACTGACCTGGTGGGTTTAGCCATGAAGATACACTTACGAGAGATCTTGAAGGCTTGTTGGTCATCTGAGATCGCTGGTACTTCAAGATTGTCCAGTCAAACACATAGTCAAACTGGAATCCTGAGGAAAAAAAGCATTTGAACTTACTGATTATCTGAGCCCCGAGATCCCAAATTCGTTTGATGAAGACATGGCACCAATGTCGTCGGATATGGATGAGTATAAGCCATCTCAGACAAGTCTGTTCTATGGCATACCTTCTCTGATGAACAGATCACGAAATATCCTCTTCAAGTAAGCATAATCTGGCTTGTCATCAAAACGCAGAGAGCGGCAGTAATGAAAATACGATGCGAATTCTGCAGGATATCCGCGACACAGGACCTGTAGACATGTGATGACAGAGATTTAGGCAGTGATGAATCAAGTAGGACAGAAAAATTGTTAGAGCCTCACATCAAACGGTGTGGACACTTTGCGTTCACTGATCTTTTCATATTTCTGTTTTTTATTTCCCGCTTTTAATCCCTGCCAGGGAAGACTAGACACAGAATTAAAAGTTAGAAACGGTCACATAAATAAATAAATAAATAAAAATGAAATTTTATAATAATCGGAGTAAGAGCTCTTGCAAACCTTCCTCTCAGGAAATACATGAGGACATAGCCAAGAGATTCTAAATCATCCCTCCTGCTTTGTTCTTGGAATCCCAAGAAAAGCTGGTTAGTGATGTATGGATCCATGGAGCAGCATACCATCCACGGACAATAATATCTCCAGGGCAATGATCTAGGCGATACTTACCAATGCCAAGATGAGTATTCACGCTGGCATATCTTGCTGTCCCGGTCAAGCTTTTATTTTCTCTGTATATTCGAGGGAATGTTGGCACAAGGTCAGCCAGCAAGTAATCCTACTTGAGAGAAAAATGAAAGACGGAAATAGCGCACTGCTATCACTCAAAAATCATGCAAATAACATGGCATTGGCCAGTAACCAGAAAGAATGACAACAGAAAGGGGGCATCTACAGGTGCCCTCCCTGCTTGAAGCCCAAGGTTCCCTGGAGGGAATATAAATCAGACAATCACGTGATCTGTAGAACAGTACCCAAGATAACACCAAATGATGAGATATGGACTCTGATTGGGATGAATGAAACACAAACGCAACCCTTTTTATTTTTATTTTTATTTTTATTTTTATTTTTATTTTTATTTTTATTTTTATTTTTATTTTTATTTTTATTTTTATTTTTATTGTTTATTTTTTTCTGAGCCGCGGCTCCTCCTCTCTCAACCTCCTCATGATGTGGGCTATTGGCTTCGATAAGTATCCACCTTGAAACAAAGCTGTCCATAACAGGCATCTGTGCATCTATGCAGCAGCCTCTGCCCCCCTTAGGTGATATTATACTAAAATAGCAACCCCACTAGATCGTACTAGAGAAATAAAGCTCACATGAAGATGAGATAACTGCAGATTCTGTCACTTCACCAAACCAGTGATAGGAAACATTTTTATGTATTAAGCCTAAATATAGATGAAGGAATGAACTGCAGGGGCAAAGCCAAGCCTAAGATAACCCGTTTCCTAATGCATGCTTGTAGTTCCTTGTAGTTTTGAGTCGAGAGTTACATTTTCAGCACAGTTTTGTGAAAAAAAATGCCAATTAACGTATGGCAGAGATGATAATGTCATTTAAAAACAATGCCATTAATCATATCCACAATGGCAACAGATTCATTCCCAATTCACCTGTAAGGTATGATTGACAAGAAAAGCTCTTCCACTAAACATTGGCGTTACTTTGAAAAACCAACAAGATAAAACCATTTCTGCGTGAGAGAGAAAAAAAATCGATGACAAGCGTTTCTGATAAACCCCACAAGCTCCCTGGGGCTTCTGTCTATAGACAATAGAGACAAGTACATGACTGAGAAGAATGATCCACCACACGTCCTGACATTGTTGAATCTGAATTTTATGGAACTTGTACAAAATCCTCAAGGAAAATGGATGAGGAGTGACGAGAAAATAACAGATCATGAAACACCGATATCTCCAGTATGCAGAAAATGAAATGTGCACAAGCAAATGAAATAAAGAACCCCATGCATCACTCTTTCGTCCACTCTCTAAGTCACGTCACGATCATTAATGAAGTAAAAGCAAGAAATACTACCAGGAAGAAAGGAACAAAGACAACAATCAATTCAACATTTTTCAGTGAAATAATTGCTGCGCAGCGCACTTCAGTTTCAAATGTTTGCTACAGCTTTTGAAACCCCAAGAGGCCAATAATACTTCATAAACGCACCATGTAAAGGTAAGCACTGATGCACCGAAATTGAGCGATGCCCATATATTCGTGAACAACCTGTATATTGTCTCTCAACATTTCAAGATCACGTGAGGCGCAAATCTAAAGATAGGACCACTTTAGGAAACTCTCTGGGTACAATAACTCAGAAGTTGTATATAAGTATTGGCGCAGATAAAGATCTGAGCAATGAGAGCACCAATTCCCATGTTTTCTAAGGGATAAACTATCCTGGAGATAAAAAAAAAATATATCGAGAAGGATATCTAAAGGTTTTATAATATATTTGAACGAATGCTGATTGATATTATTTTATGAAAATCCAAGATCATAATTCACACCTACACGATATACTACGTTCAGATGGTAACTAAATCTAGGAATGAAAGAGAAAATATAAATCACAATTTAAGGAATAATAATCGGCAGCGGGTCATTCAACATAAAGCCATGCATTACCTTTTGGTACCAAAAAAATTAACGAAAAATAAAGGCACAAATTAGACGCTAAATTTTACTGCTTACTTATATGGGATGTGCTGATGGGTTGAAGTCTCCCTGTACTTCTTGGCTAGGCCAAAGTCAATAATGTATACCTATTTAGAGAATAAAACATCTCACGAATGTGAATCAGAGATTATATGAAAGAAAACATCAACCCGAACAGCAACAGAGTTATCAAAAATATGACCTGATTTGCACGCCTCCCCAAGCCCATTAGAAAATTATCTGGCTTGATGTCTCGGTGTAGAAAGGATTTAGAATGAACATATTCTATTCTGTTGATCTGGTTGAAATAGGAAGAGGCCATAACATGTGATCGAGTGAATGAAAAATGAGTATACCAACGTATGAAAGAATCTTTAAAACGACGATGTACAAGGAGTGCATCAAGGAATTTCTGCCTACCATTTGATCCGCAAGCATTAGCACAGTCTTGAGAGTTAGCTTTCTACTGCAGAAGTTAAAGAGGTCCTCAAGACTTGGCCCCAGCAAATCCATCACGAGAACATTGTAATCACCTTCAACCCCGTACCATCTAACATTTGGAATTCCGGCTGCGAACAATCGAGGAATGTTTCCCATGATCAGAAATTAACCAAGAAAAAGAAACATCTAGCATAATCGTTCCACTAGTTTATTACTTCCTCCTTGCAGGATTCTGTACAGTTTCCACTCATACAACAGTTGAGGATGCTTGGTCTTGGCGTTCTCCTGAAGAAAAAGAAGGGGAAGAAAAGGACACAATCCAGTCGTTATGGCTGAGGAATCTGAGGACGAACAGCATGAGAAACAGAGGGTTTACACAAGAACACGAGTTGAATGCCAGATAAACGATACAACGGACCTCCCAGGGGAATGGAATGTCAGTAATAAATTCACTTGTTCTTTCAGCGCCCAGAGTTCAGGAAATGAAAAAGGCTCACAAGATCCATCTTAACCAGTACCATCTACCGGCAAAGTTATTGCAACAAGATCGCAATTCCGTAAAACAAATAAAATGATCCTTCGGATTAAATGAGATTAGATATGAAAATATTTTTCGGGCTTTGCTATTCTTAGTAGCCAACCTTAAAAAAAAAGAACAAGAAGAGAAAAAGGAAATCACTCCAGCCAAAGACCCAATTAATAATCAGCATTTTAAATTCAGGAAAAAGGATGATCATGGCCCGGAGGCAATATCCATCAATTTCACTACGAAAATAGCAAACTAAAGAGCAAAAAATGGGCCAAAAGAAGAGGAACTTACGAGCTTAATGGCGACATCTTCGTTCGTCTGTATATTTGTCCCTGCACAAACCAAGTGGGCACAAAACCAGGCTCTTCAAAGAAGGCATGAGTAGAGGGTAGACTGGTGAGATTGATTTGAGAAAGGGGCGGACCTAGGTAAATCTCTCCGAAGGATCCACCCCCGATCTTGCGACCGAGACTGAATTTGTTCCCCACGCGAGGCTCCATCGGCAGGCTGAGCGGAAGCGGCTGATTCTCACTTGGATTTGAGACACTATGGCTACGGTAGACCTAGAACAAACCGGAAAAACCTAGAAGACGTTCCCAATTGCCACAGAGCGAAGAACCTTCTCTGTAAACCTCGAGTACGACGAAAGCGATTTATCCCCGCCGTTCTGGGAACCGCGTAGAAACTACGATGCAGGGAAAGCTGCTCGGATCGGCGTGGCCCATGGCAACCCACATGCGCACGGCGTGAGCGTGCTCCGCGTGAAGCAATAGAGGCAACTGAGGGGGGTATTAGGGCACCGAGATGCAGCAAGGCTAGGGTTTCGAGAGAGGGAAGCTTGCCACCCTCCTCTCTCAGGCTTAGCAGCAGTCGGCCGGAAAAGGGGATGGGGAAGAAGAAAGAAGACCGGGACTCTGCCTCATCGCATCGTCACCTTCCGTAAGCCCTGAAGAAACCGAAAAGTCGAAAGATGGGTTCTCGATGGCGCCCAGTACACGACTACCCCTCTTCCTGTTTCTGCCTCTGCATATCCTCAGCATCCCCCTCCTCCGCCTCCCTCTCTTTTCTCTCTCCTTCACCTACTTTCCCACCGCTCTCTCTCTCTCTTCCTCCTCCCCCCCCCCCAACCTCGCTCTCTCTATCTCTCTCCAACTTTCTCACCGTTCTCTCGGCAGTACAAAACCGAGAGCTCACCAGGAGCAGCCGATGGGTTCTCTCTCTCTCTCTCTCTCTCTCGCTAATCACCCGTCTCTGGCGGCAACCGTTAGATGTGCATCCCTTCCTCACATCAACGCCATTGGCGCTTTTACCACCACCTCCATTCCTAAACTACCCTGCTATTTTCTAGCTGAATTAGCTCCGCCGTTGACCAGCTGGTCAATCACGAAAGGAACCCCCCCTCCCCCGCCTTCGTCCTCTCCGGCGACGGTGACCTCTCTGTCCTCGCCTCCTCCTCCGGCGACGGCGACCCAACCACCGCAATCCTCGTCCACAGCGAGCCCCTCTTTCGCGCCCTCCCCCTCCATTACACGTTCGGTGGCCGGGCGGCGCCACCGAAATCCTGCTCCGGCCCCGACAGCCCTAATCTCCGTCTTCCCCACTCGATCGGCGTAGGTAGGTTACGTCAACCTCTGTCAGACAATGACCGACCTGCCATCTGCTCCACGGAGATCTTCCACCTCCCACAGTTGCTCCACTTCCCTGGTTTAGCGACATGCAGCCATGGACAGGCAGAGCAAGCTCTCCCAGGGTACGAGCCCAAGTTCGAGAAACCCTAGGCGGAGCTCTCCTTCTTCCCCCATCAGCGTCCTCCGCAAAATTAATAATAATAAATGACAGTTGACCTTGAGAGAGGGGGAGACAGGAGGATCGGGCCGCAGATTTACTTCATTTTCGGACATTTTTGACTTCCGGCACGACAAGAAAATGTGATCGAGATTAGCAAAAAAAGCACGAATAGTCAACGTAAATCAGAAAGACCTCGCCCGTTTCTCACCGTACAGTCTGCTCGACGGTCTTGTGGGCCCCCAAAACCAGTGCAAACGCACGCTTCAAAAGACGTTTGACTAGTCGTCAGCTCACTCAAGGGCCTCACAGATGCGTTGACCTCTCACCTGTGCGACGGCCCTAACGGTCCCACGTGGCCAGTCCCGGATGGGATGTTAGGATATAATACAGATTTTTCCAATTACGCATTAATTACCACTTAAATATGCTTTTAGCTATATTTATATAGAATAATTGAGTTCAAAAAAGTATTTCTACCAGGCTATAAGTGTAATTTAATAAAGTAAGCGTGTTTGAATTAATTTTCCCCCTCTCCCACTCCACAAGAAGAGTCAGGGAGAGAGAGAGAGAGAAGAGAGAGAAAGGGATCGCCTTTCTCCTTCCCACGCGCGAAGGATGATGGCCCTCTGGTTCAAAAGCTGGGGAGGGGACGTTGCTTTCATCTGTAGAGCTCAGTGGAGTGGGCCTTCTCTCTCTTTCCGAGGTTTGCCTCCGCGGTGGTCCCCGGAGAGCCGGAGCAGGGCGGAGAGAGGATGCGGCGAGGTCTTCTGCAATCGGATGAACCGGCCCGATTGCGACTCCTGTCCTTCATCTCTCTGCCTTGTGGTTGCGATCGCTGCAGATTTCACGAGACGAGCGGCGATCTACGAGTTTATGCGAGCGGATGGATGACGGGGAAGGGGTTCGTCTTCTTCTGTGTCTTCATTCCGTGTTGCAGGTTTCATCCTGCGACAGGCCGAGAGAAGAATTAATTTGGAATCTCGAGGTATGATTCTGCAGTAATTTATTCCGTCTGAAGCGGGGATTGCTCCGGGAAAAGCTGTGGAATCGCCGATTAGGGTTCCAGTAACCGATCGAATCCGCCCCGTGAAGAATTCTTCCCGAGTTTCAGTTCGATCCTGATTGCTATTCTCCCATCAACCTGAGGATCAGGCACAAGTTGTTCTTCTTCTTCCACCACCTCTACAGTGCAAGATCCCACGGGGGAGAGAGATAGAGAGAAGGGGGGGGGTTGCATAGATTTGATCGAGCCCAGGCTGCTGTTACCTTCCTGGTTTCTTCCACCTTTGTCATGGCAGAACCTGGAAAGAGAGAGAGATAGAGATCTCCGTCCCGGCGGATCTCCACGACAAAAGCACGCAGTCAGTGCACGGACCACCCACAGCTCAGCTCCGCCGTCCTCTTCTGCCTCGGGACAGAGCTACTCCTCTCCACATCTCAAAAACCCTGTTTCTCGCTCTCAACTTCTCAGAAGAGAGAGAAAGGAGAGGGACATAGAGAGAGAGAGAGAGAGAGAGCCGCGAGGTGGGGACCGCCGGAATTCCCCCCGGAGTAAATAAAGCCGCATCCTGAAGATTACCCTATGAAATTTCTGTTTATATATTGAGCAGGATCTCCCTCCGGCGAATCTGCCATCAATTCCCCCTGCAACTTTGGGTTCCGCTACCACGCCGTTCCTCGACTGTCACCACTAAGAAAACCAAGGGACGAACGGCCTCGACGAGGGACGCTCTCGAACCGCGGGAGGGGAAGGCGAGGCCAGGGAAACCCTAAGGAATTCATCTCAGCTCATGGAGAAGGCGAGGCAAGAACACGACAGAGGGGACGACGGATCAAACAGATGTACATGCAAAAACACAGAGATTTGAGGATTACAAGCTCTACTGAGGAAAAAAATGGCACCTGGCTCAACCCTTCATCAACCCACAAAGTCAAACCCACAGACCCAGCAAGAAGAAGCCCAAACTCCCAAGGATTCCACATAATGGGGGCAGGCAACGAGGCGTTGATCCCCGGAGGAGAAGCGGAGCTAATACACAGGGGCCGGCCTCTCCCCGCCGCCATAGTAGGAGTTCTCCTTCTCCAAGTCCCTCAGCAAGCTCTTCTCCTGGCGCACGAACTTGGAAGGAGGGATCTTGGGACCTGAACCCTGGCAGCTCCTTGAGTCCACCGCCGCCGTCTTCCTGAGGGCGGCGCCGCCGCCGCCCTTCTGCTTTGCCCTGATGGACTGCGTCAAGCCCATGTAGCTCGGCCTGCCGGCGCTGCTCTCCTCGGCCCTCTCCGATGCCGACGCCGCAACGGTCGTCCCAGAAATGGGCGTCGAAGCGCCCACGGAGGAAGAAGACGCTGAACTCTCGTCGTACCTGAATTCAGAGCTGGGCGATGAAGTCGAGCGGAACCCACATCGGGTAGAAGAATGAGCCGGAGTCGGGGGCTTGGCTGATATCTTCGTGGTCACGTTGTTCCTCTTGATGCACACCGATCCGGGCTCGAAGGGCTTCGATCGAGTTCCACGATGATCATCTTCACACTTCTTCGATGATCTCGAGGGCGCCCCCTGAGGTTCTTCACATCTTCGGGGAACATGGGGCTCCGAGGCCACCGCGGGGGCCTGCTGCTCCATCAATCTGCTCTCCCATGGCTTGGCGGCCATCCACCGCTCCAGCCAGCTCCAGCCCCAGTTCGACCGGTCGAGCTCCTGGTTCTTGGGCGGGATCACCGCCGAACTGGGTTTGGCGTTTGGTCTCAGATGCTGAAAAGCAGGACCACAGATTTTTAAATGCAGAAAACAGAGATCGTTCAGATGAAAAGATTCCTCCTTTTTCCGTTGAAGTCGGACCTGCTGAGATGCAGAGTAAGCGATCGCTCTCTCCCTCCTGAGGGCTCCTTCCTGCCTCATCTGAATCTTCGCCCGGATTTCGTCCACCGTCCCTTGGCTGTTGCACCACCCTTCCTGCGAGCGGGCCCAGGAAGAAGTTAGAGAGTTTCTGAATGCAGGGTGCAAAAATCATGAAAAAAGTAATTTCTGGACGAGGCAGATGAAATCTGAAGAACAAGTGAATGCAGCATCGGTGTGACAATTTAGAGAGGAATTTAGAGAGGGGATTTGGATCACCTCGGCCTCCTTGAGCATGTCCATCTTGCTGCGGTGCATCTCCAGCAGCTTCTGCACCGCCTGGCCTTCGGAGGACATTCGAACCCGACGAGCTCTGACTCGAGCTTGGACTCGCACGAGCGCCTGCATGCATCTCAGAGTCACCGCCGCCTGCTTCCTCACCTGCCGCCCTCTGACGATCGCCTGAAGCCTCACCACCCCCCTCAGAGCTCTCAGTGCTCTTCTTGCCTGAAGAACCCACAAAGAAACGAGCATCAAAAAAATTATAAATAAATGTATGATCAAGGAAATCCAAAGATTAGGCGAGAAAATATTCCTAGGCGGCCAGGCATTCAGCAGAGAATCTTGTACGAGAGTTGAGCCGCTGAAACCATGGGAGTGAGAAGGGAGCCTGAGGTTTACCAGGAAGCCACGGAAGGTGGTCTGGATGCGGATGGCGGCCCACTCCTGCCTGACCATCATGAAATCCTTGGGCTGTGCCCTCACCACTGTAGCCATCGCCGCAGTGAAGGCGTCGGCCACGGAAGAGGTGTCTGACTCGTCGGAAGCGGACCTGCGATTCCCCTTGAATCCCTTCCACCCAAAGCCATGCTCTCCAGAAGAGCTCCGCCAGAGCTTCTTCCATTTCTTCCCACCGCCGCTGCCGCCGCCGCCGCCGCCGCCGCCACCGCTGCTGTTGTCGGACATTATCTCCTTCAAGAACAGTCGTCAAGGCAACCCACAGAACGTGGAGAAATCAGCAAACAAGCCTCTCAAAGAGCCAGGAAAAACAAGAAAACCATGGTGGAGATAGAGAGATTCGGCGAGGACCCATCGACGAGACGGGCACGATTATACTTACATTGTCTTCCCTTTCTGGTTTCTTCACGCCCATCAGGGACTTGATCCATTTACCCGAGCCACCCATTCTGAAGATATGCCGTTCGGAGCGAGATGGGGTTTACCCTACAGGAGGAAGAGGTGTAGAAGACGCGGCGGAGAGCGAGATTTAGCAGACACCTGAACACACTGCGTCTTGTCCCCGGCAATGAGATTATTTAGCTAAGAAACTGAACTGAAGGAGAGGAGAGAGAGAGAGGCTCCGAAAGGTAGGTTTTTCTCCTTCCGGAGTACGGGCAGGGAGAGGGAGAATGCGGAGGGGGGACGAAGGGCTACAACTCGGATTAGGGTTTCAAACTTGGCGCGCAGGCAGAGAGAAAGTCAGAAAGAGAGAGAGAGAGAGAGAGAGAGAGAGAGAGAGAGAGAGAGAGAGAGAGAGAGAGGCTATGTCCTTGTAGCAGTTCGACCTGCAGAATCAAAAATAAAGGGCCTGTAAGAAGAGGCGGCTTCGGTTAAGAGGAGATACAGACGATGCACCTAGGCGCACAGAACCACACCTATCATTGTGCGCCACGTCATCCAATAGACAGATTGGCCCAGTGCGCCCGGCGCACGCAGACGTTATTGTAGCAGTTGGGCGACGTCTCTCCACGTGGAATCGTGGGCCCGGTGGGACGTGGCTGGCCGTTTGATTTTGAATTTCAAATGAACCGGGGAGGGAAATGAATGAGCAGGCGTCTTCCTTTTGTCGGAAACGTATTCAACCTTTCACCCCTGATATTGTCCATATTTACCTCATATACCTCTCTCCCTCTCTCTCTCTCTCTCTCTCTCTCTCTCATTCACGTCTGCGGTGGGCCGCGCCGTCGGCGGCTCGGGCAAGAAAAGCCGGCGCTCCGGCAGCGCAGTCAACCCCATGAATTTGACCGCCGTTTCCGCCCTATGACGGTTGACCGGGATTCAACCGGACATTGATCTGAACTTCGTTCGAAGCCCTACTATTTACTCGACTTTTATTATTGAACAGGCGACGCCCTAGGGTCAAGGAGTGGCAGCTTAATGGGTCAAACCCCATTAATGGCACACAAGTCAATGCTTCTATGAGGTGGAAGTCAGCGTCGATACTAACGTGCCTTCGATGTAATCGCCACGTAATAAATTAAAGGCGTCGTATATGACCACAAATATCCAGTGTGGTCCAATCTGCGCAGGCCCGTAGCCAGGTCCCAACATCAAGCCCAGCTGGCTCGCCTTGGCCCGACGTTGACCTGGGGATATGGTCCAGCGAAGAAGCTCTGTTATTGCGGCATGTGTGATCATTAAAGCTCACTCTCTCGTGCCCAAGTGGGGGTCCGAAATTGGTAACTATAGGTGTTTGACTTTCTGGTGAATCCGAGCGTTACGTCGGTCAGAATCTCCGGATCAAACGGTCAGATCACGTCGACTTTGTCGGTGTCTCATCAGTAAGACGGGGGTATTGGCACAATTGAGTAAAGAATAAGTGCTGTATGTTATCTCATCGAAAAATTGGGGCTATTACATTCAAAAAATTCTACACGACCGAGAGGACCATCAGATCGACGGCGTCTGAAGCGGCTCCGACGGCGGAGCAGGAATCTCGGGGGGAGACACCGGCGGCGGCGGCGGCGGCGGCGGTGTTCCCCGCCGCCGACGCTGGTGGCTTGTAATACATCCTCGCCGTCTGGGGGCAGTGGGAGTGGAATCGGGCGGCGATCCTTACGCCTATGTCCAAAATCACCACGTACCTCCCCATACCCAGGAGGCAGCGTTGACCCGCTATGAACTATAGCGAGAGAGAGAGAGAGAGAGAGAGAGAGAGAGAGAGGGAGGAGGGGTGAGCGGGGATGAAGAGAGAGAGATGGGGATCGGCCGATACTTATACGGAGCTCGCCCTCGTCTGCTTTCCGCGTTGTTGGGCCTTTTCTTCGCGAGGTCGTCTTCCACGTCGTTTCTTGGCGTGGACGAATTCAACGACTAAGGATGGAGAATTACCCGATATGCCCTTGTAATCACATGGTCACCTACTGGGTCTTGAATGGACCGGACCGCGCCGTCTATAGACGAAAGCGATCATCTAGAAGGGCCGGACCGTAAAAGGGCATATCTTGGTCAAAAACACGTGGACGCGGGCTTCCCGCCCCGGTCAACACGAGTCAGAGGAATGAGTATTCCCTTTCTTTTTCTTTTTTTTTACACGCGTTAAATAGGACCGAAAATCAAGATTTAGCTAAATTTTAAATGGGCCCTTACAAAGTTAAATCGGGCCGGGTTGGTGGCGTCGAGGGTTCCGAAGCTACGACGGACCCAGGAGGTCCTTCGGTCGGCGCGTGCGTAGGACGGTCAAACGGGCCAAGATTCCCCGTTCAGACACGTCAAACGGATCCGGTTGACTGCTAGTCTCCTGATTCAGACGTGTCGCGCGCGCGCGTGTGTGTGTGTGTGCGTGAGAGAGAGAGAGAGAGGCAACCAGTAGACAGAGAAAGTGAATTCGATTTATTTTTCTGGTGCGAGGAAGGCCAAAAAAATTGAGACACAGCTCTTGTTCTTTGCCTGTTTCAGACAGGAGAGCAAGAGAGTTCTTCCTCCGCCAGAGGAGACGAGTGCCGGATGAATTTACAGAAGTTTTACAGACTGAATTCAGCACCGCCTGCCTCCCATAAGAAGGCGATAATGATCCGAAATAATGCCGGACCAAAATGAATGGTGGTTTCAGTCTCCCTCTCGGATTGCCGGACATTTAGAGGGCTTCAGTTCCTCCCGAGCTCTGACCAGAGGGCGCCGCCGCCGCCGGGTCATTCATCTCTGTTTTGGCGTGGGCAGCGTGAGGTTGACTCTGGGGCTGGGGAAACCCATGTAGGCGAGTCTCGGGGACAGTCTCACGCGGGGACTGGGGCGGGGCGAAGGGACCGGGCCCTTGCTCCATCCCGGCGAGGGCACGAGCCTCGGGGAGAGGTTGACCTGCTCGAGAGCCTTGATCTGGAGGTCAACGGGGTATTCCCTCACGCAGCTGATGCGAATCCCTGTGCCGGTGCTCCACTTGCAGGACAGCCGCTGTCCGAGCTCGAATTGCGGCGCAAAATCTGCCGCGACGGCGGCGGGCTCCGCCAGAGCGTCGTCCACCGCCGGTAGCTTGATCTCCTCGACGCTCTCCGCCTTTCCCAACGATGGGTGATCGTCGTCGTCCACGGAACATCTCTGAAAGTCAAGGCCATTCGATCGAAATCAGGATTTATCCAACGAGAAGAAATGGTTCTTCCGGCGAAGCCTGGTTATTTTACGGAGGGTTTACCTTCACATTGGTGAGATCCACGTTGTTGTCGGCCAGGAAGCTGAGGAATTCCTTGAAGTTCTCCTCTGTCGGGAGGTAATGCCCACTGTACGGCCATATTGCCTGGAGAAGAAGTAGAAGGAGTTGGCCTTTAGTTCCTCCCCTCCAATTCACGAGCAGGCCAGGGAATGGAGAGGAGAGATGAGCGAGCGGATTCACACCTTTAGGACGCCCTTCGTCGCCACCAACCTCCCGGCGGAGGTCGTCGCCCCCCCGGCGAGGAAGCTCGAGTGCTGAAATTTACCCTTCATCTTCTGCAACCACGAAACAATTGCACACGATCGTAAGAGGGGTTGATCAGGATGGAGTTCTTGGCTAGAGAGAGAAAGAAAGAGAGGACGGGATCTGGTCTAAGAGCTGGGTCAAAAACAGGCGTTGGGCGGCGCTCACCTGTCCGACATACAGTTTCCTCGACGTGCTGAGAACGAAGATCCACTTGGACCCTTCGATGGTGTCCACAGGCGTCTCGGTCTGCTTGTAGAGGAGCTTCCCGTTCTCGACGACGACCTCGTAGGCTTCTCTCTCCTTCTGCAGGAACAGCGCTGCTCAGATTCCGCAAAGCTCGGACGATGCATTGAGATTTTTTCCGCGGTCATCTTTAATGGCGAGAAGAACAAACCTGGCCCAGGTACTTGATGCACTGTTGGTGGAGCTTGCTCCTCGGGCACTTCTCCAGGTTCACGTCCTTGCCGTCTCCCACGTCAAGCCTGGATTTCATACCAAGGGGAAAATTACAGCCATGAGCTTCAAGAACTCTGGAGAACACGATCAGGGTCTGAACCAGAAGAAGGGTAAGAACAGGTGATCTACCAGAAGAAGAAAGGCTGGCTACTCTCGCTGTCGAACCAGATGTCGTAATAGATGTGGAGATTGTGCCCATACCGATGCCGCGGGTCAATCTGCAGAGATCCCAAGGAAATGATCCATATCAGATCAGAGACTCTGCATGAAACGAATCTATGGCGGATGGATCGGCGATGAGGAAGGCAGTAGATGTGAGGAGATTACTCACAGCTTCGAGCCAGTGCTGGAGGGCGAGCTTCTGGGCTTTCTCGTCCTTGGACAGACCCTTCCCGACCTGCAGATCCACGAGATGAACCAGCGTGAGCGTCTTGGATCAGAAATCGCGAAGAACGAGATCGGTAGCAGGAGCAGTGATCGATCTTCCCGCTCTTCTCATCTTTCGGTTACCTTCGCGGCCTTTGTGCGCGCGCGCGCCCACCGAGAAATCGCCGTCTGTGGCTTATCGTCGTTGAAGAAGGAGATCGAGCTCCGCTTCAGGGATGCGAAGTCCAGCGCCTTCCACCTTTAAATCGATACGGAGAGGGACATCAGTGCGGGGAAGAAGGACTACTGATCGGTTATGGTCCTGAAGATAAGGGACGGGATCGTACCAGAGCTCCTCGACGACCACCGCGCAATCTGCGAGGTTTCTCCGGGTCCTGTAGCTCTTGTAGACCTTCTGGAGCTTAACGGCGGCGGCGTCGAGCTCACAGAGAGGCCGTGGGGAGGAAAACCCGAGGGGGCTCCTCGCCGCCTTCAAGTCGTGGTCTCCCTCTCCATTGGAGAATCTGAGGTCTACGGAGGCCGATCTCTCGCTGCCGCCGGGCTGTTGCTGCTGCGGCTTCTCCGGGGCGGGGGCGGCGGCGCTGTTCTCTACGCCGGCCTTCTCTTCTTCCCAGCATTTGAAGCTCAGCGACGGCTCCAAGACCTTCTTGGTCGATCCCCTAGGGGTGAACATGGTTTCGATGTTCATCCTTTGGATGGTGAGGGATTTCAGAGTCATCTTCACGCTGTTCTCATTGAAGCTCAGGGATTTGACGATGCCGCCGTCTGCATCTACCAGCCCGGCGATCTTGTTCCTCAGGATCTCCGTCCACGCCGATGTGAGCAGGGAGAGGGACAAACCCATAGAACGGCGGCCCTCCTCTTCTTCTGAGTCTTCTGCCAGTCACGTATTGAACAGGAGATGGGTGGAAGGAGAAGAAGAAAAGATGGAAAACTTTTGATCCTCCTGCTCTCCCTCACCTCGTCCGGAGCGGCGTTAGAGAGAGAAAGCTCTGTGGAAGGTCGGATGAATGCCCAGCTAGGTGTTGGCGCCTCCTGATTTATACCGCAAAGAATCCAATGTGCGTGCAACCCGGGCGGGTAGACCCACGTTAATTAGGAATCGAATGGCGAGCTTTGACGGGGAGACTGCAGCGGTCAACGCCCCCCCCCCCCTCCCCTTCTCCCCCTTTACCCACGGTGGGGAAGTCGCGCTTTTGATCCATTCAACACCCCCCCACCCTCTCCCTCTCTCTCTCTCTCTCTCTCTCTCCGGGTCTTCTTCCGCAGTCAAAATATGGTAGCTCTGGATCGTTTCGCGGTTCTACGGACTTTTCGTCTTCTACAGCTTGGGTGACGTCATGGTCTCTCTCTCTCTAACTCTCTGTATCTCTATCTCTCTACAGCTCTCTCTTCCTCTCACTCTCTCTGTATCTCTCTCTCTATCTCTCTGTGAAAAGGCTGCACGGTGGTTACGTCTGTGGTTCTGCACAGAAGAGTCTACGTTGTGACACGTGTGGATAAGGTTAGTGAAGAGGAAGTCTTCGATACGTCATCTATTGACCGTCATATCTGCGTAAGGACGACGTTCATGTGACGTATCGATCACGCTACGTGGCGGCAGATGACGCAGAGCAGAGAGAGTCTGAGCGGCTGTTGCTGATGCGTTGCCACGTGTCAAATCTCCGTCAACCCTCCTAAGCTGGTCGCGTCGGGGTTACGGCGGCGCCGCCTCTAAGAGTGCGGCGTTTGCCTACTAACAGAGAAGGCCGCTGGAAGCTTCTTTCTTGGACCGCCGCCCCCCAAAAACCCGCCACGCTTGTTGGCAGCAGCTCGACCAATTAAAGAAGAGGGATAGGACACGTAGACTCCACCAGTGGGTGGGAGCAGTTCTGGCAATGCTCCCCCGACTCGCTCTCGGCGCAACGTTGACCCGTTGTCCCCTGCCCGTCTCGGGCGCGTTCTTAGCCGTGGGGACAGGGACGGGGAACGCCGGCGGAAAATATGTACTCCGCCCTTGGGGGGGTGCAGGGGAGCATGGCGGCCACCGCGTTGACTTGACTCACGTCACAGCTGAAAAAATCCAGCCCGTGCGCTCAGGAAGGGGTACGACGGTCAAAGATAAAGCGCAGTTCCGGCGCGCGTGGCAGACGTAAAAATCCTGCATCATTGTGACTCAACATGGGTCCGTATAGAGAATCAACGTTGAATTCGGCACGTGCATGATCCCCGTGTCAAGACTCCAAATGGGTCAAGTCAATAACTACGGCCCAGTACGGTTCCTGTTTTAATAGGCCGAGGAACAGGATCGAGGTGGGGCCCATACGGGCTCTCAAAAAGGGCAGTATACGGGCCTGGAGATATGCGGCCTGAAATGTTTTTCAAACTCGCTCGATATGGGCCGAAGTCGGATCAATCGTAGCCGTCCATTTCGTAGGGCCATCACTTGACGCGGTATGAGGAGGATCTACTGATCTGACGGGTGAATCGTGGGATGTGAGAACAACAGCTGGTGGCTCCATATCTGATTTTCTTCGTCTTTCCAAATCCAGCGTTCTTTCTCCCATCCGCGTGAGGCAGTCGGAAAGGCGGTGGAACAGAGGACAGGGAGGGAGGGAGGGAGGGAAGGCGGGGACGAAGTCCTGAGGGAGGGGGGGACTCCGTGCCTGCACTACTCTCGCTTCCCACCCTCCTCTGCCTGGGGCTTACGCCTGTTGTTTTTCTCGTCCTCTGCATCGGTAGGATGGTGTGAGATCCACAGAGCGGCGATTTCCCTCTCGCCCTCGCCCGATCTGCTTCTTTTCTGCGTCCTCAATTCTTCTTTCGATATTGATAACGGAGTGCCGTTGATATCCATCATACGAGTTGCGTCTCCGCGCTTGATGTATCATTTCCTATCCAAGTCCACCTCGGGTTCGAACGGAGCCCGACCAGTGTTTCTTCGAGTCAATTCAGCCCTCGCTCTCCGTCAATTGCTTCAGAAGGCGGACTTCTCCTTCTGCCTCCCGAGAGAAAGATGGGATAAGGAATTCGCCAAACTGCAGAACGGGTAAACAGTTTCTGGCCTGTGCGGTTCCCGACATTGGGTTTGCTTTGGTATCTTCCCTTCTGTGGTTCACAAATTTCCGTAACGGGAGAGATGGGGTCATCCCAAGGATCCACGCTGACGAAGTCACCCAGTGCTACGGCGGCGGCGGCGAATATGGATGTGCATTTGGTGGATCTGCTTCCGATCTTTGTCAGAGAGCTCATTGCTGGGGGAGCGGCAGGTGCGTGTTCAAAGACGGCTGTTGCTCCCTTGGAACGGGTTAAAATACTCCTACAGGTTGGTGGGCAATTCATCGACATATTTAGTAATGTCGTTCTCCTTCCGGGATATTATGTACTGAGGATTGGGGTTTGATTCTCATGCGGTAAACATGATGAACCTATTTTCTGCTATGGTGATTTATCTCTACTCCAATCTTAACATCTAATCGTAAACTTGATTTGTCCTTTGGGAGCTTCTTTTGGAAAACTATTGCTCTCCATGTGATAATCGTATTTTCCTAGAATGCCAGTCCATTTTCCTTGGCTGTCACCATCAATTTCTTATGCTACGTTAAGTATTTTCGCGAAATCTGTAAGAAAATTCTGGCTAGATCAGGAAATGCTGCTCCTAGTAATCATGAGCTTGAATTATATCCACTTTCCTCCTGCTCCTTTGATCTCTTGCTTTCAACCGGAGTGTATGCATATTATAGAATTATTTTATATATTTCTATGCATATTCTTATGAGGAATGCCAATTGGCATTTGACGTTGCATGAAACTTATTTGCATATGCAGTTTCCTTGTAAGGTAGTATATAGAAAAAATTTTCTTAACATAGATTACTCGGAGCATTGCCTTTTCTTGAATGGAAGATTGATTGCTCACCAAAAAATCCCCATTCTGCCAAAAAAATCCAACGCTCATTTATTTTGTTACTAGTATTAAAGGGAGGGGCTTTTCATAATTTCAACATTTGCTCAGGTTTAAGTGTAGTTGAATTAAACCAATGTGAGTTAGAGAGTATTAGCAAGTTTATAGTATTACCATGTAATAGATATGCACGTAACAACGAAATTGTAACAAAATTTGTTATGGTGTAATGTAAGCAAATACATTTCTTTTGAGGAGAATCCAGTACCTTTATCACACCTCATAAATTTCTCCTACTCTTTTTTATGGTGTGATCTATGGGGGTCTTGGAAAAGGTACAAAGAGATATTATACATGCTGTCTTAATGGCGGAATGGTGTAAGGGTCATAAAAATATTGGAAGATGCGAACGTTACTTGGACTGCCGAGTACTTAAAACTAAAGAAATATATCCAGCTAAATTTCATTGATTGTGAGATTTATTTAACAGCAACCCTGCTTTGAGCTTTGATACAGATTGGAGGAAGATTCTGTGTTGGAGAATATAATGTGTAAGTCTGTGTAAGATGGATACATCATTGTAAAGTAGAGGCTGTACAATGCGGCTTCTTGTGGATTAAATAATGTGTTCAAATTATAACTTATAGAGTCGATGCATGTGGTGAATTGATCTGCTCAACGACTTCATTAGTTTGTTCGTTGATCGATTGAAGACAGAGGCATTCTGATTAGAATTATAAACGATTGCCTTCATAACACATTTACTGAGTGGCATTCTATGCCAGCTTTTTCATTATTATTTGTGAACGGATTTGAGAATGCCATTACTCAGTACAAAGCATGACGTCATCATGTGCGAGTATTTCTGGTGTAATTTGAATTATCTTGTTGGTTATAATATGATGCAGCAGGCTGACAATTACAGGTGATGAATTTGGACAGGAAAGGATAAATGTGGCAGTGTTCTGTCATATTCTTATATTGCCTTCACATTTTAATAGGTTTTTGTTGTTGACTATTTCACATTATCATGCAATCAACGTTTTTGTTGTGTGATCATTTCAATCAATTCATTCTCTTCATCATCATCTGTGTGTGTTGTATGGTCTTTTTTTTTTTCCATTTCCGGTATTAGTTTTCATTGACATTATTTTATTTTATTACTAGACAAGGACTCAAGTGTTTCGCTCTCTTAGCATAGTCCAATCCCTAAGGAAAATAAGGGAACATGATGGCCTTGTGGGATTCTACAAGTAAGTCTTGAAGTATTGATCACCACTAGTACCTTTATGTTAAATCTTGGCATATTTCGCTTGATTTTTTGCTCTGAATGGCAGAGGAAATGGTGCAAGTGTGCTTCGTATTGTCCCGTATGCAGCATTACACTTTATGGCATATGAGCAGTACCGTTGCTGGATCTTGGCCAATTGTTCATCCCTGGGTACAGGACCTTTTGTTGATCTGTTAGCTGGTTCGGCAGCCGGAGGGACTGCTGTTTTGTGCACGTATCCACTTGATCTGGCCCGGACAAAACTTGCTTATCAGGTCAGATGCGCTATATCTTTTTTGAATGTCAATTTATTTGTGTCTTCTTTGCTGGCTTGTTGTGTGATTTTGTGTCTTTTTCGTTCTCACTGTGGTTTATGATTTGTTATTGTTTCATTGATTTGAGTGTCATATAAAACTTTGAACAATATTTCTGACTGTTTGACAGAGAGGCTATCTAAGTTCGTTTACTGAAAGTTAAATTATCGTCATTGGCTGTGGCCGATCTTAATTTTGTCGCTCTAGGTACATTGTATATCTGACAAGGTAACGTAATGTTAATACTTTTAACATCTAAGTCTTCTCCCTCTTAAGAAAAAGAAATCAGTCCTAAGGTTCCTTCAGCGTACGTTTCACCTCTTTTTTTATTGATTTTCGTTTCTCTTTTCTAGTTTTTGCTTCTTTTTCATGGAATGATTTGTGCTTTACTGGAAGGGTTGTGATCAGCAGGGTTTAACCAGATGATGAGGCTGATTTTTCCATCTTGATTTATTCATTTATTTATTTTTGGTTGTGATGAGATTAGACCATTTTCGAGACAGTCTGATGGGATTGGCCGCCCTGAGTGCGAAGAAAAGATATACTGCTAGACTCAGTCTCCCGGAATAACTGGCAACAAAGTTATAAACTGGATAAATTGAAATGAAAAGGAGACGTTTCCAATTCCTCGAAATCCTGGTTCAATGTGCCCTCTTCGTTGGGTTGCTGCTCTAAAAAACCAAGTTAAACGGGCGGAAGAAACCATCTCCAAGAATAAAATTCTAATTTGAAACCAGTAAGTGCGGTGTAGTGATTCTGAATCACCCGCACCTCCCAAGGTGACCATCGAGAATTCTCATTAGCCTTAGTTAATTGAAACTCTTGTGCTGAGGTACGTTTTTCCTACTTGAAGGAATCCTTTGGGATCCGTAGCAGTGATTCTTGAAGGCTGTTGAGCGTGCCCTTTAGATTTTTTTTCAGTCTTTGCATTCTTCATCCATTACTAATGTTCTAGTGTCAAATTGCATCAATTAATCTATGATTCCTGTTAGTAATCTAATCACACATTTCATATAGTGCAATTAGGACCAGCTAAAATCCACTTTATCATGCAGTGATGGCTGATGCTTTTCATGGTGGCATATGAGATATAGATGAAGTTTTGCCAATGATCAAAGCTTACTTCACATCTTGCCATCAGTTGCAATGTGTTGCCACATTTGGACTAAAAGTTTGACCGATGGGTTGCATGGTCAATATACTCTTTCTTGTCAAATCTAGGTGAGAGAGGTGGGATCCAAGTCTCCCATTGTCACAAGCAGATTGAGCGGGGGACAATCGTACAACGGAATAAGAGATGTTTTTAAGTCTGTGTACATGGAAGGAGGCATACGTTCTCTCTATCGTGGGATTGGTACAGATCTCACCTCTTCTTCTCCCTTATCCTTACCGTTCCATGGTTGACTAAGTGCCCGATTGCTATCATCCGCTATGCGGCGGTTCATCTGCATCAACGCTGACTTCAACCCTGTCGCCTCATTTAGGTCCAACTCTCATCGGTATCCTCCCATATGCCGGTCTGAAATTCTACATATACGAGGAGCTCAAGGCTCAGGTTCCCGAGGAGCACCACGATTCTGTGATTCTGCGTCTATCTTGCGGGGCCTTGGCTGGCCTCTTTGGGCAGACGTTGACCTACCCGTTGGATGTGGTTCGGAGACAGATGCAGGTAATTCGCCATCTTCAGATGTTGACCTACCCATATTCTGATCCCGTGCATGCTCGTTGACTCCGCGGAAAAACTCCAGGTGCAGAGCCATCGGAAAGTGTCGGCCCCCGAGAATGATCCCAGGATCAGGAGCACAATGCAGGGGCTCGCCACCATCATCCGGAGTCAAGGGTTTAGGCAACTATTTGCTGGGCTAAGCCTGAACTATCTGAAGGTACGTGATTTCCGAAACCAGCAAGATAAATCGAAAAATTTGCCTGCCCACGTTGGCAAATACCAGCAAGATCGAGTTGACCTGTTTATACACGAATGATGAGCTCTGCTGACTGATCTCCCTGGTTATTCGTCAACGCAGGTGGTGCCCTCCGCCGCCATCGGGTTCACTGCCTACGACAAGATGAAGGCCCTCCTGCGGGTGCCCCCCAGGGAAAGGCCCCCCCGCTCCACGTCCCCGGTGAATTGACTAACTGCTGTTCTTTGTGCGATGGAGGGAGGGCTCTCTACAGATGGATGGTCGGAGAGAGGGCAGCGCCGCCGTCAGGGGTTGTAGAAGGAGGAGCCGCACTGGCACTTCCAACCCTCGGGCTCGTAGTTGGCGTACTGCAACTGCGCGCGCGCCGCTGCGGCCGGCACCTGGACGGGCGCGCAAGGCAGGCAGGCCCCGCACTTGCGCCGGCAGCTCGGTGGGCTCGACCCCAGCGCCTCCGTCCCCCCCAGCCCTCGTTCCGTTGCCTTCTTCATTCATGCATGGGAAAAATTATAAGAGAAAGAAAAACCGGTGGATTTAACGAGAGAGAGAGAGAGAGAGAGGACCTGGTGGGCTTCCAAGGAGATGGCGAGAGGTCGGCCTGTGGAATGCTGGGCAGCGAGGGTCAGTGGGAAGGAAAGTATCTCAAAGGAGGGTAAGAAGAGGGCTGGTGGTGATGACTTACCGAGGAGCAGCGGTGGCGCCGCCGCTGCAGGTTCCGCATTGAGGATTTGGGAGGCGGCGAGCAGGAGGACCGGCCAGGCGGCGAGTAGGCGTGCCTCGTGGCTCATTACGGCGACGCGATGGGGCGGAGGGAGGGGGTTGTTAGTGTGGGAGCGTCGCCGGGGGTTAGGGAGACGAACTTCTGTGCAGGAGTAAGGGGAAAAGCCCCCCTTTCTTATAGCATGGGCCGCCCTCAAGACTCTCTCTCTCTCTCTCTCCCCCTCTCCAGCTTCCCTCCGGATCACATCCTTCGTCGTACTTCGTTCTTAGGACACGACTGTCCTCCAGTTTGAGGCTTAGAAGGAGAGAGAGAGAGAGAGATAGAGAGAGATACAAGTTAATGCCGGGAGAAATGTTTAGGGTGCCTTGACTGCAGCGCCGGGGATGGAGTTCCCAACAAGGTGTGGAAGCCCAGAGACTGCCCGTCAGTCAAACTGGAGACGACGGTGATTTTGCATGACCAGTTTGACCTTCCCTCTTCTCCTAGCAGCGCCGCTGACGTCAATCCCCCGACCCAGTCCTCAAAGGCCGCACCTTTCCGACCGCCTCCCCCCCCCCCTGAGCAACAGCGGACAGAGAACGAGAGAGAGAGAGAGAGAGAGAGAGAGGGGCCGAGGAATGATGTAACCTCTGATGGAGACCAGACGATTTCCAGTGGCTCGATGGGAACGAGGCATGACTGGAGATTAATTCCGGGGATCTCCTCCTCGTACAGGAGAGGGGAGAGAGGGAGAGAGTGAGGGACTCCCCGTGCCGGGTATTTTCACCCTTACCCGCCGTGCCACGACGACGCAGCCGGAGAGCGCCACCGCGACGCCGCCGGCTGCCCCCCATGCTCTCGGACTCGCCCGAGCAACAGGCACCAGCAGAAAATACACACTACATACACCACCGCAATAGATGACTCATAACATATATAGTACGTGCATCAAGAGTGTCACTCTCTCACTCTGTCCCCCGTCGTCATCCAGGAGGAGCAGAACTTGCTCAAGCTCTCACCGAGAAAACCCCAGAAGCCGCCTTCCCCCCCGCCGGTCTGCTCGCGGTGCGCCACCTTCCCCTGCTTCCGCTCAAGAATTGTGTGGACAAGGGCCTCCATCTCCTCTCTAGCTCGTTCAAGCACCCGGGGCCCCCTGGCCCGGCCGACCCGAGCCTCCTCGCCCATCCCGTGGGTCATCTAGCAGTGAACTCTCTCCGGCTGCAGAGGGGAGAAGTTGGCTGGCGGAGGTCTGGTCTGATCTGATCTGATCTGATCTGATCTGATCTGATCCGATCTGAGGGGACTTTTTAAGGACGCGAAGCGTAAGCGAGACCTCCTCCAAGTCCTGTCAGGAGGAACCTGGGAAGCTTCCCGCTACGGAGAACTGAGAGCGCCCGCCGCCTCGCGACTTCCGACGTCGGCATCGAAGAAAGCCCAGCAAGGAGAGTCCGCCATTGGTATGGAGGACCACCCGCGGTGCAGCGGCGTAAGCCGTCCCGTTCTCTTCACGCAATGCGAAGACATGGCGGCGTTCAGAAGGAAAGCTCTCTCAACCGGAAGAAGGGATCAAAACCCTAGAAGACTGAAGAAGAAGAAGAACCCATTTTCTCCCTTCCTTCTTCCTCCGGAGAACAACCCGGAGAGTAGCATATCGAAAAGCTCGTGCAGCAGCGTCCCCCGCGCCCAGATGGCTACCCCCGACCTGACTCGATGACAGGACGGTCTGGATCTAACTATGAGAGCGCGGAGGAGCATAATGGTGCGAAAATTTTTATGCTCACCGGCGAAGGACAACAACTCTTTCGACCTCCTCCCTCATTGAAATGGGCGGAAAGTCGAGGGAGATTCTAGGGGTTTTATACCAGGTCCTTTGGCGGCAGGGGACATGGCGTCCAAAGCCCTGGTAGCTCGGACGGGGGCCACTCTGATCAGCCGCCTCTTCACCGGTGGTCTACATCTGACGAGGCTTAGCGGAGGAGATGTAGTTCCCCAGATCTCGCCCAGCCATTCAGCACCGCCCTTCCCCCCTAGGCTCCAGGCCGCCGCGCCGCCTGTTGGTGATGAGCCAGCCACCGTGAAACAGGTGGGTTCTGCTGAGGGGATCTGCTTCCCTTGTGGTCTTCCGTCGCTGCGATTCTTCTTGGAGGATGGTGAGATGCTTCTGCTCTGGATTACTCCCTCGTATAAGCCGTCTTTTATGGTGAAATATATGCCGTGAAGATTGGTTTGGGCTCTCCAAACTTTCTCCGCGTTCGTTATAATCGCCCGAGTGGCATTGGCATTAGCCTCCTCCTTTGGAACTCGAGCACACAATTTTTCTAGCATCGGTTTTTGCAATCCAGTGCAAAACCATGCCGGCCTTTTTCACCTTTTACAGTATAATGCGATCTCTGTATGTACACCAAGCTAAGTTTCCTGTTTTCTTTTGTTGACAATATATGCATTTCCATGAAAGTTTGTCTCATATCTCTGGATTCCATGAAAGTTACTCGGGCTAGTTTAGTGAACATGCATGGTTTCTCAAGGCTGCACCATCCAGAGGAAGTCACAGGAGAGGGTTTTTTCGCCCTTTTGGGAAGAGCTCACGGCGTTGTTAGAAGTCTCAGTAGAACTGCTTCAAGAGAAGTCCATGCCCAAACGTGACCCATAAATCTGACGAGCTTGAAGGCCATGGTTGGGCATGATGAATCTTTGATGCCCTTCTCACGAAACCATTCAGCATTTATATTCCTTTAATGAACAAATATTTTGATGACAGCATGTATACTGTGGAATCCTGAGGTCGTTTAATGGTGTTGAAATGAGGAGAACCCCTGCTTCATAATCCTTTTCAACAGGCAAACTCGTTGTCCATTGTCGAATATAGAGGGCCTTTTGACTGCGGCCACTAACTAGTTAGGGAGACGTCAATTCCCCTTCTTAACTGAGCTTGTAGTCCCATGATGAACATCAAGTTTGCCACACTTTTTCTAAGGCAACAGATTTGGCGGGGGAAAATTGCAAGTTGGTTTAATTCCGCTATCTCTCCAGTCGTTTGTGTTGGGTTGGCTAATCAAGTAAACCAAATTGGATGCAGTGGGAAGATTTGTCTCTAAGCGTATACTGTTTGGCTATCATTAAGCCCGCTTAAGCTTGCATCATTATCGATGTTTGGTTGAGAAAATGGCCGACCGGTCAGGTTTCGGTCCAGCGTCTTGCTGTGAATTATGATCCAAATTTGAGCCTCCCCAACCTCCATTGCAACCCACCTCACCTTTTTCTCATGGTTTGATATTCTCTCTTGTATTTTCCTAATCAGTGTCCTATGGATGTTATGGATCTCCTCTTTTTCCATTGTGCAGAGAGTCTACTGGGGCGGGTCCTAATACTTCTGTGACCGCTCTACATGTTTTTCGATGATCTAGATCTTCGATGCATAATACTTGGAGTAGGAAGAGACAATCTTGGGTCAGGAGCATAAGAGTATTCGATATGAATAATCACAAACCAGATGGTGTCTTGTTCTAGGCCTCTGCAGTTTTCATCTTTACATTATCTTGCTTCAAAAAGAGTATCATTTTTTTCTAACTCAACATATTTTTTACGCAAACTGGAAAATACTTGTGATTCATGATTGCTACGATTCCTGCTCTGTGAGTTTGGATCCTCATGTGAATCAGCAGTGGGTATGATCTTAATGGGGAAAGGGTGTCTACATCTCTGAGGATATGTAAGCCCTATTTTTTTTATAAAAAAAAGCCAAGATGAACTATTTTATAGAATTCAAGAGGCGAATCTCTGACAGAGATGGATGAAATTCGCGGCAGAATGAGATGGCTTGAAGATTGTCGATATGATTATTAGCTGTCTCGCTAAACATATTCAAATCGAAAGAAGCATAAGTTGCCAGACATACGATCTGTTCTTCACGTTTTTATTGTTGCTTCTCAGTTTTATCTCCTATCGTCTATTACAGGAGAGGAGACTTCCTCAGATGATCCATTGCTTCTACTTCCTAAACGGACTTACCAGCCGAGCCACGTGAAGCGCAAACGGACCCATGGGTTCTTCGCTCGGTCTCTCTCTCACTCTCTCTCTCTCTCTCTGTGCTAAATAATAGTGTACTAATTCGCCATCTTAAGGATAAAGGCCTGAGTTTTCATTTGCCTTTCTTTTGCCGGCAGTAAGGAGACCAAGGGTGGAAGGAAGGTCATCGCCCGGAGGGTGGCCAAGGGCCGTCAGAGAATCACAGTCTGAAGAACGCCGACCCCAATCTGGTTAGTCTCAATCCCCCCCAGTTCACCGCCATTGTTTAGATAGAAATCGTGTGGGAGAGCTCTGTCTCCTCACGGATCCTGCTCATGAATAACAGCCGATCTTTCAAGAAAAACCACCTGTTCTTGCGATAACTTTGAATTCAGATTCTCGATGGTATCCATATTTTAATTTCTTCGCACTTTTTTTATTTCTGTCGTCACCGAAGTGATGATCGTTCTTCAGATATCTGGAGATCTCAAACCGCGTGACTATGAAACAGAGAAGTCAACGCATGTTATCCTTCCAACGGATTTATCGGAAAGTATAATCTGCTAAATGGATTTTGCAAGGTGGGTTTTTTTTTATGAAGCAAAGTATCAGGATATCCCGGAATCGCCTGATCTCCTAAAAGGGGTTTCCTTTTTTTCGAATGATTCTTGCCTAGCCAAGTAGATGGATATACCCAAAAAAGGAAAGACCTTTATTAAAACGGATCAACGCTCGGCGGATAGCAAGACTGCCCACTAAACGGGCTTTAGTGGGCCCGCCGACGATTATCGAACTATAAATACACTCGGCTATTTACAGTGACTACCCTCCTCCCCTCCCTCTTCCTCTTTTCCTCCTCTTATTTCCTCGTGGGCTTCGCTCGGATCCCTCCGATGGCCGTCGAGGCAGACGACGACGGCGGGAAAGCGGATCGGTCGTTCTCCTGCTTGTCCTTGCTGAACGCCTTCCCCACGATGTCCTGCAGTTCTTGGAACCTCCTCTTCCTCAGGAACTGCTCCTCCTCGGTAGCCGTCCAAACCGTTCCGAATCCCACTTCCTCGTCGTCCATGATCTTGTCCAGCACCTTCGAGCACCGGGGGAAGAATCGCTTCCCGAGCTCCACTGTAACCACGATCCCGGGCAGAAGTCAACGAAATGTCAACGTGGGTCAGACTGATCTGAGCTATTTCCGGAAAGAATCATGTGGGTCGTGAAGGTGGGGGAAGAACTGACCAGTCTTGGAAAGCGCCCGCAGCCTTGAAAAGTGTTCCTTATTGATGCTGAAGGGAGTCTCGTTCAGGTCAACTCGTGATCTCTTGTTCCCTCCGAGGTTGGCGCCGTTGCACAGGGTGAACTCCAGCGTCGCGTCAACCTGTGCAATGTCCATGGCGACCTTCGCTTCCATGGGGAACAGAAGCCTCGCCAGAGCAACTGCATTGGGTGATCACCACGACCAGTGAGCCAGAGTAATCTGGTGCAGGTATAGAACAGAAGGGGAGGAGTCTTCTTCGACTTCGTCGAGGAAATTATCGGGAAACGCAGCAGATTCACGATGATGATGTCCGATAACTCGAAAAAATCTATTGTGGCAATGAGAAAAGCGGATAATCCGATGAAGCAATCACTACGTGGGTCTATAATTAGAGTTCTTCCCCAGAGATGGGTAGATCTCAAAGTTAACTGGTTCATACGAATACCCATCCTCAATCGGTATGAACCCCCAATCTTAATCCTCAAAGAAGACATCATCATCGTCATCATCCTCCACCCACCTTGAGTGTCGACCATTAATGGCAGCAAATGTATGATCGTCGAGGAGGGGAAGGATGGGGCTGCACTGATCTCTCACCTCTGTTCTCCAGGTACAGCAATTTGGTGCGGGCGTCTTCCCCAGCGATGGCCAGAGTAACGGAGGCTTCCCCGGGTTGCGGCGCCCTCCTCTCCGCTTGCTCAAGGATCTCGATGCAGAGCTTGTCCTTTGGCGATGGCATCCCCTCCCCCGTCTCCCTGTAGTACTCTGCGTACGTGGTGAGCCTCTTCGCGATCTGCAGGGCGTTCCTCCCGTCCCCGGTCAGGTCCCTGGTGTTTGCCCCTTTGGTGAGCAGCGAGACGATGATGTGGGGCTCCTTCCTCATCGCGGCTACGTGGAGCACGGTGAGCCCTCTATGGTTCCGGCGATTGACGTCGGCCACCCCGATCTCCAGCAGCTCCATGGTGGTCTTCCCGTCGCAGTAGGCGACGGCGTAGTGGAGGGCGCAGGCGTCGTCCAGAGTGACGTGCCCCTCCGTGAGCAGCATCCTCACGAGCTCCACGTCGTCCGAGTCCAGCGCCCTATGGATTCTCCTCGTGTGCTTGTCCGGGAACTCCGGCCCCGAGCTCCGGCGAGACTCGAGGACCTGCTTGACGATCGCCGGCGGCAGGGTCTTCTCCAGGGAGACCACATCGAGGTCCCCGCCGGTGACGACCTCCACGCACCTGGCCAGCAGCCGCTCGCAGGCCCTGTCACAGGAGCTCGCCGCCGACAGGATCACCGGCACGTCGTCGCTCTCCACCTTCTCAAGGATCTCCAGCAGGTGCCTCTGGAAGAAGAAAAAGAAGACGACGACGATGGGGAGGAGAGAGAGAGAGAGAGAGAGAGAGAGAGGATAAGAGTCTACCTGATAGAGGCTGACGAGCTCGGCGATCTGGAAGGTGAAGGAGGCGTAGAGGACCTGGACGAGGAAGTCGACGGCGGGTCTGCAGGCGACGTGAGGGCACTGCTCGTCGACGCAGTCGCATACGCCGTCAGGGAGAGGCCCCACGCGCCCGGTGTAGATGTAGGCGAGGACCGCCACCAGGGCGTCGTATCCGACGTCGATCGGCGTCACCAGTTCCCGCAGATCGAACTTCTCCTTCTCCTTCTCTCCGGCGAAGAGCTGCCGGAAGAAGGGGCTCCGCGCAGAGAGCAGGCAGCGGTGGACGGCCACCTCGCGCGGGGAGGGCAGGCCACTGGAGACCACGCAGATGCGGGCGTCGGCGCAGAAGGCGAGCTCGGGGGAGAGGAAGAGGGACTTGAGATTGTCGGAGAGCAGCCGGAGCGCCGCCGCGTCCGGCGTGGCGGCGGCCAGCGACTCCGGCTCGCCGGAGTAGCACACGCTGCTGCAGTTATCGGAGTCGTAGAAGCTCGCCGGCGCGTTCCCCGCTCTCTCCAGCGATGCCTGCGAGGGCGGAGAGGGTTCCTCCATGACGGCGCCGGATGAGGAGATGAGAGAGAGTCAGTCGTCTGGGCAGGAGGACGACGACGAGGACACGGCGGGGGTTTACTTCGAGGCGCGGTCCGGTTACGACGGTCCGCGAATCATTTTATCTCTTAACCGGAACCTCTAGTTAAGTCTGGTTTATCGTTACCCGGACGAGTAGGATGAGGCAAGATCGCGCACGTGGCTGCCGACGTGGACCCCCCATACTTCTGACCTCCACGCGGAAACCTCCAGCGAGGCGGATGACGCCATCGCTATCCAGGCACTGGTAAACGCGGCCGTCGAATAAACCGGTTGCAGCTATCGACAGTCAGCGGGGAAGAACGAACGGGAGAAGAGGGGCTGGTGGTGGGTCCCATCCCGAGTACACAAAGCGCCCAATGGTCAGCCAACGAGACTCACCCACGTGGCTGACCCCGTCCCTTTCCTTTTCTGACCCTTCCCCTGACAGAATCTACTGTTCCGCGGTTCACCCAATCGCAGAGCCCTCTCTCTCCCCCCGAATACAATACACCCAAATATGTTACCTCACTACTGATATACCCACTTATATATTATATTATATTATATTATAGTATATTATATCATATTATATATTTCTGCCAGAGATATACCTGCGGTTCACCTAATCGGCGTAGTTTGCCCGTTAGCGAATTATTTTATGACTCACGATTAGAGACTCTTGTACACAGAGAAAGGGAGTTTGGACGTAATTTGCTGACTTTTCTTGTTATAAAAGTTATTATTCCGTCATAAACACTTGAATTATTGCGTCATAAATCATGATTTTTAATACCACGGATCGAAATGATAGATAATATGGAGTGTGCTTTGCTCCGTTCGCCGCCGCCGATCAACGTATCGGGCTATTTCTGCATAGTTTTTTAGGCTTTTTTAGCTGATAATCATACTATAATGAGATAATGTCATTCTAGCCAATATCAATTCAATGGCTTCCATTAAATGAGATGCCCAGATCGAGGGTCCCCCCGCCTCTACGTTGACTTATCACCCATTTAATAATACTATGATAAAAAATGGTGACGTTTTCTGATATGAGGTCAGTTTGTCGTCGGTGGGCCCTACTGCGTAATATGGCAATATAATAAATTGCAAGCTAAATCCCAAATAAATGCCACTCTTCTCTCTCTCTCTCTCTCTCTCTTCCTCTGTTTCTCTCTCTTCTCTTTATTTTTCGCTAGAGTACAGGGGAGAATCTTGACTTTAGGGTCGAACTAACATCGCGTCGTTGTAATGGGCCCAAGAACACGTATTTATTGGGCTGCCTGGGGGATCAACCAGTTTCGAGGTGAAGACAGCAGCGGCCCGGAGAGTGACGTTGGCAGTCCGTCGGGCCATTAACAACTGGGCCCGGTTGCAAAAGTCCAAAACTTGTCCACTTCCATTGGGCCAGCCGGCGCGGAGCTGAGCCGACCCGAGCCGGTTCATTCTCAGCCCTTCTCGTCGTAGCCAAACCAGAGGCTCGCAGTTCCAAGATCTAACGTCAACAAAGGGTCTCTTCTTGTCCCAGTTCATTGCCGCCCTCAGCACGTGGGCTGCGAATGCCGTGACAGGAGGTCGCTCCGCCGCCGGGGGGATCGGCGGAGGGCCTAACGGAGCGCCGCTCAGACGTCGCTGCCAGTCCGTTGGGGCTCTGGTTCGTCCTCTACCCTCGCAAGAAGCTTGTGGTGGAAGCCGAAAAGGGGAGTTTCTGAGCTCGAACGGAAATGAAGCAGAAGGCTTTCTCATACCACAGCGAGGGCGAGAGAGAGAGAGAGAGAGAGAAGGCTGCGGAACCCTAATCTCTCCGACAGTAACCAAGTCGCCGAGTCATTCTCTCTTCCTCAGAGATTCATCGTTCTGGAGGATCTCCAGTGGCCCTCAACGCCTACGAGGAGTTCGCTCCAAAGATCAGGGGGTCTGTGCCCCAACCAAAAGGATATCCTTGCTGGTGGGGGCAGCCACAAAGGAGAGAAGAAACTGAGAAGGACGGAGGAAGGGAGAAGGACCGCCGTTTTCGCCGAGCATTGCGTGGAAAGTATGGGAAATTTCTGAAACCCTCCCACCCTGCGATTCTCGCCCTCTCTACCTCCTCCCGGATCCTGGAAAGCAACAGCGCCCCGCGCTCTGCCGCCGACGGGTCGACGTCCTGATGAGGAAACCCGCCGTTGTTTGCATGCCAACAAGAAAATCGCCGCCTTGGCTGGTTGCAATTTATTCCCTGGATTCTTTCTTACGGCGATGATGTCCTCCGGTTCTTTCACTTCATGCCCCCGTATGGTGTATCTTCTCCGCCCGCAGCAGCAAGAAAGCGCCCTTCTGAAGGCTTGTATCGGTTGTTGAAGTCTCACTGTCTGGGAGGAGAATGAGAGAGATCTCCGGTTGAGGAAGCGTCCTCGTTGGAGTCCAATGAAGTCAAGATAACTTGACGAGGTCGCCAGCGGCGATCACGCACACGCTGCGGCGCTTAAGATACCTACCACGAGCTCTTCTCGTGACGGCAGCGCCGTCGTCGTCTCCGGCGGGGAGCTCCGGACAATAATATCGCCGAGGGCCCCAAATGCGGCAAATCGGCTGGCCTCGGAATTCCGCTCACCCTGACAGATGAGCCAGTCTGTCCATGCACGATTGGCCACTACCCCGTCCATTATGGCCACCGATCTGGCCATGCAGGGAGAGACCGAGGGCCGTAACATGTAGTGAATTCTGGATCAGGGAGTGGGTTTATCTTGGGTCAAAGCTAACGATGATAGATATAGCTGGTCCCATAGTCAATATTTTAATTTATTTTCCAATTGACTAAATAAATATGGTGTTATCTTCTATATGAATGGTCATGCAAAGATTGTCAAAAACTTTATGACAGTGCAATTTATCCCGGGGGAGTCAACGGGCTATAGCCTTTACAAATCCAGCTTGAGCCCAAAATACTAGGCGTAGATGGGTACACAAAGATAGAGATGGATAGGTCGAAAGATGGAGATAGATAGAGGGAGAGAGAGAGAGAATTGATTTAGTAAAATGATTATGACATGATCACACGATACGATGAAAAAGGCTAAAAAATTATACCTCACCCCACATCAACCAAGGTATTAATCGAACATGGATTTTGTCTTCCGGATTTGATTTTGAGGGTCAGGCTTGATTAAATAGTGCATGGTAGCCTTGAACAATATTTATACGGCATGAATTTCAATAAATAATATGGAATTTCTGGAATAAAAGTCCACTGTTCTAAAAATTATCCATGTGAAATGCTGGAATATCGACCGAACCAAGTACCCATGTCGACGACGAACGCTAAATCATCTGGAGAGTGTGTTGAGAAGGGTTTCGACTCATCTACGGAAGAGCTTTTATTAGGAGAGCAGCTGATGAGAGGACATTAGTTCTCATTGAAGTTCTGGCTTCATATGTACTCATCAGACTGGCATCTCCGTTAAGGGATTATCGTAACGAACCAGGGGACCTCTCAGACCCGGAACTCGACTCATGACAGCCTTCTCTTGCATCGGTCGTGGCATTAAATTCTCCTCCAGAGGGCATACGCGCCTCTCTTACTCTCCATCTTCAATGGCTCGAGTTTCCGGTGTTTAGGTTCCCCTCCCTCTCTCCCGTCCGTTCTCTGTAATCTTCTTCTTCTTCTTCTTGATATATAGTCTGTTGGCCACGTTCTTTCTCTCCCTCCATCTCTCTCTCTCTCTCTCTCTCTCTCTCTCTCTCTCTCTCTCTCTCTCCTCTCTCCAGATCTCTTCGAGGAGAGACTGATGCGAAAGGACGAGGAAGGCGGAGGACAAGAAGTAGGAGAGGAAGCGGTGATATGGGACATCACTCGTGCTGCAGCAAGCAGAAGGTGAGGAGGGGGCTGTGGTCTCCGGAGGAAGACGAGAAGCTGATAAAGTACGTCTCCACACACGGCCACGGTTGCTGGAGCTCCGTCCCGAAGCTCGCCGGTGCAACTCATAATCTCCGCAACCTCCTACATTTTGCTTGTTTCTTTCCTTAATATCCCTGCCTTCTGATGGTCTCGACGACTCGGCCCGGATATAATTCCGGCTTCTCCTTGGGACTTGGAAATTGTTTTCCCTCTCGTCTCCGAGACGGTAGCAGGCCTTCAAAGATGTGGGAAGAGCTGCCGGCTGAGATGGATCAACTACCTCAGGCCAGACCTGAAACGGGGAAACTTCTCGCATCAGGAGGAGTCCCTCATCATCGAGCTTCACAGGCTTCTTGGGAACAGGCGAGTCTTCACCCACCCCTTCACGCTACTGATGGTGGCTGTCGGTCGTCCTCACCTTCTTCTCATTTTCCTTCTTCTACGCAGATGGGCTCAGATAGCGAAGCACCTCCCGGGGAGAACTGACAACGAGGTGAAGAACTTCTGGAACTCCACCATCAAGAAGAAGCTCATATCTCGTGCCTTCGATGTCCTCGATTTCCCTTCCATGGCCAACCCAGTTCCCATTGTCGGGGAGCTCCATAATGTCGACGCCTACCCTGGTGAGCTGGTCGGTGCCGCCCAAGAGGGGTTCGTCTACCTTCCTCAGACCGATGGGAGCCAAATGGAGATCAAACTGGACCTTCCAAGCCATGCCGTTGACTTTGGCACCTGCCCATCCTTCCTGCAACATCAGGCCTCTTCATACGACTGGCCCTTCCCAAATCAGCCCACGGACGCAGTGAACTGTCAGGAAGTAAACGCCAGTATCGCCATTCTCGAGAACTCACGATCGAAATTCTCCAACGGCAGGCTCACGACCTCCCTCGGGGGGGGCGTTGTCAACGGCGTAGAAGAGGCTGAAGAGAATTATCGCCTTCCTCCGTGCTTCACCAACCTAGGTCAACCATACGATCTCCAGAAACACCCCGATCAGACGGTGAATAATGTCGAAGAACTCCTAGGATCAGCGTCCTCATCGCCTCCTCCAGCTGCGCCGCTATCTTATGCCAGCTTCCATGGCAGTCCCTGTAGCGTCATGTGGTGAGGTTCCCGTCAGCCCTCGATCGACGTTGCGGGCGTGTCTGTATGATATGATACTCGCAGACGATGCTTTTGCCGTGATGCGTGAATAATTTATGAACTGTACGTATTAGGGCTTGCCCATAAATCCTTCATCAGCACCTCGCATTGAAGGTCCCTTAGATCTGCTGCTGTTATGGGTTCTGCCCCCGGAGACTGTAGGGCCTCCCAAACTGGAAGTTCTTGAATGCTCTCTCTCTCTTTCTCTCTTTCTCTCTCTCTCGCTCTCGCTGTCCCTCTCCCTCTCTCTCAGAGCCATAAAGTATGAAGACGACCGGTGTAACGTCACCGATTCCATGTTTATCTGTGGGTGAGGGAGCCTATGTATGTGGAGAATTCAATGCACTTGCCTCGGCAGCCTTGCTTGAGAAGGTCTCGCGTTGCATGCAGACATGGATATAGACAAAAGAAATAAATACGCCGATGACTCGCTACATTCCAAGAGAAGTTGTTGGTGCAGTTGCACCAGAGAAACCCAGAGGAGCCCGAAGAGAAGAGGGAAGAAACGAAAACCTAAGACTTAACCGACAAGAAACTCTAGATCTCCCCTAGGCAATAGAAAGGGATTAGCAGCTCTCAGTAGCTGTTTTCTGTCTGGGGAACTCTAAGGCACCCCCTCCCCCTCCCCCTTGGTGGGCGCCAGCGAAGGAAGAAAGAGAGAGAGAGAGAGAGAGAGAGAGAGAGGTAATGCTGACTATCACTGTGCAGGAAGCTAAGGATCTCTTCTTCCCATATTCAATCCTCTGCACGCCACTTAACGATCTGATGCCTTAGGCTACGCATCAGCCTGGTCGTGCAAATTAGGGTTAGACAGTGCATGTGGCTTTTGTTGGCTAAGACTGTTCGTCGCGTGGATAGTTCCTTCCTGTTATAGATAAATGAAATATTTCGATAAAAACCTATACAATGGTTGCTCAAAGATTCCGCATTCTTCTCCCGGTATTCTCCTCCGATGCAAACAACATCCTGCACTGATAATCTCGTACATTCTCAACGAGGTAGCGGTTCAAAATAATGATAGAGACCGATCATTTTCTCTAAAAATGCGCTTGCCTACTCATTTTTCTGGTCATTTTGATCGAGTAGATCGCCCAACCGTTTGTTGGATCTCGTTTCTAGCAAGAACAAGAACGCTCTAATGATTGAGCAAATCCAGACTCATCAATGCGCCTATGAATAAATGTGCCCTTATATTCTATATGATTTTATGTTAACATACAAAGCATGGAACAACCATCTGTAAAAATGGGCTGATGAGATAAATCATCAGGCGGCAGGCGAATTTTTTCTATTTAGAACGATATTTTATGTAAGTATGGTTAATTAGACGGCGCATTTCCCAAAGAGTTCAGGTGAAAATTACGACGAAGTTACCACTCATTTTGACTCTCAGCCATGGATGAGTATCGTCTGTTGACTTTTTGGGTTCCCTCTGTAACTCCCAATAAATATATAATGATGTAGAACAGTGCAAGCCTTATCATCCCAATTCCCAAGGTCCCAAAACTCTTGACCTCGTGATTCTGTGATTTCACCATCTTAATATGTTCTAAGGAACTCCCAAACTACTGCTGGAAGACACAGACTTCCTCTGATTGTTTCCTCATTTAGGCGTTAGAATCATACATAGGAAACACAAGCCAAATCCGAGCTAACCCGCGCTCTTGGAAAAAGGGACCCGAGAGAAAATCTTCAAGGGGAGGTTTGATAACCCGGTCAGGCGTAAACAAGTATCGAACTACGCGTCGGTTTTGAACTAATTTATCCAACCTTTTGTGTGATAACTCTCTCTCTCTCTCTCTCTCTCTCTCTCTCCCTCTCTCTTTCTCTCCCCCCCCCTTCTCTCTCTCTTTCTCTCTCTGTGACTCTCTCTCTGAGTCGTAGGTTAACTTTGCTTCATTTAGTTTTCATAGCTGAGTGAGCTTGGATAATCGGTCGTCAGACAGTTACCTGGATCACTAATATCACCCTGATCTTTGACCTAATTGTTTCTATAAAAATTAATGGATAAGAGCAAAGCTTCATATGGTGGGGATTTATGGAACTTACAGAGCCACTGGTCAGAAGCCTGAAACCAGTTGACCAGACGACAGGATGCCGCCAATTATTTGGGGTCCTTCGGCCACATGGAATTGGACAAAAAATAAATGAATCGTACGATCAAGTGGCTCAGTCAACGACCGTTGACTTACTCTCTAGTGCAGGAGAGTCCCTGAACAGCCCCATTCATGCCCGGTTCAGGAGATTTGGGCTCGCGAAAGCTTGATGCGCCGACAACTGGGGCCCACATTAGCCCCTACCCGGTGATTCCCATACCAGAACAAGACAAAGCTTAACGTCACAGTTTCGGGCTAGTGGGCCACCCCGCCCCGCTGGCCCACCGCCAGTAGTGGACTACCGTCGTCATCTGGTTGATCTGTGGGCCACCACGTGGCGATAGCCAGTACCCTCCGTGCACAGAAGCTGAGGCCCATTTAAGTATAGACGGATATTAAAAAGCTCCCTGGGCTGCTGAATTTTGCGGCCCATTTTGGAGGCCCATGGCGCTTAGTGCGGTGCCGCCGGAAAGCACTCCACTCGTCAGCAGTCTTTCTCCGGTCGTCAGGTTGCCACGTCTCCGCATGGGATCCGTACAGCTGTCACCGAATCAGGAAGACCATGAGGGGAATAGAGATGACGTCACCATATTTCCATTAGTAGAATAATATGACCGTTCGATCCGCCGCCCTCCCTCCACGGACTCTTGGAGGACGCGTTAACGGCGTGACGCATTAAGACTGCATTATTATTTAGATAAATAAAAGGAGTTAATCGGGGTCATTTAATTATGCAGTTTATTAGTCACGTTATAAATGTGTATTAATATTATTTTAGTATTAACATGTATTAATAATCGGTCTCTGGGTCGTAAGCCACGTGGATATCATTTACATGCATGCGGACAGGACTCGCCTCAGCGAATGGGAGGCTCCTCGAGATGCGAAAAGCGGGGTCCACGTCGACGCACCGGGCGCTACCCGCTGACCGCCATCAACGGCGTCAACGATTGGTATACGTCCGGGAGAAGGAATCTACGTGGCGCGTCTCCGGTCCTTGGATTCTAATCGGCTGCCGGCGGCGCCGCCACGCTGTCGGGGAGGTCGGTGAGCTATTGGAGGTGAGATTCTCCTGAGCTTCGTGACGGCCGAGACTGAAGAAAATCTGGGTTCGGAGTCTCAGGTTAGGGAAGCTCCTTTCGACGTCACCAAGGTACTCTCTCTCTCTCTCTCTCTCTCTCTCTCTCTCTATCGACGCCGTCAGCGGCCCCTCTGGGACCGCCATTTGCGGCGGGGCGAGGACAGCCCGCACTGCTGCACACGTGACGCCAGCATCGGCCCACGTTGCCGTGAACGTCACGATGACGTCATGATCTAGACCGTCTGATTTCTCCTCTTAGTTTTTTGTCCGCTTGCTTTATAAAACCCGCAGTCTCGGTGCTTCGCACGGTCCGCCCTCCGAGCAGTTCCCCCGCCGCCACCGAGGGCCTTCGTACTCTCCGGCTTCTCTCCTTCCTTCCTCCCCTTTTGCTGTAGATTAAGGTGGTGGTGGTGGCCGGAGAGATGCAGGGAGTGAGGTGCTGCCCGGTGGCCGGCGGTGGCCTGGGCATGGATCTGGCGGTGGCGGCGGCGAAGAAGAAGAGGACCGGCGGCGCCACCGCAGCGCCGCTGTCGATCGACGGGGCGGAGACGGTGGAGACGCGGGTGGGGCGGCTGATCGTTGAGAACCCCGTCGTCATCTTCAGCCGCTCGTCGTGCTGCATGTGCCATGTCATGAAGCGGCTGCTGGCGGCCATCGGAGTCCACCCCATGGTCGTTGAATTGGACGACGACGAGATCGACAGCGCCGCGGAGTCTCTCTCCCTCTTCTCCGACGCTGGCGCCCGTGGGGGGCTGGTTTCGCCGGTTGTCTTCATCGGCGGCGCCGCCGTCGGGGGACTGGAGAGCCTCATGGCGCTGCACCTCACCGGCGAGCTGGTGCCCAAGCTGGCGCAGGTGGGCGCCCTCTGGCCGTGAGCCGCATCCTCCTCCTCTCTTGCCATTACGGCGGTTGTGCCTCCTTCTCCCCCCCCCTCCCCCCTTCCCTCCTCTTCTTCTCTCTTCTCTAGGTTGGTCTCTCTGTTCTTCCTACCGACTGTTCACTGTCTGTATTGAGCACACATCGAGGACGCTCTCCGCAGAAGAACCCAGAACAGCCGCAAAAAAATATGTAAAAAAGTAAGAAGAACCTTTGATCCCGTACTCACTGGACGGATTAGTATATCTTCTCCCGTTACCGACGGCGAGATGGCTTCGTCTCTCGCCGGAGCTGTGCAGGACGAGGTGGAGCTCACGGGTTCAGAGTGATGTCTGACGAGCCCGATGGACATGGTGGAAGCTGACGACATCCCATCTCCCCTCCTTCTTCTTAGCGGAGCAGCCCGTCGTTCCACCTATCACAGTCGACAGCTTAAAACCTCTCCGGCGTCCGCCGCCGGTACCCCTTCTCTTTCTCTCTCTCTCTCTCTTCTCTCTTCTCTCTCTTCTCTCTCTTCTCTCTCTCTCTCTCTCTCTCTCTCTCTCTCTTTATCTCCCCTCTTGCGCATGTTGCAGTTCGTAGGAGCATCATAACGGAAAAATTTAATTTTTGGCCTAATATTTAGTAATAAATAATTATCTAATCCATTTATGTCAACTAGTTGTATTTTGCAATCTTTGGATAAATTAGCGTGCTAAATTATCATATTATGCATTTTTTTGCGCTGATCATTTATAAAAAATATTAATAATTTTGAAAACTTGCGAAATCCGTGTCACAATGTCTGATTTACAACGTGACTAATGGGCCTGACCAGAGAGAGACAGTGAGAGAGAGAGAGAGAGAGTGGGACGAAAATGGGCCTGGCCAGCGGCCCATCAGCAAGCTGAACCGTTCAGTATTCAACTCCTCTCTTTCTCTCTCTCTCTCTCTCTCTCGTTTGACACGCTGCAAGTCGGTTCTGCTAGCACCGCCGCCCTCCGCCGTCTTCATATGCGTGCTCCGGGGGGGTTTTGGAGCCATAATTTATCGCCGGCGAGAACCCTGCTGGCGCCACCAAGATGGAAGGATCTCCGTCTCGCGTTCCCATTTCTCTCCGCAGGTTTCATCTAGACAGCGGCACCTATCGTGCCGTGCTCCGGTTGCTCGCCCACTGCGTCCAAGCACAACCCCACGCACCTCTTGCTTCTCCTCGCCTCTCTCCGTCGCGTGCCGCCCATGGAGGGACCGTGGCACCCCCCGGAGAGCGAGAGTGCTTGGGCTCCGCTGAAGGTGCCACCGTCTTGGACGCGTCTCCTGGAGAGGGCAATCGCGGGGCGGAGGACGCGAGGGAGAACAATGGGCGAGAAGGCCACCAGGAGAGCGGAGTTCTTGATCTTCAGGAAGATAGGGCCCGAGAGTTTCACTCGGTTGCAGGATCAGTGATTCGAGAAAGGTCAGACGACCTCGTGGGCAGGGGCCCTGCGCTGGCTGATGCACACGACGAGATTCCTCAGACCGTGGAAGGATTTGGACCCCGCGAGGTACGAGGGGGACTTCTCGATGACCGCCGCAATATTTTATCGTCCGAGGCGCGTGTCGATTTTCCCAATCTTCTCGAAGAATTAGAACAGAAAGAAGAAGCGGATCGTGGCGTACGTGATTCCGACGGATTGACGCATACGCCTTCTCCAGAAGACGTCGAGCTATTGGGTTTCAGTGAAGTTTCTCCGCTGTTGGATGCATCAGAGCTCGGAGAAGACAGTAGAGAGACAAGGGTGGTCGACGAGTCCGGTTGCCAAAAATTTTGCCGTGATGATATGCCAAATAAGCTTGCTCACGAGGATCCACAGCTGCTTTCTGCTCAGTCGAGAGATTCATGTTCAGAGAAGGAACAGTGTATGATCGAGCAGATCGAAATTCATGGTTCTTCTTTGTCATCTATGGGCGGCTCTGGACTGAGGGAGTTCAGTGAGGAAAAAAACGCCTCCAGTCTAAGTGCGATTGACGAGAACGAAATGGAAGAAGGAGAAATTCCTGGTGAAGTTGGGGTTTCCGACTCTTCCTCTGATTTGGAGAGTCATCTTGCTGCTGATGATGGGATGCTTCCGGAGAACAGGGTTCCAGAGGATTATTACACCAAGACGGCCGAGATATCTCATACACTGGGTGCCTTCATGACTCAAGGAGCTTCTGCAAGTACTTATCATACTAAGGAGACGACGTGCAGCACCGCTTGTGAACCTAATCAGTCAGCCATCGGTGTGGCAGGGCTCAGCCCACAGAGAAAGAAAAAGAATGGCAAAGCATCAAAGGAAGATACTGGGAAAATCAAGAAAAATTCGGGTCAACCGCTCAATATCATGGTACACCCCGAATCGTCAAAGCAGATGAGTGGTGCTATCACGAGGGTTTCTGTGTGTGAACATACTATTTCTAGTAGTTTTAGTTCAGCAGAAGTGTGTATAAAGGACAGCGAAATCCGAAGAGAGGAAAACGCATCCGAGATGAAGGTAAAACTTGTTTTTTTATTGCGGTGGGCTTGCTTCTTTTCTGTTTCCTTGTTCAATAGATTAATATTCTTTCATGACTCTTTGAGTATAATAGCCATAAAGGTAGAAGATCGCTATGAACCGTTGAAGGATCTCTGAAAACTTAACATCTTGGATTGCTGTCCTGCTTCATTGAACTACGATTTCCAAACCGCAGCATGCTATGCGTTGTGCTAGTTTTACTCTGATGCACCGATCACTAGTGATCCAAAACTTTGAACTAATTATTATAATTGTGCATTTTCCCCCTTTTATAGGATGCTAAAGTTCTGGAGAAGACAAAGAGAGGCCCTCTAACTGAGAGCAGGAAGGAGAAGAAAAAGGTCAACTGCCTGTTGTTAACATGTTATCAGCCCAGTTGTGTGATGCCAAGAGCAGAAGCCTGCTCGTGGTTATTATACGGCTGAATCATGGCTATTCATTAGTTTTAATCGTGTATGGATTTATTATTGGCTTATAATCGTTTTCCTGGCTATAATGAAATCCCGCAGCTGGCCAAGAAACGGAAGAGGGCAGAGACGAATAAGAAGCTGGGTGTCAAAAGATTGAAGTTGGAGATGCCGCCAAAGACTAGGAAAGTGATGCTCTGCAGCTTCTACCAGAAAGGAAGATGCCAGAAGGTGCTTCAGCTCCTTTGTATTTCTTCCTCCTTTATGGACGGTTGACGACATTGTGGATCCACTAAGTGTGAGGGATATAATTAGGAATTTGCACATTTATATAATCGGCTCTATTGAAAAAATACATAGAGATTTTTCCATTACTGTAGTCCTCTTAAAATTGATGAGTAACTTCCTCACTGTAGAAAGCAACTTGGCCACTGTTTCATCCTTGCAAAATATGCTCGTTCTGTCAATTTACTATTCTTAGATTTGATTTTTTTTTTTTTGTATCTTGAATTATTGGGAATTATTTTGTGACACGCGAATGCAATTGGATGGTTTTTATTTCTACAAGTAAGTCCCCATGTATAATGGATAGGGTCTTAGCTCTTATAGTTAGTCTGTTCATAATTTCTCACGACGGATGAGGATGAATTTGACATGAATATGAATCAAAACCAGTAGGCCCCAAGTTTATTTTTTGTTTTAATTAATCGGCGACTAATCCACCCTTTTATTTTTGTGAAAAATGACCAAAAAAATCATTAGCTATTAGTGTTTCTGTTGCGATTATCTTTTTCATACCAGCCTGTTTTTGACATATTTCTCCTTCCTTCTCAGGGGGATTTGTGCAAATTTTCACACGACATGATTCCTGATACAAAAAGCATGGTATGGTTATCTTAGTCTCGATGCAAATGCTAATATTTCTTCCTCCATCGACATCAGTTTCATGTGGTGCCAATATTAGGGTTCTTTGTATAATATAACACCCTGTTTGCTCAGTGAAGAGCATTTTATCGTCTATAACTTAACTCAACAGTGAACGATCAGCCGCGCTCACCACCCTTTTCCCCCAGTCCAAGTTCAGCTAGCTTCGGAGGAGAATTCAAAGATCTGATAATATTTTTATGGTTGCTGCATGCGTCACTCTAATCAGAAACTTAGAATGCCTTGCTTAATCCTCGACCCAATTGGAGAAGAAAAATGTAATCTTTTAGGTAATTTACTGGGGCCGATGGGCTTGCTCAATGGATATTATTGCTCACTTACCTAAGATCAGCCTCATCTGCCACACAAGGCCTTTTTTGATACCTTACCTTAGAACCATTGGGACGTCAGCCGTTGACTTTTACTATGACTACCTCGCGAGGAATCCTGAGAATCATTTCGGTATGGATACTGTGACTACTCAATCGTTTTATTTATTCTCCGCAGCCCTGTACATTTTTTGCGCGTGGAACCTGCTTGAAAGGAGACAACTGCCCATTTGACCACGAGCTTTCGAAGTACCCTTGCCACAATTACGCCTCTGAAGGGAGGTGCAACAGGGGAGAAAATTGCCTCTTCTCCCACAAGGTATCTACACCGAATATGGTTAAAACTCGGTTATTCACATTATCCTTTTTTAGCATATTTTCTGATGTATGATGGCATGCTGAATGGTTTCAGCTCCCCACTGGCGAGCTTCCTTCTGCATCCGCTCCCGGAGAAACAGGATCAGGTATGCTGCAGAAGCATCTGAATTCGAGCAACTCATCGCTGAAAGCTGCGATTCCAGCTGCAAAGACTCCGATCGAGCTGACAAAATCGAAGCAGCCGGTGAGCCTGCCAAAGGGGGTGTGCTTTCTGTCTTTTGGTAAAGAGCCGTCGTCAGCTGGTGGAAGCAGGCAGCTTCATGGCAGCATCCATGCGCAGAGACATGAGGAGAGCCCACCTGAGAAGAGCCCTCTTCGTGCAGAAAAAATCAGGTCAGATGAAAGTCTCCGGTCAGAAGCAGCTGGGAATGACGCCAGCAGAATTCTGGAGGAGTTTCTGTTCAGTGGGATCGCTTAGAGCATCCATCCATCCAGCCTCATGGAACATGGGCCTGGGCTTTCCCTTAATATATTTATCTCCCAGGTATTATCATCATCTTATCCTTAACTGTGGACCTATCCGTAATTTTGGAGATATATAGCGGCTGCTCGTTGACCCGCTGACCCTCGCTAATCTCGTATCATGAACATTAATGACTGTGGTCGATTTCCTCCTTTGGAAGGGCGCTGAAAGGCCTCATTATGAGAGACGGGCTTCGAGCCCGGCCCAGTCCGGAGGATTCTCCACGCCTGATAGCAACGGCCCAGCTGCCGTTAATGACTTGGACAGTTTAGGTGAGCTGTGACGGCGGAAGCCTGCACTTCGCCCTGTGGGCTTCACCTTGACGGTCAACGGGCCCAGTTGAAATATTTATATATTTTTTAACAAATATTTCAAAGGGAGAGGTGGGCCAAACTGGGCTGGTCGGCGGCGATATTCGGTCGACGTGGCCAGGTGGCCCGGGTAGATGGGCGGCCCACAGAACGCGTGGCTCGCCACCTGTTGGGAACGCCTGCCTCTGCCTTACCCGGGCTCCGCTTAGAGCTTATCAAACTGGGGATTGTACCGTTGGAAACTGCGTGGGCCCGTCAGGGCGGGGACGGGCTATGGCGGTGAGGTTACCGGGGAATCCGGTTATTTCGCCGATCCCCATCAATTCGACCCCGGTTCGCTGCTCCAGCTCACTAGCGACCTGTGTTTGGGGAGTGATCTTAAGATGGAAATTATTAATTTTTTGCGGTTAATTGTGGGCTATTGAATGTCGCGTCGAGAGAGAGAGAGACAGCAGATGGTCGTTGATTTCTGAGATTATTAATTAATATATATATATAAATTAATAGCCGAAGGTCTTCCCATTCTCTTTCCTCGTGTCTGCTAAAATTGAACCAACGGGGCCAGGCCGGAACTCCCGGCGCCGTTCGGACGAAGGGGACGAGACCACGAAGAACCCCCCCCCCTCTCTCTCTCTCTCTCCCCGCCCCCCCTCCCCCCCCCCCCCTCTCTGTCTCTGTCTCTCTCTCGGTGTTTCTTTGCTGCCCGCCTGTTCTTCGAAGCTTTCTCATCTTTCCTCGTTGAGATCTTGCGGAGGAGGCGGCTCGGCGGCGGTGAGGTCGCCGTGGAGGTTCGGATGGTGGTCTCGTCAGAACATCCAGCTTTTCCTCGACGTCTATCGTTGTCGGATTCGTCTCCTCCCCGACGACTCCAGGTATTTCTTCTTTCTTGCTACCGCTGTTTTCCGAGCTGGATCCGCCCTTGCGCCTAATGTCGACTCGTCTTATTCCGGGTTGCTCGATCACCCTCTCTCTCTCCCTCCCGCCCCCCGCAAACCTCCACATCTCTTCCTGTGTTAGACTGGAGGGTTGATCTGCATTTCCTTCTATAATTTAGTTGCGTATGGGATTTTTGGGGCTGTTCTCCTGGGAGGTGGTTTATTTGGAGATTGGAGGGTGAGATAGCGACGGGGTTGGGTGGAACAAGGAGGGAAGTTGCTGGGCGATTTCGATTCTTCTGCTTTTTATTTTTCTAAAAGCCTTCGTCTGCTGTAGGTATCGCCTTTTCTTGCCTCAGAGAATCTTTGAATCTCAAAATTGGCATTGAATGACGTTTCGCGACGTCCGTCCTGCAGATGAAACTTGCTGGAAATCGCTGAGATAGGCAGCTGCTCAGCCTCTGTCTGCTATTTTTATGGCCGGGTGGTACGACGCGTATGCAGCTTTCTGTGACTGGTCTGGGAGGCTCACTGGGGCGGGCGTGGCGATCTTGCTTCCGTTTATGAGCTAAGAGCGTCTGTTTTGAAGGCGCCATCCCCATCCGATGGCACGGCCCGGGAGGAGAAGGGACAAGCTCCGATGGAGCAAGCTCTATACCTTCTCTTGCGTCCGTCCCGCTGTGTTGCTGGATACTGAGAATCCACCATCTCTCCAGGGCCCCGGGTTCTCCCGCGTCGTCTACTGCAACCAGCCCCGCGTCCATCGCAAGAAGCCTTTTAGATATCCCTCCAATTACATCTCGACGACCAAGTACAACATCATCACCTTCCTCCCCAAGGCTCTCTTCGAGCAGTTCCGCCGCGTTGCCAACATCTACTTCCTCCTAGCTGCCATCCTATCCCTCACCCCTGTTGCCCCATTCTCTGCTGTGAGCATGATCGCCCCGCTTTGCTTTGTTGTTGGCCTCAGCATGGCAAAGGAGGCATTAGAGGACTGGCGCAGGTTCGTGCAGGACATGAAGGTGAATAGTCGGAAAGTTAGCATCCACAAAGGGGGTGGTAAATTTGCGTATAAACCTTGGCAGACGATCAGAGTTGGGGACATTGTGAAAGTGGAGAAGGATCAGTTCTTTCCTGCTGATTTGCTTCTTATGTCCTCGAGCTATGACGACGGGATCTGCTATGTGGAGACCATGAATTTAGATGGTGAAACAAATTTGAAGGTGAAGAGATGTTTAGAGGCAACTTTGCCCCTGGATGATAATACAGCTTTCCAAGATTTCTCGGCCATCATTCGTTGCGAGGATCCGAATCCTAACCTTTACTCTTTTGTGGGTAATTTTGAGTATGATCAGCAGGTCTTTGCCCTTGATCCAAGTCAGATACTTCTCAGAGATTCCAAGCTTAGGAACACTAGCTATGTCTTCGGAGTGGCCATATTTACTGGTCATGACAGCAAGGTTATGCAGAATGCAACCAGTTCCCCGTCGAAAAGAAGCAGGATTGAGAAGAAAATGGACCAAATCATATATATCCTCTTCACCCTTTTGGTTCTGATCTCCCTGATCAGCTCGATTGGTTTTGCTGTGAAGACAAAGTATGGAATGCCCGAGTGGTGGTATCTGCAGCCACTTCGTACAACAAACTTGTTTGACCCTTCACAACCTGCATTATCTGGAATATTTCATCTGGTGACTGCCCTTATACTTTATGGATATCTGTTGCCCATTTCACTGTATGTTTCAATCGAGCTGGTCAAGGTTCTCCAAGCCATGTTCATCAACCAGGACATTCAAATGTACGATGAGGAGACTGGGAAACCTGCTCAAGCACGAACATCAAATTTGAACGAGGAGCTTGGGCAGGTTGATACGATATTGTCAGATAAAACTGGCACCTTGACTTGCAACCAGATGGATTTCTTGAAGTGCTCTATTGCCGGGGTATCCTATGGTATTGGCTCTAGCGAAGTTGAGATCGCTGCAGCAAAGCAGATGGCGTCTGAAATCTCTGGTGCTCACGAACGAGTCAGTTCAAGTCAGAACCCATGGGAGAACAATGCTTTTAGGACGTCGGAAATCGAGCTAGAAAGTGGGATTACCTGCAAGATCGATAAGGTCCGGAAATCCGCAGTAAAAGGCTTCATTTTCGAGGATAATCGTCTCATGGAAGGGAATTGGTCGAAAGAGGCTAGTGCTGATGTCATCCTTCTCTTCTTCCGGATACTTGCACTCTGTCATACAGCAATTCCTGAGGCAAATGAAGAAACCGGTTCTTTCAATTATGAATCAGAGTCACCAGATGAAGGGGCCTTTCTAGTTGCTGCGAGGGAGTTTGGGTTTGAATTCTGTAAACGAACGCAGTCTAGTGTGTTTGTCAGAGAAAGACATTCATCCTCGCATCCAATAGAAAGGTAAGGGGGGCAAACAGAGCTCCGCTCGGGTGATCTTATTCAAATTTGCTGTTTTCTACTAAGGGGTTCTTTTTCTTCTATCTTGCAGGGAATTTAAGGTCCTAAATATACTGGAATTCAACAGCAAGAGAAAGAGAATGTCGGTCATTGTGAGGGATGAGTCCGATCAGATTCTTCTCCTGTGCAAAGGTGCAGACAGGTCTGTTTCAGTGTATTTTTTGCTTCGTTCCCCTCCCTTGATTCTGCACACCCCAGCCCATGTTATCCTCCATATTCAAGTGCATAATATTTTCATAATCCCGTGGCTATTTTCGCTAGTATTTAGCGTCCTCGATCAGTTGATATCGCCACTTGACTTTATTTTCTCGGGATGAAATCTTCAGCATCATTTTCGATAAACTCTCAAAGAATGGGAGAATCTACGAGGAGGAGACATGCAAGCATCTATGTGAATATGGGGAAGCAGGGCTGCGGACATTAGCTCTTGCGTACAGGAAACTAGAAGAGTCTGAGTATTCTGCGTGGAACACTGAGTTCCTCAAAGTCAAGACGACCATAGGACCTGAGAGAGATGCTCTTCTAGAAAATATGGCAGATTTGATGGAGAGGGATTTGATTCTCGTCGGCGCCACCGCTGTGGAGGACAAGCTACAGAAAGGGGTGAGACCTCGTCGCATCCTCTGCCTTTCTACCATCGTCTGCAGCTTCTATCGATCTCTCTTGATGCTCTCTGTTGTCCTGTGGCAGGTGGCCCAATGCATAGATAAACTAGCGCAGGCGGGTCTCAAGATCTGGGTTCTGACCGGTGACAAGATGGAGACAGCGATCAATATAGGGTAAGGCATCTTCGCGGCATGCCATCTTTGGCCCCCATCGGTCTGCCCGTTCAAGGCTGGTAGGAGGCGCGTGAATCTCTGCTGATCCTCTGTTTCTCTGAATTCGCAGATTTGCCTGTAGTTTACTTCGCCAAGGTATGAAACAGATATGCATATCCACGACGACTGCAGACCCGCTAGCTCAAGATGCCAAAAAGGTAAGCATTTTCTCGAGAAAAACTCGATCGAGTGCGTGTTTTGCTCTGTGCAGGGAGTTCATTTCACATTAGGCTTTGATTTCGTGTTTGATGACCGATCAGGTGGCGAAAGAGAATATTTCTCTGCAGATCACCAACGCCTCGCAAATGATCAAGCTGGAGAAGGATCCGCATGCGGCTTTTGCTCTGATTATTGATGGGAAGACCTTGAGTTATGCCCTGGAGGAGGACATGAGATACGCCTTTCTAAATCTAGCAGTCGACTGCGCTTCTGTTATTTGCTGCCGGGTCTCTCCGAAACAGAAGGCGATGGTACTATTTCGTGCCGAAACCCACTGCTCGATGTCTATGAGATTTCTCAATAACCCGGATTGATAGCTCAAGGTCGAGTCTTTTTTTTTCTCTTCTGGGTTTTACTCTTCTTAGGTGACCCGACTGGTGAAGGAAGGAACAGGGAAGACCACCCTGGCAATCGGTGATGGTGCAAATGACGTCGGCATGATTCAAGAGGCGGATATTGGTGTCGGCATTAGTGGAGTGGAGGGGATGCAGGTCAGTGATGAATGCCTTCCTTTCCGTCTTTCCCTCTCTCTCCCTCCCTCCAATCCAATCCGTCTGCGAGGTTTCTGCTGAAAGTCCCCCTGGGAGGCTGCTATTCATAACCTGCGGGGGGTGGGCGTAGAGAGAGAGAGAGAGAAAGAGGTCAGAGTCTTTCTTGAACGCTGGATTGACCGATGCTCACGAACGCTCGTCTGTCTGGGTCACATGCAGGCTGTGATGGCTAGCGACTTTTCGATCGCCCAGTTCAGATTCCTGGAGCGCCTCCTCGTCGTTCACGGCCACTGGTGCTACAAGAGGATCGCACAGATGGTATGCATGTCTTTCTGGGCATCGATTTTTCTTTCTAGCCTTCCTGCGGGGAGCAATCAGCTCGCTCACACGCGCGGCGGCGTCTCTACGTGATCGACTGATCCATCGATCCCTGCGCAGATCTGCTATTTCTTCTACAAGAACATTGCATTCGGTCTCACGCTGTTCTACTTCGAGGCGTACACGGGGTTCTCCGGGCAATCGGTCTACGACGACTGGTACATGCTGCTGTTCAACGTCATCCTCACCTCCCTCCCCGTCATCTCCCTCGGCGTCTTCGAGCAGGACGTCTCCTCCGAGGTCTGCTTACAGGTCAGTGGTAACTCGACTCTCGCCGTTGACCGAGATGGCTTTTGGTTGGATAGTTTCTCGTCTTCTTCCTCCCCCCTCCCCAGAGGAGTTGACCCCTTTCCGTTGCGACTGCAGTTCCCGGCCCTGTACCAGCAGGGGCCGAAGAACCTGTTCTTCGACTGGTACAGGATCCTAGGTTGGATGGCCAACGGGATTTACTCCTCCCTGGCCATATTCTTCCTCAGCATCAACATCTTCTACAACCAGGCCTTCCGGGCCGGCGGGCAGACGGCGGACATGGCAGCGGTGGGGACGACCATGTTCACCTGCATCATCTGGGCGGTCAACATCCAGATCGCCCTCACCATGAGCCACTTCACCTGGATCCAGCACCTCTTCGTGTGGGGCAGCGTCGCCACCTGGTACCTGTTCCTGCTCGGCTACGGCATCACCTCCCCGCTCTACTCGCGGAACGCCTACAAGATCCTCATAGAGGCGCTGGCGCCGGCGCCAATCTACTGGGTCTCCACCTTCTTGGTGACGGCGGCCTGCAACATGCCATATCTGGCGCACATCTCCTACCAGAGATCGGTCAACCCACTGGATCACCACGTTATCCAGGAGATCAAGTACTACGGCAAAGATGTGGAGGACCGGCACATGTGGACGAGGGAGAGGAGCAAGGCGAGGCAGGAGACCAAGATCGGGTTCAGCGCCAGGGTGGACGCCAAGATCCGGCAGCTGAAGGGGAAGTTGCAGAAGAAGTACTCCTCCATGGGCGTCCTGCAGAGCGCTTAGCCGCCACTCTCTTTTGTCGTTGTTGTTGTCATCTCTCTTCTCTTACTTGATTCATTTAATTAGGGTTCCTCAATCGGGATGGGGTCTATAATCCCGTGTTCCCTCCCTCACCTCCTTGATAGAAGTCGCCCAAGGCCCCCGTCCTCTGTAAAATATTTACAAGAAATTAAAAGGCTTCAATAAGTTCTCCACCTAGAGAGAGAAAGAAGAGAGAAGAGAGAGAGCGGGAGCTTTGGGTGGTCATCTATCTCGCAGCATTTCATGGAAAGACCTCTGCTTTCCATGGCGAATTACAGTGGGAGATGGTTCGTCATTGTGTTGCTGCTCTGCCATGAGTTCGTACAGGTAATCTTTACATGGCGGGTGCACCCCCCCAACCCCCCCCCCCCCCCTCTCTCGCTCTACAGATGAACAGATCAATTAGTACGAGCAACCTCCATGGACCATTGGTTCAGTGCCGATGTATGCCGACCAGACCAAGTTCCTGCGTCCAACCTGCGGCGAGCACCGAGGAATGTCAGGAGACTGAAGGGATCCAGAGGGGAGGAAGCAATCAGCCGGAAGACCACCGAGAAATCACTCTAGCGAGAGAGAGAGAGAGAGAGAGAGAGAGAGAGAGAGAGAGAGAGAGGTTGAAGCACGCACCGGAGGCATCAACGGAGCTCGTCGTGGAATTCATAGTCAGACTCGTCACCGTCGGCGAAGATAGCTCTGTAGAATGCATACGGGCTGTCGATCATCTCCTTCAAGCTTAGCCGGCCGTCTTTGTCTGAATCCGCCTGAAGATTCACATGAAAAAGAAAAACATAGATCAGCCCGGTAGATTATTCGGGTCAATTCTCTGAACATCCAGTAAAAGAAAGTGATACTAAGCTGACCGGACGTGCTCTCATCACGTCTCATGAGATCAAGAGATCTTGGAAAGAGAAATTTTGATATATAAATAAAACTCATATTTAAATAAAACCTATAAATTTGACCACTAGGCCACCACTCTGTGGAGAATCTCAATCGGTCAGCCATGGCTGGTTGGATCGGATCACTGAAGACAAAGTTGACTTGTCAAGATTGAGTCTGACTTCCAAAAAATTGTTTATTTTTTATCTTTTCTAAAATAAAAAATATATAGGGCTTCTTTTCCATTCCTGGATACGGATCCAGGCATCTCCCTTCTGCGGTTAGTTACCCACTGAATAGGAACTGGAACCATAGTAACTTGAAAGTCTGATTAAGATTATGCGGCCATGATCAGACAAGCTTAAGTCAACTAGCACCGAACCAACTTTCTAAGAGGGATCGATCTCTGTGGGGACCATCTGAGTCACATGGATCAGGAGTTGAGACAGACTGTTCGGTTACTTGGCCCCGGAAGATCTTGGCTCGATCTCGCCAACTGATAAACTCAGAGGATAGCAACAAACAAAAACCTAACAAGTTATGCAATTGCTTGCTCAGATTGAGTCAACTGCAATTCCTCAAAAAACCTAGGATTTTTACCCAATTGAGTCAACTGCAATTCCTCAACCGGGACTTGAGAGTCTGGGATTGTGGGGGCCTGGGGAATTTCGGCAACCCATGCACAATGTAGCCCAAGAGAGGACGAGCTCAGATTCAATTCTCTACAGATTAGTCCTAAGAAGGCAAAAGGATGTTTGAGTTGACTCAGGCCATGAATGGTATGAGTCAACCTTTTAGGAATGATCAGTACTCCAAACCCAGTCACCCCACCAACAAGCACACTGACCCCACATCTTCTCTACATGAATGAGTAATTGTTATGTGCATAAACCCAACTTCAAAAAGTTGTGAAAACCATAAGTTTGTTTCTCAAGACAAGAAGAATATATCATATAAATAAATGGGGCCCCCCTTAATTTCAGGGAAGATTCCTCTGTAACTTGGATTTGAACATGAGGGTTACGTAAGGGCAAGAAAAATAAAAATATGAGTTTGATCAGAAGAAGATCAGCCCTCACCTCCTCCACAGCACGTTCAGCCTGTTGCTTTGCATAGTAATGTTCTGATGGGTGAATGATACCAATCACTGATTTCAATTCTTCTTCCGATAAAAGCCTAGAAATTTCCACAAGATTGGCATAAAAAATGGATTATTATTCACCTAGCATTGCACACACACACACCAAGACGTACCCATCATTGTCATGATCGATCTCTGAAAATAGCTTCTTGGCTAGAAACTCAGATGATCGGTCTGATGAAGCGTTGTGGTCATGCTCATTGAAATCTCGAATTGAGTCGAACAATCCACTAAAATATTCTTGAAAGTTGAGCTTCCCATCTTTATCTCTGTCCCTTTGCCTATAAAAGGAAAAGAGAGAGAGAGAGAGAGGTACGAATAATGATGCGATGAAAGGGAAATTAATTAACTGGTTAACTAAAATATGGTCATCCTCGTCTTTAATAAAAAAATTGAGGACTAGCTGTATTGTTCCCATGCAAGAGAACTGTCTAACAAAAAAAATTGGCAACGAAAAAAAAAGAAAAATTGAAATTGATGATATCCGAAGATCTGGCTGAATCAGGCGTCCTGTCGACTGGTGGTCTGAAAGCATTCTCTATCAAAATTTCTCCCCCACTTTTCTTCGTCAAACCCGTTCTAGTTTGTGAATTTTAATTAAAATAATAGCTGATTTCTATCATAACAGAGTACGTTTAGATTCACAGTACATAAGAAACAGAAAAACGATAAGACCCATTCAGAAAATTAATCATGCATTCCATAAAATTTACATTTTTCATGAAAAATAGGTCTTACTTAGACCCAAGAAATTCTCCATAACACATCCCGAGTTATAAATCCATAGACTAATTTTATAGAATAAAAAAAGGGATCATTTAACCATTAACAGGATTATTAGAACTCAAATGGCCATCAATAATTTCACTGGGAATCCATATCACGGTGCACGGTTCATTACCACTCACAAAGCACGCTGGATCTTTTTCGAGATCTTTCGTGCATATGCAGTGATAAAAAATAAAGTGCAATTAAAGTTGACGTGCAAGAGAAAACTAAGAAATCTGTTGCACCTTATCTCCTCTTTGCAGAGCCATAGTATGAGCTTTGGATTGACACTGTCTGATGGATGTAAGAAGCTGTAGAAACGAAAATATATATCAGAAATGAAAAGGAAAGAGATCTAAAGGTAGATGGGATTGGGGTTGGAAGAACAAGTTCGCACTCATTGAACTCGGTTAAGTTCAGAAGGCCGTCTCCGTCGATATCAGAGGCATTAAAATGCTCCTCACTCCACCAGCCATGACTCCCGGTTGAATTATGATCTGCGACAGAAAAAGCGTGGACAGGTTTTAAGAAATGATGAATTTCCGAAACAAGTGGTCCGCATCCACACCCTTTCGTGCTTCATGTCTATATCATCAGCACCACCACCGACCAGGCCTGAGACGAGGGATTGCCTCGCAGTTGCGTCAGATGTCTACATCACAACCTACCCCGACCGCCCCTTATCAAGAACATAAGACGCGCAGCAATGAATAAGCCAAGATTTTTATTGCATACAAGGAACCAAGGCCCACATTTCCCGAAAGGCAAACAAACTCGATTGGCGATGAATTCTTCAAGATATATCAAATGCAGAAATAAATAGAAGGAAGAGGGATCACCATCGGAATGATCTCGCATCCAGCTTGGCGGATCGTACTCCTTGAACGACACGAACCCATCATGGTTCTTGTCGTGCAGCTCCATGTCCCTCTTCGTCCGGTGCAGCGTCTCACTCGCCTCCAGCCGCAGGTTCCACCGGGTCAGCTCGTCCACCGTCAGGAACCCGTCTTCGGGGCTCACATCGATGCTTGGGAACAGGGAGACCAGGCGTAGGGACACGTTGAACCGATCTTCGTCGTTGATGAAGTCTTCTGCATCCATGAAGTCCTCCCACTCCGGCTGGGCCTCCTCGCCCGGAGCCGGATCGGTGTGGGGGAAGGGGAAATGGGCCTTCTCCCACTCCCTGTCCTCCCTGCGCTGCTCAATGTCGAGGATGATGGGATCGAATGGGACCGCATGGTCCCGGGCCCGGCCCTTGGGGGACGCGGAGAAGGAGAAGTTTGACCGCAGTTTGAGGCGGCGGTGATGATGGGAGTGCGTTTCCCTCGGAGTGTAGATGAGGACGAGGAGACCCAGAGCAACAACCGCGTAGAGAATCAAGGCGATGAAGGGTTTCTCCATCCCCTCCCGAGGATGAGGAGGAGGAGGAGGAGGAGGAGACCAGCTTCGAAAACCAGAGCGCAGATCTGATGCGGTGAAGGAGAGGAGGTTGACGAGGAGAGCCTTTTATCCCTCGAGTCAAAACGTGACGCCCGAACCACGTACGGAATTAGTTTCCGTCAGGTCCGTCTGGCGCCTGCAAACCGTCTACAGACGGAAAACGGCCGTCAATCGCTAGGAGCCCCTGTGTTTAATATATTTATGTTTTACCCTTCGGTCTCTCAAATTCCACCCTCCGCTCCAATGGGTGGGATGCGGCGGACCGGGCCGGGCCTGGGACGGTCTGAATGCGAGCTCGGGCCCTTGATTCCTTGGCCGGTCGATGACTAGCCCGTGCCCCGAAAAGTAGGCCCGCTGACAGTGAACACTCGATGCGTTTTTTTACGAAAAGAGTTGAATTACGACGACTGTTAGAAAGTCAAACCCTGCTTCGTCATGCTTGAGATGTGTTCAAGCGTTGACCAACTAATTTGATAGCCGTTTGGGGGCACGAGGCATGTGGCGAGAGAAGACGGATTATGCGGGATTATCATGTTCTCACGACCCAGATCCAAACCACGGGGGATTATCAAAGTCAACGAATAAGTCGACAAGGTCAGCGCTTGCTTGCTGCTGGGGTTTTATACTAGAAGATCACCATCTGCATCCTCCCAAGAATGAGTACAAAGCTGAGACGTTTAGTACAGCAAGAACAAAACGGGATCCTGAAGAATAAAGTCAACGGCCGCGTCAGACCATGGCGCCTCTCCCAAGTCTCTTCCTCAGCAGCTTCACGCCCATGTATCTGGAAGTAAGATAACGACGGTAGAAGCAAAAGTCAGCGCCAAGGGAGGGAAGGGCTTCTCCTATGGGTGAAGATGAAAGAAGCGGGACGACGGCGGAAGGTTACCTGCCCATCATCATGACGGTGCCCTGCGGATTTGTGCCGGGAGAGGTGGCGAAGGTGGAGCCGTCAACGACGCGGAGGCGGCTGACCCCTAGAACCCGGTGGGCAGAGTCAACGACCTGGCCAACATGGCAGCCGCCGTGGTAGTGCCAGATGGTGATGACGGTGTCCCTGCAGAACTGCTCCAGCGAGGAGGTGTCGTTGACGTGCTTGGGGATGAGGTTGACGTTGGCTTTGACCGTCATGTTGAGGAGCATCTCCATGGTGAACTTGTCGACGGCGAGGTCAGCGTAGTGCTTCGTGCGGGCGATCTTTGCCATGGTGCGGACGCCGTAGACGCAGCGACGCAGGTCCTCGGGGTGGCTGAAGTAGTTGAAGGTGACGGCGGGGTTGCTGCTGGGGTCAACGTTGACCAGCGCCAGGTGCCCCCTGGAGAGCGGCCCCACGATCTTCTCCAGCAGGAACCCCCCTTGGAAGGCCTCTCGTGGGAGGTCCTTCTTTCCTTTGATGAACGCCTGAATGGCCTCTCTCGTTCTCTGCTTCGGCGGGAGGGTGGAGAGCTGCCCAATCTGCCATTTTTCACCCACAGTGAGGAAGATAGGTCGTGAGAGAGAGAGAGAGAGAGAGAGAGAGAGAGAGAGAGAGAGAGAGAGAACAGAAGAGAAAGGTTGGTGGCGATGGTGGCGGTGGTGGCGGCGTTGACCTCTGCGGACATGATGCCGTGGTGGCGCTTGATACTGTCAGGGGACTGGCCGAAGCCGCTGCTGGCCTCGATGAAGGAACCGCCTTTGGTGATGCCCACGGTCTGAATGAGGGACTGCTCGACGGGCTTCTTGCTGGGGATGAAGATGGTGTTCATGGGGTTGTCGGACATGCCCTTGCCGACGAACTTGTTGTGCAATACCACCGAGATGTTCATCTTCCTCAGGTGAGACTTGGGCCCGATGCCGCTCAGAAGCAGCATCTGCGGGCTCCCAATGGCACCCGCCGACAGTATCACCTCGCTGTTCTTCCTCTTCTTAAGGAAAGCGCGGTGGCGAACTCCGTGCTCATCGTAGAAGACGACGCCCACCGCCCTTGGTCGCCGCCCTGTATGCATCCCATAAAAGGGAATCAGAGAAAAGAAAGGAGAGAGGAGAGAGTGAGAGGGAGAGAGAGAAACTGACCACTTCGGTCGAAGACGATTCGATGGACGGTGGCGTGGACTAGGACATGAAGATTACGGCGGTTGCCGGAGGAGAGCAGGTCGGCGGCGGTGTGGCGGTACCCGTCCTTATTGAAGATGGTGCCGCCGACCTTGGTACCGTACAGGTGATCGTAGGTGTACCCATTGAACGGAGATATGCCGGCTTCCAGGAGTCCGTCCCTCAGCGCTCGCTGCCACGCCACCAACGCCGGCCACCGGACGATCTGCTTCTCGACCCATGGATAGGACTCGTTAACCAGTTCAGCGTCCCAGCCCGCCTGGGCCAAGAACCTGCAGGGACCAACGAGGTCAACATTAGGGCAAACACGAGATTCACAGATTCAAGAGTCCCACAAAGAAAGGTCAAAACGTCGGACCTTGCGTTGGCGCGGGTGTAGAAACCAGCGTTGATGCAGGTGCCGCCGCCGAGGACGCGGGCGCGGGCATTGATGACGCCGTCAGTGGAGACAAATGCCTGGGAAGCGGAGTACGGCGAGGTGTCGGCGAGGGAGATGTGGAAGTTCTGCATGTAGGAGACGTTGACATTGCCGTATGGAGCTCCCCCACGCTCAAGCACCAGGACGGAGAAGTTCTGCGAGAGGGTCGCCGCCAGCGGGCATCCCGCCGTTCCGCCGCCCACGATGATGTAGTCGTACCCCTTCGCCGGCGCCGTCGATGGGAAGGTGCTCGCCTCCCTGTACCCATCGAACTCCTTCCCTGCGGATTTCCCCACACACAGGGTGAGAAGAGGAAGAAGAAGAAGATTCGACAGTAATGCATCTGCTCTTGGCATCGTGCTGCAGCGATGAACAGGAGAGCGGGGGGGAGGTGGGAACCTTGGGAGGATCCGAGAGCGACGAGGAGCAGCAGTGTCCTGAGGAAGAACGATTCCCCCTTCGAAGCCATCGCCGGTTATAACTCTCCACTGGGCTACCACGAGACGCCTCACTCGTCGGCGCCTCCCCCCCCTCAACGCATGCGTCGTGCGCCGCGTTGCCGGGCACTGGCCAGCCGGCACTCGTCATTTATGTAGTGGAGGATGAGAGATCCGTGACGTCGATTGACAGAGAGAGAGAGAAAGGGTGAACATCGGCCGGCCTCTCCCATCGCTCGGCACAGCTCTCTGCAATTAAGAGAAGGAAAGGACAACTGGGATCACATTTAATGGGCTCATGAATGCATAGTAGGAGCAGGGGGATGCCCTACCCACCACGCGGCGTGTGTAATTGCTCCTACTGGCGGGGATCACGGCCTCAAAAGAGTATCCACATTTTATATTCCGGACAATTTTCGTTCCCCTCGAACCAGGGAAACTGATCTTTTCTTCGATAAGCACAAAAACCTCCGAAAACCCCTCCTCCAGAAACCTCCCGCGACCGGGATGGACCGGCAGGTTTGCTCCTCGCCGAGCTCGAAATCCGAATGCTCTTTGAGTAATCTCTCTCGAACCGAGGAAGTTCGTCAGCTGACGAGCAGATGGAGGACCGGTGGCGACTTCCTCCTTGCGGTTCGCCGTTGCCTAGCGGCCGGGCTTACGCTCGGGCAGCGCCACCTTGTCCTATCTCATCTCGGCTCATTCATTGCCGAGGAGTAGAACGTGAAGGGAGTAGAGATAATTCAAAGCAAAGAAGTTAATGTGGAGGGAGAGAGAGAGAGAGGGGGGGTGGGGCCGGCTGGAGGAGCTCGTGGCCCTCTCCGCTGAAACAGTATACCGTTCTCCCTTGGATAAGAAGGATCGAAAGGGCCCGCTTTAACGAAGACCAGATGGTCTCCAGTAGTGGAGAGGGAGAAGGGTCGCCGTCCTTGTTCCGCTACAATGGGGGAGCCGTCCATTTCCGGAATCCTAGTGTCGTCCCGGGCGGTCCCAGAGAATGACGATTGGGGTTGGCACATTCTGCTCTCTCTCTCTCTCTTTCCCTCTCTATCTACCTATCTATCTTCTCTCTCTTGTGTCCATCACGAAGGTGGATACGCGATAATGACGCGCGGGCACCCTAACCATCTTCCTCCCCTCCGAGTCGGCCGATGAACAGCCAGTATTGCACTCTGCTGTTAAAAGTTCCGTACTTGCTTTCACTGGAGCGTTGTATCTGTCTGCGCTCCACCGATCACTCGCCGACCGTTCATTAAGCTATCTCTCTCTCTCTCTCTCTCTCTCGGTCGCTCGCACTCTCATTCTCTGAGAGCTTTTCTCCCGACTCCTTGAGGATCTCGTTCAATTGGGTAGAGAGCAGTTGCTACGTTCACGTTCTCAGCGCTTCTGCAATCATCCGCGACGTAGATTCATTCCTTCGTCTGCAACCCTTGGCCTGTCGGAGGTCCCGTGTTCTAAAGGGCGTGCGTCCAAAAGCCTGACAGGCCGCTGAGGGAAAGGCCCAGGCCGGAGTTAACGCGGGGGAGGACGAGCCGGAGAAGGAGGCCACCTTCAAGCCCTCCATCAGAGGCTCCGTCGGCGGGGAGGGATAAAGCGGCGGTGGCGCATGAACTGGGGGCGCCGCCCGCCGCCGGCCAAGGGCGGCGTCTTGAAGGAACAGAAAGCAAATTAAAACGGACGACTCGGCCGTAAATGAGTTCTACCCACCCTGCAGCTTCAGTAATGGCGCTCAGGAGCTCCGTTTAAGGAATGTATACGCAGTAGTGTGATGAGGGGGGTGGGGGTGGGGGGGCTCTTCCGCCCCCACGCTGGATTCCCTGATCTGCGTCCCCCTCGTAGATTCGGACGAGTAGAGCCCCATAGATTTGGGGCGGGGGTCAATGAAGAACCCTGGAGGTTGAACGTATCGATCCACGAATTATGGAAATGGTCGGGTGGAAGCGCCAGAAGGGATGAAGGGCTGGGCTTCCGCCGGAGGGGAATGGGCCCCGACGGCTCAGGCACCTCCTATTCAGAGAAACGCTGCACAGAGAGCCTTTACTGTCTGTCACTGGACCCTAAGAACCTGCCTGTCCTGAATCATGCCAAGTGAGGCTTTACTGGCAGGAGGAGGGCACCCTCTGGAAGACGAAGGTCTCGCCCGGCTCTCTGTCCCCGTCCATGCTCGGAAACAGCATTCTGAAGTCAGGGCGGACCCGGGCATTTAGGGCTGTGATCATACGATTGGAGCAACCATTGATCGATCTCGCCGCGTTGTCCTGGCGGCGAATTCAATCTCTCCCCGTACGGACCCAGAAGGCACCGGCGAGGATTGGATCCTCCATGAAGCCGCGGGAGGCGCCCCCGCCGCTGACAGTCGACTTGGAGGAAGACGAGGCGCGCCGTGGAACTGATGATGAATGATAAAGAGAATGATGAAAACTCTCGCTGGCCAATCGTCCGTCACCGCTCCGGCTTCCTCCTTACGAGGACCTCGTTCCTCGCCGAAAACCGGCCACTTCCACCAGTCCTCAGAGGTTCCGAACTGCTGGAATGCCTTCTTAGAGATCCCCGCGCCTCTGCTGCAAACCCTGCGGATGTTCTCGGATTTGCAGAGACTGAGAAGGACGATGCGGCGCCGATTACAGCTTCCTCGTCCTCCGGGTTGAAGCTCCTCCCTGATCCACCCGGGTTGTCGCCGTCATTGCACACCAGCTTCAGCGCCTGAACCACCTCCCCCATGGACGGCCGGTGGGAGACCTCCGGTTGGACGCACATGGAGGCGATGGCGGCCACCTTCGCCACGCCGTCGAATGGGACGCTCGAGCCGAGAGCCGGGTCAACGATGGCCTCCAGATCCTCCTTCCTCGCGAGGAGCGGATGTGCCCAAGCGACCAGGTTTTCTTGCCCGGGGGGTTGCGACATGTCCACGGGCTTCCTCCCCGTGAGGAGCTCCAGGAGGACGACCCCATAGCTGTAGACGTCGCTCTTGACCAGAAGATGCCCGGTCAACGCGTACTCGGGCGCCACGTACCTGCACGAAGGAGAAGACCAACACAGATATACGCATAGGTCAGCGGACGCTGAGCAAAATGAGGGGGAAAAAAATAAAAAAAGAACGCGTCTTTCTCTCTCTAAATCCCTACCCAAAGGTACCCATGACGCGGGTTGAGATATGGTCCTTCCCCTCGTTCAGAGCCGCTCTCGCCAAGCCGAAGTCAGAGACCTTAGGGGTGAAGTTGTGCTCGAGCAGTATGTTGCTGGACTTGAAGTCCCGGTGGATCACTGGGGGGCTTGAATCCTCGTGCAGGTATGCAAGAGCCCTAGCCGAGCCGAGGGCGATCTTAATCCGCGAAGCCCAATCCAGAGGAGCCACTTCCCTGTCCACCCCTGCCGGAAACCAGTCTAAGTGATTAAGCAGAAACCGCATGGCAGGAAGGAAGAACAGCGAATCTAAGCGAAGAAATGGGTGACCAGGTTGAAAGGATCAAATCACAGACGGTAAACGGAACAAATCCATGTTTTCAGATCATAGAGAAAGGGTTGGTTTCGTCTCTCACCATGCAGATGCGACTCCACGCTGCCGTTGGGGATGAGTTCATAGACCAGGCAGCGGAGGTGCTCCTCCGCGCACAGACCGATGAGCTTGACCAGGTTCCTGTGGTGCAGTCGGCTGAGCATCTCGATCTCTGCCAGAAACTCTCGCCCCCCCTGTTGATCGTCTCTCTTGAGCACCTTCACGGCGACCATGGTTCCGTCCTCGAGCGCGCCCTGGTACACGCGGCCGAACCCACCTTCTCCGACGATCCTGGAGTCGTCGAACTTGCCCGTGGCTCTCTCCATCTCCCCCAGACTGAAGGTTCTGTTGGCTCCTGTGTACGTCGCCATGCTCGAACAGAGGGACCCTGATATTGAGCTGGGCCCACTACCCAGCAAGGCCGCCCCCCTTCCCATTCCTAGATGGTATCAGAAGCAGTAATCAACGCACCCCGATGGGACATGTGACAGAAATCAGGTATAAAAAATGTCAATGCTGACGTTCTTACTCAGTGAGTTCTTCATCCAGGGGAGCCTCAACGTGTGCGGCGGACCTGGCAGGGACGAGCCCATATGATCATCCCCTCGTTTCAGCTTCAGTAGCAAGAACCAGGTGGCCCCGGCGCACAACACGACGGCGATGACAGATGAGACGACCAGGACTGCGACGATGCTCGCGCTGAGTTTCTCTCTCCTCTTCCTCACGTCAACTCCAAGAGGCTCGATTGTCCTGGGTTCGTTCTTGCCGCCGGCATCGTCCATCATATCGGAAGTGGGCAAAGGCGGCGACAGAGGGAGCCCTGCAGAGAGTGGGAGAAAGATTGAGAACAAACTCGGACCATCTTCTTTCACCTCATCCTTCAATGGAGAATCGAATGGAGTCTTACCCGGATAATGGACGTACAGGACGTCGTAGTTGCCGAAATATGCAGCGTTTATTCCGATCTGTTTTCGCCAGAATCTTTCGTACGTCCGGAATGCGGAGGCGTGATCGAATATTTTCTGCCCTACAGGCACCAGATCGACGAGGACGATGGTCTTTTCCGGCTGCTCGCTCGCGGCATTTGCTCCCATTATGTGAACTTGGCTCTTATCCATGAAAATCCCGTTTCCGATTTCCTGCGCAAGCTCCGAGACCAGAGGGAAGAAGGTGAAGAGTGCTACAGAAAGGCGCAACTTGACCTTCATCGGCAGCACGCAGACGCAAGGCGACCCAGGAAGCGGATTGGTGTAAGGATCTGCGCATGGCGGGGTCAAGTGGCCTGCAAAACCGATCAGGTGCTCAAATCGGGGAGGTCGAGTGGATTCGCACATACTTTGACCAAGAACTAGATGAAGCGACAGGCGAAGTACTCACACAGATTAGGAGGTGGAGGTGGAAAAACTCGAAAAGGCGGAGCCACCGGGGCCTTTGGTTTCCTCGAGAACGACGCTGAAGGAGAGGGAGAACGAGGGTGCGTCCGCCCTGAGAGATTTCGAAGCACGAGCATGGAAAGATGAAGCAGAGAGAAAGCAGAAGAGAAACTATAAAAGGAAGTATTTCTCCCTACCCTCGACAGGTGACGATGACGGCACCGTCATGGGTGAAGCTTCGGGACTGCTCTCAAAAGACGATGGAGATTCGACAGGAACAGTGGATGGACCTGCAACAGGAGATTTACATCGGTGGTCAGATATATCTCAGCTTAGTTTCACTAAATATTCAGAATCATCGTACCTGCACTCTGAATGAAGGGTGGAGGAGCATGGTGCCTTCCGCCATTCTTGGGCTGCGCAACTGGACTGAGAGAAGGGGCCGGAGAGACTGCAGGACCTGTGATTCAGCACCATAAGCAAAGAAGAAAGAAAATGAAGAACAGAGAGCTAGCCGTAAGAAAGATGATATCTTTCAGCTGCAGTATCTGACTGACCTTCTGTATAGGATGGAGGACTCACTGAAGGAGGTAAGGGAGTTGCACGATGGCGATTTGAGATTGCAGGCGCAGGAGCTGGAGATAACCTGATCGGCGAATGCTTGTGATGGACGGCAGCAGGAGGAGGAGGAGAGCTTGAAGCTGGAACGTGAGCTGAAGAAGGAATCAACACGATCTGATCAGTACCGTCGTCTTTCTCTTCCAGAGACTGTTCACCAACAAGCTCCACCCTCACCTATCACATGCACATGGTTTCGAGGCGATGAGTGATGGGGTGTTTCCTTCGGCGGTGCAGCAGCCATGGGAGCCCCTTTCCTCGTCCTGTGCGTTGGAGGAGAAGCGGCGGGTCTCCGGTCATCTTCTGTGCCTCCACCCTGGCGGGGGGAGATCCCTGGTGCAGGAGCTAGGACCCTTTTGAGCGGCGGAGGCGCAGCTTCATGAGGCACGGGGCTTGAAACTGGGAAGAGACCTGATGAGAGGATCAAAGCATCCCGCATCAGCATCCTGATAATCTTCTCTAGACTGTATTCCACCAGCTGGTTTCATGAGCACCTCCGACGGGAGGAGGAGCAGCTTCAGGGGATGAGCTCCCGGCTGGTGGAGCAGCAGGACCTGAATCTTGCGTTAATGGAGTTCGCGACAAGAATGAACGTAAAACCTGGAGAATTTCACGCCGAGAAACGCACCCCGAGAGCTTACCAGGAGAATTTCTTGGGGGAGCTGCGCGTGGTGATGACGGAGGGAGATCTGAGAAGTTGCTGTGCCCGGTTGGGGGCTCTGCGGGTGATGATATCCACGGAGGAGGAGTATCTGGAGCAAAACGCAATGGTGACAGAAATCTAAACTAGAGAGGAAGGAAATCCGTAGATCTAGTAGAGCTCCTGACCTGGGTCTAGGGGCGCCGCCGTTGGAGCATTGCTGATGGGCGACGACGGAGAGATCAACCAAGAAGGTGGAAGCCCATCAGCTGCAGGAAATGAGTCACGAGGGAGATGATCTTCCTGGAACGGATTCTAGGAGGGGAAGTTGGTAGGATGCAAGGATCGCGTCTCACCTTCAGTCGCAGCGGATGGAGCTTCGGACTTTGGCGATGGTGGGGGACTGGCGGAGGGTGATGTTGCAGGGGCAAAGACCAGCTCTCTGCCTGCATGAGAAAAATACCTCACCTTTAATCCATAGAAAATGAAGTTGATCCTTCTGTTTGAATAATCATTTAATCAAAAATAAAAATCTCGAGCATTTTTCCATGGTTTTGGACTATGATACTTTGGAATATAGATCTATGTCTGTGGCAGTCGATTATATGGAGTGTTCATGACCTTCACGCAGTATCATGCAAGAAAGAGACGATGAACCACAAGAACAGCGATTAATTCCTGAAAAAAAAAAACTGGGGATAAAAGATAACAAAATCGTAAGATGCATTTAATGACCCATGTGGAAATAGCAGCATTTGATGCCAAGAAACAGTGAAGACATGACCAGGAAGATCCTTGAGAAATATTCCTACCCTCTCCAGATCAAGAAATACTCCCAACATGGGTTCTGAGAAACATTACAGAAATAGGAAGATCGAGGAGCATCCCCCCACTCTATCACAAATAGTAATGAGAACCCTCCTTGAAGGGTAGTTCTGCTGTTCTTCAGGAGAGCTTCCTCGGACTCACCATGGCAGATTCCCTCAGATATATGAATATGAGAAAACTCTGAACGAGTGAGGTGCGTCGGCCTCTGCGTTGACTAAAAAAAATAAGTCTACTGATCTTTGGGTGCAGCATAACTCCCTCCTGTTTTTGCCGTTCCAAAGATTATGGAGCGAATGTTCACTGACTTTGACAAGAACGAGAGCCAAGAGCAGCTGACAGACAAGATCAGAGTAGTATCCCCTTCGAGGATCTACTGTCGGAACTGCCCAGATCTGGATATTTTCCGGAAGAACAGGAGGCAACTACTGGTGCGAGTGGACGAAGAAGGAAAGATGATCGAGTGCGCGATTGATCCCAAATCGCGATTATAAAAACCGGTTTACACACGGAACGGAGAAGCCAATGCGCATAAGACCGTTACCTACGGAGCCGTGAACTCCCGCGAGAATGATGGCCAAACAGAGAATCCAAGACGAACAAATCTCAATCTCTGTCCGCCGATCCATCTTCTCCTTCCCGCATGGCAGCGGTCGGAAGATCAGACCTTCTGTAAGAAGCTACGAGCCCGCCGCAGAAAGCGCCGGTTCCTCTCCGAACAGGGAGGTAGAAAGGGATGGATAATCAATCAGCTGCGACGCGCTTCGAACAATAGCTGAGAAGACTCTGAACTGGCGAGCAACTGCTAACGAATTAGAACCAGCGCCATTCCCTCCCCCTCAACCTCCTAACGCCAGCCAGAAACATCGGGAGAAGGCGAAGGACAGGAGACCCAAATTGGGGTACGCTCAGCGATCGACCAGCGGAAGGCAGTGATGTAGCACGAGCCCTGGTTTTCCTTTCGAGCGCCTGGCAATCGAGAGAGGGAATCCCGATGACGGAGACGACCCTCCTTCCTCCGTAGTCATTGGGTCGAAGGAGAGACGCGGCTCGATCAGGGCCTGCACGCGAGTTCCCCACCCGGGGGCTCGCAGGTTCCTGGGAGAGACGGGAGGGACAACGCCGGCTTAAAGGAGATTAAAGAATAAAAGGGAGAAAGAAGGAGGACAACGATGATCTTTGATCTTTGAAAACGACGCGCGCTGTGGGAGAGACCAGATTTCGAACGCTCTGATGTGTAGCTTTAGCACGCAGCACCCATCGCCCGCCCACCTCCTCTCCTCTCCACTCCGCTGTCCTGATGCGACAGAGAAACGGGCAGAAGGATCCTTCGTCCTGATGCGAGAGGAGGAATCGGCAGGTCAAATTGGAGAAGACGACCACCTCCTCCCCTTCAATGGCGTATGGTCGCCGCGAGTATTCCTCCCCACCCGCCTTCTTCCTCCCCAAAGATTCCGCCTTTACGGGTCGGTGCCCTCTGACACTCCCCCAACCCCCCCAAGCAACCGTCGTTGAGGGCCAGGAATTTTAATTATGTTCAAAATCATTTATAAACTATTTCGACAAGAAATAGACCGTCAATCGCGACTAAATCCGTACATGAGCATATTAATATATATAATAATAATAATTATCAGATAATAACGTCGCACTGAACTTCCTCCGCCCGTAGATAACAAAACTGACGGCTGATAAAACAGAGCACATGAGCATATATTTTCGGACGGTTCTGTCGGCAGGGCACTCGAACGTGCGGATGAGAGAGAAACAAGAGAGAGAGAGAAAGAGGCGTCGCCGGCGGATCAGCACCGCCTGGTGGGTCCTCCTGCCCCCTCGAGAGAATCCGATCTGAAGGCCGGGCCAAGCGAGAACGGCGGCGGATATAGAGCCGTCACAGCAGCCGATGGACCTCACCTCGTAGGGGCATCTTCGGAGATCCGGACAGCCCAACCAGCACGTGATCGAATCCGACAGCACGTGCAGCCCAAAGTGGGGGAGGGGGAGAGATGAGGCAGAAAAAGGACGGCTCTTTATCTTTCTTTACCAGGCACGTGCGGGGCGATCTTCACCCGCACGCTTCTTCCCTCCTTTGCCTCCTCCCCCTTCACCCTCTGCTACCCACGCATTCACTTGTGGTGGTAGAAAAAACGTTGACTTTTGACGTCATATGGACAGAGTATGATATTTCTAGTAAATGTTATGAAAATATTTTTATATTGACATTTCTACAAAGACGTCGATAATGGCTTTAATTATTATTTTATTTGTTATTATTATTCCCGTTTTCTTATTTAATTTAATGAACTTGTGGGTCGATTTTATGCGATCTTAAAAACATTAAAAATAAATACCCAATTATAAATGATCGTGAGCTCAATAGCTCAACAGATACAACGATATACTTAAAATTTAAATAAAAGGCATAAGTCAACGCTTGTCCTTCGTCGAAACGTACCGTCCATCTATCAATCACAAACGGTCGGAAGAGTAACGAATGTTTTCATTAAATAATAAATATTTTATTTCTCACAAATTCATAAAAATACAATCCACGGCAGCGGGGGGCGAGTGGGATCGGACGGGGAAATCCCGAATCGGGAGGCTGCTATGAAACGGTCTCTTGGGGGCGGGGCGAGTCCTGGATCGTCCGATTCCCGAGTGACCGAGTGAGAATTGGGGGGGGGGGGTGGGGGGAGATCATCACTCGCCTGTGTAATCACAGCCATCGACGTGATCTGATCGACGCAGACGTGGCGGCTGTTCCATTGTCAACGATGTCCACTTGTCGAAAAAGTGCTGCACGGAACTGGAGGTCATTCCATTCACGGCATCCCCATCTACACCGTTCCTTCCGGTCTGACCCGTCCTGCCACCCCCTCGCACCGTTTGGAACGGCGTAAACGGCCGTATTTGTCGAATAATCTGACCATCCAGACGGGGTTAGGAACTCCAACGATTTCCACGGAATCCGTCATACGATCGCCATAGCCTCACCGGCACGTGGCAATACAACCGGTCTTGGAATTGTTTGTTTATTGTGGGCCGAAATGTCGACATTCTGTCAATTCGAGGCCCACAATCAAAAGCCACATGGATCAAACTACTTGCCATATAAGGCGGCGGGAGAACTCTCGCTGCTGTTCGAGCGAGAAATGACGACATCGTCAGCTCTTCAAAGAGGTGGACGGGGAGCGGCCGCCCCGCGCTTCCCCTCAGCTTCGAGCCTCATCTCCTTCTCTTCTTCTTCTTCTTCGTCTGCTACTTCGATTTCTGATATACGGGGCAGTCGGAGTCGCCTGGTCTGCGGGGAATACGCCGTCACTGAGAGAGAGTAGAAAGAGGCGAACGGAGGGAATCGGAAGGGAAGGTGGCGCTGGTCAGGTGGGGGGCATCTCATCTCGCCTTGCGAGAGTAGACCCGTTGCAGAATATGGCCTTGTACGAGGTAACTCGATTGAGCATGTCATCCATGGCAGTGTTCTTCCGTATCCTGCAATTCCCCTATCTTATGCTGTTCCTGCAAACGGTTTTTGCAGGATCTGGAGCCCGCGTTATCCCTTACTCGGTTCCGCGGTGTGGTCCAGAATTTTTCCGGTAATTGGGGACCACAGAAACCCTCGATCCCCTTCTGGTTCCGTTGGATTCATCTTCATCTTCATTGGTTCAGTGGCTTTGGATTTTGATTGTTCTTCGTCCCTTCGGCGATTGGTGTTGCAGATGGCTTAATCCGGCAGGTGTCCGCATCCACGGGCAACACAGATTGCTCCGACGGCAAGGCCGACGACTGCAGGGACGATGCGGACGCTTTCCGGTTGAAATTGGTGGCTATCGCGGTGATCCTGACGACGAGCGTGGTGGGAATCGCGATCCCTCTGTTAGGGCGGAAGCGGCGGTTCCTGAGAACGGACTCGAGCACGTTCGCCCTGATCAAGGCCTTCGCCGCTGGGGTCATCCTCGCCACGGGGTTCGTCCACATGCTCCCCGACGGGCAAGATGCCCTCACCAATCCCTGCCTCCCGCACTGGCCATGGTCGGAGTTCCCTTTCCCCGGGTTCATCGCGATGATTGCGTCTCTGGGGACTCTGGTTCTCGATTTCCTCGGCACTCAGTTCTACATGCGGAAGCACCGGAAGGAGCGAGGGGAGCCGAAGGCGACGGCGCCGCCGGTGGCGGAGACAGACGAGGAGAGAAGGATGGGCATCTCCTCTGCAACAGAGGTCGAGGTCGAGGAGGTGGCGGCGACCGCGGGCGGCAAGGATCACGAATCCATGCACATCGTCGGCATGTACGCCCACGCCGCCGCGCATCGTCACAGTCACCCTCACCGTCACGCCCCCTGCGAAGGCAGCGCGCCGTCTGCTCTCTCGCCGCGGGGGGACGACGGCGACAGCGGCGACGAGTCTTCCCATGTTCGCCACGTCGTGGTCTCCCAGGTAAGCTCCGTCTGTCTTCTTGCCCTGTAAAGATCGATCGATCGATCGATTCTCTGTGCCAAGATGTGTGAGTTTTGGCGGTGGATGGGATCAGATTCTGGAGCTGGGCATCGTCTCGCACTCGATGATCATCGGGCTCTCTCTCGGGGTGTCGCAGAGTCCCTGCACCATCCGGCCATTGATCGGAGCTCTGGGCTTCCACCAGTTCTTCGAAGGTTTCGCGCTCGGCGGCTGCATCTCCCAGGTACGCCGCCGACGATTGTCCTGTCTCACTCCCCTTCATCATCCCCGGCGACGGCGGCGATCATCGCGTTGACTGACTCAATCGACGACCGCCGGTGGTGGAATTTCAGGCGCAGTTCCAGGCCAAGGCGGCGACTTTCATGGCGTGCTTCTTCGCGATCACTACGCCGTCGGGGATCGCGGCGGGGGCGGCGCTGTCGTCAGTGTACAATGCCAACAGCCCGAGAGCGCTGGTGGTGGAGGGGGTCCTCGACTCGGTCTCCGCCGGCATCCTCATCTACATGGCCCTCGTTGACCTCATCGGCGCTGACTTTCATAGCCGCAGCATGAGCTGCAGCACCCGCCTCCAGGTGCTGTCCTACGTGGCCCTCTTCTTCGGGGCCCTCTCCATGGCCCTCCTAGCCCTGTGGGCCTAGACGGCGGCCTTTTCACTCCCTCCCTCTTTTTTGGAACCCCGGTCAAATTGCGCTGAAAGGCCGCCGAGTCGGCGATTACGTCACCAGTCCACGGGTGTAATGCGGGCCCCAGCGTGCCAACGTGTTATCTTATCCGATGGTGGCGGTTGAATTTTGTTATTATTGGGCAATTGTTATGACAATAAGGAAAGTTTTCTGCTCTCTATGTTGGGAAGGTGAATTCTTGGCTGGAGTCGAAGGGTCCACCTCGATTAGTTGGCAGCCGACGGTGTAGATAATGGCACGTCAGCGTCATGCCAATGTGGATCCCTACATGGCGAGGTGGGCGTGGTCGGACCGGGCAGATCGGCCCGGCCGGGGCCGGTCTAAACCGAACCGGTGGGACGACCCGCAGCGTGGTGTTTCGAGGGGACATTTTAGTTGTTTCAGTTCTGCTTACTGGTTTCCTTCTTGCCGGAGCGCTAGAGAGAGAGAGAGAGTGAGCGGGAGAGAGGAGCTGAGTCTGGACAGGTTGAAGGGGAGAGGGGTGCGGAGGACGGAGATGAGGGATCGGGGGAAGGCCGGACAGCCGTCGGTGGACGAGAGATACACGCAGTGGAAATCTTTGGTGCCGGTGCTGTACGACTGGTTCGCCAACCACAACCTCGTCTGGCCGTCGCTCTCTTGCAGGTATTGATCTCGTTCCCTATCTTCGATCGTCTTTCCTCTCTCTTTTTTCGCCTTCACTTCACTTCTCTGCTCCTTCGATCTTCGCTCATTTCACTCTGTCTGTAGCTTTTTTAGGGTTTTACTAGGGTTTAGAACGGTAACCACGCGCTGTTCAGTCTGCAGCTCTGTTTCCTAAGTTTTACTGTTATTTCTATCCGCGGGATTGTTTCTTGAAGACGATAGAAATATAGTGAGAACACAGCATGGGTCCTTGCCATATCTTCATATTGATTAGCGGTTTGGGAGATATTAATCTTGATGCCTGGGGTTTGCGGTCACTTATAGGTTCCGGCTTTTCGAAATCGTTTGTTATTGGGGCACTAATTGCTGAAAAAATGGCGGTATATTCTTCCGTCTCGTGTTGGGTGTGAAAAATGAATTGTTTGAAAGTTATTGGAATTGATTCAGTTGGGGCGGTGCTATTCTCCAAGCTTCATAGAAGAAGAATTTGGACATCCTAGTGCATCACGACGACAGGGCTGTTGGGAGAAAGAGTGCGTATCTTATGTTGATCGTGGCTATTAAAAATATACGCGGGATGTTGTATGTATATAAAAATGGATTCTGGGAAAGGATCTGAGCGTATTTAACCGTGAAGGGTTTCACTTTTCTGTCTCATCTCTCGACCATAATCTAGAAATATTCAACAATCACTGTTCTCCGACTCAGAGTTCTAAACTTTTTTTTACTTAACAGTGATGATAGTAAGATGTATTGTTCAGTGTCTCTGGTATATACAAAAGTTGAAAATTCACCCGAGAATTTATTTTTTTTCCTTTCTTAGATATGTCTATCAAGCAAGAATTAGCACGATCTTGGTACTAATGACCTGAAAAGTTCTTGTGCGTCACATTGATTTGTGTAGATGGGGACCTCAACTGGAGCAGGCAACGTATAAGAATCGGCAACGTCTCTATTTGTCTGAACAGGTTTGTAGCATTAACATTGCGGCTCCTTGGTTATCCATCATCTGAACGATAAACTTCGTCATTTGAAGATTCTAGTGCTCTGGGAGTTTATGAATGCTTTCTCTTCCTGAAAATTTATAACTTTTCAATGATTTGATCTGGCGTTTAGATACCCTTCTATTGATATTCCTCTGAGAGTTGCATGTAGCATTGAAGAATATGAATACAGGAGGAAAAATCCATCAAAAAGGTTGCAACTTTTCTGTTCTGTAGATGTTATTAATGTGTGGGCTGGAATCATAAATTTAAATCGATTATATGCAGTTGGTGTGAAAATCCCTGCCTATGGCCTAAATCCGGGTTTGATTTTTGCCTAGTCCAATAAAGCAGAGTTCAATTTAATGGTGCTGAAGTTAACAACGTTTTCACACGACCAAACCTGAGTCTTATGAGTTTTGGACGACTATTGCTCTCAACTCTTGTTGTCTCCATTGTGGATCTCAATTCTCTGTTTTTGTTCAATGCAAAAAAGGTTTTCATGCTGTTCATTTCTCTTGTTTTCTCTTTAATTATTTTTTAATATTGTACTTGAAGTTTGCCAAAAAAGGATTGCTGATTCGCCATCAGTTTTTTTGTGGCTCGGCAGAATTCGTCCTGACATGGTTCATAAGGGGTGGTTTGGTTCTGATACGGGTCATACTTCAATTTTCGTTCGGTGTCGGTAGAAGGGAACATAGTTTACCGTTCAGAGTAAAACTATTTGGTCCTGATATGTGGCTAATTGTTTGTCATGGTTTTTCTAGTCCTCATACTTTTATATTGTTGACTTCTTGTGGTATCCCTTGGACCTTTTTTGTTTAATGTGGCTTTTATTCTTCTCTGTTATAGTTCCAGCTATAGTTACCGTTATGATATCTAACTGTATCTTGATTATTTGTTTTATACTAATCTGAAATTGATGGTCTTGCCCTGTGACTTGACAAATTTGCATAATTGCAGACCGATGGAACTGTTCCTAATACTCTTGTCATCGCAAATTGTGAAATAGTAAAACCAAGGGTTGCAGCTGCAGAGCATATATCACAGGTCTGCAGTAATTTAATTATCTTTCTACAGCATCTGAATTATTTAGTTCATGCTTTTCTTGAGTGAAATGCATCGTGTGTGCTTGAGGTTGGGCCGGACGCTTTTTCAGCTGCTCCATATGAAGTGTTATATTAAAGTGAATCGAGTCAATTAAAAAAAAAATCACCTTAAATACTCTTATTTTTTCTTAGACAGCCTTCCTTTCCTGCACTGGGTAGGCCCTATCTGTACTTTGATAGGTTCTGGTCTATGAGCCCAGAGTCAGTCTGCCTCCCCTTGCCAGTGCCTATCCCCCGATTCGGGAGCCCTGTATGTATCTTTCTAGTAGGGTCTGGGCTTCGTAGTGGTCTGCCTTATTGCTCTCTCCCAGGGTTCTTGTTCACCTTTCGCTCGTTAAACGTACCTGACGTTCATTTTTTCTGGGCAAGGCCCGAGCCTGGCTTATTGATTTTTTTAAAATAGATGCATTGCTGAAATATTTTATTTCGTTTTTCATCCTACTGTTTAGTCATTATCATTCTGTGCTTGCCATGGGTGGAAGTAATCAAATAATTTAGTTATTGCCGAAATATTTCTCTGCAGATATCGATTGTTGTCATCATTGTTAGATGCTAGGATTCTGGCTTTTGAATATTCTGAATGCCTGTCATGGTGGCTAAACATAGAGACCTCACAGCCCTTAGAAAGGGAATCCTTTGGTAGTATTGTGAGTCGTGTGCATCTTCAATAGAGTTTACGATCCATAACTATGATGATTTTTTCGTAATTGTTTTAGCCTGAATCAGGGGAAGACGGCCTATTCTTGCGGAGCTGTGAACAGAATCCTTGAAAGCAGTCATAAGTTGGTTTCATGCTGGTTTAATGGACCTATCGACAGAAACTGATTTTATATGGGGGTTTCACGTGTCATTTTCTTGATCACTCTTGTATATTTAGCTTTTTCTGTTATGTGTGGCTTTATTTGTTATTGTGGATGTCTTCTGTCCTTGAAACTAACCTGTTATCTAACATTAATTCAAATACTACGTATCATAATTGGCTGCATTTATCTCTTTCAGTTCAATGAAGAAGCTCGATCTCCCTTTGTGAAGAAGTTCAAAACTATCATTCATCCTGGGGAGGTAAGGACTTTCCATATTAAAAAACTTTTCTTGTGCTCTTGGAATTAACCTTCTCGCAATCCAGTCCAATTGCTTTGGCAAGTGCCTTCAAAGTCTTACTCTATGTTGGGGATGTGCGAGTCACATTAGCTTGTGTAATGATATACTTCGGAACCACCAGAACTTGGGAAGACTATGTGCTTCTGTGTCCTACTTATTTCGTAATGAAGTCATCATGGACTTTTGCAGATTCTGGTAATGAACCAAAGGCCACAATGTGTGATATCATTAATTTTAAATCATTCCTGTTTTCCATAAACCAAAGAATGGATTGGCTTTGGCCTGACGTCAATGTACCCTGATCTGCTGGGTTGGCTGTTTGTTCAATATAAATTTGCGTTGTTTGCAGTTGTCGGCTGGATTTATTAGTCTTAGATCCGTATGGAAAGTCTACTGAACTATCTAAGCTGGTTGTTGTCTTTTTCCTTTCAGGTCAACAGAATTCGGGAACTACCGCAGAATAGTAGGATAGTAGCCACACATACTGACAGTCCTGATGTATGTTTTCATGAATGTCTTTAATGGTCGAAATGAAAGTCTGAATGTGCGTCATTGTGTTTATTGTCTTTTTCTTTTTACGGGGTCTTAAGGCAACCTATTTTCCCGTTTAGGTTCTCATTTGGGATGTTGAGTCTCAACCGAATCGTCATGCTGTCCTTGGTGCTGCTGATTCACGTCCTGACTTGGTATTTTCCTCTTGATGACAATTATTTGATTGGATAAAACATTTTCTCCACAGGAATTTCAGAGGCCTGAATGCCCGTGATTTTTTGTAGTTGAAACCTGGAATGGCCATCTATGGTTCGCAATCCAAGCATTTAATAATCTTTGTAATATATAATGTTTTGAATAAAATTTGGCTCTTGTGCAATTTACTTTTTACTGTCTATGTACTCCTTTGGAACTCTTTGATTATTAGTTTTTTTTTATAATTCTGATATCACTTGGTCAGGCCAGACTTACTGCCCCTATAGTTTTGGTTTTGTGCAAGTTTTAAATTTTTGGCTGCTTTATATATATTCTAAATCTTGAACGCTTCTCACTTGGCTGTTGTTATCACAAGATATTGACAGGACATGAGGATAATGCTGAATTTGCCCTCGCCATGTGCCCCACAGAACCCTTCGTATTATCTGGAGGTCTGGATCTTACCTGTTTTAATTTTTTTATTTTCTAAAAAATTGGAAATTCTTTAATCAACATTGAGAAAACTTAGTTTGGCTCTCATCAAACTATATTTATTTCTATCATTTTTCATTTTATTCTGTTTAACTTGCTCTCGTTTGTTATTGGATGGCTGTTCAAATTATATATGTAAAAGATAATTGGTAACTTAACTGCTCAGAGCAACCCAGCTGGTGCAACCTCGGCTGATGACTTTTTTTGTTATCCTACAGGAGTCATACAATATTTTTTTAAAATTTTGTCTAAGCTTTTTCTTGCTCCATTGGCTTTACAGGGAAAGACAAATCAGTTGTTTTGTGGAGCATTCAAGATCATATCTCTGCTGCAGCTGAGGCTTCGGCCAAGTCTCCTGGATCTTCTGGGAGCTCAGTAATTAAACCTTCAAAGGCTGGGAGCGAGAAAGTTTCAGACAGCCCTGTGATTGGTCCCCGTGGTGTCTATCTTGGTCACGATGATACAGTTGAAGATGTACAATTCTGCCCCTCTAGGTAAGGAAAGATAGTCTTAAGCAAGTATGGACTTCATCATCGTATCATTAGTCCGGAGTCTTCTCAGTCACAGTCTCCAGGGGCCTGAAGTCTTTTACTTGTCCAATAATTTTAGTTTTTTTTTCATCTTTCAACTTGGTAACTAGTTTATCAGTGCTGGCTATCTATAAATTGAGATGTTTTCACTTAGTTATTTATTTATTACATATTGGTATTTAAGGTTAGCTGCTTTGACTTTTTCAACGCTCTTCAGTACCGATTTGCTGTAATCACTGATGAACGTTCTTAAATGAACTTAAGCGCACAGGAATTTTGTAGCGTAGGCGATGATTCTTGTCTGATATTCTGGGATGCTCGAGTTGGTACGGCTCCATGCATCAAGGTAAGCTCTTTTGCTACACATTTGATTTCTTTCATATTTTCCCATGTCTATGCTACGCGGTTGTGTTTCTCTGTTTTCCATCTGTGCTAATTGGGTCCTCTAGATCATGGCATCCATGTGAAAAAGATACAGTCAAGGCAATTAAACACGTTAAGCTGCAAGAAATTCTCTTGAAGAAAGAATCACAATAAAGCAATGTATCATCTTTGTTGGTTTGCATGTGAGCTCTCATGATGTTATCAACCTTCCTGTTCTCAACAGGTTGAGAAGGCCCACGATGCTGATCTTCATTGCGTTGACTGGAATCCACATGATCAGAATCTTATCCTAACAGGGTATATATAGCTCCCCTCTCAGTGTCTCTCATCTTCGTCTTACCCCAGATCTTCTTGTAGTTAATGATTTCTCTCTCCTTTGACTTTATGCCTTCAGGTCTGCAGATAACTCGGTTAGAATGTTTGATCGCCGGAACCTCAGCTCGGGTGGAATTGGTTCACCCATTCACAGATTTGACGGTCACAAAGCATCTGTTCTTTGTGTCCAGGCATGAAACTTATTTATTTATTTATTAATCTATACGACTTTCTGATCTCGATCTGCTGTCACACTGCGCTTTCCCTTCGATTACAGTGGTCCCCAGATAAAGCATCAGTCTTCGGGAGTGCTGCAGAGGACGGCTTCCTAAATATTTGGGATCTTGACAAGGTATGAAGCTTTTATTTTATTTTATTTTCAAAAAAAATAAAATTAGTAGAAAAAAAATGGAGCTGCTCTCTCTCACTCTTCCTTCTCTCTTGGTCTCGAAGGTGGGCAAGAAGCAAGAACGTTCTGGGACAAGGACCCAGAACGCCCCCCCCGGTCTGTTCTTTCAGCACGCGGGTCACAGGTGCCCCCACCCCCACGTTCATCATCTTCGCCCTCTGCCCGGCCGGCTCTCATCCCTTCCTTCACACGTGCGTGCAGAGACAAAGTCGTTGACTTTCATTGGAACGCCTCCGACCCTTGGACCATTGTCAGCGTGTCCGACGACTGCGAGAGCACCGGCGGCGGCGGAACTTTGCAGGTACACATACACGTGACCGTCACATTTCTACAGCCGTTGACTATATATATATATATATATATATAGTCCTGGCTTTTTATTTCTTCCCCAAGATCCTAGACCCAAAATCCTTTTCTGGGTTTATTTTTTATTTTTTATCCTAAATGATGCTATCTTTGGTATGCAGATGTGGCGCATGAGTGACCTGATCTACCGGCCCGAAGAGGAGGTTCTCGCCGAGCTGGAGAAGTTCAAGCAGCACATACAGACGTGCTCCAAGAGGCCCTGACCAGGAGGTAGTTGACTAGTCCTTCTTGTTCTTGGACAGACGTCGGAGACTCCAAGCCCTTTCCCATAACCTGGGACCGGCCGCCGTCGGATCGCTGACCATTTTGTTCCTGTCGGGCGTAGTTAATCTACAGTGAACACCGCGAATTCTAGCTCTGATGGGTTCAAATCCAAGTCTAAGGGAGATGGTATTGCCCATAAAAAATATTAGGATAATGTTAGGATAATATTAGGATAAAAAATATTAGCATATAGAAAACGTATGGAAATTATGAGATATCCCCATGAGTTAGGACCGGCCGCATTTTAATATACAATTTAATTAAAGTAAGAATTATACAGCTGACGTGTAAAATCGGTGGGGCTAAGATTAGCATACAGAATGCAGACCATGTTGACCATGTTTTGGTGGGCGTACTTAATTTTACTATGAAGAGTAAAAATCATATCTTTGACGCTCAAAAATCTAAGGGGGGAGGGGGGGAGCATTATCGCCCATATAAAATTAGCATAAAAATAGTACATAAAAAGCGGAATATGAAAATTATAAGTCACGTTGACCATGGTGTTTTGGTGGGTCCACGTAATTTACAATGGAGAATAAAAGTCATATCTTTAACACGTAAAAAACTAAGTGGGTAGAGGGTTATTATTGTCCATATAAAATAAGCATAAAATTATAAGTCACGTTGACCATGTTGACCGTGCTGTTTTGGTGGGTACGTAATTTATAATGGAGACTAAAAATCATATCTTTGACGCATAAAAATCTAAGTGGGTGGAGATATTATTGCCCATATAAAGTTAGTGTAATGTAGATGAAGGAGAGGAGAAGAGAGGAGAGCGTGTAGGAAGAGGAGAAGAGCCACGGTTTTCTACGCGAGCGTGTTTCCGTGAAGAGTGGTGATATCCAATCCGTATTATTTATTTTTTAACAAATTCGTAATTTTCTTTAAAGGATTTTATTATCGGTGGGACGTAGAGGCGGGTTCGGCGGTGACCTGGAGAGGAGGGTGGTGAAATTTAGGCGGTGGTGACCGACTGGCGCATGCGGCCTGTAGCGGCCGTTTCGGCCGTTGGAGCTCGACAGGAGCGAGTGACGGGATCCCAGCCTAGGCGCGAGGGAGGTGAGAAACGTTCTCCCTGGCCCGCCTCTCTCTCGCTCGCTCGCTTTCTGTGGCGTCGTCTTCCTCGCTGAGGCGGTTGGAGAATGGACAGGAGCGGGGAGTCCGGTCGTCCTCCTTTTCGCGTGAGGAGAGTGCGAGGAAGGGTGAACGGAGAGAGGGAGACGGAGGGAGAAATGGGGCCTCCGCAGGGGATAGAAGTCCTGCGGCGGAGGGCGAGCGTCCTGAGGGAGTCACTGCAGAAGAGCCAGACCAACACCGACGCAATGGTGTCCATCCTTGGCTCGTTCGATCACCGCCTCTCTGCCCTCGAGGCGGCGATGCGTCCCATTCAGGTTTTTCCGCATCCCTCGACCGGCATTATGCTACCTAAAGATATTCTAACCATTCCTCTTCGTGCATTAAATCATTAATTTTATCATATTTCTCTTTCGGTTTTGATCAAACACCACGAGACTGTGAGCTATGCATTAAACTGCATGAAGGACATAACCATTCCATTTTCATGCAGTTATTAGCATTCACGAGGCCAATTGCATTTATTAAATAGATCTATCGGATACCTTCTTTTAGTCAGTAAATAAATTTTCAACTCGAAAAATGGTTAAAAATTCCTACTGCAGCGTTATGATGCCTATAAATGTAAATAATTCATTTAGGGTGGATAATTTATTATTTAAATTATAAGAGTCCCGTATACTTTCATCCTTTTTAAAACTTTTTGAGACTCCATCCGCTTGATAATTCTATTAGGTATAGCTTGATTTTTCTTACGCTTCTCGTGCAGGTGAGGACCCATGCCATCAGGAGGGCTCACGAAAACATTGACAAGACACTAAAGTCTGCAGCGATAATTCTGTCTCAGTTTGATCTTTCACGCGAGGTTTTCTTTCCTCAAATCACTTTTATTTTTTTTCTTGACCTTTATAATATATTAAAAGTTCTTCACGGGATAGAGACATGCAAGGAATGGTGTGGAAATCCTTATGCTAAAAAAATGGGAAAATGAGGGTTCCCTTTTAAAATTGTAGGCAGAAGCAAAGATTCTTAAAGGGCCACACGAGGATTTGGAAAGTTACTTGGAGGCGGTTGAGCAGCTGAGAAGCAACGTACGCTTCTTCAGTTCAAACAAAAGCTTCAAAAGTAGTGATGGAGTCCTTAACCACGCAAATAACTTGTTGGCAAAGGCAATTTTAAAGTTAGAGGAAGAATTCAGACAGTTGTTATCAAATTACAGGTTTGTGATTATCCGCCGACCACAAACTTATCGTGTTTACTTCTCAAGCGTCTTTCATTTACGAAGTTGTGTAGTTTTCAGAGAATGTCTCTTGACATTATCGTTCAATTTTTTACGCTTTTCTTTTTTAAAAAATATTATATATAAAACCTTCGGAAGCTTCTGTCTTTGCTGATATTTTGCATCACCAAAAGATTTCGATGCCCGCTGTGAAAACTGGGAATGGGAAGGTAAGTAGATTTCTTTCACAAAAAAATATTTTAAATTCTATTAATTCGTGAATTTTGAAGTAGGATTTCCTACATGGAATGAAACAACATGGATATGAGAATATGCTATCCGCTGTGCTCATTTTTCTTAGACTTTTTAAGATTTGCTTAAAGAAAAATATGAACACTCACTAACAAGATTAATATCTCCCATGAACGGCAAAGTCAACGAAGTTCGGGGAAAATGCGATAACTTGCCTTTGTACCTGAGGATTAAAGACAGAAAATGGGAAAAAAATGGCGACCTTAAAACACAAATGTGTAAGTCTAAAGTGACTTGAATGAGAGGGATAGTATTAAATTAGATTGTCAACTTTCTATTAAAAAATACGCAGTCAAATATTTCCTCTATAAAGAATATATGGAAATAGAGGCTAGGCCTACCCAAAGTTAGGAAGACAGAGGTGAAAGACAGCGAGATATATGTGTGCATGAACAAGCTTATGATTTTTCGGGGAAACATTAAAAAGATCAGTCAGTCAAGTAATGCATGCAGCTCACTGTATTTTCCACAGTAAGGTGATTCACTCAGAAGAAATAGAAGCGATGTTTTGAGATGTTAAATGAGGTATGCTCAGAAAATTTACGTGAATCGTGGAGAAAGAAGTAATCGATGGATTTATTTTCACAGAATAATACAATTATATATTTTCCATTAATTTATTTGGGTGAGAAAAAATAATTACGAAACGATTTATGCATCTTATTAGGGGACTTTGGTCCCACTAATATTTTATTCCTATAACTTAAAACTAATTTTTTTGAAATATTTATAACTTTTAAGTGTCATAGTATCAAATATTTTGTCCATAAATTATTATATTTATTCTCTGGTTCCCTTAAGTCACATTCCATGTGTTCTGTTTGGTCAACTGACATTTTTTCACCATCCATTTCTTCTTCCATCCGTCCAGTTTCACTCGCAATCAATTTCTTGTTACACACATACACATATCAAAGCTATGCTTCTTGAAATACCTTTTGCTTTGCTATGCCCTGCCCCGAAGAAATTCTCCGTGCTGTAACTATCTCACCAAAGATCCTAGTTCTTCGAGTGAAAAATCTTCTGGGACTTAGAACTCTTTCGAGTACGCCCTGTTCCATGAAAGACAATAAAAACTTGTAGAATATGTGAAAGAGAAACCTCCTATCCTCATTCAGTCAGAAGACATTCCCACGGAAACTTAACGTACTAAATTTGGGGCACCAAAATTTAATATCATATTCCTAAACTTGGAATGCGTTGATATTCAAAAACAGTATTACAGGTTCTACGTAGATCAACTTATCAATCCTAATAAAAAATATTTTAGTTCCTGTGGTTATATTTGAAGCCATTTTAACTTATCCGATCGAATTGCCACAATGCTTCTGTCTTTACTATTTTAAGCTTTTCACCATTATACATTTATATTGATTTTTTTTTATTTTTCAGCAAACCTTTGGAGTCTGAAAATCTTTTTGATTGCCTGCCAAATTCACTGAGACCATCATACGGCCCACAAGGAAATCAGGGTGATCCTAGTCTGAAAGCCTCGTATAGCGCCAATAACTCCGAGCATCAAAACAAATCATTAGAAATACTAACATACAAGCCTCTGACTCTTATTTCGCCAAGGATTTTACCTTTGCTACATGAGCTAGCGCAACAAATGGTTCAAGCTGGGTACCGGCAACAGTGCTTCAAAATTTACAGGTAAGTTGTGGAGAATTTATACTGTCATTTTTTTCAATTAGTTTGATATTGTGATGCATAAGAATACCTTTTTCTAAGTGAGTTACGTTTTTGTATTTTAATTTTTATTTTTTTTATCAATATCTGTGTCACCTGATATTAGCTAACTGTGAACCAATTTATCTAATGATTCGTTCGTCCAATTTGAAAAAAATGGGGAGTACAATTTTCATTGACGAGATTTTCCTTTGAAATTCTAGGAGAATCGGGTCTTTAGCTTTCCTTGTGACTTCAGATTTGAATCGGGTCATTTTTTAGGATATTTCGTCTATTAAGGGGAGGGATGTTTAATGATTTTTTTTTATCTCCATCAATAAATTGGCCTTGAAGTTTCTAGGAAAATGTGGCTTTTGGGTGCCCTGTGGGTGCCCTGTGGCTTCAAATGAAATTTTTATTGCTGAATTGGACGTTCCTCTCTTTCTAATCTGCTTATTATTCTTGGAAAATTCTTCGTGATGAATTTTTCTCTCTCATATTTTCCTTTGGTATGGGCTTGACGGAAGAACCATGCATCCATAAGTACAGTTGAACTATACAAGGACCTTTTAAATTGGGTCAGGTTTATTATACGTGAAATCTTAAAGTTTTGAGAGTCTTCACCAAAAAAAATAACTCCTCTATTTTGGAAATTCGAACGGTTTGTGGTTTAAAGTTGTATCATTTTGGGTCCCTATTATTTAACAGTTGGGCGTTCCCGAGAAAATAATATTTTCTCTGGAAAAAAAATATTAATTTTCTCTAGTTACCACATCACACAGATCGTTATAAATTATGGTTTCTTGTCAAGTATTTTTTGCTTTTCTTGGATAAATATACAGCGTATCAACATCTTCAATTATGGGTTGGCTCTAATATTCACCATCGGGGAGTACAATTTCTAATCCGCGTTTGTAAACCTGAAGCGGGATAAATCAAGCTCGGAGAGGCGTGCAGACGGTTATTTAAACCATTATTATGTTTATTTGTAAAAGCAGAGAAAAATATTAGAGGAAATATACAGAACTTGGTGAAGTGGCAGGGAGGTGGAGGAGGAAAAATATAATTTTTTGTTGTGTTCTCTCCCTACTCCTACCATTCAAAGGTTGCTTCTATGTTATTATTCCATATCTATCACTACTAAACATCAAACTTGAGGTCCATTGGAAAATAAAAACTAATTATTCAATGGACCGACTTGGAAGACAGAAAATTGGGTTTCCCAAATCAAATAACTGCAAAGATAGAGGATAAATTCAGAAAAACGCGGCAAATAGACTAGCATAATTTACTTCTGGGTCTACATCCAATTCATGGAGATTTATTTTTTGGAATTTTCTTTCCATTTAATCGTGTGATTCATAGCTTGGGGTTTGACGTTGCATTTTCAATGCAGTAATAAAAAAATAGTACACGATGCTTTATATTTCAGAACCAGAAAATTCCAATTTTCAACCAGAATGTGATGAAAAATGTTAAAAGATGAGGGTTGAAACAATGCATTCTTCTTATATTCACTCTCTATTTAGGTAATGATGGCAAAATATTTCTTTCATTGGAACATAGAATTTAAATTGAAAAATTTCTTGGCGGTGAGAAATTTTCTTAGATTTATGGAATCATTCAGTCTACCAGTGCCCTCCGTTTCCTCTTCTGACATTCCAACGTTAAATTTCTAATCAACCGTTCTTCAGAGAAAGTCGAACTTCGGTTATGGAACAGACCCTTAGGAAGCTTGGTGTTGAGAAGCTCAGCAAGGATGAGGTGCAGAAGATGCAGTGGGAGATCCTGGAAGCTAAGATTGGAAATTGGACGGTCTACATGCGAATTGCGGTAAGATGTGTGATTTTGAACAGACGATCTCATATAAACTAGTAATATTAACCATCTTCCGATATCAAACCAGGTCGTACTTTTGTTTTCTGGAGAGAGAAAGGTCTGTGATCAAATATTTGACGGCATGGATTCTCTTAGGGATCAGTGTTTCTCTGAGGTGACCGCCAACAGTCTTGCAATGCTTCTGAGTTTTGGTGATGCTATTGCCAAAAGCAAAAGGTCACCAGAAAAATTATTTGTTCTTCTTGACATGTATGAACTAATGCGCGAGCTTCAGCCAGAGGTTTGTGTTTTTCCGGCAGCGGTATTTTATTTATGTTATTTGTAACACATTTAATCTTTTAATGCATTATTATTATGCCATTATAACTATATTTAGAAAGAAATTCTGGTAATTTTAAATAAACATGATGAATCAGGATTTTCACTAAAATGAATGGGCATACTTATATCACATACTTCTTTTGGTTTTTCAGCTATTTTTATGACTTTAAATGGATCCATAATCCGAAATACCATATACACATTTCATCAGTGAGGTTGGGGAGAAGAATGAAAATACCACCTCTTCTCCTGGGGTAAAATAGGAAAAATAAATAAAGGTAGAACGTGGCATTTCAACATTGCGTCGTTTTCCCTGCTTATAGGAAAAGTGGATAAACGTTGAGAATTTCGTGACAGTAATAAGAAAAATTGTGTGCCTTTGGTCTTTATTTTTCCTATCTGAGACTACTTATTGAGGCCGCATGTATTTCAGTGAAAATTTATACAGTGTTTTTTTCTGGTGCTCATAATTTTTTAAATATTATTTTTGGATTTTGGGATAATCTATTTATTTTTTAATATTTTCTGTGCAAGAACATTAGCGGTCAGTTTTCACGCAGATACTTTATCACCGCCTCATATGTAATATTTTTCCTTCAGTTAGATTCTATTCTTAACTGCTTGAATACTAAAAATGCAGACAGTTTTATACGCACTCATTATTTCGTATTTATAAATTTCCCAAATTTTAAAACTGGTTTTCCAGATAGAGAGAATTTTCTCTGGCAAAGCTTGCTCAGAGATGAGAGATGCTGCATTGAGTTTGACAAGGCGTTTGGGTCAAACTGCCCAAGAAACCTTTGGAGATTTCGAAGAAGCAGTTGAAAAGGATGCTACGAAAACCACCGTTTCAGATGGAACTGTGCATCCCCTGACTAGCTACGTCATTAATTATGTGAAGTTTTTGTTTGAGTAAGCACTAGCTTCTTTTTTTATTCGCCATCTGTCCTTCCGATTGTGTCGCAGGGTGAACTGCATAGGTTTTCTGTTTGTTTCACCCCACATATTATCGTTTATTTATTTTCTAATTTATTCTTAAGGCAAAATTCATGGATCAGTTGTGTTCGCCGTATTACATAACGGATTATTTTCTGCCCATGATGTTGACTTTTGTAAAACTGAATTTCTTGGAAAGCATCAATTTTCTTCCCTGATCAATCGACGAATGAAACATTTACAGCTATCAATCGACATTCAAGCTGCTTTTTCAAGGGTTTGATGATGGAAGTGAACCAAACTCCCAGCTTACCAACATGACAGTGAGGATAATGAATGCTCTTCAGACAAACCTGGATGGGAAATCTAAGCAGTACAGAGATCCTGCGTTGACTTACATATTCCTCATGAATAACATTCACTACATGGTTAGATCTGTGCGAAGGTGAGCTGTACAAATATATAGAGTAAAAGATGTATTAGAACTTAAAGACGAGTGACAAGTTTTCATAATAATTTTCAGATCTGAAGCTAAGGATCTACTAGGCGATGACTGGGTTCAAAGGCATAGGAGGGTCGTTCAGCAGAATGCAAATCAATACAGGAGGGTTGCTTGGACAAAGGTTCGCTACCCTCTCTCTCTCTCTCTCTCTCTCTCTCTCTCTCTCTCTCTATATATATATATATATATATATATATCTATCTCATGATCTAATATCTCTTTGCTTCTGATATTCTGCCTCCTTATGATCCATCATTCCTATTTATGCTCCAATTATCATCATGAAGAACGCCCTTGTCAAGAAATTTGTGAGAAAAAACCTCGTGAAGAACAGGATTTTAGATCGGCAGTAGGGCCTGAAACTTCTCCGCTTCTCCTTGAGCTTCGTTGACTCACGACCAGCTCCCTCACTGAGCTTCTCCTGGTGTTTTCGCTTCGTTCAGCTTACTATTTCTTTCCTTGGGTTGGGTCGCATTCACCTCATTTTTCTACAAAAATCCATCTTGAATGAGAAGCCGTATCATCTTCCAGATATTAATGCTTCCGCTGCTCGGCAGCTTCTGCAGAGTCTGACGATTCAAGTCAACAACAGCAGCGGAGGCAGCGGGATGGGAGGAGATGGAGGCGGCGCAGGACCCGGCGGACAAGGAATCGGGAACATCAGCGGCGTCTCTCGGGCCACGGTGAAGGAGAGGTCTCCATCTGATGCTCCAGTTATCGTTGACTTTGCCCTCCTCGAGATTCCCCAGCCGAAAGTGTTCTCTCTGGCGCTGTCAGGTTCAAGTCATTCAACGCGCAATTCGAGGAGCTCCACCAGCGACAATCTCAGTGGAGTGTGCCTGATCTTGAGCTGCGGGAGTCTCTGAGGCTATCCATCGCCGAAGTTCTCCTCCCAGCTTATCGGAGCTTCATCAAGCGGTTTGGGTAAGTTTTCAATCGACAGTTCCACCCGATTCTCGGTCAACCCAAGAACGCAGAACCCAGTTAGGCCTGTTTTTTTTCTTCTTTTTTTTTCCTCCAATGGCAGCCCTTTTGATCCGTCTATGATCCTGAATCTTCTGTCATCTTGTTGTTGGTGCGTGAGGCAGGCCCATGATAGAGAGCGGCAAGAACCCTCAGAAATATTACAGATATGCCCCGGAGGTCGTCGACAGGCTGCTCGGCGAGTTCTTCGAAGGGAAGGTCTGGGGCGAGCTGAAGCGTTGACTGCCCTGTTCTCCCCCCGTTGACAAATTGGCAGCCCATTTTGAGACTCTCTCTCTCTCTCTCTTTCTCTCTCTGTGGTGTACCTTTCGCTGTGATGAGAGACGAACATAGATAGAGTGGTCTGAGACGAACAAATTCGAGAGAGCTCAGATCCCTCGCCCATCCTGTTATGGTTCGGAAGTGGGGCGGGCACATAAGCAACGTATCTAGAGAGAGAGAGAGAGAGAGAGAGAGAGAGAGAGGAAGCCTCATGGGCCGCGTCGCTCCGCGTGGGGCTCGTCGCAAGCTCGCAGTTGGGCCTATCGAGAAGGTTGCAGTTGGGTGTATCGCAGTTGGGCCTATCGATGGCCCTCCGTCGTCGAGGAAATTGCGGGAGGGAAGGAGAAGAGGCTTTCGAGGGAAAAAAGGCCTACCCATTTTCTTTTTCCGTTTTGGATCAGCTTTTCCTTTTCTACAAGATGACGGGCGTCTGCCCCCGCCTCCCCCCGGTAGAGAGAGAGAGAGAGAGAGAGAGAGAGAGAGGAGAGAGGGGGACAGAAGAGGACAAGGGAGGAGGAGGGGGCGCCACTCGGAGGCCCGCACTGCACAGCTGCACCGAAACGGCCGCCCCCGCGCGCCACCTTTTCGCTTGGTGGGTCGGTCTATCCCTCCACCTCGAAGCCCCCACCAGCGAGGGCGAGACAGCCGTCGTCGCTCTGTTCCACATCCTCCACGCAGAGCTCCTCCCCCGCCGCCGGCACCCCCCACGCCGGCCCCAGCAGCCACGGCCGTACCTCCCCCGCCGCGGCGCCCCCGCCGCCTCCGCTGCCTCCGCCGTGGCGGGGCGCTCCGGCAACGCCGCGGGTGTCGATGCTGGCCATCACGGAGGAAGCCGAGTCAGAGAATGAGGGCCCGCAGCTCTCCTCGTTCCCGTTGATGGTCACGAACGGCGCCCCCGCCCACGAGCAGACGTAGGAGGAGGAGGAGGAGCTTGGCCGAGTTATCTCTTCCTCGAGGCATTTCATCACCTCCGCTACCATCTCCTCCTCTATCTGGAACTTGCCCGGGTCGTCAAAGTCTTCCACGTCCTCCAACTCCATCTCCATCTCCTCCTCGTCGTACATCATTGGGATCTTCGCTCCATTGCCTCCGCGGTCCCCCTGTTCCCTCTCCGGCTCCTCCATTGCCCCCTCTGCCACCGGCAGCTTTCCCCCCCTCTCACACCCTGCGTGGCCAAAGCAAGTTCCGCCGCTACGGCTACCCTGTAGAGAGAGAATAAGAAAGAAAAGAGAGAGAGAGAGAGAGAGTGGGGGAGGCTCTGCTAAGCTCATCTCAGCTCAGTAAATATATAAGCTCGAGGTGGGAGGGGGTCCCTCGGGGCCCAGCGGGCGTACGGAGGTCACACGTTCGTGGGAGATCGGGATTGGAAGATGTGACGTGGCGAGACTACGGGCCCCCCGGGAGAAAAACGCACGCGAAACGTCTCAGCCGACGCAGACGCCGCTGCTGTGACTATTACGAAACTCCCCTCCCGAACGGCATTTCCCCGTCTCGGCTCGCGTACGGATTTTGTCGGAAATGGGCCCCACAAGTGAGCTCCCGTCTCGAGAGGTGCGCCCTCTCCTCCCGCCCTTTCCTCGCGAGTCAAGCCGCCGGCCATCGGTTTCTACAACCACGTCCTGCAAGAATCCAACCCATACAAGAATACTCCGTCGCACGTGCGGGCAGGGGCCCACTGAATCGCACGTGGCGGCAATCCAGTCCATCACCATTGACTCTCTCTCTCTCTCTCTCTCTCCAGCTCATACCGGAAACGTGCCGTTAAAAATCCAGCCTTTGCACCGCCGTAAATTCGCTTTTGCCCTCGCTGGCCGTGTTATTGCTGCTGCTGAGCCTTCGTCTTCAGGGCTTCGATCACGGCGGAGAAGTCCTGGTCGCTCAGGCCAAGGGACTTGGCCGCCTTGTACAGCTCGTTGGCCGCCGCCGCAACGGGCGTCGGCTGCGCCACCGCCTCCGCCAGGCTCAGCGCCAGCCGCAGGTCCTGACCACCGGTGAGAAACCAAGCCAACGCCTTTAGCCGCAATGAAACGAGCCCTCGACCTGCTAGTGCTGCTGCTCATATGGGGGGGGGGGAAGAACACGAGAAGCAGATCTCACCTTCTGCTGGTGCTTCAAGGGGAAAGCTGTCGGGTACGCCGATTGCACCATCGAGGGGCCTTTCATGGAGAACATCGGGGCACTTATGGCACCCTGGGAAACCACCTGCACCGCCCATCATTTCCACTTATAGTTCGTCTAGAAGAAAATAACCAATAATAGTAATAAAAATAATGAAGCACGGACAGGTTATGGTGTGGATTGAGACCGACCTCGATTATGACATCTGGGTCCAGCCCGATCTTCTCCCCGAGTAGGAGCCCTTCGGAGAACGCGGCCATCATGCTGAGATCATGGAGAAACAAAGATGAAGGGTTGCTCTTCGGATCATTCGGCGTGGACTTCTGGGTCGGAGGGAGTTGACCCCTCACCTTCCCATGATCATATTCACCACGAGTTTCATCGACGCGCCGTTCCCGACCTCCCCCAGGTAGAACTTCGACTGCACTTTGACATCAGAAACCCATGCAAATGGGGGCAATCAAAGAAGGAAACATCACGAAGCAATCAAGGGGGCCCTCGGGGGATGGGCTATTTATGGAAAGAAAAATAACCTTCCCCATGACGTCCAACAGCGGCCCAACTGTTTCATACAGTGAGGCATCCCCTGCAATACGAAAGCAGACCTTACAGCCATTGCAGGGAGGAATAAGAAAGCTAAAGCCCACTTTAGTAGCTGACCTGCTGCAAGGAAGATAAGCTGCCCATCTTCTGCAGGCTTCTTTGAGCCTGAAACAGGAGCCTGAAGAAAGGTTTCAGACATAATTGAGAATATTATTCTAGTTGAACGCGAAAAGGCTGCAGACATTGAAGCACAAATGTCGCGACTCACCTCTAAGAACAGAGCGCCTTTATCTTTGATATGTTTACTAATTAGCTTAGAAGTAGCTGCGTCAACTGTAGAAGCATCTACATACCTAGAAAGAACCATTTAAAGAAAAGTCAATCCATGCAGATGGCGTCAGTTCAACTGAACGCGAATTGAATGAACATCCCTTTGTGTTGTGGCACCCAGGTGACAGGCGAGATAAATACCCTTTTCCAGGAGCCATGCCTCTTGCAGCTCCATTCTCCCCACAAGCAACATCTACCTAGATGAAACAAAGGAGAGATGATGCAATTTCGGCCAACTCAATGAACCAGTTAACGAAATACTGTCGATGCCCAGGGTCTAATACTCACTGCACTCTGGGGATCAGCAAGCATGGCGAATGTCACATCACAAGACGCTGCCACTTCTGCTGGGGAAGGCTCATATCTGCAGAAATCATTGCGTCATCTTCAATTAAAACCAGGATGGAATAACGTTAGGCCCACCTACAACTCTGTGCATGAAAAGAAACGAGTAAGATTTAGACTATCAAACCGAAAATTATCTACGAAAGCCCTCGCCTTTGCCTGTATAAATTCATTTCAAAGTACAATCGGAACTGACTGAGAAACTTGAAGCACTTAAGGAAATGTAGCTTCCGACGAAATCTAGCAAGATCTAGCTGGACGAGTCACTACTCATGCCGGTTGTTCTTGCCACAGGAGAAACGAGGTGAGAAATATGCTGATATCTTTATCAACATCGTTTAAGTGATAGAAAGGCTAGGTGGTGTTTAATATACGGTAACTGAAACCTCTTCCTCCATAGGTCACAGCAGTAACATATTATGACATCAGGTCGAGTAAAACCCTCTTTTGAAAATCAGTTCCTTCATTGAGAACGGAGGGGGAGATGACCGAATGGAAAGCACAACATCGCATAATTTAGATGCAAGAATTTTGATAGCTAGTTCCAAGTATAAAGGAAAGGTAGGACGAAATGAGGCAACTGCAAGAGGGCGTTGCAGCCCTCACAACAAGCTAACAAGATGTTCATAAATAAGGTTCAGGAAAACAATCAGCAACCGAAATTGGAATCAAACGATTCTTAAAATCAACATGGTATGATCTATGCTCACACCCACTTCACCACAATGTCGAACAGGAAAAATAAATCCTACGCATGGCATCTATTAAGATCAGTCATGTGCACATGAAAAATAAAGGGGAAAAACCAAGAAATTCTAAAGACAGATGCCAGACTGTCGAACAGATGAAAAAATTCAATAAATGAAAACAAAGAGTACAAATTCAGGTATATTTCATATAACTAAGGCTCTCAGCTCAAAACCGGAATTCATGATTAAAAAAATAAAATTTAGAAATAGATTGCAAACTAGATGAACGTGGGACGCAAAATATCGCATAATTCATAGAAAAATAGACGACTAAACAAACATGAGATTCAGACAAGAACGACCAGGATTAGCCGAGGATAAGGAGAACGCATACCTCGCCCCCAACTCCAAAATGTGATGACACTTGCTCTTCGTCCTATTCCAAATAGTAACATTATATCTGCAAAACATGAATTGAGTAAATTCCAGAAAATGTGCATACATCTTCTGAGTAGAAAACGAAGACGTTTCACAGTTGTCTTCGAGTTCAATCGGATAGAGCACTAGCGGAAGTATTTTCTAAACCCGTCGCCCATGTAGTTGAAAAGATGATTTGTGACAGGACGTTAATTTGTCACGTAGAACAAATGTTGATGGACTTTAAGCTAAAATATAACAAAGGCGAGCTAAAATAATCGTCACAAGCAATATTCTGTTTGATAGTTGATCACATACCCAGCTTTTAAAAGGTTTTGCGCCATTGGAGAGCCCATGATCCCGAGTCCCAGAAAACCAACGGTTAACGTTGCAGAAGATTCATCTGCTCCCACTTTAGATATCATGTCAGCGCGGCTAAAGAGAAAAGAACTTAATGCTACATGAGAAGAAGAAACCAGCTGACGGACTACACAGGCCTCTCTTTCTACTTCTCTCATCATGCGCATGGACACACCCAACGGGAACCGGATTGAAACGAAACGAGAAGTGGAGAGCAAAAAAAACTCGGATTACAGTTTTTTCATATCCTTCCGACGACATGAAGGATTCGATGGGAGAGAGACACACACACTCGATGACAATCTTCTTCATAGAGGAATCGGTTCGTTACCTTGCCCCTTCCCGGCATTTCGGTCTCATTGAAGGACCAATCGCCTCCGCCCCCCATCAAATTACTGTATGAATCGACTAATGCAGCGATGAGGTGGGCGTTGATGAACTCTGCCATACCTTTCTCTGTTGACACATTGAAGACCTGCTGCGAACGGACCGTGGAGATTCTTGCGGAAGAGGAAGACGGCAAACGGAGCAAGAGCGACGCGCGTCCTAGTGTCGCCGCTGACCTGGGGCAGAAGCTGGAACAGAAGAGCGCCATCGCCGGCGGTTGCAGATCGACGACGACCCCCCCGAGAAGCGGAGCTGGCAAAGAGCCAGCAGATACCGTAGCTGGAGGGGCGGGAGATATGAGGAGCGACAAGATAGGCCATTGCACACCGTCCGATATAAATCGGACGCTTAAGATTCCCCTTTCCTCTGGACGGCGCAGGCCGGAATTCGTCCATAGTGGGCCGCTTTATCAACGTGTACTAGTTTCGTCGTCCTCTTCTTTCGGGCTGGCCCAATAATAGAGCGTCCAGTTCAGCCCACTTTCGAACCACCGAAAAAAGCCATCCTCCTCGAGTGAAAGCTCGTTTGGATTGCCGGAAAACCGAATTCCATGCACCATTACTATTCTAAAATAAATATTATTTTAATTTAATATTGACAAAGCGACGGAAAGGGAGCCGTCGTACTCTAGCCACGCGTCGGCCACCCGCCGTCGCCCCGCCGACTTTTTCCCCGCCCACAATTTGGTGTTCTTATAATGTGCTACCGGCCACGCTTAGCTGGTTTGGACTGATCAGGCGCCATTCTCACGTGGGAAGTCGGCGCCACGTGAGGAAGAAACAGCAATGCTCCGGACAAACGGTTTCCGTCCATCGAGACCTCCGCCCCAAGTTAATCCGTACAGTGAGTTGGCATTTGGCTCGTTCATTTCTAAATCTGTCGAGCTGGGCAAGTGGGCGCCGTCGTCCCAAAAGTCGCCGCTGAGAAAGTAAAAGAAAAGAGAACTGGGGGAGGGGGTTGAGAAGGAGCTGTCTTTCCCTACTCTCCGCCACCGACATCCCCCGCCTCCCTCCGCCGCCGCCGCCGCCGCCGCCGCCGCCGTCTCGGCCACCCTCTCATCCTCACTCCACGGCAGGGGAACATTGGTAGAAAACTTTCAATTCAGATGGCCGGAAAAAGAGGTACACAGGGAAGATTGGGGTAGAGAGAGAGAAAAAAAATAGCAAACAATGGAGCAAACCATGGATTTTCTGTAAGAAATTTACAAAACAATCTTCCTAGCATCTTCTAAGAGTTCGAAGCGTTTCCGACGATCAATCGACGACATCCGAAGAAGACGGGAGAGAAGGAGAAACCCATTTTTTTTATCCTTTTTTGGATGTCTAGAAGTACCATTTCCAGATCTTGAGCCTCAGCTTGACCTTGCAAGTCACGTCCGGCGAGGAGGCAGCGGAAGGGGTCTTCCCCTTGGGGACGGGCACGTCGGCGGCCGTGCAAGAGACTCGGATCCTCATCTTCTTCGTCTTCAAACTCCCCACTTTGACGCCAGCTCTGGTCTCCAGCAGTACCTGCATCGGCAGGCTAGTCTTCTTCCTCAGATCCGCCGCCGCCGCGGAGTCCAGCTTCTGGCTGGCGCTCGCCACCTCCGCCTTCAGCACCGTCGTGTTCTTCGCCTCGTGGACGAACGCCGGGAAGGACCCGTCCCCGATCGCCAAGTCGCCGGTGGTAGCGGAGATGGAGATGGGCTCGTAGAGGAAAACCAGCTTCTTGTTGGGGTTGCGGGCGGTCACCGACAGGTCCAGCCTGGAGCTGACCGCGTCGGCTGTGGTGACGTTGAACGTCGACAGTTTGAGAGAGGAGACCGAGAAGGAGGGACGTTGGGGGCGGTATATCACGTAGAAGATTCCTCCGGCGATGGCCGCGAGGAAGATTATGGCGAGGAGGATGAGGGTGACCCATATGCAGCAGCAGCAGCAGCAGCCGCGCCCCCCGCGGCGGCGCCGCGGCGGCGCAGCCTTAGGGGCCTGCGGGCGGTAGACGGGCCGCGTCGCCCCGTAGAGCTGGGCTTTGGTCGCCGGAAATGCCGCTCCGGCGCCGCCGCCGCCGGCGCTGCCGTTGGGCGCGCCGTTGGTGCTCACCGGCTTAGAGGGAGGATACGTCCTCTCCGCCATGGCCGTAACTCCTCCGTAGCCTAGTCGAACTCTGGATCAGACGGGCTACGGCGACGGAAGGGGACGGTATTAGAGGTAGCAGAGAGAAGGTAGCGGGTGAAGGGTCGGAGAGGAAGGAGAAAAGAAGCCTCCTTTGCCTCGTTCCCCCCCCCCTCGCGCCAGCTGATCGGATTTATTATGTTAATCATAAAACAAGGGGTTCCCGCCGCCGTCAACTCTGTTTTTTCCTGGCTGGAAGACGCTGACAATGGAAGCATGGAACCCACTGGGCACCGACATGTTCTCCACCGCGTCGGAGCACCTCCGCACGGTCCCCCTCGCTAGCCCAGGCGAGCTGAGCGCCGCCGGCCAGAAAGAAGATCCCCCTTCCGATTACCGGCCACCGCGCGTGGAGGTTGTTAGCACGTCTACGCTAAGACCATGACGTATGAACCGCATGGGCGGAGAAAATACGAGGAACGGCCCTAATTTCGACACGTGGCCACGAGGGCGACGGCATATCTTGACTTCACGCTGTCCAGAGAGCTGACGTTGACCTTCCAATAGTCTGCGGGCACTGACTCAAAGTGGACGAGTAATGGGCCGCCGTTCGCTATCCAGGTGCAGCACCACCGAGGGCCCATGTGTCCAGACGGATTCGTCCTCTGATGCGGAAGGCCGTGCTTTCTAGCGTACTGAACAGAGTCTCGTAGTAAAAACATTTATCAATTTTGACCCAGTAATGCCCGCAGCAGATGGGGCCAGCTGTCGGACAAACAGCACGTTAACCACGTGATATATATATTCCCCACACGTGCGGAAATTATTCAACTAGGCTTTATCATTTTTCCCCTCATAAGGTAAGCCGTGGTCTTATCCACCTGACGCCATGAGGGGCTAGGCCCATGCAAAGCTGGCATGACAACCCACGTGCAGATGGAGCCACTTGGGACGTGGATCTACGGCCACTGGATACAGTTGGCGGGTCGAACGTGGGTCCCAAATTATTTGGGTAAATTGGAGGGTTTGTCTGATGCATGGGGTCTAGCGGGCCGAACGGGCCTCGGAACCTGATCGATATAGAATTTGTTAAAATTAGGGGAATTTTTCTAAAAAGTGAACATGATATTAAAAGGTCCCCGTCATCTACCACCGCCGGTTTGTCCGCTTGTGCCCACGTGGGTTACCTTTCGGCACGTACCCCTCGAGCCCCGAAATAAAGATCCTCGTCATCGGCATTCATTTCTCCCCCACCCCACGCTCTGCCCCAATCCGCTCCCTGCCGGCGGCGCCGCCAGTCATCCTCGTCCGAGCGCCCCCCAGTCCCCGTGGCCGGCGAACAAGGAGGGAGGAGGAAGCCAGAGGCCGTCATGTTGGAGGACGCGGTGCCGTCGGTGTGGGCGGCGGTGAACGGCTGGTTCACTCCCTCAGTCCTTTTCGTGCTCCTCAACATCGTGATCGGCACCATCGCCGTCACCTCCAAGGGAATCCGAGGTATGCATCCGCATCCTCGGAACGACGACGATCCCCTGCACCAGCACATTAGCGGTCCCGACCAGTTCCATTCGTCGCCATCCATGTTGGAGCGCCTCAAGTCCTTTCGCGGCTTCTACCGCACCCAATCAGGCCAGATCCCCTTCGAGGCGGCTGTCGTCGAAGCTTCCCTCCGTGGATCCGAGGCCGATAAATCTTTAGAAAACCTAGACGATGCGTACGAGGCAGCAGTCGCTACCTCCTCCACGAAGGAGCACCCCGTCTCGAGGAGCCAGTCCGAGTCGACGCCGACTGTCAGGAAAATGGCCGCCAAGCTGATGAAGTCGGTGAGCGCCATGTCTGCGTTTCAGCTCGAGGAGAAGGTGGTGCCTCAACGGCCAGCGACGCCAAAGCCTAGCCATCCACCGGAGGACGAGGAGGTGGATGCCAAGGCCGACGACTTCATCAACAGGTTCCGGCAACAACTGAATCTGCAGCGTCTAGAATCCATCATCAGGTACCGGGATATGCTCGGCCGAGGAAAATAGATATTTCCAACCACATCTACCTCCATTTCGCCGCTATAATCGTCACTGCTGTATGGATCTCATCGAGTTCTAGACGTTCATCGGCGATTTTATATAAATTTCCTCCGTCGATTTGGCTTTCGATTTCACTCAAGTGGAAATACCCGAAGACTAGGCAGCGAGGGACGGGGACGACGACCGCCCACTGTCGGTCTCTCATCTCGGCGACCGTCCACTGTCGCCGCTGCATCTGTTCAATCTGTGAGTGAGCGCCATTCTCCCCGATTCTAGTTTTCTCGGCTTCCGCCCTCGGTCTTCGGTTCGCGAAACAAATCGGGCGCTGCAGCTCGAGGAAGACGAGAGCACTTGCTACATTTTCCCTCTCTTCCTCGGCGCCCCCCCTCGCACCAGCTTTGGAGGTCTCTCTCCCGTTCGAATGAATGGACGACGACGCTCTTGGCTTGGTTCTCGCGTGACTAATATTTTAGTTACGAGAGTTTCGAATCGTATCTTTCGACGAGGTCGGACAGTTCGGACGGTCCACATGAGACCTGCAGTCAGGGTCAAGCAGCACGTGCGGGAGATGAATGCGATGACTTCCCCCTCTCAAACTTTTTCATTGAAGTCTGTATTAACTAGTTGAAGTGTAGATTAACCCTTTGACTTTATATAGTGAGATCATCGCCGGCTAAATAGACTGACACAATGCTCGCGCATCTTTTTTTAATTGGAAATACACCATTTTTCAATAATGTTTGGGAAATATTTCGCGGATTTAAGCTCATGGGGTAAATTTTGGGAGGATAAAAAAAAAAGGGTAGTTGCATCTTTGACCGAAAAGACCAAGACTTTGTTGATAATTCACCCAATTTACCGAATAAATTAGCGAGTGAGAGAGAGAGAGAGAGAGAGAGAAGCATGGGCCTGGTCGATTGAGATACCGATAGTGACATCATCTTCATCCTCTCCGAGAGGGCAGTAGACGGGGGTCCATCTTGTCCGTATTGCACGGAGATCCTGCTGCGCACTGTCGGGACGGGATAAGATCTCACAGCCCCGACGAGCTGGCCAATTCCACTATAATGGGTTAGAATAGTTGCAGGAACAGGGTCGCCGGTGTCGCTTCCTACATCCGTCACGACACTTGTCTAAAGCTATGCCTACTTCTCTCTCTCTCTCTCTAGAAGAAAGTCGTCTCTCCCCTCCACTCTTTAAATAGAGTATGAGCAGAGAGAGAGAGAGAGAGAGAGAGAGAAATACACGCGAATATTCCGGAACTTCCTCGCTTTTTGTGGGCAGTTTCCTAAGAGTAAGTAATACATTTCTCTGATAAAAAACAACGTTCTCCACTCTTGACTTGCTCATATCGACTACTACAAGTAGAAAATGATTCTCTCTCTATGTAAAACCATCCCTTCTCGCTGGGCCTTTCGAACCTTAATAGGGATGGACGTTGACCGAGTATAATAGATACTCTTTTTTATTATTATTAATCCTAAGTTACTTTACCAATCATTTAAACCATAATACTTAGTAATGTACTCAGTGCATTTGTTAATAATGTAACAAGTTCCATAGAATCAGCTTCCAACTTATTTAACTAGTATTTGGAGCAAATATGATACATTATGTTGTAAGTCTTCTATTGTTCAGTTCATCTATATAATTTAAGTCAACATGGTCAAAATGACCATCACATTTGCTACATTAAATATTAACAATATGTCTATTATACCCTTCATGCAACACAATTTACTTAACTATAAATCTAGTGCTCTTTCCCTAGATTAGTCATATATTTGCTAAGGATGGCAACCACTTTAGAAATTTTGTGGTTCCAAGGGGAGACAGAGATTGAATCTTGTTTAAATGTGGGAGCGGGAAATCCCCATTCTCTCTCTCTCTCTCTCCTCTCTCTCTCTCTCCTCTCTCTCTCTCTCTCTATGTGTGTCTTTGGAAATGCCTGGAATGAGGCTCGTATGGTTGTTGTGCTACCTGGGGAGATCATCTGGATCTCCCAATTGGGCCATTCGGCTCGTCAACTTAGTTAATGTGCATGATCGGCTACCTTAATTGGCCACCTCAATGAGTGGGCTAAGGAGGTCATCTAACACGTGATCTGTTTTCAATATTTCCTTATCAGTCAAATTCCTAGGTATATTGCCGTCATCATATTTTTCTGATCATTCTGATTCTTCTAACGATATTTCGTTACCTCAATGTCTATATTCTTAGAATTCTACTATCAATGCGAGTTCATTTGATTAAATCTGATATTCTATTAGGTTCAAATATACTCATATTGACTTTGAAATGTCAAGTCAATGGAGAAGCCATGGATGAGAAAGTTGGAACCTTGTGTTGTAGTGATATGTCATAAAATTCCCATGATAGAGAAATCATAACTTATGTACATTAGGAACCTAGTATGAATACTAGGGTTTGTCGATTAGGGCATTAAGTCTTTTCTTTCAAGTTTGTTTCAATGAAAAAATTTGTTAAGAAATATACTCATATTTTCTTAATTATGTGACATTATTTAAATTAGTTGTTATTTTTAGTGAATCCACATGCTAAAAAATTGTTCTGATGTGTGCCAATGCATAGAATATGATCAATTCATGTTTAGTTATTTGTATGCTCAATGGGAAGAAGTGCTCAGGGCGATCTGTTTGAAAGATTATAGCCGTGTGGGCGCCTATTGACATGAAGTCCATTTTCGAGTGCAGGCCCAATTAGAAGCCGAACCGGGCCCTCCACCCCCACCATCCTCGTGTCATTCAACCGTAAGAAAAGTTCTGATTTTTATATTTAGAACCCTTAATGTGGGTTTTTACTGGGTATTTCTGAAGTAATTAATGATTCGAATGAACCTGATGCATAAGAAGGCAACTAATGTGATTTGATGGGTACAGTATTGGGCCTGTGGGATGGAGTTCGGAAGAAGGGCAAAGTCGTCATTCCCCCCCCACACATGTCTTATTTTTTTCTTTAAATTGATTAAAACTAACACTTTCAAACTTTAAATTCCTCACAATTAAGTACGACGATGACGGGACATTCCGACCGACTGGGGTCCACGCGGGGGCGACGACGTGTGCATGGCGGCTCTGTACTTCTACGTCCACGGGTCCAAATCAGACGACAGTAGCTTACCTTGTCATGGGCGCCGATTAACCTGCCCCTTGACCTCTTCAAAAAAGCCTGGATCTGTTCTCCCCCGTCACCACCTTATGGCCCCATCACCCAGAGAGAGAGGAGAGAGGAGAGAGAGAGAGAGTAAGAGAGATGAAAACAAGGTAGGGTGACTGATAATCGGCAGACTTTTGCACCGACTGACTGCGGGTGGCGTTTGTAGTATCCTTTAGAATGTGCGTTCGATCGAGCGGGGAATTCATTCCCAGAATGGGGGACTGCCCTGCCGGAGAGCACATGGTGCCATTGGCGGAGCTCCACGCGGAGGCCACCGTCAGTCAGTCTGTTCATGTCTTAAGGCCGTTACTCTTGTGCTCCACCCTTCCCTCCTCTCTCTCTCTCTCTCTCTCTCTCTCTCTCTCTCTCTCTGCGTTAATGAAAAAGGCCCTTCCCAACCACTGTGCCTGATCCTCAGAGAGTTCGGAGATTGCCCTCCATAGTGCGTGGTTCACTACAAATAGACCATCGCACCACCGTCTTCTCGGCACCTCATCCTCGCCTTCCTCTTCTCCGGCGAGACGACCTTACTTTTGGAGAACTCGTGTTTGTTCAAAAGTTGCAAGAGCAACAGAAGCGTCTACAGGTGGAGCACCATATCCATACTGAGAGAGCTAAATTGGTCCCACGATCAACCAACCATTGAGCACAACGAAATCCCCTAGTAGATTCCCTCCTCTACATTTTTGACATGTGATCATACCTAGTAGAGGGGGTAGATAGATTATTTAAGGCTCTCTCGTTGGTCTTCATTGACATCAAATCCTGTTTATAGTGTTTATGCACTGGGAATGGCTCAATAACTTGGAAGCTCATATAAATCAGTTTATGAAAGACGAAGCTTTTTTTAACATTTTTTTATTGTAAAATCCTGTGTATATTGCCGTCATCATATTTTTCTGATCATTCTCATTCTTCTAATGATATTTTTACCTCGGTCTCTACATTTTTGGAATACTCCTTTTTAGGCAAGCACATTTGATTTAATTTGATATTCTATTAGGTTCAAATCTAAGCTTATTGACTTATAAATGCCAAGTCAATGGAGAAGACACTCATGAGAAAGCTGTAGAACTAGGTTGAAAACTTGTGTTATAGTGATATGTTTTACGACTTCCATGTTTAACAAGTAGTCAAGTGTAGATTTGCAGAAATTGTTGGACTTGCATTTAATTTGAAATTGGTTTATTCATTATTATTTATTGTTAATTTGCATTTCTACATCATCAGACACCACTGAAAAGCTTGGAACGGCTTCTAAGGGGAGATATTCGGAAGGTACTCGCTCTCTTCTATTGGGTTCTTCATATGCGGCGATTGTTGTGGCATATTTTTTTAACGTTTTAATTTTCCTTCTCAGATATGGGATACAGTTCCTAAACCGGAGTCTCATAAAGAAATCCCATTCAGTTACTTCTTTGTCGTAAGAAACTGTATTTGATGTCATTGTTTCCTGAGAAGATTTGGCCCTTAGGAATTTACGTTCCCTTTATCCGATGAATTATCCAGCTGGAGGTACTGGCTCTTTCGAGTTACGAAGCTAGAGAAGAGGAGTTTAAGGAACATGTGCATTATCTGAGATAGGTAATTTTTTGCCTTTAGCTAGCTTTTCTGTTTTCAATACTTCATTAGCCGTCTGAACAGGATAATAAATAGTCTTCCATGATTTTCCCGGTTATTAGAAATAAAATCTACGTAAAAGTTTTCTGTTGGCTTTGAATAATTCCAGTCAATATCGATTTATCTGGGAAGATGTAGGTTTATTCTTCATGTAATGAGTTGAGTTTGGTCGCAGTTTTTCTGCTAAACTTGTATTTACCTATTAGTTG